TTACGGGCAACCTTTTGTCCCCCCCCCCCCCCCCCCCCTTTCCCTTTTCATTGCTTTAAAAAACTTAAACAACAAACTAAATGCTTGACAACTATTGTCTAATATCATGGCATTCGTAGAAAAGTGTCTGGACTTTTTATTCGATTATTATTTAGTCCAAGCCATTCTTGTGGTGCCACCAAACTAGCAACAGTACTTGTGTTGAATTCTTTCATCGGGTCAAATTAGGAGGTAGCATTAACACATACCCTCTGTTGGACTTTCCTTTGATTGTTACGTCACACAACATTTCTAGACTCAGTATTCATTATGAATAAATGTAGTAGAAAGACCCAACAGTTAAAAACCTGTTTTCTTTTCATCAAAAATCTACAATCGAATCCAGTCTAGTATATGGTCAAATCTGTTCCATTCTATTTTTGTTTGACTTATGATACTAATTGTTGCATGTGTCTCTCCTTTCCATAGTCCTAATTGAAGTGTGAAAGTTTTAGTAGAGACAAGTCTCGGACTACACGAAACGTAGTCAACACCAACTGAGTCACATGACGCGCTTGCTTACAGATTTGTTATACTTGTCCCCGGAAGTATAGACAAAGAATAAGTAATGGGTTTGAGCATATTTAAAGTGCATTAACCTACTAACTAGAACCAAACGCTATAACAAATTTTGATCAATTATCATAGAATGTCTCTACGAACTATAAGCAAAATTGTATCTGCAAATTCAATTCCTGAAGGATTTGGGGCTTCCGTACTTCGGTCAATTGGGGGTAGATCACCTCTTAGAGATTTAAACCCGTTTTTATTATTTGATCATTTCATTGCAACAAACAATAAGGGATTCCCTGAACATCCTCATAAAGGCCAAGAAACAATTACATATGTTCTTAATGGTCGAATTGCTCATGAAGATTTCACTGGGTCCAAAGGTGTACTTTATAAAGGTGATTTACAATTCATGACTGCTGGAAAGGGAATTGTTCATCTGGAAATGCCTATGGAGAATGAAGATTTAACACCTACTATAGGTCTTCAATTATGGGTTGACTTACCCAAACATCTACGAGGTACAGAGCCTCGTTATAGGGATTTGAAAACTTGGGAGATTCCTCAAGTAGTTGACCAAGACGGAAAAGTGAAAATCCGAGTGATATCAGGAAAATATAATGATGTCAATAGCGTTAAAGATCTTGCTTATACTCCAATTCATTTTTATCATGGTACTTTACAACCTGGTAGTCATTTCCGTATAAATACCCCTAGAGACTTTAACTTTTTCACATACATTATTAACGGAACACTTTCGGGCTTGACACCTTCAAGTGACAAGAGTGCGGGAAGATTACAAAATATCATATATAATAATGATGGCGATTATGTTGAAGGTGTTAATAATTCTGATGGTGAAGTAGAATTCGTTACAGTTGGTGGCCAAATCTTAGATCAAACTTATAAGAAGTATGGACCATTTATAGGTGATACCAAGGCCGAAGTAGAAACTGCTTTTGATGATTATGAAGCAGGTGTTAATGGTTTTGAAAGAGTTTTGAATTGGAAATCAACCATAAGTGAGGGTGTTGAAACTGGTGATTTAAAGGCTTTGGGTGGTTCTTTGGCTGAAAGAGAAATAGAGAGATTAGAATATTTAAAGATGAAAAAAACATGAAAAAAAGACTGTTAGTCAAGTCTTTCTTATATCCCTTTAGCATAGATTAGCACCTAATTTAATTAATCAACAGGGCTCCTCAAACTTCGTTATGGTTTACGCACTACCAACAAAATTGAATACTCTCGACATGGAAGTACAATAGTAGTTGGAAACTTGGTGTTCTAGTAAACTTAAATCCGCTGCAACGATACTCAATTCAATATAAATGTTCCTTTATCTTTTGGGTTCGCTTTTCCTTTTACATGCGGGGTATTCATCGTATGAATATCATCAATTACAGATCAAACTTCCTAGTGATATTTTCCTTGAAGTAGCTATCGCCGTTATTATTTTCATGGTAGGAGCATTTGCATCTATATCCAATGAATCATTCCTTAATATAAAGACCAACGAACAATTCCAATGGCCAGAAAAGTTCTTGAAGCCGATAGCTCTTAGCGAATCGTTGTCAACTATTGAAAAATCTGGAAATGAGTTCAATGGATCCGGGTATAGACCTGATTTCATTAATATTCGAGAAAAGAGACAAGAATACGCCCAAGAGTTCAAAGATTAATAGTAGAAAAGTGTTATGGGAATTTTCTATTCATGGTTTAACGTGACTTATTATTATATAATAAAATATCCATATGTAAGTAATGATATCCTCGCCATAGTAAATGTAATAACGTTCTTCTATCAAATTAAGCGAAAGTTGTCTCCATTTCCAAAGAAAGCAACATGAAAAACACCATGAATTAAAGCAATCACAAGAAACCCTTGAAGCGCCCACTACATGATAAGCTTCCTTGTGTTGATTAGCTTCCTTGTATCAACTGCTCAAACCATATTGGGGATCTGAGTTTATGTAAAAAAAAGAGCATTCTCTCTATAATTGCTTTAGTCTAGGCAATTGCATGGTTAGCAAGGCAAATAATGATCAACTCCTCATGTCTGGCAAGGAAATCTTTTAACTGTTCTGTAAGTGATTCAGAAGCAGGTAGATCCTATAAATAAAGCAGCCCAACTGTTGTACATAATTCATCAATAATGATAGAACAAGTGAGCAATTCTCCTTTAATGACTAAGTGGGCCTTTTCATATCTAAGGTAATTACAGATTTGAGTATCGCTCAAACCTTTGGAAATGTCCTCATTCAATGTTAAATTATCTCCAATGGATTTAGCTCAATCATTGGTGCTGGAAATTTGGTCTTTTTCTTCTCGTTTAATGAATCCTTGACCTTTCGAGTCTGGAAATTGGATACCTTGGAAGTCCGTATAGCCCCAGACATTGCATTAAGTAGAGTTCATGATTAGATGATATTGAAGTGTTTTGTGGTTTCTGTTCGGCAGTATCAGTATAATCTATATAATTGCGAAGGATCTGATTAAATGAAAGATACAATAAACATTTGTATATAGTTGGGATTATCAAAAGTAGAAATTTGTGTAACCAATATGTATCCGCTTATTATCTTTTTTACAATACATTAATACCATAACAAAGTCCGATATAGTGTAACGGCTAGCACGGTTCGCTTTCACCGAGCAGACCCGGGTTCGACTCCCGGTATCGGAATTTTTTTTGCAGTTTTTGTTGAAACATGCAGATATATGATCTAACATGAAGCTACAGCTAATTATATTATCCTAAAACTTCTACCTTATCTATTTTCTATTGAAAGTTTATAGAATGTACATATTATAGCCAAAGAAAGCAATAACAAAAAATCATGTCTATTCACTTACAATGGTTCATTATTGAGCCTTCTTTGCATTGACTTCAGCCTTAGCCTTCATTCTATCTTCTCTTGCCTTATGTGGTTTTGGACCTGCTTCAGTGTCCAAAACATAGTCCCACCATCTGAAACTTGAAGCATATGAGCCAATGAAATGGTGGTGGTGTTCATCATGATGATCAGCGCCAGCCCAAAATGGAAGAAAGTGATGCAAGGACCAAGGGAATTCGTAACCAGAATGAGCATCAACAGCTTGAAATAATCTAAGGGTAATCCATAAGCAAATGGTAAAAAGATGTAAATTTCTAGTGAAGTAACAGTAAATGACTGGGATACCAACAGTACCAAAACCCAACAATGCAACTTCAATTGGATGAGCATATTCAGCAGTCAAACCGAATGGAGCTGCATATCTGTGGTGTTGTTTATGAATATACTTATAGAATACACCATAGTGTAAGCCTCTGTGAAGCCAATAATGCCATGCGTCTTCCAATACAAAGAAAATTGCCAACTGAGTTAAAACAGTAGTGACAGGAGGGAAAGGCACTTGGAACTTGATATCAATCCTTTCACATAAAGGATGGAAAAACCAAATAGGGAAAGCTTCAACGAGGAAATGAGATGTTAAGACAGATTTCATACATTCCCATTGTTCCTGATTTGATGGTAACTTTGTATCTTGAATCTTATACTTTCTAAAGTAAGGAACACGATCAATAATTGCCCATGGAACTGATCTACCAAAATACATGAACTCATGAAGGCAGAAAATAAGTAATCCAGTAGCGAACAAATCATTATTTATGTAATAATAGTAAGCCCCCCAAACCTTCTCTAAAATATTAAGGTTATCCAACTGGTTGAAATTGGCATAAGCTTGAAAGAAAGATGTGGAGTTACTAACGGGAAAGCTCGAATAATCGTAGTATACCCTAAAGCATTTGAAGTTAGTACAATATTATTCCAACCAACAGAATTGTAGTAATCCCAAGAGGTTAAACCTCGAAAAAAAATGTACGATAAGGGAAAAAAAGAAGGAAAATAAGATTATTCCTGATAAAATACATACTTTGACATTATTAAGCCTCTACTTTGACACCAATAAGCGTAGGATTTGTTATGATGATCTCGTAAAAACTGAGCTGATACTTAGAATATCAAAAAAAAATCACCAGATATACTCAGGTTTTAATGTGATTTTTGTCCATCGATGGATCCAATATCGTACAAACCAATATCACCCTTTCTAAACGACGCGACCGTTTTTACTGTTTAAACGAGCTTCTAAACGAGGGTGATATTGCGGCTGGTACACGACCTCAAAAATGAACTAGTTACATTACGTATCACCGCGGTTGTAATCCTAACAAATTAAGATTTGAATGCCGGTAATATGCATGAAATCTTTTTGGGTATATAATTTTTGGAGTATATAGCAGAATTGAACAGGGTATATCGTTTTGACATAACTGATTTGACGTTTTAAAGTCTAACCGTTATCTCCTCTTAGCGCTTAATGTTTCAAAGGCTATTTCTAAAATCCTAAGCTCATTATTGGGCGCTTTGAATCAAATTTTTGTAGAAAGGTGACCAAAACTCATACAAAACGAGTCACAATTTTTCCCACATCGGACCCTGAATCTAAAAAGTGTTCTGCTCGATTCAAGGTCACTTGTTTAACATGATTTATATAAATTATTTTAGATTCATAGAGTAGATCCATACCAAAAATACTTGTTTATAAAGGCTTGATCGTTCCCCTAATAAATTTAATCTTCAATGTTTAAACTATCATCTCCAAATTCGAACATTGCCGCTACCTGTGTTCCATCAGATCGCTTTTCAAACTAACAGTGGCCCACAGCGACTTGCTCTTATGCAAAAGCCAACTAGAACCAAGAAGTTACCAACACTGGTACATCACCTTGATGACAATAAGCAATTATCACCAATAGGGCCCAAATGCAGTCGATCAATCAGCATGGCTGAATTAAATGATTTGGTAAAACAATTACCGCAAATTGTGCCTAGTGAAGCTTATCTCAAATCACTTAGACATTTCCAAAACGTTTTGCTCATGACAAAGATTAAAAACAGACTTCAACAAAGAGGTAATGCTAAGCAAACTGGATTTAGAATAATTATAAAACGACAACTATTCAAGACATAATTAAGCGGAGACGTTGCTTAATTACATCAACTTAAGTATGTATTTAGAAATATAGAAATGCTCTCAAATTGGGTGCGAAAAATGTAGCCGTTGTAAAGTGAAGAAACAATAGAACAATAACACCAGCTATTGTTTGTTAGAGCCATTACTGTAATGAAGAGTAATTTAAGATTATAAATGTGATTCAGTGAAATGGATGCAAAAAAATATGTAGAGGAATTGCTGGTAATGGATAATGATACCCGCGAGATTCGAACTCGCGCCTCCGAAGAGACCAGGACCTTACCCTGGCGCCTTAGACCAGCTCGGCCAGAGTACCCAATTCCTGCTTGAATAGGAAAGTTTAAAAATATAGAGGCGAAAAATAAGGCGCTACCTAGTTGCGCAAAACTGTGGCAATCTACGACTACCACAATTGCAAGGCTTCTACTGCTAGTAAACAGGATTCTGCTCTTGCTGTTTACAGACGTAGGAACTGTTGATTTTTCTGGGATACATTAAAGGGGAGGGTACCTTACTGCGGATTAGTTAGGCTACCTTTGGGGCTTGAGAAGCTCCCACTAGGATTTTTCCTCTCCGATTATGGTCGACCCCTAATTACAGGCTAAAGACATGATATGAATCCTATGTGCTTGACACTGTGAGTGGAACACAGTGGTAAGTAGTGTGAAATAGACGGTTGGCGGACTGGATCTCAACAAAGAGTATATCCGGGTTGCTACATTTACACCACTCTAGCGTAGTAGTTACATAGTCCAAAGAAAGAAAAAAAAAAGGCTATGAAATGGTTTTGATGGCTTATCATGAAAATTGAAAATGGTATATATTTGCCAATTTGATAATGTTTGGAGTAACAATAATAATGATAGAGTTCTATCTACTACTCATAACGTTCTTGTTGAAATCATCGATTTGTTGCAACTACAGGGCCAGTTAGGAAAATTGAGAAAGCCGCACCTCCAAGCTTTCTGAAGGACGTCGCTCTATACTTGACACTTGTAAAAGCAAACACTATTTAACAAGCGTAATGCCAAATTTAAGCTTTATTCAAGTACAATCCATGAACCAAGGGAGTGCTAAAAATGACATACTGTTTGTAGTGAAACCAGTTTTCACAATGATGATCTGCTTTGACAGCTACATTTCTAATGCCACTAAATCGGAGAAAAAAAGTACTCCACCTAAATAGTATGCGTACGCAATATTGGAATCCGGAACCAATATCCTAAACGGTAAGTCAAAGGTACAAAGTGCAGTCTCAAATTTTTAAAAAGTGGGGGTAAGTAAAACCTTTATATTTTTCGTTTAATCTTGGACTTCCACGAATAGAAATGACTCTCCAGACAAGTAAAAAGAGTTAATGTAACGGAAAGACCCAACTATTAAGTGTCCCATTAGAAAAGCATACTTCACTTTACAAAAGGTTTTCCCTCAACCGGAGACCGGAGATGTTATGGTGAATTCCTAAAATATTGTAACTCAACGGATCTATTGTTCCTCCCGAATTAATCTTATCTTATATACAGAGGTGACACTACGGCTTTCTTTTTCGGCAAGTACACAAGATGGCTTAAACTAATGTTTGTTGAAATATAAAGGGTAGATAAATCTCTAGGGGAAGACTTCGCGAATGCATGACTCACATCTTTACTCATAGTCATTATGGAAGACAAGGGTAAAAGTAAAGCAATGACAAATGAAGATGAATTATCTTCTATAACTTCTTCAGTGGCCAGTGTTGTGTCTAGAGATGCAGAACCAATCCCTATTACTTCAGGGAATGCTCCTGAATTTAATAGCAGTAGAAGACGATCATCATTAGCATCCTTAGGGTCCTTACTTCATACATTAAGTGGAACATCATCAACTAGCAATTTGTCAAGATACACCACGGATCAGTATTTGGTAGATAACATTTATGAAGGTTTAAACCAAGATGCAATCAATTTGCGTAGAACTGCAACTAGAAACACTATTTTAGAGACCATGACCCATCGTGTGGATCTGGTAAAGCAAACAACAGAGCATGATATAGAGAAAGTAAAATCACCTGAAATCTTAGACGAAGAAGAAAATATATATTCAGTTATACCAGATGTTTCAGCACCAGCGAAGGACTTTGGAGGAGAGTTTAGTCAACTAGACCCCGAATTGATTTCATGGGAAGGACCTGATGACCCAGAATATCCTCGAAATTGGTCTCGTGCAACTAAAATCCATCAAACATTTATTGTTGCTCTATATACTTTAATTTCACCAATGTCTTCCAGTGTATTATCTCCAGCAATGGGTGCTATAGCAAAAGATTTTGGCATTCATGGTTCATTTCTTGAAGCATTCACTGTTTCTATTATGGTTCTCGCATGGGCATTGGGCCCTTTAATCATTGCCCCAATTTCTGAATCTGATTCAGTTGGTAGAAAACCTGTTCTCAACGTATCAATTTGGATTGTTTTCATTTTCAATTTAGCCGCTTCATTTTCTAAGCTGACAGTTCAATTGTGTGTTTTCCGTTTCCTTGCGGGACTTGGAGGTTGTGCACCACTTAATGTTGGTGCTGGATGTTTATCAGATTTATTTAGTGATTCGGATAGACAATTGGCCATGGCATTTTATTCAGTTTGTCCATCGATTGGTCCAATTATTTCCCCCATTATATCTTCATTTATTTTGCAAGGAGGTCTCAAATGGAGATGGTGCTTTTGGGTCTTAACTATTTTCAATGGTGCTGTCGCAGTTTATGGTACCATATTTTTTACTGAAACATATTCACCTCGTCTTTTGAAGGATAAGGCCAAGAAGTTGAGGAAAGAGACCAATAATGAGCATTTACATACCATTTATGAAATGACCAATGGCGGGGAAACAATGTTTGAGAAATTCTTACTTACAGCCACCAGACCAATATATTTATTAGCTACCAACCCTATGATAAGTGGATTGGGTTCATTTATGGCTTTTGTTTATGGGTTTATGTATTTGATGATTGTTACGTTCCCCACAGTTTTTGGTGTTGGATATGGATTCAAAACTTCGATTATGGGGTTAATGTATTTACCTTTAGGACTTGGGTTTATTATTGGAACTGCATTTTGGACTGTTATGATTGATAAAGTGTACACTAGTAAAAAGGCCAAGAATGGCGGGGTAGCAAAACCAGAATTTAGATTACCATGTCTTGTATTTAGTGGGGTTGGAGTACCAATAGGACTTATATGGTATGGATGGTCTGCTCAAAAACGATTACATTGGATTATGCCTGCACTTGGAATGGGTATATTTGGATTTTTTTTTGTTGCAGTTTTCCAAACTATACAAAATTATTTGATTGACATGAACAATCGATTTGCTGCTAGTTCTGTTGCAGCAGCTGCCGTATTCCGGTCGATTTTTGGGTTTGCATTCCCTTTGTTTGCGCATGCAATGTATTCTAAATTGAATTATGGTTGGGGGAATACAATGTGTGCCTTAATTGGATTGGCTTTAGGAATCCCATTCCCATTATTTTGTTTGGCATACGGAGAGAGGCTAAGAGGATGGGCTAACACACGGATGGAGAGAGACCAAGCTATTAGAGACAAGAAGAAGCTTGAAAGAATTCAGAAGGACGTTAAGGAAGATTAAATTGTGTAATAATAATAATATTATTTTGGTTTTTTGTAGCACAAGATGGATGTGAAACGTTTTCTGTATGCACTACAGATTATAGTTTACTTATCGCACATAGAATACTATGCTAGGTGACACCTTTTTTAAGAGTGTGACAGGGGTAGTAGTGCACAATAAAGAGTATAGCCTAGCTTGGTCTTCAATAGATGAGTGAAAGATATACGACAGCAATACCAAGAAGTTGTTTTTACTACGAGGTCGTCTTAAAAATAGAATGCACTATTACCTCAACAAAGCTGTCATGATTAATCATGCATAAAGTCACAAACACAATGATTTACAATTTGTCCGAGAAAACCACCACCTCCTGTTCCCCTGATTCTCCGCGAAATTCTCCACCGACAAAAAGAAACTTCCCATTTCATGCTAACTCTCCGACCAACTCCCCCCCCCCCGTCCTTTATTCGGCATCGCTATTCGCCTACTTTCATTTCCAACGCCTAATACGGTAGTGGATCACATCGTATTCTATTGTTTTAAAATTTTTTTTATAAGCAAGCGCCGCCTCATCTGCCAACAGTTACCCACCCGCCTCTTCCCTCTCGTAGGAGTAGTTGCAGTAGATGCGATTCAATATTTTATGTGACCGATGACCATTTTTTGTCACACTGTAAAATTACTAATAATAATAATAATAGTAATATTCTTTATATATAAGCGTAGATCATCTCTGAATAAAAAAAAGCTGTACTCGATAGCCGGTACCACCTTTATTCAGTATTCCATTTCTATATCATTACCATGACTGACTACTATTCATATGAGAACATTGTTCCAAGCTTCCGTCTAGACGGACGTTTAGCCATTATTACTGGAGGTTCTGGAGGTTTGGCTTCTGTCATTAGTAGAGCTTTAGTGGCCCAAGGTGCAGATGTTGCACTTGTTGATGTTAATTTAGAACGTACCCAAGCAGCCGCCAAAGAAGTTAATGCCTGGGCCGTTGAAAATCAAAAACACTGGGCTTCTACATCATCATATATTCCAAAAGTATCAGCTTGGTCTTGTAACATTGGTGATGCCATTAATGTTGAAACCACTTTCTTAGCCATTAACACAGAACATGATAACATAGCTGATCTTTTAATTAACACAGCAGGTTATTGTGAAAACTTTGCAGCTGAAGATTATCCACCAACCAATGCCGAAGCTATCATGAAAGTTAATGGGTTGGGTTCATTTTATGTGTCTCAAGCCTTTGCTAAACCATTGATTCTTAATAACAAAAAAGGTTCCATTATTCTTATTGGTTCAATGTCCGGTACCATTGTTAATGATCCTCAACCTCAATGTATGTATAATATGTCTAAAGCTGGTGTTATTCATTTGGTTCGTTCGTTGGCTTGTGAATGGGCAAAATATAATATCAGAGTCAATACTTTATCTCCTGGTTACATTTTAACTCCATTAACCAGAAACGTTATATCCGGTCATACAGAAATGAAAGATGCATGGGAATCAAAGATTCCAATGAAGCGTATGGCTGAACCAAAGGAATTTGTTGGATCCATTCTTTATTTGGCCAGTGATTCTGCTTCAAGTTACACAACCGGTCATAACTTGGTGGTTGATGGAGGTTATGAATGCTGGTAAAGTTTTTTTCTTTACATACTGAATCGTTTAGTAATGGTGTTGTTTGGTTATATTAATATACTTATTTATTTTCTTCTTTATGGTTCACTATCTTTAATCAAGCGAGAATTCTCCCACATCCTCATTAATGCCTTTTTAAATAAACTAACGTTATAATCAACAATTCTTAATGACTTGTCCATTGATTCAACCTCATCACTCCTAATCAATGCCACAAGTGCCAATCCTCTAATCATTTGTCGTAAGTACAACACAAATCCATTGGATAAATGACTTATACTTTTCAATTCAGATTGATTGGATTCATCATCATTATTAGTATTAACATGAGCTTCACCATTTAATTGTCGATGCTTATCACTTTCCAAATATAAATCATCTAAATCAATAGTCATATCAATAAATTCAGCACAAACTTCATATGTTTGAATATCAACAGGCAGTGAATCTGTGGCCACATAAATTTTCAGATTAACATCAAACAAAAATACCTTATCAATATTCAGATGACTAACCACATTATCCAACATATTTTCCAAACTTGAAAGTTCAGGGATAAGCTTTTGCACTATCCTACTGAATGCTTCATAAATAGAATGATCAAAAATTGAAGTTAAATAAAAACTTACTTGTACCCCTTCTAATCCTAAGTCTAAAAGTTCATCACCTGTTCGTTGCATTATATCTCTTTGAGCATCAATTCTATAATCTTCACTTAACCCATCGATTTTATGAATTAGTACTTCAATGTTGATCTTTGGATTCACTTTATAAGCATATTCAATAATCATAGATAGATTTGTAAGTGCATTTAAATATTCATCTTGACTATCAATAACGTAGACTAATGCACCAACCAGACTAAATAATCTTTCAGAATCATAATTGGGTTCAAAATAATTCAACTGACCTGGTAATTCCATAACACTCAAATCTATTAAACTTGAAAACTGTTCACTTTGAGGTTTAGATGTCGATTCAAGATAAAGAGTATCTAATGGTTGCATGTTATGAAACACAACCTTACATATAGACAGTTTCCCACCTCTCCTAAGTCCCATAAGTAAAATCGTAGCATTGGTATTACGTGGATTCCGTGTATAGATATTATCCTCCATAGTTATTATTCTATATGTTTGTATGTATGGTGATCACCTCAGTCTACTCTAACCTATCGTCGTAAGACGGGAGTTTAGGTCCACAATTGCCTCTCCTAGTCGACCGATCGGGTAGCGCACACAATAGTAAACCAGAATACAGTAACGCTATAGCAATCATATAATAACGTATAAAGCAATTACATAATTATGGTCTTAATCTACGAGGATCTCTTGGGAACAAAGATGCACGACGAATGTTCTTCAAATCCAAAAAGAACATGACCACTCTTTCTAAACCAATACCACCACCAGCATGAGGAGCACATCCATAAGTAAAGGCATCAACATATTCTTGTAAACCAGGAACACCTTCAAAGGCAACTTCATGAGCATTCAATCTTTCCTTCAATAAAGTAGGATCATGGATACGTTGAGCACCAGATAAGATTTCTTCACCTCTCATGAAGAAATCATAAGAATTGGAATAACGAGGATCCTCTGGATCAGGCATAGTATAAAATGGTCTAATGGCAAGGGGGAATTTATCCAATATGTAGAAATCAGTATTATACTTTTCCTTAACCAATTTACCCAATAACTTTTCATTTTCAGTGGATAAATCATCAAAATCTCCAACATCCTTACCAGCTTCTCTTAATAATTTAACACCTTCCTTGAAATGCAATCTAACCATCTTACCATCAGCTGGAACTTGGAATTCTTCCACTGGATATTGCTTACGAACAGTAGCGATTTCCTTACCATATCTGTTCTTCAATTCACCGAAAATGAAAATGAACAATTGCCCTAAAACTTCAAGAACTTCATCGTAATGTTCTTCAAAAGCCATTTCCAAATCCAATCCAATATATTCAGTCATATGTCTATGGGTGTTGGAGTTTTCAGCTCTGAAAACTGGAGCAATTTCGAAAACCTTTTCGAAATCAGCTGCAATCAATTGTTGCTTATAAAATTGAGGAGATTGAGCCAAGAAAGCCTTAGTCTTGAAGTAACTAACTTCGAAAACATTGGCACCACCTTCGGATGCAGCACCAATGATTTTAGGAGTATGGATTTCAGTGAAACCCTTGTTGCTCAAGAACTCTCTAAACAATTCACATACACCACTTTGGATCTTGAAGATAGCTTGATTGGTAGGGGTTCTCAAATCAATAACACGAGCATCTAAACGGGTATCCAAGTTAACAACAGGTAAGCCCAAGTTGGTGGCTTCTTCTTCACTTCTGGAAGCATCCTCAATCAAAAGAGGTAATTGTTCAGGAGTTTCAGAAATGGAATAAAACTTTGTGACTTGGATTTCAACGTCTTGAACAGTAGCAGATTTAATTGGAACTTCAACCTTTCTTACAATACCGTGTACAACAACAATTGATTCCAAATTAAGACTACTAGCCCACTTAACAAAGAATTTGGATACTTGTTGACCATCAACTTTAAGTAAGGCTTGAATCAAATCAGATTGCTGTCTCAAAGCAACGAAAAGCATGGTAGCACCTTGTTGTCTTGAGTTATGGACTCTAGCTCTGAAAACTACTTCTTCTCCATCATTAGCAGCTGTTAAGGTATTGAATTTAACTCTTTGAATACCTGATTTAACAGATGAATTGATTAGTGGTAGCTTACCGAAATTATCTTTTGCTGGATCGTTGGCAGCTTCAGCAGCAGCAGCAGCTTCCTTTTCAGCCTTTTCTTTGGCCAACTGAGCTTCTCTTTCAGCCTTCTTCTTGGCCTTTTCTCTTTCCTTCTCCAACTTCTTCAATGCCTTTTTAGATAATGGTTGACCATCTTCACCTAAGATAACAGGTTCAGTACCTGCAGGGTCAACTACAGCCAAGTTTTTAACTTCCTCAACAGGTGGTTGGGGAACAGACATCTTGTAGCGTAATGTTAAATTAAACAGTGGAGAGGGAAAGGAAATATACTAATTTATTAAAATTTTCATACTTCCCAAAGTACGGTATACAAATGGATATACTATCACGTGACCTATGAATCATCTGATCGTAACCTCTACAGTTATATATGTAAGCTTAATTCTAAAATTTGTGAATGTCGATCCTATTGGACCTCTTCCTTTGCTTCCTTTGCCCTCTTCTTTAATTCTCTAATTTCTTCTCGTTTAGCCAATCCCAATTGCATTTTACGAAGTCTGCGTTCCTCTCTTGTTTCCTGTTTAGAAGTCAGGTGATTAACACCGTCTGATGATAATGAAAGAGCAGCTATGGCTTGATGCAACTGATTCATCTTTCTAAAGTTCTCTTTAAACCGATCATCAGAGAGCTTAGTGAGTACCTCCAAGTAATCACGTGTGACGAAAGACACCAAGGACCCCAGTGATTCTTCAAGGTATCCAAATGGAACATCTAATTTAATTGAGATTCTAATGGCTACAACATTATTACTACCAATCCCACTTTCTCTGAATCCGCAGTTCATAGCTGTGGTGTATAATGCTGTAGCCAGTTTGGTATCACGACACTTGACATGTAGAATCAAAGGTTCATATTTGTATAAAAGATATCTGGTATTTGGTGTGAGTTCTTTGTAGTTTTGATCTTGGTATATAAACTTAACATTGTCATACCATAAGGGAAGCTCATCAGGATCATGAGTAACAAATACCCATCTCCCTTCATACCCCTTAGCACCTATTTGGGCCGTAGTGTCTTCATTATGTTTAATACCTTCAAGAAACACGGATACTCTTCCTGAACATGAACTGGTGGTTACATAGTTTGGGTTCCCATTAATCTCATTAATTATAGGAATACAAAAAATATCAATGGTACCTTTAGGAGACGCATCAAGATGTGATTCACTATTTGCCCCTATTTCCTTTAGAATGTGATCCTTCTTCTGATCAAATGCATCCAACATTGTATCTGCCAGTTGTACTGTGGTGTAAGTATACTGTGGTGTATTTAAGTAGTTGATTCACCCCATGTATTTTTCAAAGGTCATCGCACTCATTAAATTCTGGTGATACCAGAGACATAAGAATATATATTAAAGCCTATTATATATACATATGTAATTATCTCAATGCCGTTAGCAATTTCTGCTCATCCTCCTTGGTGAAACTAAATAATGTCTTCACGACTGGAAGAAGTTGTTCTCTCTGATCTTTATGTTCAATGAAACCTAAAAGAACATTCTTAAGGTATGCTACATTAGTGCCATTGGACTGTTCACCACTAGAAGATGGGGATTGTTTCTCTATAGGATTCAGAACAACGCTCAGAGCTCTAGATCTGGAAGCACCATACTTCTCCTTAAGATCTCGGTACTCAACTGTAAGCGACTTATAGTTCTTACTGAGTCTTTCAAATTTCATATTTGATTCTTCATTAAGCTTTCGCAACACCAAATTCATCCGCTCAACTTCCTTTAGTTTCTTGGATGTGCTCTGTAACGATTCTCGAAGCGTGCTAATGGTTTCTTCTATGTTTTCAGAGTCAGAGAATGGACCAGGACTTGGCAGCGCTTCCATTTCGGATTCCAATGCTTTATGCTTCAATTGTAGCTCTCTATAATTATTTTCCAATGTCTTTAACTTCTTGTTGTTTTCTGTCACAGAGCTTTGAAGTTCATCAACTTCAAGTTGCTTACGTTTCAATAACAGTTTAGATTTATCTTCAATTGTAAGTCTTTCGTCATTGAGTTTCTTGATCTCAGTCTTGAATTCTAATTCTTTCATCTCTAACAAGGATTGTGATTCAATCAATAGTTTCCTAATCGAGGATGCTTCCTTTGAACGGGCATGAAGAGTGCTTCTAGCTTCAGTTAATTCATCTTCAAGATTATCAAGTTTCATTTGTGACTCTCTTGCTTTCATAGAAAGTTCCTCAAATTGCTGCTTAAATATCTGAGTTTCATCCTTTGAATTCAATCTTTCATTCTTCAATGATTCATGCTTGGCTTTTAAACTTTCAAGCTCAACAGCAATCTTTTGCTTTTCGGTTTGATATTTATTTAATTGAGTGTTCAATATAGACTCTCTTTCAATGTACGTTTGTTGTTTCTTCAAAAGCTCATTCTTATCAGTACCCAATTCTCTATTCTCTTCTCTCAATCCAATATTCTTTTCACCAAGCAGTAAAAGATCTTCCTTCAAGCTATCTTTCGATCTTTCCAATTCTTGAATTTGGGATTTCAACTCAATGACCATCTTCTCTTTAAGCTCAACACTGGTCTTTAATGAGGCAAGTTCAAGTTTAAGTGAGGAATCTTGACTCTTGAATTTAAGAAGCTCATCAACTCGATTGGAAAGTGTATCCTTTTCCTTTTGTAAGACTAAAATTTGCTTACTCTTTTCCTCAAGTTGTTTTGTAACTTGGTTTAGCTTTGAAGTAGATTCTGTCTTATACTTTCTTAATTCACAAAGTGATTTATTGCTAGTTGTAGCTTCCTTCTCCAACGTAGTGATTTTAGATGTGAGAGTTTCAATGTCTAAAGATTTCTCTTTAAGAATCTTATTTATAGATGCCTTCTCTGCATCTAATTTCTTTTGAACCTGAGTAAATTTCTCCACCTCTTTGCAAGAATCATTGTAAGATTTTGTTAACTCGTCTACCTTGAGTTTCAAGCCATCAACTTCAGTTGTATCAGGTTGTTTCTCTTCATAATCTTTTAGCTTAGTTTGTACATCATTATAAGATTTTGACAAATGTATAATTTCCTTTCTTAAAGTATCAATTTCAGTTGTATCGACAGACTTTTCTTCGGATTCTTTAAGCCTTTGTTGCACAACGTCATGAGACTTCTTCAACTCTTCAAGTTCTTTCTTCAAAGAGTCAACTTCTGTGTTATCAGCAATTTTGAGTTCATACTCTTTATGCTTTTCCTTGGCATCCACTAAATCGGAGCCAAGATCTCTCAAATCATCTCTCAACAGTTCTATATCTTCTTCTTTTGAGTGCAAGTTTGATCTAAGTTCCATAATTTCTTCTACAAGAGATGTCTTTTCTTTAGAGAGCAGTTCATAGTTAGAACGCACATCTTTAAGCTCACTTTCCAACGCCGTTTTTTCTTCTTCAACATTCTTTAATTTTGTGTGAATAGCTTCATAATCTGAAGTTAAACTATCGAATTTAAGCTTGAGATCATTATCAACAATAGAACCTTCTTTTTGAGTTTCTTGAATTTGGTCAACTGCCTTCTTCTTATTCTTCTTCTTCTTCTTGGAGGAAGTAATTTGAGAAACCTCATTAATTGGTGCTGGTGCTGCTGGAGAAGGAACATTCAGTTTATCCTTAACCGATTTTTGCAATTCTTCCAACTCAGAGTTCTTCTTGGCTAATTCCGCAGAAGATGTAGACTTATAATCTGTAAACAGAGCTTCAAGCTTGGTTAATTCGTCTTGTAAAATTTTATTTGTTGACTCCAATTCCACCTTGAGTTTCTCCAAGCTAGATTTATCACCTTCAAGATCCTTTATAACACTATTAGACTTTTCCAAAGATAATTGTACATTGGTTAATTGGCTTTCAAGTTCAAGTAATTTATCACTGCCGTCATCTTTGGAGTGGAGATCTTCCAATTGTTGATTTTGATGTGCCAGTTCTTTTTCCAATTCCAGAACTTTTAATTCCAATGCTTCCTTTTCTTTAGAAAAGTCTAGTATTTGATTTTTTGAATCTTCTTCCAATTTATCAGCTTTAGAAACCAATTGTTCATTATCGTCCTTTAATTTAGTCAATTCTTGTACCTTCAAGTCATGTTCCTTTTGTAGCTCATTAAACTTAGTCTTAAAATCTTCAAAATCTTTCAATAAAGTTTCATGAATTTTATTAAGGTCTTCAAACTGACTTTTAAAATCTATTTCTTGATATGGATGATGCTCTTTTTCATTCAATTGCTCAATTTCTTTCTTCAAACTATCGATTTCTTTATTTTTTAAATCAGTCGTAACTTTCAAATCATGTTGAATCGACTCAATTTCTTTAGTCAGCAAATGCCATTTCTCTTCAAAATCTTTGGAAATTGTTTGGATATCATTCAACTGTTTACTTTTGGACCGTAGTTCTCCATTTAATAACTGCGTTTTCTCATTCAAACCTTCAAGATATTCAATGAGCAAGCCACCATCTGCAATACTCGTAAAGGGAGTACTTTCTTGTAAAGCTTTCTCGAACGATGAAATCAATTCTGATTTCCGTTTTTCGGTCTTATATGCTTCCAATAACACTGGATACTTCTCTTCATATTTAAGAAACTTTCTCATCTTAGGTTTCAAATCAGCAGGGATCTCATCAAAATTAAGGCCCGTATGACCATTGACACTTGATGATGATGTTGTAGAGTCTTGTGGTTCGCCATCATTTGTATGTTCCCCAGTTTGTTCATCATTTGACTCATCTTTTGGTTGTTGCATATCATTGGGATCCGGAGTCTTAGTGGCAAAAACCTTAGACTCTCGCTTGAATGTTTTGATGGCTTCTTTGGAGGTATTACTTGTAGGTGATGAAACTGTATTGGGGTTGGGATTATTGGTGGCTGATCTGATCTCATTGTTGAGTTCATTCAATCCTTTGGCCACATCCTCAGAAAAACTCTTGAGTCTATTGAACATTATGCTTTGATACAAAACATACAACTTATGAATGTACCCAGGTATGAGTTTTAACCTCCAATTGACTGGTTAAAGAAGTTGATGACAAGTTCTACCTTGGCTTTGGGCTCGTTCGTATGGGTGTTAGTATTTACGGTGTGAACACGACCGTGATTTATAGCCTCTAATCACTGACCAGGAGTAGATAATACCGTAGTAGTAGTGGTCTTATCAACAGACAGTGACTGATAATGTCGTACATCCAAGATATCAAGACAACACTTACGAAGCTAGGAGTGTATGTGGATCAACTTGAAAACGACATAGAAGAAAGAGACCGGTTGGTTCATGTACTTTTACTTTCGCCATCAAGTAATGACAATAATGATATGATAAATTTGATGATTAACTTGGAAAAGTACTTTACATACCTACAAGACGATCTTTTACGAAAACGTAACATCAGAGATGAAAGCATCTTACAGGAATTCAAGTCCCTTGTTAAAAGATATGAACAGGCCTTGGAATATTTTATAACTGATGCAACTATTGATATTAGTGAATATAAATTTGTTAGTAAGGAACTCTCATTAACCAAGCCTGAAGCAATAGAAACCAGTATCATTGAGCCAAGTTCGAAATCGGTTAGGTTTCAAGATGAAGTGGAATATCAAGAAAGTCGTAGTGATTTAATGGGGACTCGAACTTTTAACAATGTTTATAGTGATTCAGAGTCATTTGATAATACTAATAACCAACAATTATTTGCACAACATCAACAAGCACTACTACAACAAGATGAAGACTTGGACATATTGCATGAATCTGTTAGACGACAACATTCCATGGGAGTAGTAATAAATGAAGAATTAGATGATCATCTTATCATATTGAATGATCTCGAACGGGGGGTTGATCAATCCCAGCTCCGACTAGGATCAGCTGGGAATAGACTAAGAAGCTTCCGTCAAAAGTGTAAGGAGAATGGAAGTATGATCACAATTGTGGTATTAACCATTATTCTTGTACTTTTATTAGTAGTATTGAATTAATGTCCGGGATACGAATTGAGGATATATATATATATATATATACACTTATATATAAATACTAAACGAGGGAAGATATATTTCAAATAAGGTGTATCAAAAGTTAAAGTCATCATTTTCTTCTTCATGCTCACTGAAGAACCAAATAAATACAATGATATCAATGTATACTATCAACCCCCCAAGTATACTCATGACAGTAGATCCTAATTCTATCAATCGACAATGATATAACGTTATGGGTAAAGCCACTCCACTAACAATTAATAGCCCTGTAACATACTTACAGGCTTCTTCAAACGTAGAAGGACTATTATCATTATTAAACGTTAAAAAGTTATCTCTATGGTATTCCACCGACAGTCCAATTATATTTGGTAAAGGTGCTATTAAGAAGATGAATATTACCCATAATGGTTTCCAGTTATCCCATAGAGCACATGAAAGTAATATCAACAAAAATCCCGTTGCTAGAAAAGCCGATAAAAATATGATCTTATTCAATGGATTCATCCTTGCCTTGGAATCAGCTTATATAATGATGGCAAACTATATTTATATTGTTGTTTGGTGCCAGCCATGTAGTAAGTCATTTCTGGAGGGGGTTGTCAAAAATTGCCAGTGATAAAAAAGTCGTGCATGGATTAAAAAGGGTAAACTGAAGAACTGTTATCATCATAATAATATATTCATTTCAGACATAGACAAGTTATTTATTTACATGTATGGAGCTAACAATTGCTCCAAAAAATAAAAATAATAAAAATTCACCAGTTGATAAAACGTGACCATCTTAATCTCTCCAAAACCATCCAGAAGATCTCTCCTCTTTTGAATCTCCCTTTACAATATCTTCCTTAACAGTATCCCAACTAACTGCACCAAATGGTTTAGTCTTAGTGATGTTTTTAGTCACGGTAGAACCATCGGAAAAATATTCTGTTTTAACTTCATTCAATTCCACTTGGTTAGTTTCAGAATTGGAGTTATAAGTTGATTGAGTTGAAGATGAAACAATAACAGGTGGTTCATTTGATTTTTCAACAGTTTGTTGTTGCTGTTTATTTTCATTCAAATACTTCTCTCTTTGAGCAATCCATTGATTTCTCCTCTGTTGTTTATCTCTCTTAACATTTTCATACATGATATTCTTCCAATTCAAAAAATCATCAAACTTGGTGAAAAATTTACCCTTATCACCCAAATCAATTGGAGAAGAGTCCTTTAAAGAAATCCCTTCATCTGCAGCAGCCTTTTCCAAATCTTCCTTGGTTAAAATCTGTCCAGGTAAATATCTGTCCTTATAATTCAAATATTTGACTTCAACTTCACGTTGAGGGAAAAGACATCTCCAGTATCCATTACTATCCCAAACACTTTGACCCTGTTTATCCAAACAATCATTATAAGCCCTAGTTGAAGGGTTCCCAAAAGAAAAATATCCAAATGGAGTTTTCCCCCTAGAAAACCCCCCCATAAATTCCTCTCCTTCCTTTCCAAAAGCTGATTGGAAAAATCCCCGGAAGGGTACGAACCCAGTGTCTTTGGCGATATCTGTGGTGGATTTAGAATTGAAACGATTATTTTCATCTCTCAGTTCATAGGGAGGAGGAAAGAATTCATCCAACTTTCTTCTTCCTTCATCTTGAGCACGGGAGATTTCACTTTCCAACTTATCCCAATTCTTTTCGTGCCATTCATCAGCCATATCATGCCAACTCCTCATACTATTGGCACTATAATCAAACATTGACTTTGCTAAAGTACCAAAACTATTAGCAAACTCATAAGCATCATTCCTTACTTTATCGTAATCGGAATTGTCTGTAGTAGCCTCATTATTGTCAATTACTGCGGCATCCTCTTGATTTTCATTTCTTCTGCTTCTGCGGCTTGATCCAAAACACATTTTGGTAGTCTATGGTAAAGACCTGTAAAGGGTGACTTCGCTTGTCTGGTTCATGGCTATACTCATTTATATATTCGTACTGAGTTGGCCACCCCCTTCATGAGGAAGACACACGACTTTGCCACCATCATCTGGTTGCCAAAATTTGGGGACTACCAATTGTGGAGTGTACACAAAAATAGTATACTCCAACATCACTTACAACATTTGGAACGTATTAATGCTATATTAAATCAAGGTCAACAAGTATATACAAAGCTAAAACGAAAACCCTACAAATATTTATAAACAAGACCGGATGAAAAGAACTGAGTGAAACTAAAGCAAATCAAAATAGTTGGAAAGAATAAGAAATATCGACTCGGAATCTCTATTATCGAGTTCGAAAGAATAGAACCATGAGATCAACAACATAAAACTGTTACCTACCAGTTTCTTTGACCAAAGTTGTTGTTGTTCGTATTATTGTTATTGTTATTGTTATTATTATTGTTATAACCTCCTTGGTTGTTTTGGTGACCGTAAACCTGGCGACGATTGAACTGATAGCCATGGGTATTATTATTATTATATGAATGACCGTTATTATTATTATTATTATTAGTAGTTGTAGTTGTAGTATTGTAGTTATGATAGTTGTGATTTCCTGACCCTCTTCTTCTGGATACTGGAGGTGAATACCGATCAAATACTTTAGGAGATGAAACCCGCATGTCTTTGTTTTGTTGAACTTGAAGATATTGTTGCTGTTGCTGTTGCTGTTGCTGTTGCTGTTGCTTATGTCTTTGGGTAATAGCTTGAATCTCAGACAACCTTTTATTCATAAGTAACTCTAATGATGTCAAATTCGCCATAAGCTCAACACCAGTAGAATTAACACCCACATTCTTTCTTTTCCCTTCAGATCCAGCTCCTAAGATGGCAGGTAGAAATTCCATATCAGACTGAACTTCAAATGACTTATGCATATAAAATTGATTGTTAACACTCTTGAATAATAATTGTTGGGTGGTATTCTCATCGGTTGTATTCTCGTATCCTTTTCCCCCACCAAAGACACCATTGTGACTTCCTCCAAACGTATTCCTCAGCACTCCCCGCAGTTCTATCATGTTATAATTCCCCTGTTGAAGATGAAAAGCAGTCGATTGTCATCAGATCATTGCAGATCTTATGGTATAAAGGTTTATAGCCATCTTAAAATTTTTCAGATCGCGAAGACCCCACAAAATCAAGTTGGTGTTCGGGGGTGCAAGTTAGAGCATTTCAGCAGTGAAATATATCCATGGAAGAGTTAACGCAAGAGATTCACTCCCTGACTATAAGGATGATATCTTTGCGTATCCGACTTGTAAACCCCACTACAATATCACGGCATTACTCTAAATTTACTTTAAAGAAGAAGAAGACGAAGAAGCAGGGAAATATCATTGAAACCACATCAGTTCAGCCTACTAGCCCAGCAAGAACAAGATTTGCTCCTTCACCCACGGGCTATTTACATCTTGGATCATTAAGAACAGCGTTATATAACTATTTGCTTGCTAAGAGTACTGGAGGACAGTTTCTTTTACGATTGGAAGACACAGACCAAAACCGTCTTGTGGAAGATGCAGAACAAAACATCTATGATAGTTTGAAATGGACAGGATTGACCATTGATGAAGGACCTCAAGAAGGTGGACCTTATGGACCTTATAGACAATCTGACAGGAAAGAGATTTATCAGAAATATGCACAGATGTTACTTGAGAATGGGCAGGCTTATTATTGTGGATGCTCCAAAGATCGATTACTAAAGTTAAGAGAATCTGCTAGTAAGCTTCAACCTCCAACAACAGTAACTTATGATAGGAAATGTCTACATGAACTAATTCATACTGACGAAGACCATGACCATGTGATCAGGTTTAAGTCCCCTGATGTATACCCCGAGTTTACTGATCTATTACATGGGAAACTTAACATGCAACCTCAATATAACCATTCGGATCGTCGATATGATGACTTCGTGATCATGAAATCAGATGGGTTACCAACGTACCATTTTGCCAATGTTGTTGATGACCACCTTATGAAGATAACTCATGTCATCCGAGGTGAAGAATGGTTGCCTTCTACTCCCAAACATATTTCATTGTATAAGGCATTTGGATGGTCACCTCCCCAGTATATCCATATCCCATTACTTACTTCATTAGAAGATAAGAAGCTATCCAAACGTCAAGGGGATATAGGGATTCTTAGTATGAAGGAGAAGGGCATCTTACCAGAAGCACTTGTAAATTTCGTTTCCTTATTTGGATGGTCACCTCCTCGGATCCAACAAGGTGTATCTTCAAATGAGACCATGTCATTAACGGAGATAGTGCAGAAATTCTCATTGGATAACTTAACTAAGGGGAACGCCAAAGTTAATGATTCAAAGTTATATTTCTTCAACAAGTATCATTTACATAAACGGTTAAACGATCCACAACAATTACTGTTAATAGTAGAGCAATATTTACCCAAGTTCCAAGCAATCTTGGGTGAGCAATCGATAATATCATCTGAAAGATTAGAGTACCTATTGAAATTGTTGGGTCCTAGTTTAACTACTGTTGATGACTTATTGACTACCCATTCGTATCTATTTGAATTGAAGACTCCCCCCCCAGACACGCCACCACCGAAGCACTGCTCAGAAATCATCTCCATGTTCTTACAGTCTTCTTCCACTGACTTTAATACTAACTGTAAGGAAATCCTAGACTCAAACCCTGAACTCACCAAAAAGGAAATCTTTCAAGCTGTACGGTATGGACTATCAGGTGGAGTCTCAGGGGTAACCATTCCCGTATTGATTGACATTTTAGGTGAAGAAGAATACAGGAGAAGACTAAACGCTTGTATATAGTCATATATATGCATTTATATATATAACGATGCTATATTTTCCAGTTGGCAAAATCCATAAAGTCTATTGTACTTGAATGCCTTTCCGGTGGTTGGAGAAACTTACCACTGTAAACGCAATGGACTCTCATATCTTCATCATAATAAAGATTGGTCAATAGTTTAGGAGTAACAAGAATATATTGAGAACTAATCGCTCCTGAACACGTTTCCACCAAGAACTTATGGGCCATTCTTTCATTATTGGCATCCATACCTTGATTAATCTCGTCAACTATTCTAAAGGGAGCATCAGTTAATCCATGAAGCGACATCATAAATATGATTGTAGATATGGCTCTTTCACCTCCAGATTGAGATCGATTATCTAAACGTTTCAAATCGGCTTCTTGCCGAAATCTAACCAAAATGTCCAATGACCAATCCTTATATTTGTCTTCTTTAGTTAACACAACTTTCCCATCAATGGCTACTTTGGTGAACCTTTCATTGAATGCTAGTGATATCCCATTGACTAATTCTTCCAATTGAGGTTCCCATTGATTTCGTATCAAACTGATTTGATCCTTTAATTCGGTTTCTGCACTTTGTTTGGCAGGTATACTTCTATTCAATAATTCAATCTCTCGAAGCTTCTCCTTTAAAGTTCTAATAGAATTTTGATCCGCAGTGGATAAAAGTCTTCGTTGATCTTCAAAAGTTTTGATTCGATCACGTAAATAATTTTCAGTTAATGTTTGATTCGCCACATATTGTTGAGCCAATTCATCAATTCTTTGAAGTTGCTCCTCAGTGTATGATTCTCTTTCCTTTCGAATTTCAGCAATCTTCTCTTTCATTCCTAAACTATCAAACTTCCTTTTGGCTTCATCATATTCATGTTGTAAGTCAACTTTTAATTTTTCAACTTCAACTCTCATTTGTTGTAAGGCTTCAATTTGATTCTCAAATTTATAAAGCAATAATCTCGACCGATGTACCGAAATACCTTCTTCCATCACTTGCTTCGTGATATTGGCTTTCTCCAATCGTTTCCGTTGAAGTTTGATTTTTGACTGGACAATCTTATTATTAACGATCTTTATTTGTTCAAGATCAGAGCTTTCTGCTTGCTCCTTTAGCTTATCTATTTCTTCCTCCAATATTTTGATCCGAGAACTTAAAGTGTTCCTTTTTCTAATTAATTGTTGAACACTTTCTTCTTCTATTCTCAATTGATCTCTATCTTTTTTGGTCATCAGCAATTCTTGTTCTAATGATTGCATTCTAGTTGAAACCTCTTTGATAGCATCATTGGCTTCGTCTTTCCTTCTTGTTAACAGTTCAATTTGTCTGTTGATTCTATCTCTCACGTCATCACTAATACCTGGTTGCAACAAATCGGCCTTGGATGGAATGACTTCAGTAGTATAAAATAACTGTCTTCTACCATAAAATGATCTCTTCATGGTGTACAACGTATCTCCAGTTATGAATTTCATAAATGGAATCTTACCATTGACATCTGGTTCTGTCAACCTATTTAATTGAGCTTCTGATAACTTTTTGGTCGTGGCCGGTATTTGGTCTAATTTGGCATTCTCTTTAAGCATTCGAATAACAGGTTCTGGTCCATTAATGAAATCAGATAAATAACCATCAAATCCAAAATTTTTAACCATTTCTAATGACGGCAATGCTGCTGTTTGATTCAGAGACGATACTTTCCCCACTAACCTTCGAGGGAAATTACTAATACGTTGAATCATTGAAGATCCCTTCTCAAAGTCCAAAGAATTATCAAAAACAACGGCTTGTAATGAATTATTATCAACAACTTTTTCAATATATCGTGCATAAAGTTTACTTGAAACTTGACAAGATAATATAGGTGCTTCATAATAATTCCAATTTTTATTTGAAATTTGTCTTAATTTAGAATGCACTTGATAACATGCTCTAAGTTTTGAATGTGCAAGCTGGGGTAGTCTATCTTTAGAATGTAATTGGTTCTGTAATTTGGTCAATTCAATCCCCACTGACTTTAAAGTTTTCTGTGGTTCCTGCTTTTCAAATCGTAAGGAGTTTAATTGGGCCTCTATATCTGTTAATTCCAAGTCTCTTTTATTAATTTCTTCTCGTAACTGAGTACGTTTGTTTGGATCTATTTCTTCAAGACTTTCGAGTTTTGATTTGCAATCATCTCTTTGTCTTTTCACTTCAACAAGTCTTTTGGCAGCACTCTGCCCACGACTTTGTAACTCCACTTTCCTTTCCTCTAACTCAACTAATCTTTTATCGTAATCAGATTCTTCAGAACTTAGCTTAATCAAGGACTGATTCAAAGCTTCTAACTTCGTTTGCTGTTTGGTTAAGGCTTTAAAATGTTCCAGTTTTGCAGATTTAAGTGTATCTTCTTGTTCTATTATTGGTCCAATTGCAGAAGTTCCAAATTGATTTAATTTATTTTGAGCATCCTTTTTCCTCTGTTTGAGTTCTTTACTGGTCTTCTTCATATCTTGTAAAATGGCATAGGGAATTAAAAGTTTATGCACTTCAAGTTCTTTAGTTTTCTCTTGGAAATCCGTATACTTTTTGGCTTCTTCTTGTAATGCTTCTCCTTCTTCCTTTAATTTCAATAATTTGGCTTTATCTTCGTCTATTTCTTTAGATAATTCTCTAACTTGAGTATCAATACGAATTAAATTCTCATGCATTTGAAGCAATTCCCCATTCTTCATTGTTCGTTCAGTTTCTCTTAAAAGCTTATCAGCAGATAACGTTGCAAATTCAGCAACACGCTCCTGCGGTAGAAAATGACAAAGATTATCTAATTGAACGTTCAAACTCTTAACAAGTTGACGAACTTTAGTTTCTGATTGTAATTCACCATTTATCGTGTATTCTGAATCTTTCTCAGTGAAACTTCTCTTAATAGTTACCACTGAATCGTTATCATTGGCCGCTTTCAAAGTGATTTCAATCGTACCGCGTGTCTTCCCATTACGGATCATCGATTTCATGGTCTTTCTCTTAATAAGCTCTAATTTCCCTCCTAACCCTAAACATATGGCAGCAACAAGAGTACTTTTGCCAGTCCCATTGGGTCCCACAATCATATTCAATCGAGGTCCTAATTTGAATTCTCCGTAAGAATAAGTGGTGAAATCAGTAATAATCACTTTGATTATCAGACCAGCTTTATATTGTTCAAACCCAGATGATGTTGTTCGCTTTCGTTTAGTAATGAATGCTGATGAGACATCCAGATTAGATAACTTTCTTTTACCATTAGATACGTGTCCATTAAGTGCATGAGCATGGCCATTACCTTCAATACCATTGGGGATGTCTGAATCGACGTAACTCCTCAAGTCTCCCAATATTTCCATTTAGAGATCGATAAGGATGAGTAAACAATCAGATGCACAAGGCAAACATAAATGTATATAGAAATTGGATCGGGAAAATCGAAAGTGCTAAGTACGGAGTTCAACTGCTTAAGTAATATATATATATATTGAATAAATGCCTATTATACTTTGATTGTATACATAGGTTAAATGCCTTAGGGTATGAATCAAAAGGTTTGATTCGATCGGCGCTCCCAGATTCTCACGTGATTGAAAGTCATCACCAAGGCATATTAATTATACCTTAGTGATTCACATACACAAGTAAATACAGAATACACATCATTGTGTTAACCTAGATTAATAGTATAACGCAAGACTATAGTAATAACAGTTCTAGTAATTCTAGTATTATTGTTGTTCTAAATATTCCAAGGTCCGGTCACGTGCCAAATTAATTCAAAATATCCTGTGTAAAAAGCTTTCTGATCGTGAATCGAAAAGTAAACACTAGAAATAACAGTGAAACCAAAGCCGTTGTAGCTCATACGTTTACTTTTATGTTTACTATTAGTGATACTTAACTAGATAAAAGAATGGTATGTATTTAAATGTTGTTATATTTTTAGTACTATTACACGTGACAACCATGGATAGTAATCAAGATGGTGTAGTAACTACATTTTTATGAATACATGTACTAACAATAATGATTCTTCGTATAGTCACAGAACACCAAGACATATAAAGACGCGTTTGCTCTTTTTGACAAAAAGGGAACAGGTAAGATTCCTGTAGAACATTTAGGTGATTTGTTAAGAGCTGTTGGTCAAAACCCTACATTGGCTGAAATCAGTGATTTACAAGACTCCATAAAAGGTAGTGAATTTGATTTTGATACATATCAAGAAATTATCAATCGTCCAGGTGGGTTCAAGCCTTTAGGATTACCAGATGATTATATTAAAGGTTTCCAAGTTTTCGACAAGGATCATACTGGGTATATTGGTGTTGGTGAATTGAGGTACATTTTGACCTCAATTGGTGAAAAGTTAACTGATTCTGAGGTAGATGAATTGCTTAAAGGTGTTGAAGTTACTCCTGAAGGTAATATTGATTACGTTGAGTTTGTCAAGTCTATTTTGGACCAATAGTTGTATTTTTGTACTTGACCAGTTTATGGACCAATGAATGTGATATCCAAGAAAAAGTTGAAAGTAATATCTCTTAACTGTACTTGAAGTAGTAATCTTACTATAGCCATAATGTTATATTCTTAAATGCTTATTGTAATTCATGACTAGTTTGGCTACACGCACGATGGGGGCAGCACAAGCCACCGTTATCCCATTACAGAATAAAGTTGTGGTGATTGAAGCCAATGAAGACTTTGAACTATGCTATACCGTTCTACAAAAGGCTTCCAAAAGAATGTAGTTCACATCTGAAGGAGATGATACACCTGAACCGTCGCATGCTTGCAATGTCTATAGAGAGTTGGCAAGCCAAATCTTATCAGTATTTGAAACCCTACTGCAGTTGATGCTAAAAAAACCAGTATGCCTCCCATTACCAGGAATAGTAAACCGTCCAGCTGATTCCATCTTCTCAGGCTGAAGATCACATTACATATTTGCCAACCTAGTGAAAGAGAAAGAGCCACAAAGAGAACATATAACAAACTCTCATACTTATGTATACCTTATTGGTCTTCCTCATTGTTGCTAACTTCCGTCATTTTATGAGTATTTGCACTTGAGCATTTGTCAGTAGGTGCCTGTGGGAGTAGCATTGTCGGTGTTTCATGGGCACTTCTGCTTGCCTTCCGGAACCTTCACCTCTGGGAGTACAAACTTGTATTTGTGTTGGTTACAATAGGTTTCAAAAAAGACAGGTTATTCCCTTCATTTATGGTACGCCCCATAGTGGCTTGATAATTGGTGTGTTGATGAAAAGGGCTTTCTTGGCCAGGAATTCATCTTGAGCCCGTTAATAAAAAAGTTAACCAAAAGATATCTTAATTAAAAAGATATCGCAACATAAAGCCCGTCACACATGAAACATGACATTGGTGATCATATTTCGTATATTTATGAGTGGGGAGAAGGTTTTAGTCCCTTTATTGAATAATGTAATGTTTGATATGTTTGGCCAATTTTCAGCATTCAGCACTTGTGATTACGTAATGAAGATCTATAATGCGCACCACTGAGATTTCCAACTGATCATCACCATAGTAAGCTATTCAATGACAGACCAACTACAGATAACGTCTGAAGAGGATCTCAGACGTAATGAGAGGTTTCATTTATTTCCTCATGAACGAGTAGAAACCATGGCCCTTTTAGCGGCTTTGGTGGGAGGTGTATCTGGATTTTATGAAGGGACCAAATTAAGTTCACTTAGATATTTGACTGAGAATGGTCATAGATTACCTACTACAGTTGGAGGATGGTATTTCTATCATAAAAAGAAGAACTATGTCATGTTACTTAGTGGGATGAAGACTGGCTTAAAACATTCATTTCGATATTCTGTTTCAGTAACAAGTTTTTTTGGTTTGGAATGGATCTTGGATACTTATGTTCGTAGTGGTACTATAGATATGGCCAATACAACCATTGCTTCAATGATATCTGCCTTTGGGTATGCCAAATTAAATCATCTTAGTGCTATTCAAACACGTAAATATATGGGAAGAGGATTTTTATTGGGGTTGAGTTTAGGGTTTACACAAGATATGCTTATTTTCACCAGAGGTGGATACGTTTGGTATTTAGATAAACTTGGTATAAAAAATCCTCAAGCTGAAGCATCATTACTGTAAATAATCAAATGTATATATACCGACTGTCTATTAATGTACATAGTCTTAGTATTAAATGTATATTAATCATCCTCTTCATCTAAATCAGGCACAGGATAATTAAGTAAAACTGCTATACCAGTTAATTGATTCAATTGTTCCCCAGATTCATGCAAACTCAGAAACACTAAGGTCTCTCCTCCATTATTCTTCACAGCATCAGCCAATGCTATATAATGCTTTCTAACACCAATATCGTCACTACGGAACAAGGCATCAGCTATCATTAAATACTTTACAGCTCCCATTTCCACAGCACGTGCACACTCAGTAGGACCATACCAAGCTCTATCGTCATCTTCATTTAAAACTTTCTGGAAGGTTTCAAACACTGATGCCTCTTTGGCAAACTTGGTTGTACTTAATTGCCTCTGAATCGATGGATCCTTTAATGATTCTTCTAACCCTTGAAGGTAACCTGTAGAAGAATGAACAACAATAAACTTGGATTTATTTTGCATAACTGTCTTATCATTATTCTTAACTGCTTCTGCAAGTACATGTTTAAGTAAATTAGCAGCAACAAACCCTGGCGAAGCCAATATTATAGCCTTTAACTTATCTAAATCAAAGTTCCGTAACATAGTGGTATTCACAAGTTGATAAAACTTCTCCATGGCTTGATCATGTTTACTTCCACCGCCATCACCTCTTCTTTTCCTTGGAATAGACTTCTCTATCTTATTACGAAGTACAGTCATATTATCTGTTATCAAACATAAATGTGCAACTCCTTCTTCCATTACAATGGCTCCAACTTCTGCCTTCTCTTCTATAGAACAAACCTTAACAACAATACCATAAGCTATTTCATCCCATTCATCCTTATATAAGGTGAATTGTTTCTGAAGTTGCACTTCTGCAGTATGATAACTTTGCATTGGTACATATTCATTGGGTTCAACGGTTTTCCCTCTTATCCGAAGAACCTCTTCAGATGGGGTATATTCAATGTCTTCAACAGACATCTTTAAAGTCAACAATTTCCGCTCTGTTTTACCTTTATCTTTCCCCTGAGCAACTCCACTCCCCAGAGTAGCTTTCTTAATGTTACGATGAGTGCTGAGAGTAATTTCATCTCCCTTCTGTATTAAATTATAAAGTTCCCATAAATCCTCTTTATCTTGGGGTATCAACGTGGTAGACCCACTCTTGTCCTTCTCAAAATGTTGTCTTATAAGCTTCATGCTTGTTAAGGGCTAAAGTGTAAGAACAATGACTAATAATTATGAATTTTTCACTCATATACACCAGAACACTTTGCGCGAACTACAAGCGAACTAAACTCGAACTGTATGCAATATATTAATTACTATAAGAAGTTTAGTTAACCAGAGCACCAACTAAAGTGGAGTTCTTACATACTTCACCCTTCTCGTTAACCAATCTAGCAGGAGGCTTACCTTCTTCAGTGTAGGTAACTTCAAAGTTTTCGGTGGTAGTGAACAATGGTTGAATTGTTTCCCAAATCTTTTTCTTTGGGTTCAATTGCTTCTCAGGAGTACCATTAAAACCTTCAAAGAAAATCTTATCACCAGCCTTGGAACCTGCCGGAGGGTTGACAAATTCAACAGCATTGTCACCCTTGTTGGAGGCACATAAAACCATGGCCATGGACTTAACACCTCTCATGGTAACAGGTTTCAAGTTAGCAATAACAACAACGTATCTTTCTTGCATTTCTTCAATAGGAATGTATTTAACTAAACCAGAACAAACTGTACGAGGACCTTCTTCGTCTCCCATATCAATAGTGGACATATACAAAGAATCAGCGTCTGGATGCTTGACAGCCTTTTGAATGAAACCAACTCTGAAGTCAACCATTGCAGGGCTAGGAATAGCAGCAGTAGCAGCAGTTGCCTTTTCTTTAGCTGCCTTTTCAGCATTAGCCTTAGCCTTAGCGGCTTTCTTAGCCTTTTGAGCTTCAGCACGAGCCTTCTTTTCTTCTTCAGTCAATTCCTTTCTTTGAGGTTGTTCACCGCCAGTGGACTTGCTTTGTTCAACCTTCTTATCTTCCTTCTTTGAAGCAGCAGCTGGAGCAGCAGTAGCAGCAGCAGCCTTATCAGCGGGCTTCTTCTTTTCTTTTATTTCTCTGGCAATGTCAGCGTCGTATTTAATGGCAATCTTTTCAGGAACATCAACTAAAGTGTTTTGTACCAAATCGGCCCATCTCAAAATGTGTCTGAAAGCAGACAAATCTTCAAGAGAAGTCCATTTTGATGCAACGGAAAACACATTAGCAAAAACCACAATATCTGACTTAGAAGGCTTGTTACCAGTGATAAAAGTTTGAGATCTCAAAGCGTTGTTCAATTGAATTAAACTTTCAGGTTCATTGACTCTTGTGGAAGCAATTTCGTATTGAACACCCAAGGCCTTTTCTTCCTTGTTCAATTCAGGAAACAATGATTCCAGAGCCGAATTAGCATCAGCCAACGCCAACTTCTTGAATTGTTTAAGAAAATCAGACATTATTGATTATGTATGTTGATGCCTAAAGGTTGTGACTCTTAAGACTACTTCTCCACTATAAAAATTTTCGATAACCCTGCGGGCGCGCTACCATATTAATCTTCTCCTTAGCCGTAACTATGTGGATACCTTAAAAATACTGCTATGAAGAATTATTAGTCACGTAAAATTGGTTCATTCAAACAAGGAGCATAACTACTCTTGATGCTTATTCTTCAATATTGCTACTTATGGCATTATTATTTCGTTCTTATTGTAGCTAAGATTGGGGGCCAACAGAAGAGACATTTTGGTGATGATGTGCGACACTATTCAAAATCTTACTGATTCACGACATTTTTGTGAACTGTACAAAATTTTCACAAACGATAATCTTTAATAACTAGACCATTAATAGAAGACAACTATTTTTGATATAGACAGGCGTCACCATGAGCTCTAGACCTGCCGCCATGTTTAAGAACCTTCCTGCTTCAAGGATATTGAAGCAGATTGAACGCTTGAACCTTATAGCCGGAACACCCGAGAATGCTTTCAAGTTTCAACCAAATGTTAAGAGCATTGAATTATTTCTTTTAAAAGCTCCTGTTCAAGGTCCTCATATAGGTTTAAAGCGTTTCTGGAGACAAAACCTTCCGACTTTGCAATTTCATAATCCGGATGTGGACTTTATTATGACCAGAATTAAAGTTGAAGATAAAGCTGATTTAAAGAAAGTGCCTGCCAGAGTTGTGATAAGTGGAGAAGGTGAATCTAAAGTACTCAACTGTTTAGAAAAGTCACAACAACAGATTCTTAATGAACTTGTGGAACTTACAGGCGCCACATCTATTCCCATAGAAGAAATTCCTATTATCAGCAAACCCGATTCCCATTGATTGATTTGCACGATATAATAAATAGCATCTTGTACATACATTTGAATCAGATATAATAATAAAAAAAGTTGTTAAAGTCAATCTACCTACTCTATTGAGATATCACACATCTGTGAGTGAATATCAATATCTAGCAAACCATTCAAGTTGGTCTTTAATTGTAGATTCCATTGCGTAACGAACATCACGGTTGGAAATATCTCCTCTAACAGCGAACCCATGGACAACCTTGGGGAATAAGTTGAGTCTCCAATCAAGATCAATATCTTCACTTAACTTGTTTAAGATCTCTTCACTCTTGGCACGAAGCTCAGTAGTAAAGATTTTATCAGTATAACAAGCACTAATTAAAAGCGGTTTGACAATAGCTCCCAATTCCTCTTCAGAAACAAAAGATGGATGGGCAATTGCACCAGCACTGAAAAATCCATCTTTAGCCATTTGAGGAACAACAAATTTAGCTCCGAAACAGTAACCAACACCACCAATGAATTTAGGCTTTAACTCAGCATTCAACTTGGTGAGATACTCTTTAATAAGAGGACCAATTAAAGGTAATTTACCACCTACCCATTCCATTAAATCTCTTGAATCATCAATTAAATAAGGATCACCACCAAATATTTCTGGAACGTAAACTTGGTATTTCCCGTTCTTGGATAACTCATCTGCAACCAATTGAGTGTTGTGGATGTCTTTACCAAAAATATCAGTAATAATAACAAGAACTCTATCACTATTGAATTCTTCACCAACAACATAAGAAGCAAGACCAAAGACTTCCTTCACTGACCCTTGAGGGTTACCAGTACGGAAGAAACCGGTTTTACAGCATTCACCTGGAGGATTGGAGGCCATTGTCAAAATCTATTTTAGGTTAATAATGATTATTGGTAAGGGTGTAATGGAATCTCCCATACCTTTATAAACGTTTAAACGTCAGAGATTGGGTAGCGCGGATGTATTAAATTAGTCAGGCTGTGTGGTATAAAATACTAGGAGATTTCATGAATTAACAACGATAAAGAATATTCCCGCCCCAATCAATCAACTACACTATTAAATGAATTAAAGTTCATTGTTTGATTGACTCCATTTATATACTTGGTATTGTTTCAGGTGTTATAGATACTTTCCCTTTTTTTAGCCGACATTTCTACATAAAAGTGGGAGTTATGGAGAATTTTCCATCCTAAAGTCCATTATAAAGTCCACCTTAACTCCGGGAAACACACTGTAAGTCTGATCCAATGTCAGTTTTAAGTCCGCTCAAATTCAATCCCAGTTGCATGCTGCAAATCGTGTGCGTGCGTTAGCTTGTATCCAGAATTTCTTGTTGTATGCCCACGCTTTGCAGTCATTCGCAGCCATTGCACAACATTATCTCGTTGTAATTATCGGTATTGCTTCGAAAAATATGGGGTTATGTAATACGTAATCCCAACAAGTTCAATTCAACACCCGGCGAAACGTACGGATGGCAACGTGAAAGGTGGGGGTCCTCTATGACTACCACCTCCTTACGAGCATAACTAGCGAGCAACCAACAAATGTCATGAAGTCAAGAAACCTCGTCGTCACGTGATACGGTTTGTTCGACTACTTTCCACAATGTAAAATCGAACATCCACTGACCCCATACGAAGCGGGTTTGTGTTATGTCCATCTCATCGCTATTCTCTTAACTAATGTAGGTTGATTTTATTGTACATACTATTACTAGCGGAACAGAGACCAGATATGAGCGCTGAAGAGAACCCCCAACCAGTAGAACAGCTGGAGGTATCGACGTCCTTGAACGAGTCTCGAACTTTACTTATTGAGGCAATTGGGTCAACCAATGAAGAAGTTGTAAACCAAAACGAACCCGAGAAGGAACAAGAACCAGAAAAGGAACAAGAACCAGAAGTAAAAGAGAACACAGTGGACTTAGAGAATGAGAAGAAAGTATTTAACGAGAAGGAAGCAAACAATGAGGAGAAGAAAGTATCGGAAGTAGTCAATGCAATTGCTGAAGAGGCCATTCCAGTAGGTAAAGTGGATGAAATTAAAACAGAAGTTCTGACGAGTTCCGATGTTAAAACAGAGTCAGAAGTATCAGCATTCATATCAGCCAATCTAAATGAAGAAAAAGTTCAAGAATACTCAGATGATGAACTTGAAATTATGTCTGAGAGTTCTGATTCCGACCCTGATTCCGACTCCAATGCATCCTTAGATTCCTCTGCAGACTCGGATTCAGATTCGGATTCAGATTCTGAATCAGATTCAAAGTCAAATGATAAACGTCCAATTACTATGGAAGATGACGGTGAAGAGAATGACGGAGATGAAGGACCAATTGTTTCTCACAACGAAGTTCAAGATGAAAAGGCCCCAGAATTACCATCAGAGTATTCCATACCTGAAAATGCTCCCATAGAACATATTGGTGAAATCACTGGGTTTGTGGATAAGTCTATTATTATACGCGCAAATGTATCTGGAGAATTTAGAGTGTTACAGGAGAAGTCGGTGATTTGTCTTGAAGATAGAACCGTGGTCGGCCCTATATTTGAAGTGTTTGGAAGATTAAAATCACCATCATATCGAATTAAATTCAATTCCGAATCTGCCATGGAACAATTCAAATCCCTTAAAGGCTCAAAAGTTTATTATGTTGTTCCCGACTCCCAATTCTTGTACACAGATGAAGTTAAAAAGTTTCTGAAGGGAACAGATGCAAGTAATTGGCATGATGAAGAATTGCCTATTGAGGAACAAGACTTTTCAGATGATGAACAAGAAGCAGCAGCCAAATCTGCTAAAAAAAAGAAGAAGAAGAACAATAATAGCAATAAGAAACCAGATGGAGAACAAACAATAAATGAGGGGAAAAGAAGATACTCCAATGATGGAAATGATAATAGAAATAAAAGATTCCAACTGTATGGATATGCGAATGCTCAACCAAGTTCGTCATATCCCACTAGTGTATCTTCAAAACCTCCATTATACAAACCAAGATATCAAGAAGGGTCTTCTCATAGAGACACGACCAGTACGAGATTAGTCCAACCAAATATGCCAGTCCAACCACCACCACCACCTACTCAAATCGACCACATGCCTTCTGTTTATGGAGTTCCCTTTGATCCTACAAGACATATGCATGCTCAAAACCAAAATAATTACTTTCAAAATCAACCAGCTATGTCCATGCAACAACAGTATTATCCTAATGCATTTAATCAGCAGTTTCCACCGCAACAAGGTTTTCAGCAATATAATCCTCAACAGTACACTGGGGGGCCACAAAACATGCCTCATCCTCCTCCTCAACAAAATTGGGACCCTGATTACTCCCATTTACCATTAGAAATACAGCAGCAAATAAGCCAATTGGATCCTGCTCAAGCTCAACAATTACATTCTATGTTGACCAAACATCAAACTAATCAAAACAATTATCAGAATTAATTCTTATGCTAATAATTCCAATGCTCGTCTGGCATGGTTCAAAGTTGATTCAGGAAACCCGGCCATTTTAGCAACTTCAATTGCAAATGATTTCTTGCTAATTCCCGGTTCTAACTTATGATCAATAAAAATATCAATCTTCCCATCAGTAACACTTTCTACCACTTTGGTTCTATAGAAACGAATATGATCCACGTTGACATTATCTGCTTTCAACATGGACTCAATTTCATTACCAAAATGGGTAGCGAATAATGTGTTACACTTATTCTCTTGCACTAAAGATAAAAGTGTGGCATAGGCGATTGCTAAGCCTTCCTTGCCACTTGTACCTCTTCCAATCTCATCAACAATAGCTAATGATCTTTGAGTGGAATGCTTTAAAATATTGCTAGTTTCAACCATTTCAACCATAAATGTACTTAAATCACTGTACAAATCATCGGATGCTCCAATTCTTGTGAATATCTTATCAACAATTCCTAAAGTAATCGATTTAGCTGGAACAAAACACCCCATTTGTGCCAATATAACGATTAAAGCATTCTGACGTAAAAAAGTACTTTTTCCTCCCATGTTTGGTCCTGTAATTACCCAAGTATTAATAGTCTTATCCTTTTTAGTAGTTCCTATATGAATATCATTAGATACAAAGGTATCACCAGAAATTCTTAAGCCACTTTCAACAACTAAATGCCTTCCACCTTGAATGCTAATCACATTGTCATTCACAAATTTAGGCCTTACCAAGTTACATTCATGGGCCAAATATCCAAAGGATGAAGTAACGTCAAGAAAATCAGCCATTTTGTTAATGGATCGAATGTTATCTGCCTCGGAAAGTATTTGTTCCTTCAATTCATTAAGAATTAAAACCTCTTGTTGACGAATGTTGGATTCAAATTCAATGATCAACGATTGCACTTTAATCCAATTATCTGGTTTATAAATAGCAGAAGTCTTTCTTTGTTCCCGGAAAGGCTTCTTACCTAGCACTTCGATTGCTGCTTCCAATTGCTTGTTTGTACCTGAAAAATGAATGACATTACCATATCTCCCATATTGTAATTTCTTACTAACAGTAAGTTTGACATTATTAGCCTCGAGCTTCTTTTCAATGTCCTTTATTATTTTACTTTCTTTAAGTAGAACTTTGTTCAATTCTTTATGACAATCTGCAAGATTTTGATTATAATCAGGACGAACATGGAACAGGTTTTCATTGATTGGCGAATTTGAGGGGATCTTTTGACGATACTTTTCAACCAAATGGTTGCTGTAAGATCCAGAACTCCCATATATTTCCTCTTCAGTGGAGACTTCGTTGTCCCGGAAATCATTGTCACCATTAACTACCCTCATTAAAGTGCCTTCTACCTTTTCCACTAGATGCAATGGAACATCAAGGGTTGATAAAAGAGGAACCAATACTGCGGCATCGGGGTTCAATTTAACTTCCACAGTTATCAATTCTTTGAGTTCTCCAAGCTTTTTCAAACTATCAGTTATAAAATACATGCTTTCTATTTGGCCTGTCTTGCCTATCAGAAGCCTTTGTATGCTTCGAACATAATCACCAAGTTCAGAAAGTTTGCTTCGAATAGCTGCAGCGAAAGTTTGGTTATCTTTGAAGAACGAAACAAAGTCTAATCGATTCACCAATTCATCAATCAGTAAGATGGGGGATGTAATCCAACGTGTTAGTAACCTGGTACCTGATGGAGTAACTGTTCTTCGGATAATACTAAGAAGAGTTCCAGCAACAGATCTATTGCCATTTGTTACTCTTTCAGTTAATTCTAAGGCCTCTCTAGTTCTCAGATCCATTTGCAAGGTCTTTTCATTCCAAAACTTTTGTGGGAGTTCAAGTGATGGTTTAGAGTTAGGTAAGTTGATATGGACGTATGACAATGTCATATTCATGGCTGCTTTCTCTTTAACACCCATACCTTCAAGAGATTTTTGGATCTTTCTGGGTGGAGCCCTAAACAAATGGTGAAGATCAGAATAAACTGTGGAATGGTAACGAATGAAATATTTCCGAAGTTCCTGAAGTGGTTGATACCAAACTCCATTTATAAGATCGGCAGATCGAAATGAGTCGGATATAATAATTTCACTGGGCATAATTCTTGAAATATCAGACACTAAGTCACGAAGAGTCGACGTTTGAATGAAAAATTCACCTAAAGATAAGTCCAACCACAGAAGACCAATTTCCATGTCTGGATCAGCAAATGACTTATGACAATTGGGAGGAAGGTATATGGCCAACAAGAAATTATTCTTATTAAAGTTTAGAAACGATTCGTCCACTAATGTCCCTGGAGACACGATTCTTGAAACTCTTCGATGGATTATTGATCCTTGATTGAATTCATCTGGAAACTGATCGATAATAGCTACATTGACTCCAAGATCATGAACAACCAATTTGACAAACTTTTGAAGTTGATGAACGGGGAAGCCAGCCATAGGGATTGCAAATTTGGAAGTTTTCCTTGTAGCGACCTTTAAGCCCAACTTAGGCCCATACGTTTCAGCCTGTTCGAAATAAAGTTCATAGAAACTTCCCACTTGAATGAAACAAACATTGCCATTGTTTGCTTCTATGAGTTTACGCATAGAGGCGTATAGCGGAGTAAGACTGTTTTTAGTTGTTCTTCCGCCTCTATCCCAATCAGCTAGCACTGGCTCGACTACGGCAGACGCGTTCCATCTTACCCAACTTCTATTAACAGTTCGAAAACGCGGTAAAGTCGTTCGAGGTAACCGTATATGAGAACATGGACTCCACCATCGCATCGTATTTACACGTTTGCCTCCAAATCGCAATCCTTCAAGCTGCAATTATATGGAAGTAACGCCACAGAGAAGTATACGTCAGGATGTAAGTGTGTTGTGGGGTGTATTATGAAGAGAGATCATCGTGAAGAGTGTGGTAGTTTGTTTGTTCGACTGAAAAATCCATACTCAGTCGCACTTTGTATGGGAGTCGCACTATTGATGGGTCGAGGTATAGTACGTTTGCCATGCTACTTTTAACTTTACTTTCTTCTGGTGCTTCTTCTAACAGGAGTCTTTGGAGCCGATTCCTTTGTCGTTAGAGCTCTCATTGATCTGCGACGTTTAGGAGGCTCTGTTTGTTCATTATCAAATTCCTCTGTTTCTTTGGTAACATCGGTCGACCGAGTACGTCTTTTAGCAGCAGGGGTTTGAGGAACTGGCGAAGCTGTTTTCCGTCTTTTCGATACCGGAGTCTCTTCTGGGAAAACTTGTTTCGATACTGAACGGGTTCTCTTCTTAGCCAGAGGCTTTGGTGTTGATTCAACATCAGAATTAGCTGCTCTACGAGAAGCTCTTCTTGTAATCCTCTTGGAAGCAGTTTCGGTTTCTGTTTCTTCTTCTGCTTCATCTGCATCGTCACCATCACCTTCATTATTGTCATTTTTTCCTTCTGCTTCTTCTTCATCCTGTTGATTTTCATCTGTACTGGTTTCAGATAGTTTCTCTTCCTGTGTTTCCAGCTTAGTGTGACCAGATTTAACCGGACTGGCTTCTTTGTCTATAGCAACAGGCTCAGTGTTATTGTCAGATGCTGGTGTAGCAGCTTCATTTTCATTCGAATCTGGTTCACTTGCATCTGTACCATTTTCTTCAGTTTCTATAGGTGTAACCAGGGTACTTGCATTATGTCGTTTTCGTCTATCACTTTCACCGCTATCTGATGTTTCTGTAACTTGCGACCGAGTACGTGGTTTGTGCCATGCCTTTGACCTTGTTTCACGGTCCTTTTTACTTTCATCAGTGGATTCAAACTCTTCTATTTGATCAACACGATCCAAGTTATAAAGCTCTTCTAATTTATCCCATATTTCCGACGCAGTGAACTGCTGTTCTCCCGCGGGAAGATGTTTGTTAATTTTATCAATTATCTGGACCATGTTACGATGTTTGTTCTTCCCTGCGGGCTTATGATCACATACTAAATTGAAGAGCATGATCTCATCATCAAGGGTCCATTTCCGAACTCCCTCAACAAGCATAATGCACAACCTCAATAAACTGATTCCCACAAGTATCAATTGATAGTACCAAACACTAGCTACAAGTTAATTGTCGAAGGTATCCATTCAAAGATTATAGAATGGTATAATGAGTATAGGGCCGCGTTGTATACAGGTGACGTCTTTTGTACTGTATTTGTCTTACAGTGCACCAGTCTTGCTGTGTACCAAGTCTTACAGTGTAACAGTCTTTCAAGAGATAAAAAAGAGTATTGTGTGAATGCTCATACATAATTTAAAGTCCAACGCTATTATACTATGGCTATGAACACAACAGTGATGCCCTAAATGGATACTGTGGGTAGTAATTGCTGAGCAATAAGCATATACAGCTTCTTTGAGTCTAATAATAATTTTACAGTACAATTTAGATATATTTTCTTATGCTGCTTAGTTTATTCTTTCTTCTTCCTTTCTATTTGCTTAAGTTATAACCCACTTATCATTCATTTAGTCTCTTGTTTGTCTGAGGATGGTGATCTACGATCTGGTTGAATTAACCCGCACACGACTGGCAATTGTGAAAAACTTTTTCAGTAGTTCTACTACTATAAACTAACAGGAAGTAGCTGCTACTCTAGTGTTTTATTGGTCAGAAAGAAGTTAAAGATGCCACGTAGAGCAGAGAATTCTTTCTCCTTGTTTAAGGGCCGTGTGCGGGCTTCTATGAACAAGTACAACGTTTTTAACTTGTACAAGAAACCAGATGTTCGTTATAATGGGAAGTCGTTGTACCAACAAAAATGGTACGCTAAACAAGAAACAAGAGCATACCATGGAGATCATTTGACTGAAGGTCGTTGGATGCAATTATTCCAAAAGAAAGCTGACTCTGTAGCTCAATTGGATGCTTCCTTAAAGGGTACTCGCGAAGAACCAACACCTTATTCTTTACAAACATATGCAGCATTAGAAAAGAGATTGGAATTTGCAGTATTTAGAGCCATGTTTGCTTCTTCAGTGCGACAAGCAAGAGAATTCATTCGTTCTGGTCATGTTAAAGTTAACGGAACCGTGGTTAGACATCCAAGTTTCCCTTTACAAAGCGGAGATTTATTCAGTGTTACACCTGAAAAGGTGTTGATGGCTATGGGTAGAGCAAAACCAAGCTTGGATAAGGCCATTAAAACTGATGTGGCTCAAGTTGTTGCCTGGAACAGATTTGTTGCCAACGTCAAGGAAAACCCGCATGCTATGTGGGAATTAGCCCAAGCCAAGCCCAAAGCCTTGAATAGTGCTAAATCAAGTACTGAAGAAGATAGAAAGGCCTCAATTAGATCTTTTAACGAAAACGTGGAAAAGCAAATGCTTCAAGACCAAAAGGCAGTAACAAGAGAATCCGTTTTATCTTCCATTTTAAAAGCTGCTTCCACAGAAACTGAAGAAGAAGCCATCATGAAGGCTTTGGAACTGAAAGGTAAGAAATATGCTTCCAAGTATATTGATGTCTATACCAAGCTTATGGCTGTTGGTCACCCCTTACTCAAAGCAAACTCCATTGAAGATTGTAAGAAATATATTTCTACCAAATCGAACGAATTTGAAAATGAAAGTGAAGTTAAACTTGCAGCTTCAATAAAAAAGATCTTGAACGAATTAGTTAGCGACAAAACTGAACAGATAAGAATCTCAGCTAATAGTTCCAAGTTATCAGAGTCTTCAAAGTTTATTCCATTCACGTCTGATTATGGTAAAAACTTACAATTCCATCAAAAGTTGGATAAGGAAGCTATTGCAGAAGACGAATCCACAGCTAAAGTGAATTTACCATGGCAAAAGGGTCTTTTTGGACGTCAAGACCCTTCAAAGCCATACTTTACTCCTTGGACACCAAGACCTTTTATTGGGGTATTTGCTGTGTTACCTCATCATATTGAAGTTTCTTTTGAAACTTGTCATGCTGTCTACTTGCAAGATCCTGTTGCTAGACCAGGGCATTCTGAAGTGATCTCACCTTTGCCAGAATCTCTCTACCAAAGAGCTTACATGTACTACGGCAGAAAGGGTATGTAGTGATCTGTTTATACTTCTTTTATCTTGTACATATTAATAAGTATTAGTCCGGTTAAAAATAAATTCTAAACGAATTGAAGCAGAACCAATTTCTCGACCCAAAATTACATCCAAAAATTTAAATGTCACCTAAAAAATACTCAATTTTGTACTGTTCCACACTAATGCCCAGAATAAGCCCAACAGCCCTACGAACTGCTACCAAAACTCTGTCTTTGCTTGCACGTTTGCTACGAGGGTTACGGGATCTTCCACAGGCGACTCGTGAATTGCAATGGATTAAAAATGAACTTCCGCCATCTCAATGGAAATCTGCGGTGGTACGAAGATCGCGGAATGAACCACTTCAGTATATTTTGGGTTCGCAACCGTTCGGCGTTCTAAATATCAAATGTCGCCCTGGGGCACTTATACCGCGGTGGGAAACAGAGGAATGGGTATTGGAAGTAGCCGAGATACTCAAACAGCATTACGAAGGCTCTACACTTACGGTAGTTGATGCATGCACCGGGACTGGATGTATACCATTACTATTGGAACAAGAACTTGGAGGAAATACGCAAGTGCAAACGTTTGGGTTTGATGCCTCAAGCGACGCACTTAAAGTCGCACTAGAAAATGTTACTTTGGTCGGTCGACAATTTGAAAATTGTACCACGACAATTTTGCAGGGCGACCTCCTCGACAAAATGTTATTACATTCCATAAACATCACTGATGCTAATTTAATCACTGCAAATCCACCATATATTCCAGAAAATGATTATAAATTGCCTGTTCTACTTAATGGGGTAGAGAAATCAGCCCGAATGTATGAACCACGGATGGCGTTGGTTGGTGACACCGACTTTTATTCCGCTTTGATTAATAATTTGGTGCGACCTCTGGGGGCTTGTGGGTTTGTTTTCGAATTGGGCTACGACCATCAGGCAGATCATGTAAATGAGTATCTACAAGAGAAATCTAAGAGAATATGGGGAGTTGGCCGACGCTATGATTCTGCTGGCAACATAAGGTGTGTAATTGGATGGAAGGTCGGTAGTAACCTTGAATGTTTAAGCAAATTATGTCAATCTATTTACGATAAATAGGTCGATATAAGATGATATTATAATTTGTGTTTTCGATTAAGTTTAACTCATGATGATACACGATCCATATTCTTCTTCTTGTTGGACATACCACGTCCAATGGCTTGAATGTTTTCAGCAGGAAATACACGAGTTCCCCACAACACGTAACCACCATAACCTCTCATAGTCATTACTGGATGCATTCTACCTGGAATAGTTTGATAAGGACGAACGCGCGATTCTATAATTGATGGAGCCAAAATTCTTTTGTCGACCTGGAGGAAATGCTGAGTTTCTAATAAATTTTCTTTGAATTGGTTGTAGATAGCCACAGCTCTAGATCCTCCAACACGATCTAAAACATATGGAAGAACTGAGGGCATGCTCAATGTACTCACAGATATGAAACCATCAAAGTTACCGTTTTGAATTAAATCCAAAGTATCGTTAATTTCAAGAGCACGGTTATGACGACGATAATATTTTGTTTTTTTAGCTGGGGGTAATTGGTCGATTTCTTCTTGAGTGAAAGGTTGCCATTCGATACGTTGAGTATCTGGTTCTATGAACAGAAGCCAACTGGCGGTCTTTACAGTTAGTTTTGTTTCTTCTTCCGATAAATTTGAATATTTCATGACATTCAAATTGGCATGTTCATTCTCATGAAGAACAAGCACTGTTCCTTGACCTATCATTCGTTCAAGCATGGCATACAATATAACACCACCAGTTTCATCCAGAAGAAGATAATTTCCTCCAGGACGAACATTCCCATAAGTCATCAATAACCCTAATGTTTCAGGTGAGATATCAAGAACTCTAGGAAGATCCTTTTCTATGTAGTATTGTAACATCAAAGTAGAGCTCAAGTATTCCACCGAGAATCTTCTTAAAAACTTTTGTTGTTTCCTTCTAAGATACTTTTGTTGAGAGAAAACTGTCTTCTTATCAAACCCTTCATGTCCAGCAATCATTTGCTCTATAATCTTTTGACCAATTTCACTTGAAGCTCCAGATTTTTTGAGATTATCTATTTCTTCATTGGAAAGCTTTTGAATCTTGGATCCTATATCAATGATATTTTGATTACTTTCAGAACTGGCAGTGAATAACTCAGTCAATTTATCCTTAGTAATTTCCTCTTCTTCCGTATCTATTTCAGTTGGCTCTGATTCCATAAGACTCTTGATAGGCCTTACATTTCTATCATCAATGATTTCAAATGCTTGTCCATATGAATACCCCAATACCCCATCTACTTTGAATGATCCAAACTTCCCGAGGTTAACGGTAGAATGACTGCGTAATTCCACAATTTTCAACCCTTCAGACGGTAATTTGACCACGGCATATCTACCAGCTTCAATCACACCACGACTCTTTCCAGCTTCCATCGTATCTTAATGCTGTCCACTATTGTCCATTGTAGGTTTATACCTACCACCACCTATTAGTGTGTAGTAGAGAATATGAGATGAGGTCGTGTACCTTTTTCAAAATTAATTTTTCAGATTAGGCAGTCATCTCATCTAAGTACTCACTTTATATAATGATTGTAATACACTAGACCACAGACCACAACATCACCAAGACATACAATGGGTAGAAGAGCTAAGAATAAGCAAGGAGCCCCACCATCCTTGGACGAGTTCCAAGCAAAGAAGCAAAAGAAGGAACTGAAGAGAAAGAGACTGAGTGAAGAAGACAAGACATTCAAAAAGGTAAAGACATCATCATCATCATCATCATCAAAGAGAGATAAGAAACAACCAAAGAAAACTGTTGAAGATGTGGAAGAGTTTACTGAGGATGTACCTGAAGTGGATTTGAAAGAGCTCTCTGAAGCCAAGAAGTCATTATTTGACGATTCTGAGTCTGGATCTGAAGGAGAAGTTGAAGTTGATGATGAATTTGATGTTGAAAACGAACCAATGGTTGATTCCGATGATGAAGCTCATGAAAGACCCATGTTCTCCGATGACGACGAAGATGAATCTGAATTAAACAATTTGAACGCAGAAAACATGGAAGCCTTTTCAAGACATTTGGATGAAGAAGATGAGTTGGAAGCCGAAGAAGCTGAATTAGAATTACAAGAAGCTGGATTAAATCAAAACCAACCAAGAGCTAAAGTCTTGCCTACTGCCGAGGAAGAAGCCTTAATGACTAAAGGAACTCAAGATGTTACAATGGTTAGAACCAGAATGATTGAAATCATCAAGGTTTTAGAGAACTTTAAAGAATTGGCAGAAGAAGGTAAATCAAGAGCAGAATACACCGACAGATTACTTAAAGATATATGTGAATATTTTGGATATTCTGAATTCTTAGCAGAGAAACTCTTTAATTTGTTCACTCCCTCAGAAGCCATGGAGTTCTTTGAAGCCAATGAAATCGCCAGACCAATTACCATTAGAACAAACACATTAAAGACCAGAAGAAGAGATTTGGCTCAAACTTTAGTTAACCGTGGGGTTAACTTACAACCAATTGGTACCTGGACTAAAGTTGGATTACAAATCTTTGATTCCCAAGTCCCTGTTGGAGCCACACCCGAATATTTAGCTGGTCAATATATTTTACAAGCTGCTTCTTCATTCCTTCCCGTGATGGCTTTAGAACCTCAAGAAAATGAACGTATTTTGGATATGGCTGCTGCTCCAGGTGGTAAAACCACTTATATTTCTGCATTGATGAAGAATACTGGTTGTGTTTTCGCTAATGATGCCAATAAAGCCAGAACCAAATCTTTAATTGCAAATATTCATCGGTTGGGTTGTAAAAACACCATTGTATGCCATTATGATGCTAGAGAATTTCCTAAAGTCATTGGAGGATTTGATAGAGTTCTTTTGGATGCTCCATGTTCAGGTACTGGGGTCATTGGTAAGGATGAATCTGTTAAAGTAAGTCGTACTGAAAAGGATTTCATTCAAATACCTCATTTACAGAAACAATTATTATTATCAGCCATTGATTCTGTTGATGCCAATTCTTCTACTGGTGGTGTAATTGTTTATTCAACGTGTTCTGTTGCTGTTGATGAAAATGAAGCAGTGGTTGATTATGCATTGAGGAAAAGACCAAATGTCAAATTGGTCGAAACTGGTTTACAAATAGGTAAAGAAGGTTTCACATCTTATAGAGGGAAACATTTCAATTCCACCATATCAATGACAAGAAGATATTATCCTCATACTTATAATGTTGATGGGTTCTTTGTTGCCAAATTCAAAAAGATCGCTCCTTCTGCTCACGATAAGAGTTTAGCTGGTGCTAAGGAAAAGGAAGCCTTTGCCAGAAATGAAGCTGAAGAAGAAGGTATTATTCATGGCGATTTTGCTGAATTCGAAGACGATGAAGATAAATCTTTTATTGAACTGTCAATCAAACGGAATTTGAAGAGAAAGGGTATCAATCCAAATTCATTCAAAAAGTCATCCTCAGAGCCATCAAAATAGATTAGCTTTGTATATTTTTTATCTTAAACAAACATTCCCTAAACCATGTTCTTTGATGTATTCAGATCCGTATTCTTCATACTCCTTCTTTGTAACAAATGATGCTTTAGATTCTTCGGTATTAGCCCATTTGGACATCCCCTTCCAAGCATCTAATCTAGGATCTTGAGCTAATCGAACCTTCAACGGTGATCCTGTGGGGATTAATGCTTGAAGATCATTAAAAACCCGATCACTAAAATTTGGTAATCTGGCTAGACCTCCAGTTATAAATATATCTTGAATTAAACTGTATGATTGACCACCAGAAAGGAAGTTCCCATCAAATCTTTTCAATACAAGATCTCCCAGTAATTCGATTAATCCTGCTTGATCCAAACCAGCCATTGAAGGTTGAAATAATACTTCTGGAACTCGTATTCTTTCAATATTTAAATGCATTTGATGACTTCTTTTGATGATTTCAGGATGACTGGCAATTTCTTCAGGTGTTTTCCCCTCCGCTTGCATTGATATGGAAATACTTTGGCGTGGTCCATGAATAAATTTATGAAGGACCAGATTCTTCCAATCAAATGTTTGAGAAGCTGCAAATGTATCCTCATAATGGAAATCAGGATCAAATTTTAATAATTCTTCTTCCAAAGCTGTAATCCGTTTTTGATCTTCTTCTTGTTGTTCTTCAAGTTTGGTATTATTTATTTCTCGATAGACACTCCAATCATCATCATTGGCTCCAAAAGTATCATTGGGATCATTATCAATCGTAGCATTCCGCTTTCTTTTCCTTGATGATGAAGAATTATTGGCTTCATCTCCTGCTAAATCTGCTATATTTTTCATTCTTCTTTGAGCAGCTGCAGATTTTCTATCTTTAAAGGAGTCTAATAATTTAACCCTTTCCTTATAACCACTAATATATTCTGCCAATTCTAAACGTTTGGTATTACACCAATCTTCCAAATCTCTTGCTCTCCATTCTTCTTGTTCCTTTTCAAATTTTATACGTTCTTCTTCTTCTTGTTTCTTTTGTTCCTTTGCCTTTTCACGAGCTTCCCAATTAGCCTTATGTAATCGTTGACGTTTTTTAGCTCGTTTTTCTTCATCATTTAATTCTTCATCTGGAATGTCTACCAATGGCCATGTAATAGAGGGGTCTTCTATTTGATCAGGATCATCTTCACCATCTTGTGATTTTTTCAACGATTTCTTCAAACTTGATAAATATTTATTAAAATCATTCAAATCATCAAATCCAGCATCTTGTAAAGTCAATAAAACATCTTGAGAATCTAACCCTTCCAATTGATTTTTGATGTCGGAATAATAATCAAATTCTTGTTGTTTCTGTTCAAGTTTTTCCTTTCTCTTCTGTTGAGCTTGTTCTTGAAGTCTTCTACCTTGTTCTCTTCTCTTTTCAGCTTGTTTTGCCAATTCTTCTTCAGTTTTCTTCTTTTCAACCACTTGATGGAATTCAATTGGAGCTTGAGCTACAATATCTTTTTCTTCCAAATAATCAAGTGATAAATAATTGGAAAGCTCATATTGATAATCCTTCAGAATATAACAAAACTCTTCAAATAAATTGGTAGCTTGTGATGGAGTAAGCTTAGAAGAGAAATAAGGATATTTCAACATAAGCAATTTAGATAAAAAGGTTTGACATTGATCACCACCCCAATCTATTCTTTTAGTTTGAGTTAATATCCCCTTACCATTAACAACAGGTATAACATGAGTCAGTTCATGACCAGTTCCAATAACAATCCCATTAGATTTGGCAGGAGTGGCAGAATTGGCATAATATGAAAACAAAGAATCAATTCCAAAGGCAACACTTGGTGCTTGGTAGTTTTCAAAAAGTAATTCATACATAGTTCTTCTTTGTGAAAATGGACAACAAACTGGTTCTGTCATGACTATAGGATTATCTATACCTCCAGTAACAGATGATCCTACAACTCCTAAATGTTCAAACAGATAATCTAACATGACTTCAGCATAGTCCCAATTGGTTATCAATGGTCCATCGAACGGTGATTTTATCGATGATCGAACAGAAACATCCCTGTAAGTATCATTACCAACTAATGTCAATGTTGTAGCAGCTTTTCGATCACGATATCTAGCAACCACGCTAGGAAAAACATTGTTAGGCTTCAGCTCTTTGGTTAACCCAGCTCTCATCTGTGATGATCCTAAATCAATGGCTATGGGGATTCCAGACTCATAATGTTGATAAAACGGTTCTGGTTCTATTGGTGGTTTATAATCTCTTAATGTATAAATTGGTTGAGGAGGTAACTCTGGAGTCTCAGATGCAGCCCGAGTCATATTGATAACAACGGTGGCTTTGTGACAGTACAATTGAATCAATTAAGACACCTCTAGTAGTACGAACCATCACCAGCAGTAGTTTGATTCACTTTGATCGGTATAGAAAATTCACAAAAGTCGTGCATAACCCAAACAACAAAGACATTTTTAGTGCTTAGTCGTGCACTAACCATACATGTTGTAGTGTATTTTTGGGGGTTGTATCAACGAAGTTTGACGTGGTGCCATAATTCCGTTGGTCATTAACGTTAACCATTTTCTGTATTAACAATGGCAAGTGACGAGTCACAAATCAACCTCCACGGATATAATGTGGTGACTATTCTCAAGAGATTGGAAGCTGCAACCTCTCGGTTGGAAGATATAACTGTATTCCAAGAAGCCCGGACAGCAGAACAAGAGTCCAATGGAGGTGCATCATCCAGTAGTAATAAATCTATAACTGAACAACCTTCCACAGCCGATTCTATTATGAAGGATACCTCAATTCCTGTTTCACCATCAATTGTGGCCGAAGAATCAAGTTCTAGGCAAGTTAAAGCTGAACCAGAAGTGGAGTCCAAAGTAATTGCTAAATTCAAGGAATTTCAAAAGGAATTCATTGTACCATTTGTTGAAAGCTCAGAAGCAATTGATCCTGTTGTTAAACAAGCTGCTTCAACTTTTGCCGAAGCTTTTGACGAGCAATTGAGATTTTTGAAAACAGCTTTAAAGGCTAAGAAACCTGAACTTACAGATCCTGATTTTGCCAAAATCGTTGGTCCAATCAGTCAAAAAATTGCTGCAGTTTCTGAAATCAAAGATGCAAATCGTAGTTCTAAATTCTTCAACCATTTGAATACCATTAGTGAAGGTGCACCAGCTTTAGGTTGGATTGTAAATGATACACCAGTTTCATTTATACCTGAATTCAAAGATAGTGCACAATTCTGGTCCAATAGAATCTTGAAAGAATTCAAAGATAAAGATCCGGATCAAGTTGAATGGGTTAAAAAGTTTTTACAAATTTTTGAAGGATTGAAAACATACGTTAAGGAATTCCATACTACAGGACCTTCATGGAATGCTCAAGGGAAATCTCTTAGTGACGTACTTAAAGAACTGACTAGTACAAGTACTGCGGCATCAGTTGCTTCTGGTGGTGCCCCACCTCCTCCACCACCACCTCCACCACCAAGTAACATTTTTGAAGAAGATGAAGGGAAGAGTTCTGGCGAAGGAGGAGCAGGTATGGGAGCTGTTTTCGCTGATTTGAATCAAGGAGTTGATATTACCAGAGGATTGAAGAAGGTTGATAAATCTGAAATGACCCACAAGAACCCTGAATTGAGAGGGAAAGCTGGTCCCTTACCTCCCAAGAAACCTGCTTCGTTATCCAAGAAGCCCTCAACCAAAAGTAAACCACTCAATACCAATCCACCAAGAAAGGAATTGGTTGATGGTAAAACATGGTTTGTTGAGAACTATAGTCAATCTGATGGACCCATTGTTATTGAATTAGAAATGAGTCAATCTGTTTTCATTGGTAGAAGTTCCAATGTTACCGTACAACTTAAAGGTAAGGGTAATTCCATTACTGTTTCCGGAACCGATAAGGTTGCCGTTATAGTTGATTCATTAATTTCAGGTATTGATGTGATTAAGTCCAATAAGTTTGGTATTCAAATCGTTGGATCAGTACCTATTATCAATGTTGATAAATCAGATGAAGGAACCATCTATTTATCAAATGATTCTATCAATGCTCATATCTACTCCAGTTCTACTACAGCATTAAATATTAATGTTCCTGTCGCTGATGACGATTACCTGGAACTTGCAGTTCCTGAACAGTTTATGCATGTTATCAAGGACGGGAAACTTGTGAGTGAAGTTGTTGAACATCTTGGTTAGATATGCAAGAAGACTTGAACAAGATTCTATATAAAGACGTTATACTTATTACATACACTACTTGATCCGCTTGCTTACGTAACTAGGGACTACGTGTCTGGTTCAAAATTGTCATCGGTGTTGTGGAACTCGGGCGAATTTTCGATGGAGTGAAAAGTTTTGTAGATATAAGAACGTGATAAAGTAGTTTAGTAATCATTTTCTTTAAGTAGCAACTTTACATCATTCGAATATGGTTAAGGAAACCAAGTATTACGATGCTTTGGGCGTGTCGCCATCAGCCAATGAAAATGAATTGAGAAAAGCATACCGTAAGGCAGCTTTGAAGTATCATCCTGATAAGAATCCTTCACCAGAAGCAGCCGAAAAGTTTAAGGAGATTTCTCATGCTTATGATATTTTATCTGATGAGCAAAAGAGAGAAATATATGATTCTTATGGTGAGGATGGGTTAAGTGGTCAAGGTGGTATGGGAGGTGGTATGGGAGCTGATGATATCTTTTCTCAATTCTTTGGTGGAGGCTTTGGTGGCGCTGGAGGTGGTGCATCGAGAGGTCCTGCAAGAGGTAAAGATATCAAACATCTGATCACATGTACTTTGGAGGAATTATACAAAGGTCGTACTGCTAAATTAGCATTGAATAAGACCATTTTATGTAAGGCATGTGATGGTCGTGGAGGTGCTGAAGGTAAGATTAAACAATGTTCATCATGTCATGGTCAAGGGATGAAATTTGTTACTAGACAAATGGGTCCAATGATTCAAAGATTCCAAACTGTTTGTGATGTCTGTAAAGGAGCTGGTGACATTTGTGATCCAAAGGATAGATGTAAAGAATGTCAAGGTAAAAAGACTCAAAGTGAACGTAAAATCTTACAAGTTCATATTGATCCAGGTATGAAAGATGGTCAAAGAATTGTTTTCTCTGGTGAAGGTGATCAAGAACCAGGGATTACTCCAGGTGATGTTATCTTTGTGGTTGATGAAAAGCCTCATGAACTTTTCACTAGAAAGGGTGCTGATTTATATTATGAAGCCACTATTGATTTATTGACTGCTTTAGCTGGTGGAGAGTTTGCCTTTAAACATATTTCAGGTGATTATATCAAGGTTGCTATTTTACCCGGTGAAGTGATTTCTCCTGGTGCCATTAGAGTTGTTGAGAATAAGGGTATGCCAATTTATAGACAAGGTGGTCATGGTAATTTGTTTGTTAAGTTCACTGTTAAGTTCCCTGAATCTCATTTCGCCGAAGAGGACAAATTGAAGTTGTTGGAACAAGTGTTACCTGCTAGAACTGCCGTGAATATTCCAAAGGGTTCAGACGTTGAAGATTGTGATTTGGTTGAAGTAGACGTAAGAAAACACCAACAACAAAACAGAAAGTCTGCCCATGATTCAGATGATGAAGAAGGTGGTCAACCTGGGGTCCAATGTGCCACACAATAGTTGAGAGTGGAGTTGTATATATACATACTATACTGTATTTTAGTGGTTGGATTATATATAATCTATAGAGATGGTTTTATTCCCTCATGTCCATTGTACTCTATTATTTCCATTGTACTCTATGATCTTCTAATGGCATGTTTTGTCTTATTGTAGCCAACAGTTGCCAATCTAATACTGCTTCTACTAACTGATAGTAATCACCATCTTGGTCTATGTCATCAGTTAAGGCTGAATCACTGTATTTCTTCGCCTCGCACACGACCACCCCCCACGGATCAACCACAAGTGAAGCACCATAACTAATACGCTTAACAACTGCCCCATTATTACTTTCAGGTCTCAAATACAGGGTATCATGAGAACCACATTGAGCTGCCATAATCACATAGCTTTGTGTATCCAATGCTCTGGCGATTCCTAATGCCTTCCAATGTGCTTCACCTGTTTTGGTAGTGAATGCCAGTGGGTAAGTAATGATATTAGCACCTGCCAGTCTTAAAGCTAAACCCATTTCAGGAAATCTAATATCATAACAAATACCTAATCCCACCTTCCATTTGCCCGTTTCATCACCATCACCATCGCCAATGGAAAATGGTTTACATAATGTATCACCTCGTTCAACACTTTTCAGTTCTTGTAATATCGGACCTTGAGGAACATTAACATCAAATAAATGAATCTTTTGGTACCGATGCTTCACTTCCCCATCACTTATCCACAATAACTCATTCTTAACCTTTTCTTTGTTAACACCAGGCGAATGGATCCCTACAGCCACCTGGAGAGGAGTACCTCGAACTAGTCCTTTAATAGCGGCAACGAAATCGGTTTCAACACTCTCAACTAATAAAAGTCCATGTTCACTACTACTGGATATATAGTCACTGGCTTCAGGGAGGAAGAGAACATCCAATTGACATGCAAGTGCTTTGTTGATTAATTTGCTTACAACTCGAGCATTGGCTTTAACGTTGGAAGATGAACATATCTGGCCTAATCCTATACGGAGACTCATTACGGGGTTATGAGAAGTAGAGGAAGAGGAACAAGAAGAGTGTAGGTTGTGGAGTTAATTGATTTCTATATCATCCTTGAAATTGTGTTTTATGTGCACAACATATAGGGTTACAAAATAGGAGTCAATGGTCCTTATCGCCACCTTATTTCCACCTTATTTCCGTCTTATCTATACATCGTTGATAAGCTCTAAACAAGCATCTACACAGCTTTCAAGATCACCCTTCTTCAAACGAACCAAGTCTGTAAGTACCCCTTTATCCATATCCGGAAAGATCTCTATGAGACTGTTTAAGGTTGCTTGTAATTGCTCTGTGTCTTGCGGTGATTCACCCGAACGTTGTTCTTGAGCCAGCAGTGGTTCAGGTGATGGTGAAAGGAAACTAGTTATTGATTTTGTCAACATCCCTGCGCTTGTTAAAAGTACTCTTGATGGCGATAACGATGATTCGGTTGAATATGGTAATTGTTGTTGTGTTTGTGGAATGGGCATATTTTGAACCACATGTTCTTGATGTTGGCGATTCAATTTAGCCAAATTCAAAGCTTCAATTTCCTTTCGTATCAGTTCTCGTTGTTTTTCTTCTGCATCCCATGATTCCATATGAGCATTATATTCATTCTCATTTATGGTTAAAGTGTCTTTATCAATATTTTGAATGAACCTTATAGCACCTTCTATTGATGAAAGATAATAACTTGTTTCACCACTTTCCAACCATTCTGTTCCTCTAAAGTTTTCAATATAATGAACATTGCTAATGAAATATGATACTCTGGCTTTCATGATCACAAAGATCAATAATGGCATAAATTCATCAGCATTAGTTTCTTGTTCAACTGATTTCAAAAATCCAAATATTATTTTGCAACAATTTAATATGCAAATGATTTTATCTCTTGGAGCTCTGTAAACATTCAATTTGTTTAATTCAGTGCCTGCTTGATCAAGAACTTTCAATTTGGAACCTCCATTGTCACCAAGTAAACTCAAATCAATATCTAAATGAATACCATTTACCCAACTAAACTTCTCTAATTGAATGGAAAAGGTATTATCCAAACTTAAATCTTCTTTAAACATTTCAGGTATTAAATTGATGTCATTCCCCATTTTGATTTCATATTCTGGTGGGAAACATTGTTCATAGATTCTATTCATGATTAATTTCTCCAACCCTTCTCTTGAATTTTCCAGATCCGCTGCATTCATGGATGCAAATGGTTCATAAACATTAAACTTATCATTAATGAAGCTTTTGAACTCAGAAACTATCTTGATCTTTTGTGCTCCAGTGAACGTATGGCCTTGACGAGTAAACAGAATAAGAAACGAGCGGATATAGCGGACTATGGGGTTGGCTGATTTCCGTTTAAGATTACTAAGAAAGTTTTGGAAATTGAATGGATGATGTGATGGTTGATATTGTGGAGTATCAATTGTAGTATTGGAATATTGTGTTGTTTCTGGAACATGATGATCATGATGATCTTGCTCAATAGCAGATAGTCTATCTTGGGAAGCTAGGGTTTGTGCTTCATCAACTGTTGATGTACTTGAAAAGTCTCTTACCAATGGGTCTAATGGGTAATCGTCAACTTCGCTACCGTTATCTTCATGATCAACTTCATCATCATCACCTCCATCACCTTCATTGATTGATTGTTCCTTCTCAATAATACCATCAGCTTGAGGCTCTTCTTGATATTGCTTTTCAAATTCTTCTATTTGATCAACCTTCTCTTCAGACACCAAACCCACTTTAGAAGAACCCTTTTCCGGTTCAGATTCATGCTCATTCTCACTACCAATGTCTTTAGGTTCATGTTGAACCTTTTCAACATCCTTGTCGTCCTCCTCTAAAACCTTATCAGGACGAAGATCGTATCTGTCAAAAATGCCTATTAAATCCGAATTGACCATTTCCCCCTGGCTCATTCTTCTTGTATCTTCAACAGAATCCATCTGTGCCTCCTGTGTAGGTGCAGATTTGGTTAACATGCTCTGTAGTATGGGAGACATTCCTGCTTTGATCCCTCCGTTTCCATTGGATAACGTGGCGGTGGTGGTTGATGTTGTAGCCTGTGACTTGGACACATTGAATGCCAAGTTGTTGAACGACATGATTGGCTAATGTGATTAAGGGGATCTTATTCATTATGTAGTCATCTACATTTAGATTAGATTACGAGAGTCGTGCACAAACCACAATATACACTGGTTATACTATGAATACTATTTAAGCTTTAACTTTAGCTTAAACCCACCTTTACCCTTGGGTTTTTCTGTTTCAGCTCCTTCTGGTGACGTAGACTTACTGGAGTTACCGGTGGAATGTATATATATCTTTGTCTTTTTCTTCTTTGGTGGAGGTGCACCTGAAGCAAATGGACTTCCAGCTCTTGAAAATGGTGATTGAGGTCTGTCAATTGAACGGCCTTCAGGTTCCGCCAGTGATGCTTTTGATGATACGTTTATTGTAGTATCGACACCGTTATTATTAGTGGTGGGAGATAAAGTGTTAACTTCTGGTTCTTTAGCATCATCATCATCTTTGGGTTCATCTTTGACTATTGATTGAGCATCGTGATTGTTCAAGTTTAACTTAATCTTGGTGGACATTTCTTCATGATTATCCTCTTTATTTACTTCAAATGGTACAGAAGAAACCTCTACCTTCTTCTTCTTCTTGAGCAGAATTCTCACATACCGAGGTGAAGCTTTTATTGGCTCCATCCGTATATTCTTTAATTTGCTAGGATTACTAAACTTGATAGTCACTTTGGTACCTTGGTGTAGTACGTTGGTTGAAAGTATACCACCTGCTTCTTTCTTGATAACTCTGTTAGCTGGCTGTTTCTGTTTCTTAACAGGTGAAGAGTGATTTGGAGTTGGAATAGGAGGTAATGGATTCAATTTATGATTTTTAAAATGGAATGTGATTTGGTTCCTGTTCCGAGGATTCCTAGTCATTAAAACATGCGGAATCACCACAGTCTTCTTAGCATCAACTGGTCTTTTACCGCTGATTTTATTCCCTTTCTTCGACTCATTATTATTGGTGATGGCATTCAATTTAAGAGTTAATTTGGGTGGTTCAACGTCATTTGTTTCATTCTTTCTTGGAACTGTCTTCTTAGCCTTTTCTACTACTGGAATTGTTGCTGTTGATGATACAGAAGGCCTCTTTAATGATGGAGCAGTCAACTTACGCGACAATAATTGAATCTTGAACCTTCCTTCACGACGAATGGTGATCTTGCCGTCTCCCAAATTTTTGGCTACCAATTTTTTCTTTAAGTCTTCAATTGGAACACAAGGAATCAAATAACTAACGAAAAAGGAATCGATCTCCTTATATAATACTTGACAAGCATTAAAAATATTTCGACGTTCTCGAATACCAATCAATGAAGTATGTAATAATTCCCAAAATACATTTTGTAAACCTTTACCTATGGCATAATCACGTCTAAGAATTTCAATGGCTCCATTTAATGTTTCTCGAGCATAAATATCCCGTTGGTTGCTCATGGCAGTGTTCGAACTATCTTCTTCAATGATAACCATATTAGTCTTGTTGCCAACATTTTTGGAACCATCCAATAATTTGGCATAGGTTTTAAATTCAGGATCATCAAGTGTCGAAGGTGTACCATCAATAGCTGCAAAGGCAATGGAGTCAATCAAAACTGAAATCAAACAACTCTTGAAGTTCAAATTACTATTCTCCAATAAAACAGTCTTTAAAAAGTATTCAAGAATAGTACTATTCTTCAATCCTCCTAATTGAAATAAACCTTTGAAAGCTGCGACTCTAATGCTATAAGGGTGTTTTCCAATAGTGTAGAAAAGTAAATCTTCAAATGATAAATCGGCCAAATTGTGTAAGGTAAGTCTAATTTTTTCTTGAAGACAAGTTACCCCGAGAATTTTATGATATGAAGGAACCCATTCGTCTAATTTCTGGATTCTACTGATTTCTTCCAATACTTCTTTGGAAAACTTGTGTTGATCATCCAGAATGTTTCTTGTAGTAGAACTTGCTCCTCCTATTTGTAACGAAAGATTAATTGGTGAGTTGCCTGTTGCACATTGTGAAAGAGCTTCAATAGTCTCAGCCATATAAAGACAATCTTGGTAAGGGTTATTTGTATTGTCATTATATTTGACCACATTCATTAATAATCTGCAAACTGCTTGGGGCACTTGGCCTTCATCATCTTGGATCAGACACAATATTTTAGGCATAGCCTTTTGTAGAAGATAATGACTCAAGTCACTGAAATCATTACTCACAGGAATCAAACTGTTCTTGTAACAAAACAAAGACTTGTAAACTCGAATTAAGTACAGTAACCCAATGAAGTTGTTACTTGAATTAGATAATTTGGCAAGTGCCTTGGCAGCAGCAATACGAATACCATAATAATATCTGGAATCAAATATTGTTCTAGTTAATACCGTACAATGAACAGTATTAGGCTTCCCCACATTACCAAAATATTGAACAGCATCATATTGAGCTTCAACGTCTCTATCATGTTGTAATTGAGACCCATACATATAATCTTGTTGCTTGACATTTATCTTTGCTATCCATTCAAAATCTGAATCCACACGAACCCACTCTAACGCATCGCTATTCATTGGGTCATCTTCTTGTCGTTCCCAATCTGCAAATTCCCAAGCTGCCTTATCTGCTTCACTAGTTAAAACATCACCAAATTTATTGAATGCAGAAATAGGATCATTTCCTTCTTCTTTATTCTTTTTAATTCTTTTATACCTTGAATTATATTGAATGTCCAATTTGGTATAAGCATCTTTTATATCCACAATATGTTCATATGGAGTACCATCTGCTTCATGAATTCTAATAGTCATTGGTCCAGTAAATAATGGTTGTACCGAAAACACCGGTTCATTATCCAAATATGATATCGAATCATTTATAAAAGTCAGTGCCTTCGGGTGATGCTTCCGGGTATCCAAGTTTTGAATCTGTCGTATACTCATTTCAACCAAAGATCTTTTTTTATTGAACCGTTGCATAATATGGAAAATTGGAACTCCAGCTCCATAAACCCATTGCCTAAAGAATTGGTCCAATTTATTCCTATTGACCTTTTCACAAACATGTTGAAAATGACTGGTGGATAATGTACTATTTGGTAATTCACTGGACATTGCTTGTAAAAATAATTTTGGTAATACTCTTGATAAGCCAAAGGACTTGTCAGTCTTTGTCATCCGTCTATCCAAAATGTAAAGGACTATTGGAGCCTTTAATTTAAGAAACCCTAAATCCTTTTCTGATATGGGGAATCTGAAATATTGGGTTGCAAGTGGTTTCTGTCCAATATCAGTATCTGCAACTTCATTCATTGTATGTTTTATTCTGAATTTATACTCATTAACCCCCAAAATAGTCTTTATGAATTGTAAAGACATGAACCTGGCAATCCCCACAATACACCATAAATCATTATAGTCTTGAGGAGTTATGTTGATACCTGACCATTGAGATGCAATGGAATCCACAAGCAACAAGGTATTTTCAAATATCGGTTCCAATAATGTTGGAGGGTATAATAGGTCCGAATCTAAGATTGAAAGTCCAGCAAAACTACATGTTGTAGTTAAATTGTTATCCACAAAGACAATGGAATATGAAGTGAATGGGAAGGAACCAAATTCTTTCAGAAAAAAATCAAGAACTTTAGTTGCAACAATACAAGTATTTTCAGCATCATCCATTCGATCAGGTAAACAATAAAGCATAATCAGTAAACCTGAAGATTCTTTATCTAAATCTTCAAATTCTAAACGTTCACTAAAGTTGTTTTCTTCTTCATTATCTCCATTGTTGTTCATCAATTCCATTAATTGGAAACATCCTACTGCCCAACCAACATGTTGAGCGCAAACAGGGTTGAAAATAGACCAAGAAACAACCTTCTTGGATAAATCAATAGGATGAGGAGTCTCTTTAATGTTATTATAATCTCCTGAACATACTACCAAATCAGCAGAGTCTTCTTCTGTTTCTTCATCATCACCCATTTCAGAAGATTCAATATTATTATCAAAATGATTACCGTCTTCATCCAAAACGTTTTTTCTTCTCTTTTTCTTTTTCAAATGAGCTAAAGCTTCTCTAGACCCAATGATACGAGGCATACCTATATCTTTGACTGTTCTAGGAACACTTACTTCTAAAGTCCACGTTGATCTGTCCCACATATTATCAACACAGGGAACCCAAGATGATGTGGAAATATTATAATCTGCATTGGTGGTATAAGCATGCCAGAACTTGCGGTCGTCAGTTTGGTCAACCGAAAAATTAACACCATTCTGTGGATTTATGCATTCATATTCAATCTTAACCACTATAGGCGAATAGAATTCACTTGTTGTTGCCTTTGATCGAAGATGCAGTGGAGTATATGTATTCATTTGACTTCTTGGAGTTTGTAAAGAACTATTGTTAATGTCTGTTGATTCAAATTTGAGTGTTTCTGGAAGCAATATGGCAAGCTCTTCTGTATTACCATTTGTTGCAGGAGGAGATTCTTTCCTTATATCATAATTGTACTCCCCAAGAATATAATTCAATCTCTGTCGTATCAAATGATGCTGATGAATGGTGATACTATCGGAATAAATATCCATAACATTGATATTTTTGGCAGTTGTCGAATCAAACATCTTAGGATCATTAATAAATAATCTATCATCATAAATATAATTTGTTATTCGTGATCCATTGATAAATACTTCCTTAATCTTCATCTCACGACAGTCCAACTTAATAACTCGTAATGTATTGGACGTGGGTATTAAAGTGATCTCCGTGAACCCTTCAATGCGTTTTCGAGAAAGATCAACATCGATATTAACTCGTTGATGTCCGACTTTGAACAATTGTGACAGGAGATTGACCTTGTTTCGTGAACTCCGGTTTCTTGGTGTAGTCGCATCTACGCCTCCACCACCTCCATTGGTCAACTTGCTCATTCCCAAATGGGCCAAGTCTATATATGGGGTCGACGCGCCCATGTCTGGAAAAAGACTTTGTGTTAGTGGGTGGGTTTACTTGCTTATCACCGCCACAGCAGTCAATTCTAAACTGATGTGTTTACTGTTTGTTTGTATGGCCATTTAACTAGTCAATAGTTTTTCAATGGTCGTGCTCACACCAATAGAAGAGTATAAAGGTCGCAAAAATATACTGAAATAGTACTAAGTATGCTGATATAGAATAAAGTAATATATAGAGTAAAGTATATAGAATAAAGTATAAATAATAAAGTATAAATAAGTAGTAAAAAGTATACTAAAGTAAACTAATATAAGTATATTACTATCTATTAATGTAAATAATTGTATAATTATATGCTTATTCTATCTCATAATCAACATAATCATAAGCTTCATTACGTAAGCCAGCTCCTGGTATTGCAATGATATCACCATTAAAATTAACAATAATTGGCAGTGATTCAAGTGCTTTCCCCTTTACATTGAGCTTTTGAGTAAGATATTTACCATGGATTTTGTGACAATATGGAGCAAGTTGTAAGTGAACCGGAATTTGCAGCCTAACCCGAATCCATAGTCTTCGGTCATAAAAGACCCAATTACTCCATTCTGAATCTCTTAGGTGAATATTGAACTGATTGTCTTGGTAAGTGTGTTTTTCCATATTCTGTCTTGAAATCAGTAGCCTTATCGTATCTTCTTCTTGTTCTGGTACAAGGGTAAACTTCAAGTTCAATGCTGTGATGGTAATTGTACTAGTGTGGGAAAATAGTCGAGGTACCACAGACCTTTCAAGCTTAGCATACATCCAATGGTAATATTTGACACTTGAATAAGGTTCTAATAGTTGGTACAAATACCTACTCAATATTGTGATGTAATTAGGATTGTTGAAAACCAGTTTGGGTAATTGGAAACTGACCAAACACAACATCCGATTCGTGGTTAATGATCCAAACTGCAATATGTAATTACTTAACTGTTCAACCTTGCTCTCAATCATATCATTGCATTCTTCCAATTGGCAGTATAATGAGTGAACATTGTTCATATCAAGAAGATTCTCTTCCATCCAATATCTTATGAGGTTTCGTTGCGTTAAATGGATATCCTTATTAGTGTGATCTTCAAACCATTCCAAGTGTTTGTTAACAGCCATATCCCGTATGTCTGATTTGAAGTACTCCAACAAGGGCCTTACCACTGTAATATTGTCAGTGGGAACTTTGGGAGCTAGAGGAAATCTTGATACGGGTCTAATACCCATTAAGCCATATAAGGTTGAATTTTGACCTAATCTTTGAACAAACGTCTCTAATTTATCATTCATATTATGACCTGTGAAGAGCAAATTTGACCCCTTTTCCTTACAAACATCACGGAACACTTGATATCTCATTTCTCGAGCAACCTCCTCAAAGTTACTTATAGAATTGACATCTTCCTGCTCATATTCCAATGGTTTAATTATATGCTTGACTCCCCATTTACTTACAATGTCACCTACTCTTGCAGCTTCTAAGCCCGAATTTTCCCGGTATTTATGGTCTATAGTCACCGCATGTACTTGGTACTGTCTATTTGGAAGATGTGAGAGCAAATATGTCAAACACATTGAATCAACACCCCCAGAAAGTGCAACCACTATGTTACCTTTTGGGACAGTTGGACCTAAACATCGAACAAGCAGCGATGAGAACTGCGACAACGATATCATAACATTGCAAAAAACAAACAAACTTACAATAAACAAAAAAGAACAATAGCAATACAATACAATCCAGGTCCTATTACTCTTATATTTATTTTGACTGACATGTACGTAATGTTGTGGGCCGCTCTATTTTTACGTTGGGAAGATGGTATAGATTCTGTCAAATATCGTGCACATACCAATCTCGCACAGCATGAGTCAAGCTCGGAAAAAAATGAAAAATTTTTTAAAGGGTATATATACTGGTTACGATTTGCAATCAATCACTTGCCCTCTGCCGTTCCTTTACCAAACAATGTCAGAACAAGGTGTTGGTCAATTCTTCAACTTCCCTGTAGAGGAGGAGAAGATCATTGAACAATGGGACGAGATTGACGCATTTCAAAGATCTTTAGAGATCACCAAGGACTTACCACCATTTGCATTCTTTGATGGTCCACCATTTGCTACTGGTACTCCACATTATGGTCATATTTTAGCATCTACAGTTAAGGATATCATTCCTCGTTATGCTACCATGAACGGTCACTATGTTGAAAGAAGATTCGGTTGGGATACTCATGGTTTACCAGTTGAGCACGAAATTGACAAGAAATTGGGTATCACTGGTAAGGAAGATGTGATGAATATGGGTATTGATAAATATAATGCTGAATGTCGTGCTATTGTTATGAGATATGCCGATGAATGGCGTAAAACTATCCGTAGATTGGGTAGATGGATTGATATGGATAACGATTATAAAACATTGTACCCTTCTTTTATGGAATCTGTTTGGTGGGTTTTCAAGGAGATTTATAAGAAGAATAATGTTTACAGAGGTGTTAGAGTTATGCCTTATTCCACTGGTTGTACTACCCCATTGTCTAACTTTGAAGCTCAACAAAACTATAAGGATGTTAATGATCCCGCAGTTACCATAGGGTTTCCCTTGGTTGAAGATGAAAACACTTGGTTGGTGGCTTGGACTACTACTCCATGGACGTTACCTTCAAACATTGGTGTGGCTGTCCATCCAGAGTTAGAATACGTGAAAATTTTTGATGAAGAAAAGCAAAGACACTACATTTTGATGGAATCATTGTTATCTACTTTGTATAAGAAACCTGCTAAAGCTAAGTTTAAGGTTGTTGACAGATTCTTAGGTAAAACCTTGGAAGGTAAGAAATATGTTCCTTTATTCCCATACTTTTACGAAAAGTTTAAGGAACGTGCATTCAAGGTTACTTGTGCTGATTATGTTACTTCTGATTCCGGTACTGGTATTGTCCATCTTGCTCCAGCTTTTGGTGAAATCGATTTTACTGCTGCTATGGATAATGGTATTATTAGTGCAGATGTTCTTCCCCCCAACCCAGTTGATGATCGTGGTTGTTTCACTAAAGAGGTTTCTGATTTTGAAGGTATATACGTGAAAGAGGCAGATAAGTTAATTATCAAGAAGTTGACTGAAGAAGGTAGATTACTTGTTAGCAGTCAAATTATGCACTCTTATCCATTCTGCTGGAGATCAGATACTCCATTATTATACAGAACAGTTCCTGCTTGGTTTGTTCGTGTTACTCCAGTTGTAGACGATATGTTAAAGAACGTTTCAGAAACTAATTGGGTTCCTCAAGTTATCAAGGAAAAGAGATTTTCCAATTGGATTGCCAATGCTAGAGATTGGAATATTTCAAGAAACAGATATTGGGGTACTCCAATGCCCATATGGGTTTCTGATGATTATGAAGAAATGGTTTGTATTGGATCCATTGAAGAATTGAAACAATTATCTGGTCGTGATGATATCACTGATCTTCATCGTGATAGTATTGATGATATCACAATTCCTTCTCAACAAGGCAAGGGTGTTTTGAGGAGAGTTGAAGAAGTTTTTGATTGTTGGTTTGAATCTGGTGCCATGCCTTATGCTTCCAAACATTATCCATTCGAAAACGAAGAAAGCTTTAAAGGTGCTTACCCTGCTAACTTTATTTCTGAAGGTTTAGATCAAACAAGAGGTTGGTTCTATACCTTAACTGTTTTGGGTACTCATTTGTTCAACACTGCTCCTTACAAGAATGTTATTGTTAGTGGGTTGGTGTTGGCTGCAGATGGTAAGAAGATGTCTAAACGTTTGAAGAATTATCCTGATCCTTCTTTGGTTTTGGAAAAGTATGGTGCTGATGCTTTAAGATTATATTTGATTAACTCTCCTGTTTTAAGAGCTGAAACCTTGAAATTTAAGGAAGAAGGTGTTAAGGATGTTGTTTCATCTGTTTTATTGCCATGGTATAATTCCTATAAGTTCTTGAAGGAAGCTGCTGATCTCTTCAAGAAGGAAAATAATGAAGAATTTATCTATAACCCAGACTTGAAGTCTTCTAATGTTATGGATAGATGGTTATTGGCAGCCATTCAAACCTTAATCAAGAATATTGACACTGAAATGGAACAATACAAGTTATACACTGTTGTACCTAAATTGTTAACCTTTATTGATGATTTGACTAATTGGTATATTAGATTCAATCGTCGTAGACTTAAGGGTTATACTGATGAAGGTATTGAAGACACCAAGATGGCCCTTAATACCTTGGCTGAAGGTTCTTTGACCTTAACAAGAGCCATGGCACCTTTCACTCCTTATTTGGCAGATGGTATTTACACTAGATTGACTGGATATTTCAAGAAGGAATACTTGGAAAGCATTTCTATTAATGCTAAATTACCTGATACCAGATCAGTTCATTTCTTAAAGTATCCTACCCCCAATAAGGAATATGCTGATGAAGCTATTGAATTGGCTGTTTCAAGAATGCAAAGTGTTATTGAATTGGGTCGTAACATTAGAGAAAAGAAGATGATTTCTTTGAAGACTCCATTAAAGGAATTGGTTGTTATTCATCATGATCCAAAGTTTTTGGAAGATGTTGAATCTTTAAAGAATTATATCATTGAAGAATTAAATGTCAGAAACCTTGTTATTACTCAAGATGAAGACAAATATGGTGTTGAATATAGTGTTGTTGCCGATTGGCCAGTGTTGGGTAAGAAATTAAAGAAGGATGCTAAGAGAGTTAAAGCTGCTTTACCAAGCGTAACTTCTGATGAAGTTAAAGTATTTGCTGAATCAGGTAAGATCACAGTTGATGGTATCGATTTGGTTAAGGAAGATTTACAAATCTTGCGTGGGTTACCTGAAGATAAGACATCTCATGGTTGTGAAGTTAGATCCTCTGGTCAGTTGTTAATTATTTTGGATGTTAACTCTTATCCTGAATTACAAAGTGAAGGTTTAGCCAGAGAAATCATTAATCGTGTTCAAAGATTACGTAAGAAGGTTGGTTTAAATACCACTGATGATGTTGCTGTTGAATATAATTTGATAAAAGATACCATTGACTTTGCCAGTGTCATTGAGACCAATAAGGACTTGCTTTCCAAATGTTCAAAGAAACCATTGGTAGAATTCAGTCAAGTTGAGAACCAAAACCAAATCATTGCTGATGAAGAACAAACCATTAATGATACTGTTTTCAACTTAAGATTGTTGAAATTGTAATAGAAATATATAAACATGAATTAAGATGTTCCATCTATCGATACTCCTATCCATTCACTAATGGAATCGTCTGTAATAAAACCAGCGATGGTGCTGCCTTTATACTCAACGTATCCATGAGTGTTGATCATAAGTCTAAGCATATCAAAACTAGAAGCAGTTGCACCACCTGTTGTTTCTGTTGCTATCTCAAAGTCAATAAGTCTAGCATTCTTACCTATATGGAACGTCACTTGTAGACCATGAGTCGCACTCTTGAACGTATGAGTGAACAGTGGAGTGTGGCCAAACCTCCAGGACCATTGCTTAAGTTCTTCCACTGTTTGAAGCACCTCCACCGGTAACGGTGTGTCTTCGTCGATGGTGAATGTAGTACAGGCATTTTCGGCAAAGCTTGGTAGACCTAGCATCTCGTCCAACTCATTGATGGGCAGCACGGTTACCCCGTAATTCAGTGCGAACCCACTACTAACCAATTGAATGAACCTGTCGATGGGAATGCCAATATTAACTACCGGAGATCTTACAGACTTGACGGAACTCTTTAAGTCCACATGACCGACCTTGGCTTCATCACGACGAAGAAGCCTCCTTAGAACGTCCAAATTCAGTGATAGAAGCATTGTACCATGATGATACGATTTACCCTTGGAAAGCTTATACGCTGAACCACTGACTTTCTTACCGGTTGGACCATCGACGATATCTCCTCGGTCGTTAACCTTCAAAGAGCAAAGCTCAGTGATACTTTCGGTGATAAGTCGACTGAAATTGAACCGATCAAACTTTTGCTTAGTGGTCATGAATGAATAGTTGACGTTGCCTAAATCGTGAACCACAGTTCCACCACCAGAACGACGTCTGACCAAGGGGATCCCCAAGGCATTCAACAAGGGTAGGTTGGTTTCTGCCCATGGGTTCTGGTTCTTACCGATCACAACACATGGAGAGTTGACGTAGAGCATTAGTCTGTTGCAATTGTGTTCGTCTTCAGATGTAGGGAGTGGCATCTGGTTGTAGATGTAGTCTTCAATCGCAAGGTTAAGGTACGGATCATGAAGCTTGGAACTAAAGATGATTGGTTGACGTAGACAAGCTGTCTCTGAAAGAGATGCAGTAGCAGCAGCTGTAGCTGGCACCGGCTCTGCAGATGCAACATCAGACCTCAGCTCGAGTCCAAGTAATTCCTTTTGTCTTAAGACATCGGGAGATTCCTTATACAACTGGAACCCAGCCAACCCAAAGTCATCATCATCAACAGTGGTCAAGTCGTCCTCAAACGGCACTTGGAAATGCGTACGTCTAACAAACACCGTCGGTAGTCTGCGGAGCTTGGGTACGACTGATCTAATCATGAGTGGGGGTAATTCAGTGAATGGTGACGGTGGATGGTAGTTGGCGTAGTGATGAGATCAAATCGCATACACAAAAAATATATACTTAAGTGCATGTCTTTCTTTTACGTATCATGGACAGAAACAACGTATTGGAGAAACGATTGCTTTCTCGGAGTTACTCCTCCCGGAGAAAGATAAAGGAGATCTTGGAAACAAGATATGTCTCTCTGGGGGACCAAAAACCTTCTCTATTTCTTGTACCAACCAAAGGGTCGTCCGATGAGGGAGGGAAACAGACATCAACCAAATCATTACTACATGTGGAGAAACCTAAAGACCCTATCAGTAAGGAGAGGAAGACTCGAACACGACAAGAGTTCAAGACTTATATACACGAGACTATGAAGAAACAAAAGGCATTGACTAAACGAATCACTCGAAATCGTCAAGTAAATGTACATAAACTACTTGATCATTATCAAATCCCAAAGTATGAAGATTATACAGAACTTAATAATCTTTGGCAGAAATATATGCATGATTTGCTATTCAATAACACTAAAGCTGGTGGTGGTGGTGTTACTTCCACCGAAGAAGATATTCAATTACCTTCATTAGCCTTTATACTACCGAAACTTTCCAGTGCCGAATATGTTGGATGTATGTTGACAGTGTTACAATCTAAAAACACCAATTTGATTGGAATACGAGGAATCGTTCTCTGGGATGCCCAGCATTCGTTTATTGTTGTTTCTCCAAGAGATACTCAGGCCAATGAAATTGCTGAAGCCTCAAAGTCTCCTCCTTCCCCCACAGAATTAGTTGGAGGACTCAAAATCTTGCCTAAAACAGGAACATTATTTGCATTTGACATTGTGCTAAACGATCGAACATGTATTGGATTTACCATTGTTGGGTCCAGATTTGAACTTAGGTCTATAGATAGGGCTGGGAAGAAGTTCAAAAGTCATAACGTAATAGATTTATAGTATGATAAAATGTTATTATTTCCGTTTAATTTCCATCAATTGCTGTAAGAGTAAACTACTGCTTCGTTCAGTATCATGCAGTAACAGATGGATTATCTTTTCAACATCATCAACTTCGGTTGTAGAAAGTTTCTTAGTCCTGAGTAGATGAGTGATTTCTTCCATAAGTTTTGATTTGTCAATAGAGTCATCTTCTATCTCCATCTCAACAGTCCCCCTTATTGAACTATCATCATCAACTAATAAAAGGTCTTTGAAATCAACATTGAATCCAGAAACCTTTTCCTTGGAAAACTCAACCAATTCATCCAATAACCCTTCAAAGTCATCTTCCTTTGTTGTCTTCTCATGAACGGTTTCAAACTCCTTCAATACATTACTTAGATTGATTAGCTCGGAGTAGTTATTGTATATAATGGATTTCTTCGACAGCTTAAGCAGATTGAGCTTATCTGTGTGGACATTCCTTAATGCTAATATATCTTCTATGCATGATTTGGTAGCATATTCTTCAACATCATCAACACCAATAGATTCGGGTATTGAAGCATTGCTTGAGGCTATTTTATCAGATGACAGGTTCTGTATATGATAAAAGTCCTGAAGAGCCTTCCTTCTCAGTTTGGTACTCATTGCTGATGAAGGATGGAACAGTATGGAGACTAATATTGATTCGGTTGCAGTTGTATATTTGTGTGTGTGCGCTACCATGCGAATCTAATGGTATATAGGTTGGTGTCTTCTTCAGTAGGTATAAACTTCTGTGATAGTAAACTGCTCTATTATGTTCTGTAATATTATAGTACTTTATTATGCTACGTTCTGTATTAATCGTGACTCCATGCATCTAAATAGATTTTATCCTCTTCCTCTTCTTCAACAGGTACTTTACTCCCATAGTCAAATATTGAAAAGGTAGTTGAATCTTGAGGACTAAGATTATTTTGACTTTCAAAAGCTTTACCAAATTTACTTTCCACCAAACTTTGCCACGGAACTGTATATTGGTCAAAGGAATTATTGGCAAGTTCAAGTTTATCATCGTATACCAATAAATTGCATAAACTTCTTATATTTGAAGAATTCAATTCCACATTAGTCACATCATTATTAAGAATAAATTCACATATGGCATCTAAAGTTGCAAATCCAGAATATCCAGCAGGATATGATGCTTGAACAGGATTAGCTAATGTATCAGGTTGAAAGAAATGAGGATACGATCTTGTGGCCACAAATTTCCATATCAAAAGTCCTAAACCTTCTACAAACCCTGTATCTAATTCTGAATCAGTGAAAAATGGTCCACCTATAACATCTAATGCTGGTTGTAAATTGTACAACATATAAATCTTTCTTGTAGGATGTTGTACTGATTGAATGGTTTTGATATATTTCTGTCCTTCTAATGACTTTAAACATTTGTTAACTACCTTCTCATGTAAATTTGTTCTTGCTTTAAGGGCTTTAACCCAAAGTCCTTCTCTGCCACTAGCTTCAATATATGAATAAATCATCTGTTCATCATCGGTCATCTGATTCACAAGCATGGCTTCCAGTTGTGGAACTGCTTTGAACATCAACTCTCCATTTTGTTTGATCAACTTACACAACTTACGATCAACCAATTCTTGAATGAGTTTCATTAAATCAGTGGTATTCTCAAGATGAGCTAGCTTTTGCATGCTATGTTGGTTATGGAGGGAGTCCTCCACCTCCAACATCTTCTCATGCAATTGGTGTGCCTGTTCGGAGAGCTCGTCCATATTGACTGGTAATGATAAGATATGGTTTAGGTACTACAAGTTAATCACGGGTGGTTTGTTTAACGGTAAGATCATCGGAAGCCTCATTGAAAATTTTTGACCACTTTACACGAACGTTGATACTTGATGCTACAAGTTGTATTGCTGATTTCGATGCTCAACATCCGGTAAAGTCTCAATCTCCGATCAAGATGGCTGATGCTGGTCCCAAGAAGCCAATATTCAAGAAAAAAGTAGCAAGAACAAGTGGACGTAGTCGAAGAACAACAGATATTGAGGAAGATGAAGATCAACAACTACCATCTGTGCTTCACAGTAAACCCAATAGTAGGTTTCAGAAACCAATGAAAAAGAAGAAAGACATTTCCAAATATATCAATATTATGGATGATATTGACGATGATACTGAATTCCAATCTGAATCTGTTCAATCTTTGGAATCAGCTATTGATGAGGGTGTCACCATAGAGAATATAAGTGAGCTACCCTCCGACATACAAACACAACTACAAGCGAAGGCTAGCCCTGTAATTGTGCCACCAGTAATCAAGAAATATGTTCCTATTCCAAGCCAAAGAGAACGAGAAGATATCAAAATTTCCAAGACGGACTTGATCAATGAATATAAAGAGGATGACCAATACGGAGAAGAGCTTAACGAAGACATTGTGGACCACGGTGATGAAGACGATATTGATGCTACAGATTTAATGACTGAGGGTAATGATAAATTATATATCAGTGGTAGGGCTCCTCGGCTTCCAGATATTAAGGACTACAATTTGGAAATCGATGATGATATAATTGATACCAGACTTAGCTTGAAACAACTAGAGTCGCAATTGAATGACATAACTATCCATGGAGAAATCGCCCAAGTGACTCAAACAATTACCACACAGAAGCAAAGTAGAGAGACCGCATTACATGATATAGCGAGTCTTGAACAACAAATAATGAGCATTAGTCATAAGCAAGAACTACTATTACAAAAGTTGATTGACCAATGTCCTCCTACATCATCATAGCTAACTCAGATTTACGCAGACAAATATACGGATGTGCGTAATTTTCAGAACGCAACAAAGAGGTGAAAAAATTTTATAGATCTCGAACCGCGCTTAATCTTTATTCACCAATAAAATTATTGCCTATTTGGTGTGAGTCACTTAGCTTCTCCTCCCTCCCTCCATTTGGACTATAAGTACGGCATTGGAAAACCATTAACCTTTCTTTTCCATTTCTCCAGAAAGTTCTTTTCAGAATGCAGTTTATCACCAAAAGAATGTTCAGCTCAAGTATGAAAGTAGGCACTAAATCTCCAAGACATTTGGTTAGTATGATGGAATTATCCAACGAAGAACTCTACTCACTTGTTAGCAAGGCTGAAAAATTCAAGAGCATTGTCAAGAGTAATAATGTTAAAGAACAACAAGCATTGCACAACAATTTGTTAGGTAAATTGGTTGCTATGTTATTCACCAAAAGATCTACCAGAACCAGAATCTCAACTGAAGGTGCAGCATCCTTCTTCGGGGCCCAACCAATGTTCTTAGGTAAGGATGACATTCAATTGGGTGTTAATGAATCGATGTACGATACTACCAAAGTTATAAGCTCAATGACATCATGTATCTTTGCTAGGGTTGATTCTCATAGCCAAATTCAAGAATTATGTCAACATTCCAGTGTTCCTATTATAAATTCATTGTGTGATTTGTATCATCCATTGCAAGCTATAACTGATATTTTAAGTATTAAAGAAACTTTTGGTAGAACAAAGGGTTTGAAGTTAGCATGGATTGGTGATGCCAATAATGTTATTAATGATTTATCAATTGCCTCTTTAAGATCGGGAATGTCTGTTTCGATTTCAATTCCTAAAGATATACAGTTTGATTCCAAAATTGCAACCGAAGCTGAAAAGTTGGCCACAGAACAAGGAGTTACTTTTGAAATTGTTAATGATCCATTGGTTGCATTAAAAGATGCTAATGTGATTGTAACTGATACTTGGATATCTATGGGTCAAGAACTGGAAAAAGTAGCAAAATTAAAGCAATTTGCTGGTTACCAAATTACTCAAGATATGCTCAAGCAAGGTCAAGTTGCTTCTAATTGGAAGTTTATGCATTGCTTACCAAGACATGCTGAAGAAGTTGCTGATGATGTTTTCTACAGTGATCAATCCATTGTGTTTGAAGAAGCTGAAAATCGTTTATATGCTGCTATGGCTGCCATTGATGGGTTTGTCATTAATAAGGGTGACTTATTAAAGTAATAACATACTAACTTTGATATATTGCAGTTTATTTATCAGTGTTCGAACACCATTACACCCTATCATTTCCTATATGTGTGGGGGTACCTGATTGGGTAGTTGAATGCGAATCCGCTAGTGTAATATCATATGTCCTGCACGTACGTAGATTGTTCCCAATTAGGTCGAATGCGACAAGTCCTCAAATAATATATAAATATGCGGAGATTATTCCAATTAATTGTGGACAATATCATCAATACTACTTTTATACATATAATTACTATTATGACTACTACAGTATTTGTTTCCGGGGCCACTGGGTTCATTGCTCAACACATCATCAAGTTGTTACTTGAAAAGGGCTACCATGTGGTTGGTACTGTTAGATCTACTGAAAAGGGAGACTCTTTGAAGGCCTCCTTAAACAGTGACAACTTTAGTTACGAGATTGTACCAGATATTGGAGTTGAAGGAGCATTTGACGAGGCATTAAAGAAACATCCAGAAGTCACTGTATTCTTACATACTGCATCCCCATTCCATTTCAAGACCACTGACCCTGAAAAGGATTTGTTGTTACCTGCTATTAATGGTACTAAGAATGCCTTGAGCTCAATTAAGAAATATGGTCCTCAAATCACCAATGTGGTTGTGACTTCATCTTATGCTGCTATTTCAACTGCTGAAATGGAAAATGATCCTTCTCATACTAATAATGAAGATTCTTGGAATACAGTTAGTTGGGAACAAGCCATTTCTAATCCAGTTCATGGTTATAGAGGCTCCAAGACTTTTGCTGAAAAGGCAGCAAGAGATTTCGTTGAACAAGAAAAGCCTAACTATGTTTTGGCTACCATTAACCCTTCATTCGTATTTGGACCTCAAGCTTTCTCCAGTCAAGTTGGTGATGTTTTGAATACTTCATCTGAAATTATTAATAATTTATTGAAATTGGGGCCAGATGGAACCATTCCTCCAACTGTAGGAGGATTCGTTGATGTTAGAGACGTCGCTCTTGCTCATTTGGTTGCATTTGAAAAGCCAGAAGCTAAGAATTCCAGATTATTATTGAACTCTCAAAGATTCAATAGTCAATCTATTCTTGATGTTTTGAATAAGAGTTTCCCTCAAATTAGAGGTAAAATCCCCGTGGGAATTCCTGGTTCTGCTCCAGAAGCTTTAGCTAAAATGTGTAAAATCGAAAACGAAAGAACAAGAGCATTGATTGGTCAACCATTGATTGAATTAGAACAATCTGTTGTTGATTCCGTGCAACAAATTCTTGACACCAAGCCAGATCTCTTTGCTTAACTTATATTAATACACTATATACACTCTGGATCGTACTGCATACGCGCTAAAGATTTTTTCAACTGATGAGCATCAAATAGTCAAGACTTGACTGCTACAACTACCACTAGTCAGTACTGTAATTATGCCTTCCAATGCACTTTCCAGTGTGAAGGAACAATCGCTACAAAAGCTTAGTCATTATGGTCCTGTTACCAGCTTGAAAATCTTCAAGTCATCGCTCATTCTTGCAGGCTACGGTCCTATTTTGAAGGTGTATAGTGTGGATAAGGCTAGCAATACCACTAAACTCATCTTTCAGAAACAAGTATTTGGTAGAAACAAGATCCACAGCATTGCTGTTTCTGATGAGGGGAAGATATTGGTGTGTGGAGGAAGATCATTTGCTGTTTTAAAAGTAGATGAAGAGCATTGCAAACTTCAAGTTGGATCTGAAAGAGCTATCAATGAATGGATTGTTAGTTGTGCTTTCCTTAATGAAACAACAGCTTTGATATTGAATTCCCATAACACCGTTTACAAAATAGACGTTTCTCAATGGGATACTGAAGATCAGCATTTCAGTTTATTGGAGGAAGTCCATTGTAATGAGAAGTCTATCTTATACAGTGGGTCAATTCGTATCCTAGGTAACGGTGATGTCTACGTGGCAGCAGGTACAGTCATGAATGGTGTTATTATATGGAATTATCACACCAAGCAGATCTTACATAATTTAACTGATCATGAAGGGTCTATCTTTGGGGTTAAAATTGATCGTAATGGTAAATATGTTGTATCTTGTTCTGATGATAGATCTATAAAGCTCTATGACCTTGAAACTGCTCAATTATTGGCTACTGGTTGGGGACATGGTTCTAGAATCTGGAACCTTGATTTCTTCCTTCAAATGGATGCTGATGTTAAGATTATGTCTGCTGGAGAAGATTGTACTTTACGTTTCTGGCAATATAACCAACAAGAAAGTTCATTGGATCAATTAGAACTGATAGAAAATGCACATTTGGGTAAGCATATTTGGTCTAGTGACATTGATGATGAGACATTGGGGCTATGTGTGAGTGGAGGTGCAGACGGTAAAATAAGAGTCCATGATTTACAAAATAGAGGTACTCTTTTGTCTTATTCCTTAGTTGAAATAAGCAAGCAAACCGGTTTAACATTCCAAAAAAACGAAATCATTAAACAGTATTGTGAACTTGAAGTTCAGACATTATTTCTCACATCTCATGGTCAATTTTTTGCTATGAAAGCTAATGATAGTTCATTCGTTAAAGTTACCATCCCTGAGACACTTTCAAAAGAATTCAACAACTTTGGTATAATGCATGGCTTTAAGCAGTCGAACTCAGCAATAGTTTGTACCCGGACTGGTGCACTTTTAAAGATCGCTTTTGCTGATGAACAAGAACCTTCCTTTGAGTGGATAATAGAATCATCATCTCCCAATAAAGTGACAAACTTCTTGTCATATAAGGGAGAAACTTCAACGTATATGTTTACTGATTGTCCTAATCCTCAAATACCATTCACATTCCATATCTTGGACCACAGATTGAAGATACAGAAGACACTCACTTTAGCACAGCCCGAACGAACATTCACCAGTACCTTTATGCACATTGATGAGACCAATAACTGGCTCTTTCTTGGATCAAGACACGCAACCATTGCCATTTATGATTTGAACTCAAACTCCAACGCTAATATATCATTGCAAGTCTCTGCAGTATTCAGGAAAATGTGCCCTGGAGACACCATTACCTCGATATCTTTCATAGAAGGCAATCATAATGAAGCCACATTGTTGGTAACGGTTAGAGATGGAATCTATATGTATGTGAAGTTCTCACGAGTAGAGGATCAAGAAGAATTTAAGTTCACCATACTTCAGGAGAACAAACTTTCAAAAGGATTTCTTGAAGGTGCAATGATCAAAGATGGATCATTGATAGTGTATGGATTTAAATCGTCACACTTTTATATTTGGAACGAAACCAAGCAAGTGGAAATCACCAATGAACTCTGTGGAGGAGCTCATAGGAAATGGGAACTAATTACCTATGATGAAGAAGCAGATATTGATTATAAATTCATTTATATCAACAAATCTTCTCTTTTCTTTAAGACTTTCAAAGGACGGTTTACCGATGCAAACTATGGAATAATCAATGAAGGTACCCACGGAAGAGAAATAAGAGATATTGCTATCTCCCCTGTTGCTTATGATGATGGTAATCGACTCCTTTTGACAGCTTCTGAAGACACAACAGTCCGATTATCAAGTGTGGATACTAACGGGATCATCACAACTTATTGGTGTATGAATAATCATGTTTCAGGAATGCAAAAAATAGCATTCATTAATGAAGAATACGCTGGTTCAACAGCGGCTAATGAGGAGTTTATTATTTGGAAGTTAAGCAAGCTACAAGCTTCGAAAGTTCCAGTTATTACTGAATTTGCTAGGCTTCCTCCTTCATCAGATATTCCTGATTTGCGTATCATGGATTTTACTACTATTGAAAGTACTGAAGGGGATATTATTGTTGCTGCAGTATATTCCGACTCCTCAATTAAACTCTGGTATCTTAATACTAACACAGCACAGTTTGTACCCTTAGTGGAGGATCGGTATACCACATGTTGTATATTGAATGTCAATTTCATAAAGGTTAAGGGCCAAGTTTTATTGGTAACTGGTACAACGGATGGTAACGTTACTATATGGGATGCACTGGAGTGTTTCCTATCCACCACTGATAATACCGTAACCAAACTTGGACCTATGTTGGTTAAACAGCAACTACACCAATCTGGTGTCAAGGCACTTGCAATTCAGTACAACGACAACGATATCCATATCTTTACTGGGGGTGACGATAATGCATTAGTGGTATCCAAGTTGATCCTCTCGTCCAATGAAGTTATACTTGAACCTATTTCCTTTGTTGAATCAGCTGCATCCTCCACGATCACTTCGATCTCCTTGGTATCAACCAATAAGATCTTTGTGACATCTGTTGACCAGATCATTAGACTTTGGACTTTCAATGGTGAAGACTTGGAGTGTGACGCTGCTACATACACTACGGTTTCCGATACCGGATGCTCTGATGCCTTCAGCGGTACCACCAATGGAACAAGTTTATTATTTGTAGGGGGTGCTGGGTTGAGTGTGTGGAAATGAATAGTATGTAATATTAATCTTGTTCCTGTATTTGGCGATAAGACCTAAGCCAGAGTGGAAAATAAAGGTAGTGTCCTTACACTACGTTAGTCTGTTGTCATAAGCAGTGATCTACTCACCCATTAAGTTCACTAACAACAGTAGCTTTGAACAATGACTGAAAGTGCTTCTGGCCATAATGATAACTATAAGCTTATGTATGAGGAATATGAAAGAGGACCGAGGAAGATAGCTGAGTTATGTTACGCAGCCCGAGTGGGTGATGTTACTAAGGCAATCCAATTGGTTGAAATTTCGGGAGTTAACATCAACGATACAGACGAATGGGATAATTCACCGTTGTTTCTTGCATCCTTGTGTGGTCATTATGACATGGTGGAGTATCTTTTAAGTTCTGGAGCTGCTTATGATAAGAATTCATTTGAAGGTGCAAGATGTGTTTTGGCAGCACTAACTCCTAGAATCAAGAGTCTTCTTATAAATTCATCACTTTCCAAAAAGTTTGATGATCTGGAACCATTTACAAGTCATATTTATGGGATTTATAGTTCTTCTAAACCTTTATTTTATGGTGATGTTATATTGCAAATCCACTCCAACCATTGGAAACAAGAATTTGCACTTCATTGGTTCATCATACAAACTAGACTTGGGTTTTTAGTTAATTTGGCAACCACGAATAACAGTAGTTTGTTGATTATTCAAGATGCAGAGGGATTGGAGAGTGTATCGTGGAAAGCTTTAATCAACTATGCATATTTAAGAGTAGAAGATACCCAAAGAGAAGAGTTTGAGCTGATACTACGGTTTGCTCAACTACATCATTTAGATGACTTGATTAGAGATGTCAAGGTATTTGGTGATATTAGAGAACGACAAGTCTACGGCAAACTAAAGGGGAAGATCACGTCCAAAATGATCAAGAATGGTATACTGGATTTCACCCACTTTTTTCATTCTCATATAATTGTGAATAAGTTAAGTGTACCATGTAGTGGGACATTTGAAGCACAAAATGAAGAGAATAATGGATTTGAAGACCTTGAAATGTTTTTATCCCCAGATTGTCGGCTAAAACTTATTCAATGTTCGTCTCGTCCAGATATGATAGTTGGAGTATATGATGATGGTACAGATAGGATATGTTACTACCCAGTACATCAATCTATGCTTGCTCGATCACCATATTTAGAGACCATGTTTGGTTCAGAGTTGTTCACTGCCAAATATGAGTCCAAACCCATCAAGACCAATGACCTTGGAACAGCTACAATTGTTGATAGATATAATCTACAATCAAAACATGTACCAGTGGTTAACTTTTCTTTTGGGGCAGGGAATGCTAAGATTGCCGAAATTATACTTGAATTTCTTTATACCTGTTCAGCGGAGATAGCTTTGAATGTTGCAGCCGATATCATATTTATAGCCGAAGAGATTTTCCTTGATAAGTTGAAGGCTTTGGCCTCTGCGGCCATAGTTAATCAGTTGAACACTATGACGTTTGAAGAAATACAATCTTGTGATTTGGTATTCAAGTATTCAATCTATGATTTGATTAGAGTGTCTTGGGTCACAAAATGCGACAAATTAGAACAAGCTATTACTCAGGTTATTGCTTTAAAGTTGGATGATTTCGTTATGCAGAAGAATCAATTGAAGAAAATTATCATTGAATCGTCAAAAAGAATAGACAATAGAGAAGAAACTGATACCATTGAATTTGTTGATGATTTACGATACTATTTAACCAAAGCATATTTGGAAGATGATCCTATTAAATATGAAACTTACAGTACTTTTGTTGATGAGATGTTAATGGAATTGGACTTCAAAGAAGCCAGAGTTGATACATAGACATTAACAATAATAAAACACTACTAGAATTATCCGTACGTACAACTCCAAACCCGACAACTAATATCGACAATGCGCGTGACACTACAACGAAGAAGGTGATGTCGTGTCTGTACCAGTATATCTCGATTATCAATGACGTTAAGGGCATGTATAACTTTATATAAAGTGTTACCCGGCATCACGTACGCTTATCGTTATACTTAAAGTTAAAATTCTATTACGTGGATTGACGCTTACTAATATTGACAGTATTACTGTTTTCAACAATACTATTAATTATCTATGGATAACACGGATAATAGCAATAATACTTCGGCCAATCAAACGGCAAACTCCGGTGGCGATACACCTTCGTCAATAAACCAACAGAACATAACGCCATCAGGTGAACAACAACCAACAAGAAATGGTAATAATGATACTGGTAATGGTGCCCTTCGAGGTTATTCCAGAGCTCGGGAAATGTATCATGATTGGATCTCCAGTAACCGTGAGGCTGTAGGTCCAAGTAGTATTGTGGTTAATGAAGATCATAGCGGAGATAGTTATAATATTTTGAGTCGGATATTGGGCGGATTGAATGATAACCTTAATAATAGTAATACCAATAATAATAATAATAATAATGAAGCTCAGTCGGTACCTGATAGTGCTGATGATTCGAATCTGACATCTCCTGCGCTGACTTTATTAGGAACAGAACAAGCATCCAGACCAGGGAATGCGACTGAACGAGATTCTGCCTCTGGGACCACCACTGGATCTTCTGTCCCTGATTCTGCTACTGATTCTGCTCCAGCTAGTGGTAACACAGGTGATAGTAACAGTGACCCTTCATCATCATTTTCTCCTTCAACTGGGGCTGCTGTTGAGGGCTCCTCGACTTCCTCGTCATCAACTTCCAACCCTACTGATGCTACTGCTATGGATAATGAGAATGATGGACAAATTATCATCACTGTCAACTATGCATTTTCAGATGAAAACAACCCTGCTAACCCTAACAGAACGGGATCTTTGGTCATGACTATCCCTAATGTTGCATCAAATAGAACTCCTGGAGTTATTGACGAATTAATATTATTAGCAACCCAGTTGGCATATTCATCTATTGTTGATGGTATGAAAGTCCATAAAGGGATTACAGTGGAGAAGTTCAATTCCTTTGCCGTTCGGGATTCTGGCACATTGCTTGACAAAAACTGTTCTATTTGTTTTGAAGAGTTCCAAGGTTTGAGTCTTAATGATAATATCAAAAAGAGATCTCGTGAAGACTTATTAGACACTGTCAAGAGAAGGAAACAAGATTCACCAGCACCCACAGAAACTCCTTCCAATGACGTTACATCTTCATCAACTTCTGCATCAACTTCAACTTCAACTTCAACTTCTGCATCTACATCGTCCTCTTCAAGCTCAAGAGGTAATAATAATAATCAGCAGCCTCAATATCTTGCTGAAGTGACGACTAATTTCCTTCATGTCCCCATAGAGATACCATGTGGACATGTTTTTGGAAAATCGTGTTTATGTGAATGGTTTAAAGAACATTCATCTTGTCCCTTGTGTCGTTCCTCAGTGACTGCAACGGATAAGATGGATCCTAGTAATAATAATGAACTGGACACCACTGGGAATAATACCCAAGAGAATCCAGATAATCAAACAGGTGCCAACATCCAAGATGAATCAAATTCTACCACTACAGCCACTAATGATTCTTCTACAAATACTACTGTTGCTCCTGCTAATGATCGACCACGAATGCAAACGTTTACTATTTTTAGTACAAGCACTCCTACATCAATATTTCCTCGGTTCCCCAGAAGACCGAACCAATTTGGAGCTGCTCCGAATCCTAGAGAGGTGGTGATTCCAAATAGTACTTCTACTACCACTACTCCACGAGAAAGGGGCAATGATACTGAAAGTTTTATATCAAGTTTATTGTCACTTTTCAGAAGACCACAAACAGCAAGCCCTGAGCCTCTTTTCCCCACGACCATTGGAAGTAGAAGAACAGCAAATGGAATAGAGACAACGCATGATGAAGGAGTTCATGAGCTTACTAATTTAAGAAGTTTGATTAATGGAGAAACAAGTCAAACTAACGATACCCCAAATGATGGTGATGATAACAACGAAACCAATAACCAAGAAAATGCTGATCATAACGAAGCCAATAACAATGATGAAACCACGGACACGGCATGAGATTTAGAATTGATTTAGTTCTTTATTAGAGTATTATTATGTTGATAGACTGAAAACCTATTAAACATAGTAGATAAGGTATGAGTATATGTACATACATGAGATTATTGGAAAAATGTAGCCAATTTAGCCTTTTGTTTCTGTTTCTTTAAATCCAAAGAAGTCTCGGCTCTTTCAAGGTCCCTTTTGATACCCTCATCTTGAGGGAGAAACCCATGAGCTTGTTTCAATGATGATAAGGCATTTTCCAACTTTCTTTGTTCCAATAGGGCCACGCCACGTCTGTAATAAGCTTTAGCCAACTCTTGGTTTGTTAATTTAATACCTTCGAGTTCCAATAGCCAATCAGAGTACTGGATTACTTGTGGGTAATGTTTCAACTGAAGTTCTACCAAAGAAAGGTTTAGGTATGTTTTCTTCTTCAAGTCAACGAAACCTTTGTATACTTGAGGTTCTTGATCTTCATCTGGGATAAACTCCGCAATGTATCGAAGACATTTTTTATATTTCATAGCAGCAGATGACCTTTCACCTTTTTTATAGAGTAACGTACCGCTTTCCTTTATTATTTCACTTGCCTTGAGAGTTTCTATGGGTTTTTCAGCATCAAAGTTTCCTTCATCATCACCAGGATATTCTTCATAGATATCTCCGCCTATAGGATCGTAGCTGGCATTATAGATGGGGATTGGGTCCGATGCAGCATTCCATAAGCCGGAATCAGCAATGGTAATGATTTGCTCTTGTATTGGTACGTCATCAGAATTAGTAGTAACTCTTTCCATGGTTCTAACCACTGATTTCCCATGGATTACCTTCCCGAAAATAGTATATTTACCCGATAAGTGAGGTTGAGGGTAGGTGCTGATAAAGAACTGACATCCATTGGAATTAGGGTTACCGTCATTGGCCATTGCAAGTTTGAAAGGTCTGTCGAATGGTTCAGTGGTATTTTCAACATTGAAATGAGGTTCATCTTCAAAAGATGATTCGTTGAACTTGCCTGCCACGGGGTTTGGATAAGGTCCTCCCTCATCACCGTCAAATCTGGCGTTCCTTATATCCCCAGCTTGTACTACAAAGTTTTTGATGACCCTATGGAAATAAACACCATTATATTGATGGGAGTTGATCAAAGTGAGGAAGTTGGTCACTGCTTTGGGTGCCAAATCATTGTATAGTTGTAGGACGATTCTTCCTATCTTTTCGGTACCAATAGTGATATCCAAGAACACGGTAGGGTTAGAAGCCATGGTGATATGGGATAAGGTGGCTGTAAGGTGTTGATATGGTGATGCTCTACTGTGATGCTATACTGTGATGCTATACAGTGATGCTATACAGTGATGATCTAAGATGACGATCTAAGACTAGAGTAGTGTACAATACAAGCACTCCATTTACAAAATGAAAAGTACGAGTATTGCCCTAAGAATTGTCCCAATTACATTATATGCCCCACTCCCATGCTTCGAACGTCTATTCGAAGAGTAGCGACAATCTCTAAAGAAGCTCAAGTATTCAATGCGGCCGAGAACTTGAGTAAGCTTTTGGAAACAGGAGATCGTTCTTCTTATATCCTTGCACAGTACATTCCTCAACCTGCGAAACATACATTTCTTGCTATCCGAGCATTCAATTTAGAGATCAATAAGATCAACGATGGAGGGAATAATGCCAACTCAGTGTCTTCTAAAGCCGCTTCACTGTTATCGTCATCCTTGGGGTTCTCCACTGTGGACATGAAGTTTAAGTTCTGGAGTGATATGTTGGGGAGAATCTTTAGTGATCCTAATTCACCAAAGAATGATAACTTGGGAGAACCAATTGCTATTTTGTTGAGAGAAGGGTTAAGGGACGATTTGAATTTGGATATTAGTTATTTCCATCAGTTTCTCCAAACCAGAAGACATTTCCTACAAACAAAGCAATTCCAAAGTGTTGATGATATTTGCTCCTATGGCGAAGGAACTTATTCGCAATTGAATTACTTGGTCCAAGGGCTTTTGCTCTCACCACTGATATCTCCCTCGGTGATCAACTTATTGGAATGTTCACCTAATTTGCAGAATCTAATCACCGATATTGCGGCTCATATCGGTCAAGCCACGGCCATTGGTTCAATGATATTAGGGGTACCATATTATTCCAAGCTTAGAAATCAAATCACTTTACCCATTGAGTTGATGACCCAGTTTGATATTTCCCAAGAACAACTTTTACGATTAACCCAAGGTCATATCACTGACAAGCAAGCTCAAAAGCAAATACAAGATCAACTTAAAAATGTGGTTTATGAAACTGCTACAAAAGCCAATGATCACTTGTTAACTGCCAGAATGAAGTTTGATAACGTTAGACAAGAAATCAATACCATAATTAAGGAGAATCCTAATGATCACTTGATACAAAAACAATATAAAAACTGGAAAAAGGGGGTCCCTGATGTGATATTTACTCCCTTTATGTCTGCAATCCCAACTACTTTATATCTACAAGCACTTGAAAGAAATGACTTTGATCTTTTCCATCCCAAGTTGCAACAGAAGGAATGGAGACTTCCTTATTATTCGTTCAAGGATTACTACTTTAGGAAGTTTTAATACATAGCTGTACATAACACAATGTATATAGTAACAGTATATAGGACATACGATTTTGTAGTAACAGTGTATAGGACATGCGATTATATATTCATGGTATATACTTCTATGTACTGGATACTCTACACGACGTCGTGCGCAACCCAATACTTATCGTTTTCGATAAAGTTTCGAACACGATCAATACTTAAGCTTGTTGTTGTAAGATCTGTTAGTATAGCCGTAGAGATATTGGCTCGTATAATTTGGCTGGCGGCAGCAAGACTTTTACTATTTGTGTGTTGCGATGTTAGCAAATCATCAACCTGCCAAATCGCCCACTCCAGGACCTTTAGTGAGGCCCTTTGCCAACTTGATGAGTTCAACCAGTAATACACCAGGTGCGGAATCCATAGGGAGAGGAGTGGCAGTTGATCCGATCACTTTGGTTATCAACGAGTGTATGGCAATGGCGGCTGCCATGAGGAAAATGAGTAGATGGTCTCAATCTGGTGTAGCTGCCATATTAGGCACGGGTGATATTTTCGGGACTGGTGAAGAAGATACTATTAATACTTTGGCATCTAATTTAAGTAATAATAGGAAAACTGTTGATGATAATCCATTATCTTCTAGTTTCTTACAATTAAGGACCATTTTAACTGAAGCTAAGGATGTATATGAGATCGATAGTTTAACCATGTTACAACCCTTCCTATTGGTTGTAAAATCAGCTTCTACTTCAGGTTATATCACTTCTATGGCTTTGAATGCAATTTCCAAATTCATAGATTATGAAATCATTTCATTTAAATCTAAGAATCTTCAACAAACATTAATTCAAATCATCACTTCCTTAACTCATTGTCGATTTGAAGCTGCTGATCAAGATTCAGATGATGCAGTTTTATTGAAAGTTTTAAGATTGTTGGAAGATATTGTTAAAAGTCCCTTCTCAAACTTACTTCCTAATGAAACTGTGTCTGAGGTGATTCAAACTTGTCTTTCATTGGCTTGTAATAAGAAAAGAAGTGAAGTATTACGAAGAGCTGCAGAAATGGGTATGTCCTCAATAACTTTCCGTATCTTCAATCAATTGAAATATATTGAGCCTGAAAAAATAACAGATGAAGAATTACCAACAGATTTTCCCAATACCCAATTACCTGCGGATATTATTGGTGGAACTGAAGGAGGAGCCGAAACTCCAGTAACTAATGAAAAACAAGAATCTGTTAAAGATGAATTTCCAGTTAGCCAAATGAAACCCGAACCTGAACCTGAACATGGTCAAGAGCAAAAGGATTATCAACACCCACAAATAGAGTCAAAATATACAGAGGAACCATTTGGCATCACCTGTTTGGTTGAATTCATGAGTATTTTAGTATCCATGATAAGTCCATCTAATCAATATCAACATATGGAAAGTACTCGTGTGTTTGCCTTAACCCTTGTTAATACATCTCTTGAGGTAGCAGGGACAGAAGTACCAAATCATCCATCATTAATGAATATAGTTTCTGGGCCAATTGCTAAACATGTGCTTCAAATAATGACAACTACTGAATCTCCAGCATTATTAAAGGCGTCCCTTCAGTTATTTTCAACTATTGCTATTGTTTTAGGAAGACAATTGAAATCCCAAATTGAATTGTCATTGACCCTTTTGTACCAATCCATTTTACCAGAGAAGAAGGCAAATGACAAGCTTACTGATAGAAATAATATAACCACTAGAACCTCACTTACTAAAGAAATGCTTATTGAGTCTTTCTCCTTAATGTGGACAAGAACTCCAGTCTTTTTCACCCATTTATTTATTGATTATGATTGTGATTTCGAACGGACAGATTTATCGACAAGAACACTTGAGTTTTTGTGTGCTCTTGCATTACCAGAGTCTGCTGCTACTTCAACCGATAATGTTCCTCCAATTTGTTTAGAGGGAATCTTGTCATTTATTGGAGGAATAAATGACCGAATCAAAAATGTTAATGCTGACGTTAATTCTATCCCATTGCATCAATTAATCATTGATCGCCAACAAAAGACTTCATTTATTAGATGTACGGAGATTCTCAATGATAAGCCCAAGGAAGGTATAATTGCACTTCAAGAACTGGGTTTTATAAAGGACAAAGATGATATTCATGAAGTAGCAGAATTCTTCTTCACCAAATCAGGGAGATTGAATAAGAAAGTACTTGGTGAATTCTTGGCGAAACCAGCTAATAAACCAATATTACAAGAGTTTATTGGTTTGTTTGATTTCTCCAATTTACGTGTGGATGAAGCAATTAGAGTTCTATTAAAAAGTTTTAGGTTACCTGGAGAAGCCCAACAAATTGAAAGAGTGGTTGAATTGTTTGCTGGAAGATACGTTGAATGTATTGATACAACAAATGAATCTGAAGACTCAATTGCTCCGGATCGTGATTCTGTTTTTGTTTTATCATTTTCCATTATTATGTTGAACACTGACTTGCATAATCCTCAAGTTAAGAAACCCATGCAATTTAGTGATTACAAGAACAATGTAAGAGGATGTTATAATGGTAAGGATTTCCCAGATTGGTACTTAACCAAGATCTATAATGGTATTAAGGACAGAGAAATTATTATGCCCGAAGAACATCACGGAACAGATAAATGGTTTGATGATGCATGGCATAATCTTATTTCAAGTCGAAAGACAACTTATGATGCTCTTGACTTTGATTTACCTCAAATCTGTCAATTTGACAAGGTATTGTTTAGTTCAACTGTTGACAAATTAATTGATACTATCTTTGACGTGTACCGATCTGCATCTGATGATCATGTGATCACCAGTTTAATGTCAACTGTTGATAAGTGCGTGAACATTTGCTTATTTTATAACTTGGAGGAAGCTACTGATAAAATTATTTACAATTTGGTTGAGTTGACCTCTTTAAGTGGAGAAGTTAGAAGAATCGCCACAAATGATGATCTTCGAGAAGATATTCCTGTAACTCAAATTAGGATTGACAAGAAGGAAGAAGTCATTACTGTGAGTAACATGTCTGTGCTGTTTGGAAGAGATTTTAAAGGGCAATTATCGGCAGTTGTTTTATTCCGATTATTGAAGAAGAATAAATGCAAGGTGAGCCCAGCATGGGACAAAGTTTTGGCCATTATTTTACGACTTTTTGAAAGTTGTTTGATCAACCCCAATATTTTCACTGAGTTCCAAAAGAAACTCATTCTTGAACCACTCCCCAATGTTAAACCTCGTTATATTATCAACAGATCTAAACCATTGAATAATACAGGAATATTGTCAACATTTTCATCCTTTTTAAGAGGTTATTCTGATGAACCACCAGAACCAACAGAACAAGAAATTGAATCTACCTTATCAACAATTGATTGCATAAACTCCATCAACATTTCAAGCATTTTCGAATCAATTTCTAAGTCGAAACCTGATTTACGAGCATTTATTGAACTTTCATTGCAAGCTATTCCTACTCCGTCATCGGAGAACAAGCGAGTATTTGAACCAGAAGTGTTATTCTTGTTTGAAATACTTGTTTGCTTTTCATTACTCCTTGATGATAAAAGTGTTACCAGAAAAGTTAATGATGCTATTAAATTGGATTGGGATATAAATAAAAAGGGTAAGTTGAGATTGGTTGTCTATAAGTTTTTATTGGCAAGACAAACCGAAACTGAAGATTTATTGGATACACTTAAGTTTTTAACTGAAACATTTGATAAGGACTCATTACAGAAATACGGGGAACCAGCATTTCTGCCATTGATTTCACTTGTTGATGATGATAGTTGGTGCTGTGAACAATTACTTAACAATGAACAATATTGGAATTCATGGAGGATGTTTGCACCTGGTCAGCAATTCACCAAAAGAATCTTACAACTTTTAGAAGATTTGATTAAAGGACCACGGAAATTTATTAATCCTAATAATTATATTTCAGTTTTGGGACTATTAGATGAAATTTCTTCACTTAGTTCCTTCGTGGCTCGCTATGAACAAGAGGATCCCGAAGAAAAGAAGAAGAGAACTGAAGAACAAATTGGAGTTTTCAAGGAATTGGTGGAAATGGGTAAGATTTCCATCTCATTAACTGCCGAATTACCCAATACGATTAATCCAACTGAATTTAAGGATGGCATAGAACCATATGCTCATATTCAAGCATTGGCTCATCAATGTTTCAATCCATGTCGTGAGATCCGTGCATTTGCTCTTTCGGTGTTACAGGCTAAGGTTATTAACATTGATGATGAAAAAGATTATTTAACACCATTAGGAATATTTGACAATGGGTTACTTCCATTATTGGCCGAGTTATCTAAGCCAGAAGTTCTTTCAACTGACCCAAGTGGGTTCCCAATGACTCAAAGTGAAGCTTCTTCACTCGTGAGTAAAGCATTCTTGCAACACATAACTCAAATGCCCGTTAATGACGTTCATAGCATCTGGGCCAGGATCTTAGATGGTTTCCTTGCCTTTACTAAAGTAGAGCAGTCGTCCAAGGTACAAGAGGTTCAAGCTGAAGTATTGAAGAATATGATTTTAGTTTTACAAAGTCATAAATACTTGGAACAAGGTACACCTATTTGGACTGAATCTTGGCAAAAAGTTGCCGTCATTGCACCTTTGCTTAAAGGGGAGTTTGATATTGAAAGTGGTGTAACTCAGAACGAGGAGAAATCAGTTCCAATAGCAGAAGCTGTATAATAGGTATAGTCTTAATATAGTATGGTTGAGTTTTCAATCGTCGTGTGTGGTTCAACTCATCGCGAACATGCGAAAAATTAAAAAGCTATAGCTCAGGAGCACACTCTTTATCTTCTCGTTTACTACTCATCTTCTCTCTTCATATTACAATGGTGAATACTCAAACATATACGGAAAGAGCATCGTCGCATCCATCTGCTGTAGCTCAACGGTTACTCAAGCTTATGGATGAGAAGAAGTCCAATTTGTGTGCTTCTGTTGATGTCAAAACCACTAGCGAATTGTTAGCATTGATTGAAAAGTTAGGTCCATACATTTGTTTAGTCAAGACTCACATAGATATCATAGATGACTTTACATATGAAGGAACAGTTGTTCCCTTACTTGCATTGGCCAAAAAACATAACTTTATGATCTTTGAAGACCGGAAGTTTGCTGATATTGGCAACACCGTCAAGTCACAATATTCTGGTGGAGTGTACAAGATTGCTCAATGGGCAGACATTACCAATGCCCATGGTATTACGGGAGCAGGGATAGTCAAGGGGTTGAAAGAAGCAGCCTTGGAGACCACTAGTGAGCCTAGAGGATTATTGATGTTGGCTGAGTTATCATCTAAGGGATCATTAGCATATGGTGAGTACACTGACAAGACCATTGATATAGCCAAAACTGATAAGGAGTTTGTTATTGGGTTTATAGCGCAACGTAGTGTTGAATTTGAAGGGTTTGACTGGCTCGTTATGACTCCCGGTGTTGGTTTAGATGACAAGGGTGATGCCTTGGGTCAACAATATAGAACTGTGGATGAAGTTGTTCTGACTGGGACAGACATCATCATTGTGGGTAGAGGATTATTTGGTAAAGGCAGAGATCCTCAGGTTGAAGGTCAAAGATATAGAGATGCTGGCTGGAATGCTTATTTGAAGAAAACTGGTAGAATCTAAGTATATATAAAATAAATAAATACTAACTATGTACAATTAACTTTGAAGTAATTCATCTTCATCTATAATTCGAGCTCTTAACATTTCAAATACAAGTAATCCAACAGATATGGCTGGGATCGTAGTGATAGTGTTTCTTAAAAATCCTTTATACGCAAATTGACCCCATGTTTGTCTACTTTTTCTTTTCATCTTTAGTATTTGTTGATAAGTTTCCTTATAAGAATTATAGTAAACTTTAATGAAAGGTTTACGACGTTGATAATTTCTCGAAGCATTATAAATATCCAAAGTTTCTAATCGAGCCAAATGGATATTTTGAGCTTTAGATATGGGGTATTGGATTGCCAATAAAGAAACAGCAGCAGAGGCACCAGCCAATAAAACAAAAGCAGATTTTAAAATTTTTGTCAGTCTTTTATGTTCCATAATAATTTTCTTCTCTTCATCAGGTGAATAACGAATAGGTTTCAGAAACCAACTTAACCAATTTCTTTTGAATTTTCTCATGGAAACAATGATTCCATACGTCATATTATACATTTTAGTTTTTATGGTTTCAAAAGTACTGAAATAAAATGCAAAACCAAGACTTTCTTTAACAAATGAAAAAAGATAACCTGCAAATACTCCAGATACACCAATTTCTTTTAATTTTTTTAAACCATAAACCCAAAGATTTTGATGCAGACCATTAATTACTTCTGAAACAGAAGATCTGGTGAATATAGCATCCACTGGTGCAGCTATAAACGATTGGATTGCTCCAGCAACAAACCCACCTTTCCAAGAATTCCAATAAGTTGGACTTTCACTACCAGTTATCCCTAAATAAGTTGAATATAATACCATACCTGAGATCGAATTGGCAATAAATGGTGGTAGGATTTGATCAGGTATTAATTTCCAACCTTCTTTATTAATTACTTTGATAAGCATTGCTAATGTTGAATGTGTTCGAATCTTATAGGGTTTATCTTTTAAATTATCGTATTGTTCTGCTCTTGCTCTTATAACTGCAAAATAATCAAATCTTGAAGGTCGGAATAGTTTGGCTGGAGCCCGTAACATTATACTTTGAAGCTGATACACAACAGCTCGAACACCTGCTGTGGAAAGAGTCACGGTACTCGCCTTTATACCTGAGGATGATGACGGCAAATGTTCCTGAATCGGAGTGTCATCCAGTGTTATAGCACTCATATTAAGCAATTCATTAGACAAGTGTCAGGGGAAGGAATATAATGGAGAATAAGAACGAATGAATAAATTAATAAGGGAAACCTAAACCTAAACCAAACCAAAGTTAACAACTTAGTAGCAAAACACAACGACTACTATTAATTTTTGTGTAAGTGTATATTGAGTTAACTTTAAGGGTAATGGTATATTTTACTAGTGAATCAAAATTGGATTCTATACCTCACAGCACTGTGAGTTACCAAATATTTAAGGTTCACGTGAATGTTCACGTGACTTTGGCATTGAAAGGAGAATGTGGAGAAGTGAGGAGGAGACCGTACAAAAGTAATATAGAGTATTGCGTATGAGAGGGGTACATGTTGAAATTTTACTGAAAGTGAAGAACAAGTTTAAGAAAAATACGACATAGAAAACGATTAAACAAATTAAATAAAAAAAATTAACCTAAATTTTATTCGTATTTCATGTCAATCCTCCAACTTTGCAGATTTCAAATTAAAAGGGAAAATCCCTATCGATAAAAGTGAGAATCTAGTACTTTATATAAGATGGATACGAGATTCATGTTATTTTTTACATATAATCACATATTCCTACATCCCCACTGGATAAGAGATCATTCATTTATAATTTTTACACACACTATCTCAATACACCCCCTTTGAGTCAAAGGGAGAACATTTTAGGAGCAATTAATATGGTGGTGGTTGTTAGAATTTAGAGTTTGTGCTTTTGACTTTGAGTTTTGTGCATTGTGAATATCCTCTTACGGCTCTAAACGACAATACAGGAGATTGTTCGCTGTTTTAGGATCACCTTCAAGAGCATACCGATGATGGATGTCTGTGGAACAACTGAAAATTAAGGAACTTAGCTTAAACGATATATATATATATATATATGTATCTTTGTATCTTTGTATCTATGTATGTATCCATATGTGTATTTAGATTTTTTCAGGCTGTCTTTTTGATTCGTATATGGGTTTGGAATATACATGATGGTAGATGTTGAAATGAGTGATAAGGAGTATTCGTATTCTCTGGATAAAGGATTTCCACATAATCAAATAAATACTTCCTACAATTATACATCCACATCTGCACCTTCTACATTTTCTTCAGGATCTACACCTTCGGGATCTAAACCTTCTACATCTACACCTTCTACAGCCTCTTGTCCAACTTCTCCCAGTCGTCGTGCTCACTGTCATGCTCGTAGATACGAAAAACTTCGGTACCATTCTCAGATGAAAAAGACTTTGGGTGTACCTCAAAAGGGAGGTCGTCTGGATATTGTTACCAAAGGGTTAGGGCCTAGAAGAAATCAGAGACGGTTTGTATATAATGCAACTGTATGTCGCTTTGGAGGTTCCATGATGAGATGTTATCAAACGAACTTTGCAATGGCAATAGCACCAAGTCGTCTCCCTCGATGCTTTGATATACCTAGTGAGGGTGTAAGAGAGATATCTTCAGACGCCGAATCTGACGATGAGATATCTTCACTACTCTCAAATCTATCCGTGGAGAATCAACAACCGCAACAACAGGTAGAGCTGGCTCTACTTGATACGTCATCCACCCAGTCATAGAGTATATGGCAGTTACTGACTCTATATATATATACTTAAGTCTAATAGTATGTGCAGTGAGGTGGCATTGTAGGTGCAATCTGTGTGCGGAAAAACCTGTTACCATACAAAATTAATGAAATTTAATTACTGTGAATGTATTATCTTGCTTTGACCATTGGAACAATGTCGCAATGGGAACTACTGAATTCATTCATAGTTACGATGATAGAATCCTTAGAATCCAACAAGAGCAGATGGCTAATACAGAAAAGTTAAGTGAAGACGAATACACAATCGAGCCTCAAGATGAGCTATTGATTCACAACTATAATACTCTTCCAGATAATTGTAAAAAGTTCTGGAAGAAGCGATATAAATTGTTTTCTAAATTCAATGAAGGGATATATATGAGTTCAGATATGTGGTTTTCTGTTACCCCTGAAGCTGTGGCACTGTTCACAGCTCGATTGATTCGTGAAATGTTACCAGAGGCTGAATTTATTCTTGACGTTTGTTGTGGAGCTGGAGGGAATGCCATTCAATTAGCTACTGAATTCCCCCATGTGGTAGCTATAGATATCAGTCAGAATAACATCATTAGTACTATTCATAATGCAGAGGTTTACGGCATTAGAGATCATATTTGGTGTATTGAAGGAGATTGGATTCAAATGTCCAAATCTCCAAATTGGCTTAACCAAAGTATCCCCCATCGAAAAGAAAGTATTCACCATCCCTTTGATTTCGTCTTTAGTTCTCCACCTTGGGGAGGCAACAATTATCTGAGAGATACTTATGATTTGAATATGTTGCAGCCATTACCATTGAAACCTCTTATACAACTGCTCAGTCAATATTCTACAAACTTTGGAATGTTTCTACCTCGACTGCTGAACACAGATCAATTGAGTGAAGTTACCAAACAACTTTTTGGTTCTGAGGCTAAATGTAGAGTGGTGTATCCATATGAAGGTGATTATATCAGCGGAATCCTTGCATTTTGGGGACCTGATGTAACCAAGACACACATAGACTATGAGCTGTTTGTTGATCCTGAATACCTAATCCTTAACTCTACCCTGTTCAGTGTTGCATAGAAGAAAGGCTCCAACGACATTATAGGTGGCTTAGTGGGGTTCATATATATTGTGCCAAGCACGACCTTGTCGTCTTGAGAGAGACAAAAAAGTGATGATGAGAGTCCTCCAATATAAACAATCAACGAGACATTTTTTAACGACATTCGCCAGAACCGTGATTTACACAAGCGTGGTTCCAAACAAAAGGTTTAACAGGCCAACCAAAATATTACGTACAATAGTTTACTAATGGATAGTGAGTTGAAGTTGGAGCAGAGCATGGCAGCTGCTGTTGCCCAAGCAGCTACGCTTGTGGGCCATGAGGATGTTGAGGAAGGTGAAGATTCAGATATTGGAGATGATGAGCCAAGTGGTAGTGAATTGGACACTGCACCTACTTCTGTAGCTGGAGGAGGTGATAGATCGCATGATGGAAATGGGGTGGAATTGGATCAAGGTGTCAATGGTACGCTTGATAATGAAGTATCTAAGGTAGTTGGTGATGTAGAATCCTCTGACATTTCCAAACCAAATCAACAACCGGCACAACTGCAACAAGTTCAATCACAATCTCATCAAGTTGAAGTTGATGATATTGGGGAAATAGAATTAAATGAATTACCTGAACCATTTGCAGGTAAGCTTAAAGAGTATATTCAAAAAGCAGAAATGGAAAGGTTTCTGGCATTAACTGGTGAATTGGCATATTTAAGGGGTTATTTGGAAATTGTTCACCATAAAATTGATAAGTTCACAACTCTTTTACTGGATATTGCATCTGATGTTAAAAATCAAGATTTGGCTCACAGTTTACAAGCAATTGCACAAGATTTAAGTGCTTACCCAAAAGAAACAGATAATGAGGGTTCAAATTCCAAGAAACAACTTCTGCAACAACAACAGCAACAGCAACAGCAACAACATCTCCATCACCACCATCATCTACCTGTATCCCTTGATAGCAATATGGACCCTGCTTTACACAATGTTGCAGTTGCTGCGGTCGCACAAGCTGCTGCTCAGGAACAACAACTGGATGATTCCATGACCCATTCTCATCATCATCCTCATCATCAAGAGGAGCATACACAAAATCCTCACCAGATTCCAGGAGGGTTGTCAACCGATTCAGCGGCTGCTGCAGCACTTAAAAGACTTCAAAGACCACTGAATGACTCCCGTAAAAGAAAAAAGAGAAATGATGAAGGCAATAATGTTGATGTGGATGACGTTGATGAAGATGATGAAGATGACGCGGATCGTAGTGGACGGCTTGGGGCCCGAAAACCCAAGTTTAATGTGGAATTTCTTCACAATCCAATGAGTATTAAAGAAATATACGATGAATTCACAAAGGGTTTTAGAGGTCAAATTCCATTATGTGAAATGGATGATAAGTATGGGAAACATAATTGGCGAGGAGATTCTCGATCTAAAGAATCTAAAAGGTTTCAAAGAAGAAAGAAGTTATGTGATGCTATTCACCGAGGAATGGAAAAATATGGTAAACTGGCCGATGAGGTCATTTCTTACATTGAAACATTCCGGGATAATAAGTCATTGACATGGATTATGAATGGCAACCTACCACAGGATTTACTCACTTGAGAAGAAGAGAAGAAATGAAACAAAATAACAAACTTCTTTAGAGTTCTTTCTAAAGTCAATGGTTGCTTCCTATTTGTGTCTGATCTGCTTCTAGGTATGATTTACCAATAAGTTTTCATGTCGTGGAGTAGTTGTATTATAGTCCTTCCTATATAATGTAATAATTTATACTAAATGTAATATAATAATAATAGTAATAATGTTATTATTGAAGAATGATAATAGAACAATCATTATAGTAATAGTAATAATGTATCGGTAGTAGTTGTGTATGTAAAACCCCGATCTGGCACAAAGGTATGGAAATATAATACCGATTCTCGAAGGTTCGGTTTTGAGGTTTGTGTCCGGGTAACTCCCTCAATCGGAGCCAGAACCGGCCACCGAAAAATTTTCACTAGTGGAGGATTTAAAGGTAGTGATCCCCGGATTATGACTATCAGGAAGACTCCACTTCTTAATCAACTAACACATTCAATTCACAATAATGTTAGCTGCTAGAAACTCTGTGAGAAGCAACACTGTTGCTCGTGCTGTTATGGCCGTTCGTGCCAACTCTACAGCCTCTCCACATGGCCCAGTCATTGGTATTGATTTAGGTACCACTAATTCTGCTGTTGCCATTATGGAAGGTAAGACCCCAAAGATCATTGAAAACGCAGAAGGTGGTAGAACTACACCTTCTATTGTTGCCTTCACCAAGGACGGTGAAAGATTAGTTGGTATTCCAGCTAAACGTCAAGCTGTTGTTAACCCAGAAAACACTTTATTTGCCACCAAGAGATTGATTGGTCGTCGTTTCGAAGACCCAGAAGTTCAAAGAGATTTGAACCAAGTTCCTTACAAGATTGTTAAACACGAAAATGGTGATGCTTGGTTAGAAGCTAGAGATGAAAAGTACTCTCCACAACAAATTGGTGGATTCATCTTGAACAAGATGAAGGAAACTGCTGAAGCTAACTTGGGTAAGACTGTTAAGAACGCTGTTGTTACTTGTCCTGCTTATTTCAATGATGCTCAAAGACAAGCTACCAAGGATGCTGGTAAGATTGTTGGTTTGAACGTTTTAAGAGTTGTTAACGAACCAACTGCTGCTGCTTTGGCTTATGGTTTAGAAAAGAATGATGGTCAAGTTGTTGCTGTCTTTGATTTGGGTGGTGGTACTTTTGATATCTCCATTTTGGATATTGGTAACGGTGTCTTTGAAGTCAAATCCACTAACGGTGACACTCATTTGGGGGGTGAAGATTTTGATATTGCTGTTGTTAGAAACATTGTTGACAACTTTAAGAAGGAAACTGGTATTGATTTGGAAAAGGATAGAATGGCTATCCAAAGAATCAGAGAAGCTGCTGAAAAGGCCAAGATTGAATTGTCTTCCACTGTTGCTACCGAAATCAACTTGCCATTTATTACTGCTGATGCTTCTGGTCCAAAGCATATCAACCAAAAGATCACCAGAGCCCAATTTGAAAAATTGGTTGAACCTTTAGTTAAGAGAACCCTCGAACCATGTAAGAAGGCTTTGAAGGATGCTGGTTTGAGTACCTCAGACATTTCTGAAGTTATCTTGGTTGGTGGTATGTCTCGTATGCCAAAGGTTATCGAAACCGTCAAGTCTATTTTCGGTAAGGATGCTTCCAAGGCTGTCAACCCAGATGAAGCTGTTGCTATGGGTGCTGCCATTCAAGGTGGTATTTTGGCTGGTGAAGTCACTGATGTTGTCTTGTTGGATGTTACTCCATTGTCTTTAGGTATTGAAACCATGGGTGGTGTCTTTGCCAGATTGATTAACAGAAACACTACTATTCCAGCTAAGAAGTCTCAAGTTTTCTCTACTGCTTCTAACGGTCAAACATCTGTTGAGATTAGAGTTTTCCAAGGTGAAAGAGAATTGACTAAGGACAACAAGTTAATTGGTAACTTTACCTTATCTGGTATTCCACCAGCTCCAAAGGGTGTTCCCCAAATTGAAGTTACCTTTGACATTGATACTGATGGTATCATCAAGGTTTCAGCTAAGGATAAGGCTACCAACAAGGATGCTTCTATCACTGTTGCAGGATCTTCTGGTTTATCTGATTCTGAAATCGAACAAATGGTTGCTGATGCTGAAAAGTTTGCTGAATCTGATAAGGCCAGAAAGGAATCCATTGAAGCTGCTAACAGAGCAGATCAATTATGTATTGACACTGAAAACTCTTTGAATGAATTCAAGGATAAATTGGATGCCGCTGATGCTGAAAAGGTTAGAACCCAAATTTCTGCCTTGAAGGAAATTGTTGTTAAGGCCCAATCTGGTGATGAAGTTGATGCTGCTGAATTGAAGGCTAAGACTGAAGAATTACAAAATGAGTCCTTGAAGGTTTTCGAAAAGTTGTACAAGAACAATGATGATGGATCTTCTTCATCTTCATCATCTGAAGAACCAAAGAACTAAGTTTAATTATAATGATGATGTTTTTATTTGTTTCTTGTTTTCTCTTTCTTCCCATTAAGTCATAACTCTTTAAAACATTGAGAGTCTTTTGTCTTGTTAATAAGTGTCTTTTACTTGTATATATAAAATGATATGAAAAGGTATTAAATTCTGAGCTATGTATTAATTCTTTTATTAGTATTGTTGATGGCACCATAAGCATTTGATGCATAAGATTGGGAACCAAGGGTTGTGATTGAAGCTGTTTCAGTATCAAGATCTGAATCATAGTCCAACATTTCTCCAAGCATAGATCTTCTGTTGAACTTTTGTTTGAACCGGGCATCCATTGAGGTTGTCTTTGACGTTGTTGTACTTGAGGATGTAGAAGATGAAGATGATGATATGGACATGTTATCATAACAAGAAGAAGCTACTGTTGAAGATTTTATGGTATTGGACCGTTCTGAAACATGATTACTGGCCTTCCTCATTCTAGCGTATTCCATAGATAAAAACTGTTTGAATTGGTTGATTTCAAATCTTAGTTGCATCCGTTTACAAAACACATAGAACAAGTAGCTTTGCCAAAGTTGAACAAAATCCCATTCAAGAGCCAGGTGACGTTGCTCATTTTGGAACTTCAATAAATTCTGTCTCTTTCTATTCTTTGAAAGCTCATACATGTCTGAGAACCGTTCATAGCTGGGTGACATATCCATGAGTCGCGAATTGTTGGAGTTGGGGTGGAGATGGGGGTGCCGTAACTTAGGAGGCCTCAAGGGGTTGGAAAGGGGGTTGGATGTACTGGTATTGATAATATTCTTTTTAGTAGTAGTGTCTTGGGTTATAGTAATTGTGTCCTGAGTAGTAGTATTAGTGTCTTGATTGGTGGGGTCATTATTAGTGTTACCCTTGATCGCTGGCAATGGTTTATTCAATAACATTCTAACTTGTTCCATATTGGAAATTTTGTGCACCAGATGATTGGCATTGGAAGAAGAAGAGATTGAACCTCTAAAGTTTCTTATTAATTGAATCGTTTTGGGTTTATGCTGTTTAATGGTTGGTTGTCTTTTGGATTTGACTTTGAAGCTATAAAACTTGAACTTTTTGATTTTAGCTGCAAGCCTTAACATTCGAACCTTCAATCGATACAAATACCCTCCAGTTTTGTTCTTGATAGCCTTACTTCTGGTCAAGTGTGGTTTGGCGGTACTGGAGTTGTCTTGTGGTTGATGAAGTTGTCTCTTATTATGATGAGCTGCTGCCTTCAAATCAAGTATCCCATCTGATCGAGTCATTGATTTCACAGACTTTCGATGGTTGTTGTTGTGGCCACCGCTGGTGTTACGTCTAATGTTCATGGCAAAGTGTTGATCTCGAGTGGAAAAGATTGTTACTTGAGATCCGGTTTCCGAATTATGATGACCATGACGTATAAATTGTTTTCTGGTGGTAGTGGCTGCTTCATCACCAGATGTAGTAGTCATAATACTTGGATGGAAAAGAGACCCACCTCCATTTGATTCGGAGTCGGTAAATCTGGAAAGATGATCCAAATCCGCCAGTAAATCACCTGGACTTAGTTGTCTCAAGATAAATTGAGAATATTTTGCCGGAACCTGATGGTGGCCCTCCAATAGTAAATAAGGATTCTGTCTCATTGAGGAACGGGCGCTTTGTGGAGGTTGTTGGTTTCGGAAGTACAGGGTATTTTCGTATTGAATGTCCCTTGGAGTTAAAAGATCTAATGTATCATTAGACATAGTAAGTGAAATATCCGGGGTATTTGTAGTGTCAGTTGACGACGGTATTGAGTCTATTATATGATTAGTAGTACCACCTTTAATACTATGTTCTTTCAGTGGTATTGTTACGATAGTATCAGGTGTAGGAACGGTATCCAAGAGCAAGGCAGACCACTTTCCCTCTTCGGATGACTTAACTGAAGGTGCGTCGGGAATGCCTAAGAGTCGACAAATGTCTTTGTTAAGCACTGAATCCCAAGAACCAAATGCACTATAAGAATTCTGCACCAGGGAATAATCATATGCAACCTGATCTTGATTTGTGTGTTGTTGTTGATCCTGTGAAGATTCAAATGGTGGTTGTAGCTCTGATTGTGCCTGGTTTTGACTGAAAAGCACAGGAGAATACCGTTTGGATCCAGATCTTGAAGGCAAAGCAGAATATTCAGATTCTTCATATTTAGATGACATCTTGGTGTCTTTATGTTAAACCACCAATTGACTCCCTTTGAGTAGTTTATTCTCTTGAAGTTGCCTCGGCCATGGTTCAGCCTCTTATTGCATCTTGTAGGCGTTGACGTACGCACGCCATAATCTTACCTAACTGGGGTAAGACATAAACACGGTGCTGGTAACACCACAACAAAATAAGCGAGTGCTCGTTAATGTAGACCATAATTTTATGTGTGTTAAGGGCTTATATGAGTAAATATATATAGGTGGATACAAGTATATACCAGTAGATAGTAGATGGTGATAGTTGTAGTAAGCCGTAGCTACAATGTATAGAGTTGAACTTTGTCCTCAACATCTCCCAATACCCTCTGCGGACATCATCATCTGCTAAAGAATGGCACCAAGGGCCCCCCCATTCATGTCAGGGTTCATCGTAATGTCGCCTATGTACCGATTATAATCTCTTATTGTAATCATCTTTACCGTCTTGCATGCTGGTGTTAGATATTATTTTCAAGATAAAGTCGTGCAACTTATTACGAGCATTTAACTAGGGCTTGCATTTAATAAAGCTTGCGTTTGATGGTATAAATAAAACGTACATAAAAAGTTATCCAACGGCTGGAAATCTTACAAAGACTTGGCCAATCCAACAGCATCCTTCTTCAAATCATAGATTGAATAGTATCTTCTCAAGAATGCGTCACCAACAATGGCCAAGTCACCAATTGGTTTGGGGAAATCCATAGGAGTGAAAACAGAAATACACGATCCACCAACTTCTAAGACATAATCATATGCTGATAATGTAAAGTTATAACCTCCCAAAGTTAATGTCAATTCTGGTAAGTTATCTCTAGAGGCACAATCAACTTGATATTGACCAGACCAGGACTTTTGTGCACCAATCTTAGCATTAATAATTTCAGCTAATGAAGATGGTAAAGTAATTAATGAAGTACCAGTATCAATGGCAGCACCAGTATTACTTAATTCAGCATATTCATCCCCTAATCCTATACCATTAAACAGAACTTCCCAATATGCCTTTCTTCTAACAGGTAACCAAGTAATCTTACCCTTAAACAAACTAGAATCATATCCACCAAATGTAGCTAATCCACCATTTTCTTCATCTTTAGAAGTATCACCCAAATAGAAAGCAAATTGAGGTGAATCAAGTAAACCTTGAGAAATGGCATTATACACCGGTGGTACTGATTTAGCAACGGCAATGGTATCATATGCCAAACCTAAAATACCATCAAATTTACCAAAGGCAAAAGCCAAACCGGGTTCACTAGTGGCTTCTAAAAAGTCTTGCTTTGGAATAATTAAATCTCCAATGGTTAAAAGATCATTAGAAACATATCCTTCCATAGATCCACTACCATATTGAATGGAAGCTTCAGTTCCATTGGCCTTATAAGTAGTAGACTTATCATGGTCATACTTGGAATGCAAAAAACAAGCCAAAGATGAACAATCTTTAGAAGGAACCCAAAGATTAGAAGAACCAGTATCCAAAATAACCTTAAAAGGTTGACCAGGAGTACCAAGCAGAATCTCAGCAAAATATTGAGCATTCAAATAATTGGTAAGTGGAGCATCATGACCTTTAGTTGGTTCAACAAATGGTACTTGACCACCTTCAGCCATACCGCCCAATGGGATACCATTAACCAAGTTCAAATATCTGTGAGCTAACCCATTGGTGTAATCTCTAAAGTTAGCTTCAGAAAGAACTTCATCGATTGGTGCCTTTTGAATCTTAGCTGAGTGTTTGACAGCTTCAACGCCAGAAGCCAATAACACCAAGCAATTGGCGATGCTTGCCAATACAGATAACTGCATTATTGAGCGAGTAGTAGTAGAGTTTTAGTTAATAGAGAATCAAACTATCAAAGGAAGTATCAATACAAGTATCAATGCCACCTTACGAAGTTGAAGTAATTGAAAGGAGAAGAAGAAGAAGAAGAAGATGCTTAAATATATTTTTATCCTATTCTGCTACCAAATTACCATCACTATCATTATCGCCCAAAACGTCCGTCCAGCCCCCCCAAGGATTTCCTTTGCCACAATTTGAGGGGGTAAATTCCTGTATGTCTGTTTAGTGGTTGTGTATGAGATTGCTGGATAGGAACGACTTGTCACCCAATATGGGTATCTGTGACAGGTTAAGCAATTGCGACACAGATTACCTTTTTGGTACGGCATCACATCAACCTCGGGCCATTTAATTTAGGTAATTTAATTACAGTCAGTTTATTCAAATGTCTTTAGTTTGTGCTTTCATATTATCAACATGGTATTTGGCTTCTTAAAAAGTTGGGTTGATAATCGCTTCCCTGAGAATCCTGTTAAACTTAAACTTGAAGATGATTTAACCTTAACCATTCCGGATATCATTGCTAAGAAGGTACCTGAGTTAAATAAAGGATATAGTTTTACTCCTTTATTCCCATCTGGTCACTTGCAAACTGCCTACACGGCCATTAATAAGATGGAGGACGTGGATCAAGTTCATTATGCTAGAAGATTATTAACCGTGGAGAATAAAACTTATAATTTTGAAGATACAGAAGCTCCCGGTGGTCCTATCATTAATAAGTTACCATATGATAGTTGGGAAGGAACTTCAACATTCACTATAGATTATGCTGTGTCTAAAGAAGTTGGTAATGATATGGTTGGTGATGATGAATTTAAACCATCATCTCAAATATATGATTTACCACCCCGAACTAAGTATATTACTTCATCAATGGAGAAAAGTATATTGGATAACGATAAACCATTAATCATTGCACTTCATGGATTATCTGGAGGATCATATGAATCATATATTCGAGCCTTTGTGAATGAAGTTACTTCATCTGAATATAATTTTGATGCCTTAGTACTTAATGCACGTGGATGTGCTAATCATACCATCACTTCACCTCAATTATTTAATGGATTATGGACCAATGATTTACGGTATTTAATTAATGAGCATATCAAGCCCAATTGGCCCAATAAAAAAATCTTTCTAATTGGTTTCTCCTTAGGAGGTGCCATTCTTGCAAATTATATTGGTCAAGAAGGTTCAGCTATTTATTCAAATATTAAAGCAGTTGCTGTAATGGGGACCCCTTGGGATTTCATTGAAGGTTCAAGACATTTGAAAAGTTCTATTCTTGGTGATAAAGTTTATTCACCAACAATGTGTCAAAATGTCCTTCGATTACTTAATACACATTATGATTCTCAATTGAATATAAATCCAATTATTAAAGCATACAAAGATGCTCCTCAAAAATTTCAAATGAATAGGTTAAGAGATTTCGATGAGCTTTTCACCTCCAGATTATTTGGGTTAAATTGTGCGGATGATTATTATCGTAGAGCTTCACCAGTTCAAAGACTTTGGAGAGTGAGAGTTCCAACTATCATTGTTCTGTCTTTAGACGATCCTATAACTGGTGGTTCGAATGGGTTACCACAAAGAGAAGTGGATTTGAATCCTTATGTTCATTTGGTGACTACTTCTGTTGGTGGTCATCTAGGTTGGTTCACGTTACAAGGTCATAGATGGTATCCTAAACCATTAGCAAAGTTATTTACTGAATTGAAGCTGACTATTGTTGTTCCACCATCTCAAGACGAATTGCCGTTGAATATTGATAGAGCATGGCGTTATGATAGATTTGTGAAAATATAGATAAAATAGGTTTAGTATCCTTACATCATTATTTGTATGCATGGATGTAAGCTATTTAGTACGGGATATCTTTTATGTCCGCGCTACCACTCTTGTTTATAATTAGTTGATCCAAATACCTCCAAGTTATTTTTATTACCATGTCTTTTCTATCAATAACAATATGGGGAAAGACTCTGGTTCAATGAAATGGGTTAGGGAAGTTCGTGTTCTTCCTTCGGATCCAAGCAACAATGACGTTCTAAAGGTGGAGTACATCGATATCAATTTGAAGAATAGTTGTAAGTTAATTCTGAACCTAAACAAGCTAACTAAAATTAGCAACCAATATTTGGCCCGTCAGGAGAATATAAATGAAACCCTTATACGATTACATAATGTGAAGTATGAATTGAACTGGCTTGACGATTTATGAAAGGAATTATATTGATATTGTGTATTATTATATATATCTATCATTCATGATCGTCTGCTATTTCAAAATCCAGCAATTCTATTGAATCATTCTTTGGGTCTCCCCCTTCTAAATCTATAGGTGATGACGAAGATGATGGAGCTTTTTCAATGTATGACTTATATTTAACGGCAATAGCAGCCATAGTAATGATGATTATTATACCAATAAAACTAAGCAATCCTGGAACATGACCCCAGATTATCAAATCCCAAATAAGGGCAAATATGATATTTGTGTATGTTATAAGGGAAGCTAAAGATGCTTTCACTCGTTGCACACCCGCAGCTAAACAGAATTGCATGAAAAACCCAGAAAGTCCAATCAATAAAAATAAAAATACTTGATATGCATTGGTAGGAATAACAAATACTAAACCTGGAGTCACAGTAATGGAAACACTAGTTACAATAACACATGTTAAAGCAAAATAGCTAACGGATATAAGGGGATGGGCTGATTTGACTATTCTAAGAATCACATAAACCAGAGATGATCCAATAACACCTGCCAACCCCATACCAGTTGCCAATAGTCTTTTAGCTGGAGAGCTACTTTCCACTAACTCATTATCTGGCAGAGATTCCTTTGTTGCTAAAGACCCAAATAAGAATTTGGGTTTAGCAATAAGAAGCACACCAGCAAGTGATGTTAGGGTACATGCAGCTTCAAGCAAAGAATATCTTTCTCTTAAAACTATCCATGCCACGAGGCCCGTGACCATAGGGATCAAAAAGGTGATGGCCATAGCATCCAGTACCGAAAGATATTGTAATGAAAAATACAAGCCATACACACCTAAAAACCCAAAGACTCCACGACATGCCAAATATAATCTTAAGTTTCGAGGTCCAAAGGGTGCATCTGTCACTGATTTGGTTATATACATATACAACAAACAACAAGTATAAGTTATTAGCATTCGGAAAAAGAGGACTTGAAGTGGATCAAATCGGATAGGGTTGGAAGTATCGGTAAGCAAAAGTTTACATGTGGTTACCATAATGGAGTTCAACACTTGTGAAAGGATTAAAAGTGATATGCCACTATTTGCAAGAATATAATTGTGGTAAAAGGTTTGTAATCTTGAATTGAACGCTGATACTTGAATATCATCATCTAGATTATTGGGGTGGTTCATAGTAGATGTAGTACTCATTAGAGGAGCTCGATGGTTGTCCTCTCCATCTTGTATGTGATTCATGGTTGTGGTTTACTCCAAGTTTAAAGAGGAAGAAGAACAGGAACTTATGGAATATTTTTGTGGCTCAGATTAACGGTAGAAATGAGTCTTCCCCGGTATTGTACAGAAGATAAGACTTTACTTCAATTTGACAGTTCTTACATGTACAGGATGAGGGCCGTGCCTATATTGATTATCACCGGATAACGGAAAAAACTTTATGGGGGTCAATAGTAGATGATGATGAATTGTAGGCACTTTCAAATCTCTTCCGCTACGTATGTAATGGAGACGATACGACTAGTCACAACATATCGGATACAAGGTTAAAAAACGATGGTGTCATTGGTATTCGTTTAGCTTAAGATGTTCTGTTGAGGGCTTATAATTTTTTTAGCGGCTCCTTCGTTAGCGTTTTGGGGGGATGACGGGAGTAGTGCATGAACCGAATGGGGTGGAGAAATGGAGTAAAGTCACAGAAGAAGGTAGAAATCGGAGAGACTAACTATGTTATGCAAGTGACATTTGACATTGACATTGTATGTTGTGTCATGTGTTGCTTCGTCAAGTTTTGTTGACCCGATTTAATCCGTTAACGTAGAGTTTAGTGTAAGCACATTATATTTCGCATGAAATTCAACTACTTTGCTTGGAAAACAAGAGTCCTAATAGTGTCACCTAAAAAGGTAACACGGTAACAACTCTTGATACTACTTATGAAAATGGGCCTTAAGAATAATAGAACTTTAGTATCTTATTCACGTATATAAGGTATTTTATAACATACGTTCAAGGATTCCAAATCCAATCAGACAAGTGTGTAAGGCACATAAGGTAGCCCAGTTCAGTGATGTTTGGTAGTTATAGATTTCCACTTGCCCTTTAAGTTAAGCCTTTATGGCCAAGTTGGTAAGGCACCTCACTAGTAATGAGGAGATCCTCAGTTCGAATCTGAGTGAAGGCATTTTTTTGATTTGTGTGTAAACCTATTACTTAAAGTTAAAAACTACTACAAGCAATAGTATATATAAGTATAATATTTCAGTTAATTAGATACATTATCAAAATATCGTACAACAACCCTTTTGTTCCTTTTTATCTTTAACCATTAAGCTTATTCTCATGGCAGTTTCAAAAATATCATCAACACCCTCACCTGTTAATGCAGAACATTCCAAATATGCTTTAGCACCTATTTCACGGGCTACTTCTTCACCTTGATAAGGTTGGACGTATTCTAAAGAAGAATTTAACCGTAGATCTTTCTTAAGTCCCACAAGTAAAAACGGAATATTTGGAGAATAATTTCTCACTTCTTCAGACCATTTTGTAGCAGCATTATCAAGAGAATCAGGAATATTTATAGCAAATCCAATTAATATTACATGGGAATTATTGTAACTCAAAGGGCGCAATCTTTCATATTCTTCTTGACCAGCAGTATCCCAAAGAGCAAGTTGAACAGCTTTACCATCTATTCTGCAATCGATCACATAATTGTCAAATACCGTGGGGAAATATTCCGTTGGGAATTCACCAAGAGTGAAAACATATAGTAATGAAGTCTTCCCACAAGCTCCATCACCAACAATGACTAGTTTACGTTTAGGAACATTCAGTACCTGTGACATACTGATTGACAGGGTTCAGAGTGTTTCGGAGTTAGGAGTAGAGCAATCGGTAGAAGCTTTATCCAAACCACTACTGTCTTATATCAATCGCTCTAAAATCTAATTGTATTAACCAATGGGTTAAGTATGCTTTGAATTAACTAACCCCCCTTAAAGATATACCCATGCAATCTGGTTTGTCGCTGCCCGAAAGATTTAGTATATTTTAGCTGGAAACCGTTTTTAATATTAAATAAAATTTGACTCCACTTCAACTTTTCAGAACCTGCAAGTTTCTATGTATAAAATGGGTACATAATGACTTCCTTGTATTCTTACCTCAAACTTTAAATAAGGTCCGTACTATATGTATGCAGGCAATAAATAAATCGGGGGAACACTTGGTTCGTAAATGATATAGAATATTTATAATGACGCTTTGTCATTGATGAAGACGGAAAGGCGAAAGTTATAACCATATTTGGGGATGTATTTATCAATGATATAGGGGGATCCAAAATCTCATCAATCTTTACCCAAACTACTATCACACGATGTATCAAAAAGCTTGATGCGCCTGGTTACGTATTGCTTGAGATTTAACATATAAATTAACTTAAAGTCTGCTTCTATCGTCGTTCAAGGCTTCACTATTTCATCTTGCGTATTATAATTCACCCTTTGTTGTAGATTTATTTATGACGGGTGTGTCGTAAACTTTGGCCGACTTGTTATGTATCAATACAATAGTATGCAGACACAGATCGATATCTATAATTAGAAGCGCATGGCAATTGTGTCATTATGTGAAAAAGCCTATTGTTGATTTAATAACGTTTCTTATATATAGGCATGTACATAGCTATACATATATACCGGTGGTAAGAAGCTATATACGTTACTTAGTGAAAAACCGATGGCGGACCTAATTTATGCATGCCGTGTAACTTATTAAGTTTATCCGGCAGACTTCCAAACTTCACCACAACGTTTAATCTATAAGTTTATACAGTAGTTACCCTACACATCTCTGACCTATTATACATGTATTATTATATATAGACATAGTTCCTTCAATTCCATAATCCTCTTACTGTACTGTTGGCAAGTTGGTTCAACCCTTCCAAACTATTAGGATCTACTTGGGTGGGATTCTGATCTGGGAGCCCCCCACCAAGTTTCAAATTATTAAACGAAAATCCCGGTGGAACACCCCCAGATTGCAGCTCTTGATTCACCACCGGTTCATGAGTAACAGGTGGTGCAGGAGATGTACCAATTTTGATGTGGGTAACAGTTCCAAAATCATCATAGACAAAATCAAACGTATAAGTCCTTGCTGCTCGACAACACCCAAGAAATTGGTTCAAGGTGATGGTGGAAATACCCATAACCGATTTGGTGGTTTGGAAAAGCTTATGAAGAGGAGCCATACCGAATTCTAATTCATTTGAGTTCATTAACATCTGGTAAGCATTGAAAGTGCTGGTTTGAATTAATTCAATATCGTTCCCAACATTCGAGGTATGAGGAACAGGACTTAGGTTGGTGGTATTGTTACCAACGACGGTTGAACCCGCTAAAGATGCTGGTTGCATCACTGGGGTTGCCTTTACCGAGTTAGCCATAGAATTGGTTCCTGTAGGCGGACCCCATAAATGCGAAGTATTGCTACTTCCAACCGTTCCTCCTCCATTGTTATTGGTGCCCCAAATAGAATTGTTTCTAGAAGCAGGTATTGGACTCCAAGTGGCTCCTAAGGTCCCAAACCCACTACTGGGGGTACTATCATTGAAGGGACTGAAATTAACTCCGGCTGGTACATTCACATTACTGTTATGAACAGTACCACCATGAGTCGACTGGAATTGTCCATTGGTATACAAAAGTCCATTATTATTGGATCCTGAACTTGTTCCATTCATGCCACCAGAACCACCACCTCCAATTGGCAACCGATCACTTGAACCCGTACCTGGTATCAAATCATTTGAAAGCATACTGGTATTTGACTCATTTCGTATAAAAGTGGCACCGTTTGAGCCCGTAGATGCACTCCCTGTTTTCCAAGGGTCGTTTAGTGTACCAAGAAGGTTGTTGTTTAGCATGCTGCTACCAGAAGAAGAATTCAAAAGGAAGTCGTTTGCTTCAGAAAGGAAAGGTGTGGAAGTGGTGGCTGTCTGTGCCACATTATTAAGGGCACCAGATCTTGAGCCCATAAGTCCAACAGTGTTGGCCGAGGGTGATGGTAAAGCATTGACAAACCCAGAAGAATTGCTTTGGGAACTTGTACGAGGTTTGGCTTGGTATAATTGTTCCAACAAGTGATTTTTATTCGGTGAGATTGGAAGGAATTGAGGTTGAAGACCTGGTTGAAAGGATGCAGATTCCAAACTGGGTATTGAAGTAGTAGGAGTTGCCAGTCTTGCTAATCTTTCCAATTCTTGACGTTCTTTATCAGCTTCAAAGTCAAGTTTGGCTTTCACTTCTTGATTTAATGATTCCAAAAGTTCGCGCTCCTCTTCCTTCTTCTTCTTCTTAAGAAATTCCTTCTGCGCTTTCTCTTCTTCACGTTTTAAACGTTCTTCTTGTATCTTTTTCTTTCTTTCTTCCTTTAACTTCTTGGCCTCTTCTTCCTTCTTTTGTTGAGCTTCAACTTTCTTTCGATGTTCCTTCTCCTTCCGTTTTAATTCTTCAATACGTTTCTTCTTTTCTTCTTCTTTCTTCTTTCTTTGCTCTTCTTTCCGCTGACGTTGTTGCTCCCGTAAAGCTTCTTGCTTCTGTCTAGCCTCTTCTTCTTTGGCCTTTTGTTCCTCTTCCTTCCTCTTCCTTTCTTCCTCCTTAGCTAATTGCTGTAGTCTCTTTTTCTCTTTTGCTTTCTCCTTTTGCTTCAACTTTTTCAACTCCTTCTCCTTCTTGGCATTCTCCTCTGCCTCCAATTCTTTAATAAGACTCTCAGCACGGTCCGCAGACAACTTAACCTTATATGCCTCCTTTAAACGATCTTGAAAGACTTTAATTGTCTGTATCAAAAACATTCGACGGACTTCTTGAAGTTTTTCCTCTTCAGAGATTTCAGATTCAACGTCACTTTGTTCACCGATTTCTCCGTCATCTTCATCATGTTCATGTTCATGTTCATGTTCCTGTTCATGTTCATGTTCATGTTCCTGTTCATGTTCGTCGTCATATTCTTCCTCCTCTTCCTCCTCTTCCTCCTCATCACCATTTTGCACTTCATCATCTTCATATTCTCCTTCCTCTTCATCATAGTCTTCACAGTCCTCTTCGTCGTAGTCTTCATGTTCATCCTGGGAAGTGTCATAGTGCACACTTGACTGCTGATCCACAAGTTCTCGCTTAACTTGCAGAGTCCGCTTATTATCATCTTCATCAACCCAAGCATCACCATCATCGACCTTAGTCAATTTCTGTTCTCGTTCAGACCTTATTTCTGTTAAACTTTCAATCATAGAAAGAAACGAATTACCATTATTCTTAAGAATATCATCCGCAAATTTCGATAACCCGTTACTCATGTTGTCATCCAAGCCTAGACTATCATCATCATTATTATTTTTCTTATTATTATTGTTGGCTGTAAGCAATTCTCCCAAAGAAAAGACTCTTTCCAATTGAGATTTGTCTGTCTTTTGAAGAGCAAATATAAAGTTTCGGAAGCTTTCTGCTCTTTCAATAACGTCCTTGGTATTTCTGGTATTTATATCCCAATTTAGCTTATCAAATATTTCAATTAAATTGGGGGTCATGATTTTATCATAATCTTCCTTTAAATATTGATGAAGAGCATCTTGAAATTCAGATGCTTCCGCCTCATTACCCAACTCTTCTATTTGACTATAGTGATTGAGATGAGCATCATCATATTGTTCTGCTTTTTTCTCTTGGTTTGTTTCTGTCACATTCTCATGATGTTTTTCAACGAACTTCTTCTCCAATAGTTGCTCCTCGATATGATTTGATTTTGAATCCATGGCTTCTGTTTCTGGCGACAGTGGCACAAGCTCCTGATCTCGTTCTCGCTCTTTCTTTAATTGCTTTTGTATTTTTTGCACCTTATACTCTTCCTCCAACATATGGAAGCCACCAAATAATAACGTTGGCAATGCATTAAGATCATTGATGTCTCTGATCTCATGGATATAGTCAATAATGTCCCCAAATTGCTCATCGAGTATGTGGACCAACTCATCGTCAATAACATTCTTCTTCCTACCACAATACATACAAGGACACCCATTTATCCCCCCGTCGTTTTGAGACGAAGTATGTTGATGGTTGGCCCAATTACTCTTGAACAATTCCATAACGGCTTTTTTATCGATGGTCACTAATGTTTTCTTTTCTTCCACCGGAAGCAATTCCCAGAACTCTTTCAAATTCTGTTGCTCCAATGCCGTGGAATCGTCCCAGATGAACTTGTGTACCAGACGATGAGATTCTTCTGTATGAGGCTGATGGTTAAGGTTATGGCTATGATGATGAAGGTCGTGGTCGTGATGATGATCATCTTCATGGTCATGGTCGTGGTCATGATACACCTCTTGACTGTTGTCATGGCTGTGACCATGATTACCTTCGTCTAAACTCTCCACAATTATATCACCATTGGGAGCTTGTTTGATTACTCTGGATGTGGGATAATCATCTTCCGGGTTATTTAAAGTGGCTTGTACAGTTGTTGGCATTCGATTATGTGACTTCTTCTTCTTTTTATTCTTCTTTCGTTTCGCCAAAGACTTGTCTTCTTCAGTAGTTAATTCTTCCACTTTAGCAGGACTTTTCCCTGACGTTGGACTTCCATTTAGGTCGTACTCAAAAAGTACGTTGTCGCCGTTCTTCAAGAAAAACAGCATATTAATCGGTTGACAGTGTTGCTGAGTCCAATTATTAACAATGTTCGTTTAGGTACAACTTCCACCATACAGTTGTGTTTCGGATTAAGTTTAATTGGTCTGCTATTTGATCTCTCTAAATGGTTTTGGTAAACTAGTAGTTTTTGTCAAGGTCGTGGCAGCACCAAGCATATATAAAAATTTTCTATGTACGGTTGCGAGTATGAACTAACTTAATCGGATTAACTTTGAAAGGAATAACTTAACAGGTACAACGTAACAGGAACAACAATATATATGAGGAAAGTTTGTTATAACGGAAAAATATGTTTGTGAATGTTAGTTCAATGACCTTGTACATTATTATTATGTACATGTATTGACTAACTGCTGCAAGTTATAGAAATATTGTTTATTATATGTGTGACTATGATAATAACTAAATGTACCTCTGAAAGGTACTTTTCATAAAAGTAAATTAACAATCAATAAAATGTAAAATAATAACAACCAGCTTCTTGGGACCATGAATCCCAAGCTCTCTATTTCGAGCATCGTTTTATTTCTGGTGAGAACAGCGTGAATTGAGCCATTAACTTCAATAAACGGGACAGTTCTCTCGGTCAATAAAATGATGGTTCTGAAAACAGTTGCAAGTTCATTCTTTTATATTTATTTATCATTCAATTGTTTCTTAAGTTCTTGATTCTCAGCGACTACTGATTCCACTAATGTAGTCAACTTGTCAAGCTTTTCATAAAGATCATACAATTCCCATTTGATACCAACCTTTTTGGCCTTTACCACTGGTTGCACTACCTTATCAATTTCAGCTTCAAACTTATATGAGTCAATATTGAATTCTGGATCTTCATTCTCTCCTTCTCTTTGCAACCGCAATTCGTTTGTAACCTCGCTATTGCGTTCACGAATCCCATCCCAAGAAGTTTCGGCTTCCACATCAAAGCCGTCGGTTAAGTCCCATTCGGTGTTAATTTCATTGGCGTCATCAGGAAGACCTTTAAATCTGTTGAATTGAATTCTTCTGGCATGGGATAACTCATCCACGGTAATGTAACAAAGCATTGGTGCGTAAATGATAACCATGACATAATAATTCAAAGTCTTGTAGTGTTTTTCAGAAAGGAAATGGTAGAAGGGACTAAGTAGGATTTCAAATATATTGAATGGTGGAACGTAGAGATCAACATCAGGAGCTCTAATGTATCTCAAGGTCTTGTGTGCAACCAAAGCAAAATATTCAGCAGTAGCATTCTCGACAATTTGTCCATAAGCAGTGGAGTACAAGGCAATCAAGATGTTCATCAAAATAACGGCAAGAATGAAGTTGTAGGAATAATACAAGATTGAAGCATATGGCGGAACAAGATTAGCCACATCACCAACGTTAGAATCACCAACCACAGCCTTAATTAAAGAGACCAAAATCTTTTTGGTAGATTCACTGGTTCCGTCTGCGGCATCAAGACCAAGAAGACCTTGAAGGAATCCAATAATCACGACAGCCAACAAGAAGAAGAATAAAATAGATTCTTTCATCATGGTTTTCACCACCACAATCAACGCACCAACAAATCTTTGTGCGTCCAAATATAATAATAATCTAGACCACATAAGAGGAGCAGCACAAGATAACACTCTAAACGAGATTTGATCAAATCTTTCTTCATTGGGATGGTGTTTGGGAGCAGTTACGCTGAGCATTCTGAAGACAAAGGCCACAGATATAATGGAGTACATAAAGTCATTAAATACATTCCAGAACCCAAGATAATTATAACCCACATGATATATCTTGACGATTTCATCAACGATTGAACCAATAGTGAACCAATAGAATAAATATTCAACAAATGTTAGACTATGATCAGTGTTGCCATGACCATTAAGGATAAAAGTGTACAACACCAAAAAAATGATACTAAAGAAGATTTCAAGAAGATTCTGATAAGCTGGAGTCTTAATTCTTGCGGGATTGAAGTGCAGTCTAAAGGAACTTGAATCGACTCCTTTGTACATAACATAAGAATGAGGATCAACAGTAGATTGGACGATCCAACCTCTCCATAACCATTGAATACATCTTTGATAGCCAGAACTACCCATTACAATGGTAGAATGCATATCGACAGCCAATTCTAAAGCACTGATGGGATTCTGGTCTTCTTCATGGATACAAATGCTGTAACGATGACACAACATACCCAAAAACAATAATTCATCCTCTTTGGTTTCTTCAATTACAATGCCAGCCAAAGTTTGAGCAGCAACAGCTCTGAGCAAATACAAAGAGTTATTACTCAATTCTATATCAGCTTGTTGCCAATACCAATCGCATACTTTTAACAAGCAAAACACCAATGCAGCGCGATAACGGTAGGAAGAAGTACCCTTTTTACCATCACCTTTACCTCCAGCAGCTTTAAATGTCAACTTGACAACTTCATCGTTCAAAATGGCGGAATCAGTACTGGTGACATCGTCTTGATCAAACGTAATAGGGATCACTCGGTCAATCAATACCTTCAAATTCTGACAAATTTTGAAAACTTGTCTAGGGTTGGGACAGGAGCTCTGTAAGAAGAGATCACCCTCGTGCCTATCGAGAAGTGAAGGCTGCTCCAAGTCCATGGCTAACCAATTGTTTGTTTTCTGGACAAGAGAACCAATGAACAAGAAGAATCACCTAAGGGTCTATTTGAATGACATACTCTCCACTTTTTAGATTGCTAGTGTTCGATTTCGCATGCATTGTTGAAATTCCCAGATGTGGAATGCGAGGCTGTAGGGAATGTTTTGGGAAGGTAAGTTATTATCTGTAAAGGGGCGGAAAATTTGATTCTCTATTGTTTATTGTTTACGTTTCTGATCTTACGGAATAATATATTTGGGTAGTGGCTCAAGGAAGAGAAGTATACATGATGTGGGATGTGGGATGCATCTAAAAAATGATCAATATATGAAGTGTTCAAATACCACAGCGGTGGTAATCAATTGATTTTTAACGCAATTTGTTTATGATGTGAACGGTTTGAGCCTGAGAAAACTGTTTTTCCTTCAGAGCATTGGCATTAGCGAATTACCGAGAATTATTGGGGTACATATGTGTATGCACAAGCACATCCCACATACGTTAATTTAAAGGGATTCGAATATGTATCCACGCATTTCCAAACTGTATGGATATAGCATCCGACTATTTAATGTTTCAAATAGATAAGTTGCGACTACTGAAATGCCTTTAGTCAGACATAAGACTATTCATCGGTCAATTGCTGAACTCTTAATTAAAATGATTTGTCACTATCGTATCCAAACGCCAGATTTGAACTCAATGGAACTGGGACTGAATGCCGGTATCAAGTACGGATTTGAGTCAGGTGAAACGGGTATACTTTGAAACCATAGAAACCACTGAGACTTGTGGAAGCGACCTCTGAAATCTCAAAGAATAAAATACTCAAGGAGCAAGGTACTTTCAATTGTAATTTAAATTCTAAAAAGGTTAAAAATAGGACCTGTTTATTGGAGAATGTCCACTTCAGCTCATTCAACCTCATCTTTGATACTAGTTGATCGAGAAATTTATATGATATTGGGAGCATCCATTCGGATCAACTAAACAAAGAATTCAGCAAATACAAAGCCATTTCTGATCCATTCATAACATAACTGTCAAGGCACATATTGAGGAAGATAGTTCTATTTAAAGATAGCATACTCTCAAGTGGAAAACTACGTAAAACCATATAATGCCATGTACTCATATTCATCATGGCTTTGTAGTGCAATCCGCTCATTATCTTGCTGGCGTTAGAGGCTAAATTTAACCTTCAAGAAAGGTCCCTTGGCCCAGTTGGTTAAGGCGTGGTGCTAATAACGCCAAGATCGGCGGTTCGATCCCGCCAGGGACCATCCTTCTTCAAAAGGGCGTGTGGCGTAGTTGGTAGCGCGTTCGCTTAGCATGCGAAAGGTCTCCGGTTCGACTCCGGACTCGTCCATTTTTGTTATTACTTTAAAGGTCTCTGCTCTTGTAGTGTATGGTAGATGTAATACTTTACTCTCTAAATATAGATTCTATTAAATAAATTATACGTTGTATACACCAGCCAACTTTTCAAACCCAGCTGCAAATGTTAATCCCACTACAACATCAAACATTCCTTTGCTCTTGCAAAATATATCCTTGTCCTCGTAAACCGTTATCCATCCGTATTTAGTGTTTTGGGGCTCATCATCGTTGGGATCATCATGATAGAGTCCATCACCTTCGTATATTGAACTGCGCAGAGTTCTTAGGGATTGGGTATCGAAATCATCATTTCCTATATCAATATCTCCATAAATGGAGCTGGAATCGATTGTTATCGAACTCCCTCGTTCGTGAGCGTACATAGGAGATTGAAACTTCCTATGAATAGATTTAAGAATCTGTTTTCTTTTATATGATTTCTCCTTTGGTCTGAAAACTGCTAATACTGGTGGGAACTCGGCTTCACCTTTAGCACCTTGGAAATATATATTCTGAGGATTCTTCAATTCCTTGTACTTATACTGGTTTCTGGAGTTAACAGTACTGCTTAACGTTGTTTTCGAAGTCATGGTCATGATACTCTCATTATCGTCGTCCTGAGAATGATCTTGTGGGTCTTCTTCTTCAATGTAGTTTTGGTGGAAATAAGAATAGTTAGGGTTCACATATTTGTACTGAGGAACAAATGCCTTTTCTCTTAGTCTTGGAAGTTTACTGAGCTTCACTCTAGGGATAGACCCCACACTCCATTTTATATTATTGAAATCTTTGAATTCGTAGTTCTTGAACGCTGTAGGCAGGGTCCCTTCTGCTTGCTGATCAACCAAGTTTTGGCTGCTGGAGATCATAAATTTGTTGGGAATTCCTTTAGGGAAAACAAGTCCATTAAATATCGATTTATTTAGCTTTTGTTCATGAGGTCGATAGTTTTCACCAATAGAAAAGTCACGATACAAGTGGTCATCGTTATGGTAGTCAATGAGTCCTGTTTTGGAGTTGAGAACGGAGCTGCGTCGTACGGAGACTGTGAAGTATCCTCCTTCAGCATCTGACTTTCGTATAATGGTTAATACTGGGGTTTGGGTTTCGTCATTGGCATATATCAATCGACGGAATGTCAACCTAAAGCCAGTCGATAAATTAGAACGATCGTTATATTTGACTTCCACATGATATCCGGGTCCCGTTCGACATCCATCTTGAGTAGTCGAGGGATTTGTAGCAAGGATTAATCCATTTCCAAATCCTATAACGTGATATTTCCAATATGGTTGTGGATTAGTGGAGTTTCCAGTATTTCTATGCGAAGATATCAGAGACAAATCGTTCAAATGTGGTGTCGGTGCCTTATGCATACTTGTGCGACGGAGCTTTATATTGGAAAGTGATAACCTATTAAACGTACGGGCAGTTTGTTCCACACTCTCGACAGAAAATCGCTTCAATCTCAGCCGAACTGATCCGGTTCGTCTTATCTTTTTGAAGGAATCTTCAGCCAGAACTTCAGTCGCAACTTCAGTCACGTTTTCATCACCACCAATAAGGTGATTCTTTTCATAAGAATCATTCTCAGACTTGATTAGTTGGTCATTAAGAGGCACACTTTCATTTGAGTTTCTTATCATGCTCTGTGGTCTCCTCTCTGGAGCAGGCATGGCTGAGGTGACGAAAGCACTGTCCTGGCGACGCCAGAATCCGCGTTTCGCAGCCAAACCTGATGATGAGCTTGTACCATCACTTGGTGCAGTTTGTCCCTGCCGAGCAGTTGAATTATTATTATTGTTGTTATCATTCTCTGGAATAATACGAAAGGGATGTGAGTTGGGGTTTCCGTGACGGATTTTATCAACTACTCCAGCAGATTTGTTAAGATACTCTTTGATATCCATTTGTAAAATATGCATACGAGATGAAGAACCATTTATGGAATTGGGGCGAAGTGTTCTGGGATTAGTTGAAAGCGGCTGAGTTGTTAATTCCAGTGCAGTGAAAGGATGGATATTCAGGATTTGAGTAGAAACAGGTTGTGCTTGTGGTATAGGTTTAGAATCTGGTTGATCCGACTGTAAACCATTTGGTATAGGAGGGGTATAATATGCTGAAGTTGTGGAAGTTGATATGGTAGGAGATGCCTTGGCTGGTGCTCCATTGGTAAGAAAATCACCCTGTAAGGGAGCTCTTCGCTTCGCTCTCATATTTATCTACACACAAGATGACTTGGGGTTAGACAGGAAGCAGATTGATGCTACAACGTCGGAGAAAAGTTAAGAGTTTTATGTAAACAATTAAGCAGTTTATATTTATACAAGTTGAAATCTAAAACCGATACCAAAGATGCATTATATAAAAATAAACCCTTCAACATAACCTCCTTCCAAGGCAACTATTTTCTCATCATGGTAGTTCATCTTCCAGAAGTTACAGAATCAGAACCGAAGGTATATAATAGCAAAGAAATGCATCGGGGTATAAAACACTGTTTCCCAAAACATGTCTCAAGTACAAAAGGGGAACCATTTGATATGGTTGGTTGCCTGAATAGAGAATTTGCCTTATTTAGATGCAACAGACACCCCTGACAACCATTGTGAGTTGGAGGGGGGAAAGCTTACTGGATATCTATGTGTCAGAAAATATATACTACCACGCCGAAGACATGACACATTAAAGCGATGTTCCTGACTATTACTGAACAATACAAGGAAACAAGAAGAAAGAAAAAGAGGTGCTACTATTGGAGGAACAAAAATTAGACTGTAGAAGAGAAAGACGTGGAGCGGGTGCGCTTTTGAGTCGTAAGATGAGCAGTCCGATCCAAATCATTCAAATTAAGGCTTACTACTTGTTTCAATTATCACTTTGCATCGTTGGACCAATATTAAATGCTCTTAAATGCTTCACGAAATGGCTCTCTCGGTTAAAATCCAGGCTACCACTTGAAACACTGAAACACAAACGCGATTCACAATACAGGCGACTTACTACAAATAAAGCTATATTTAAAACTTTTTTGGCAACGGGTCGCTTTGCGGTACAATAGTTTAGTTAGTCCTCGGTGTGTGGTGTTCTTTCTGTTATTGTTCCGGTTGCACACTAAAACAGTTATCCATCAACTGATTCTTATTCCCCACTGGGCTACTCAAGACCGAATGGAAATTAGACGCACTCCATACATAAGAGTGTCTAACAAACATGAAGCATACACGAACTAAAGAATGATATATTGGCTTCTGACTTCTCTTTACTCCACACAATATCATATCCGATCAATCCAAAAATGGATGTCACGTGATTATATATTTAAGCATATGCCGAATTCAACTCATGATTTTTTGCCCCCCTCGAGCATCAAGTCTAAATTTGTATACACCTTCCTTCATCAAACAAAGTGATTCAGCCCTTTTAAGGTAGCGCAAATACTATTCAGTTTCCTGTATGGCTTGAAGGCTCCTCTCGTATATTTTCAACTAAACTCCATGATTATTCAATGGATGAACAAGTTGGTATTTGCCATTGAGATTTCGCAACTACTTGCGTCAACAAGTTTGATACCGTACACATCATAGTTCCAACGGTTAACTCCAACTGACGCGTTACATAAATTGAAACCCTTCTAATGTCCCAGTTTCTTTCAAGGCTTGAACCGTTGCCCAAGATCTCAAATATTAATGTGGGTCAGCGTTTGGGTCAGGGGGCTTTCGCTGCTGTTCGGTTAGGAGAACTACTGGGCCCTCCACCTAATCAGCTTGTGGCGGTGAAATTTATCCATAGAAGATCGGCTAATTCTTTAGGTGTGTCTGATGACCGAATTGGATATGAAATTCGTATTCATAAAGAGTGTAGTGGTCATCCCAACATTATAAATTTGTTTCTGTCTGGTACAGATAATGTTTGGGTTTATATGGTGATGGAATTAGCAGGTGGCGGAGATCTTTTCGATAAAATTGACCCCGATGTTGGATTATCACCAGAAATTTCCAATTTCTACTTTCGTCAGCTTATAAATGCAGTCGATTACATCCATATGAAAGGTGTTGCTCATAGAGATATTAAGCCGGAGAATATTTTTATTGATGATGGTGGTAATTTAAAACTTGGTGATTTTGGTCTTGCTACTGTATTTCGTAGACATGGAAGTGCAAATGTTCAGTTATCTTACACACCATGTGGTTCCGGTCCTTATATGGCTCCAGAAATAGTCGAAAAGGGTGGAAGGGGTAACTGTGGCTATGAATCTACTGGAGTTGATATTTGGGCTTGTGGAGCTGTCCTTTTCGTTCTCTTGTCAGGACAAATTCCTTGGGAAGCACCTCTCTATCAACGTGATTTCAACTTTACAAGATATGTTGATATTGTTGCCGAAGGATCAAATATTCCTGATGATCCCTGGACAAGGTTTTCTCCTGAGATTTTAGGTTTACTCAGAGGTATCATGAAACCAGATTGTACTGAAAGATTTAGCATGAAACAAATTAGAGCTCACACTTGGATGAATATGGATAACATTTTTATGGATAAGAAAGGGATGTGTTCCGATTCCGAAGAACTTGCAGAAGAATTATATTCCAGATTGCATGTTGCAACATCAGAAGATGACTTGCAATTTGCAATGTCATCATCCTATGATAGAGAATCATCTCATTTCATGCCTATTGGTGAGCCTATTGACTCAATACCTGACTTGTGTTCTTCATCAGCATTATCATCTTTTGGCGGTGCTTCAGATTTATCACAGAAGTTTACAAACTCCCCACACGTTTCCTTAGCCAGACCCTCCATTAGAACTGATTCTCAACAACAACTGCAGCAACCTCCATCTGTTTCAGCTTCACCTTCTCGTGCTAGAGCTACACTTCCATCCATTTCCAGTTATTCTCAACCAGCCAATAATTATGCGGTTATTATTGATGACTTCAGTTCTGAGTTGGTATTTGCTTCCCAAAATCCAAGAGCAGATGTTGCAAAACTTCCGTCTTATAACATGCAAGATGAGCATGAAAGAATATTGGCCATTGTTTCTAAAGATCCAGCAGTACTTCAATTTCGTAAGACGAAAAAGCTGACAGACAAATCCAAATACCAATTCTCCATCAAAAGTATGACCCGATTCTTTTCAACTACACCACTTGAATCCTTGGTACATATGCTTTTAGATGCGTTCCATAGGTTGGGAGTAACTTCAGATTCCATGGAAAATTTACGTTCTGAAGATATGGCTACTGAGACAGAACTATACATTGCTGTTGGAATCTCTGGTGGGTCATCCAAGTTTCCCGTTAAAGGGTATATTCATATCACTCGTCCAGACTCTGCAACCAATTTCAAACAAGTTGAATTTGTTAAGCTGAAGGGTGATCCATTGGAATGGCGTAACTTCTTCAAAAAAGTTACTTTACTTTGTAGAGATGCTGTTTACATTGACCAAGAGATTTAGGTGTCAATAAAGACATTACGAGCTCCACTTGATTTATAGTGAAGTTTAAGCATTGAAAGATATTCGTTAAAAATAAAGAATCATACATATAAACTAAATTACCATGATATATATCAAACTAGGCACGAAGTAGTCCTGTGTATATTACGGTATTGTAATACATGGTTAGTTTTAATAGAAACTTTATCTTATAGTTCAAGAGCTATATCTTTAGGTTTACGTTTATCAGCTAACATAAATATACCCTTAAATGGGTTATGTGCTTAACAATCAAACTCCGGGGAGAACCAAGAATGAAGCAGATAACAAACTTATGTATGTCAGATATGCGGATACCTCCCTCTAATGTTACATAAGGATATGACATAAATCCAAGCTTACGCGCGTCTCGATTTAACCTAACTGGTAGCGCAGATAAATTTACAATACTTCAAATCAATGAAAACATATCTTATAGTACTAAGAAGACATTGCTTTCTATTGCACAGTTTTCTTAGCGAGGTCATCGTTAAGTAAAATGACATCCAGTACTGAATCAACTATAGGCGAGAACGTAAGTAATTTTTGTCTCCTAGTTAACCACTCTACAAAATATACTAACTTCTCAATAGAATGCTGCGCTAGAGTTGTATGAAATAATGCGTAAGAATGCAATTCCCTACGGATTTGATAAAGATATAGGCACCCGAAAAGCTGACTATTTTGTTAAGTCCGAAAGGAAACAAATAGATGTGGAAAAAACTGCTAAACGGTTTCTGTATCTTTTAGGGTTAACCAGTTCATTCCGACACTTTATAGAAGCCAAAGCAGAAAAGAATGAGACACTAGGTGAAATTTTGAATGTAGTTAACAAGTCAACCAATTACAAGGGAGGCTCTGAAAAGGGTGGTAATAATCATAGAGGACGGAAAAATGAACGTGAAGAGGATCAAGAGTTAATTAAAGAAGATGATGCTGATGATTACGGTGCAATCACTGAATTTACCGAATCTCCAGGTTACATTAACGGACAATTACGTCCGTATCAAATCCAAGGTCTTAATTGGTTAATTAATTTACATGAAAATAATTTAAGTGGTATCTTAGCAGATGAAATGGGACTTGGAAAGACTTTACAAACCATTTCCTTCTTGGGGTATTTACGGTATTTCCGGAATATTTCTGGTCCTCATATTGTTATAACTCCAAAATCAACTCTTGATAATTGGGCTCGTGAGTTTGCAAGATGGACTCCAGATGTCAAAGTATTAGTTCTTCAAGGTGATAAAGAACAAAGAAATGAATTGGTATTAACTAAATTGATGACTTGTGATTTTGACGTTGTGATTGTATCTTATGAAATCGTTATAAAGGAAAAGACTCATTTCAAGAGATTTGATTGGCGATACGTTATTGTTGATGAAGCTCATAGAATCAAAAACGAAGAATCTTTACTCTCTCAGATCATTCGTCTTTTTCATTCCCAGAACAGATTGCTTATTACAGGTACTCCATTACAAAATAATTTACATGAATTATGGGCACTTTTGAATTACATTCTTCCTGATGTGTTTAGTGAAAGTGAAAGTTTTGATTCTTGGTTTTCAAATAAAGATGATGAAGATAATATGGTGAATCAATTACATAAGGTTTTAAAACCATTCCTTTTACGAAGAATCAAAGCTGATGTGGAAAAGTCGTTGTTACCCAAACAAGAATTGAATGTTTATGTTAAAATGAGTGATATGCAAAAGAAATGGTATCAGAAAATTTTAGAAAAGGATATTGATGCTGTCAATGGAGCTAATGGGAAAAAGGAATCAAAGACAAGATTATTAAATATTGTCATGCAATTAAGAAAGTGCTGTAATCATCCTTATTTATTTGAAGGAGCTGAACCTGGACCTCCATATACAACAGATGAACATTTAGTTTATAATTCTTATAAAATGCTGATATTGGATAAAATGTTGAAGAAGTTCAAATCTGAAGGTTCCAGGGTTCTTATATTCTCCCAAATGAGTAGAATGTTGGACATTCTTGAAGATTATTGTACATTTAGAGAATATCAATATTGCCGTATTGATGGGCAAACTGAACATGCTGACAGAGTTAATAGTATTGATGAGTACAATGCACCTGGAAGTGAAAAGTTTGTATTCTTATTGACTACTAGAGCTGGAGGATTAGGGATTAATTTAACTACTGCTGATATTGTTATATTATTTGATAGCGATTGGAATCCTCAAGCCGATTTACAAGCAATGGACAGAGCACATAGAATTGGACAAACAAAGCAAGTCAAAGTCTTCAGATTCATTACTGAAAATGCTATTGAAGAGAAAATCCTTGAAAGAGCAGCTCAGAAATTGAGATTAGATCAATTGGTTATTCAACAAGGAAGAAATAGTGGTGGCGGTACTAATCAAAGCAATAAGGCTGCTTCTAAGGATGAATTATTAAATATGATTCAATTTGGAGCCTCGGAAATGTTTGAAGCCAATGGTGGTGGTAATAATTCAGAAGGCAGCACTGATGTTATTAACATTGAAGATATTCTTAAGAACTCTGAAATAAAGACCAAAAAACTTAATCAAAAGTTTGCAAAATTAGACATAAATGCTCTTCAAAACTTCACCAATGATGAATCCGTATACGAATGGAATGGTGAAAACTTTAAGAAGAAGGAACCAACTGTTCTTACCAATATTGGCCATGGTTGGATTAATCCTGGTAAACGTGAACGGAAAGAGAATTATTCCATTGATATGTACTATAAAGATGTTCTTAATACTGGGAGTCGAACCACTGCACCTAAGTCAGGTCCCAAACCACCCAAACAATTGAATATCTATGATCATCAGTTTTATCCAGCCAAATTGTTTGAATTATATGAATTAGAAAAGAATTACTATAAGAAGTTAATTCGTCACAAGGTCCCCTTGAAAGCAGGCTCACCCAGGACGTTGGCTGATCGTGAATTAGAGCAGAAATTAGAACAAGAAGAAATCGATAATGCCCGTCCTTTAACCGAAGATGAAAAACAATTGAAAGAAGACATTCTTGCAACGGAAGGGTTCTCTAATTGGAATCGACGTGATTTCCAACACTTTATTGCATCCAGTATCAAGCACGGAAGAAATGCCATTAGTGCAATTGTTGCCGAATTTGATGATAAATCAGAGGAAGAAGTTCGAGCATATGCCCAGAAGTTCTGGACTAATTATGAAGAGATTGAAGGATATGAACGGTATATTGGACAAATAGAAGCTGGTGAAGAAAAGATCAAGAAGGTAAAGGTACAACAAGAATCATTAAGAAGAAAGTTAAGTCAGTACAGATATCCATTACAAGAGTTAGTATTGAAGCATCCTCCTTCCTCATCACATAAAAAGACATTTACTGAGGATGAAGATCGATTTTTATTGGTTCAATTGTACAAGTTTGGCGTGGATGCTTTTGATGTCTATGAACGAATCAAAGAGTCAATCCGAATGTATCCGTTGTTTGATTTTGACTTCTTTTTACAAAGCAGGACCAGTGTCGAACTCGGAAGAAGATGTCAGACACTACTTGGATGTGTTGTTAAGGAATTTACGAAGGATGGAGTGAACACCGCTACCAAACGAAAGGCACCAAGTTCTGTCAGTGGTACACCAGAACCAACAAAGAAACGTGGTAAGAAGTAGTAGACCGCTATAGTTACAATGGGTACTCATATATATATATATTACATATACATATATTCACATATATTTATATAATACAGTATACTATTAACAAGACTCTTCTATAATTACAATTCTAATAATCTGACTATCACCGGTTCTATTTGCATTGGAGTTACATTACTCAAGTAACGTGCCACAACATCACCAGATTTGCTTATAAGGAACTTTTCAAAGTTCCATCGGACACCACTAAATCCTAGATGGCCCCTTCTTTCCAGTTTGAGATAAGTATATATGGGATCCTCATCATCACCATTGACATGAACTTTCTTCATTATGGGGAACAGTACACCATATTTTATGCTGCAAGTTTGTACTATAACTTTTTCATCGTCAGGTTCTTGAGATCCAAATTGATTACAGGGGAATGCTATTATTTCTAGTCCATTTTGCTTATACTTCTCATATAAAGCCTCTAGTTCCTTGTATTGGGGAGTATATCCACATAACAGAGCCACATTTACTACTAGAATGACCTTGGTCTTGAAATGAGCCATATCCAATGGCCGACCAAAAGCATCTAGAGGTTTAAAATCATATATTGACATCCTCAATTTATATAGGTAATTGAGTAGGGTACCTAATTGAATAGGGAATAGTATCCCAGTACTCTCTATAATGTTTACGATTTGTAATGACTATTACCATTCCATTGACTTTAGAAATACAATTGAGATATGTCGTGTTCTTACGTAAGCGTCCGTCAGAGACACAATCTAACATTATTGAAATGAGGTCAATTGGAAACAAACAAAACAACCATACACGACTTTTGTTTTTTCAATATATCTCCCCACATAATACATACCTGACAATAATGTTTATGTGCCTGACTAAATGAGCCTCTTCATGTCAGTCAATCAAACCGTCTGTCAGTCAGTCACCTCCTGGAGAGTATCCGATCGCACGATCATTTTGTTCCGGCTCTCACCGATCCCTGAAACTTGTAAAGCGTAAATAGTACAGCAGCTCTAATATAACTGTACCACCAATACTATAGATGGGGAAAAGTATAATGTGATTGACTAGTGTGGAACAAACCTAACTTGTGTCATATTCAGATATTGTATTAGCTTATTCCTTATCAACCAAGTTTGCAAAAAAGTACAACTTGCTATATGCATCCGTCACTCCGAAACCTTTGCTTACGTAATGTTATTCGTATTTCCGTCTAAGGGGGGATGTACAAAAAAAAACCATTTCAAAAAGAGAGAAAAAAAGTACACAGACAAAGAAAATATTTGCACCACTCTCCCTTTAGTTTACTTTAGTTCATTTATACTTTTCTTTTCCCCTGACTTAAGCTCTGAGTAAGATCGTCTACATAGCATTTGATTCTTTCCTTTGATATTTGCTCTCAGCCACAACGACGACGCAACGTTTTTTGTTTTACACTGTTTCACCTACTCCATCCCTCCATTCATTGCGTTATTTTCAACATCAATTGACAGTTTTACCCCATGTCGTTCAAAGTTAACTGGAAATCATTAGAATCCGATTCTCTAGGCGGTTGGACCCGTGAGATCCTCACGGAAGTGTTGAATAGCGGGAAACGGCCGAATATTTTAGCATCAAGTATCGCCATTAAAGATTTAAATTTCGGTAAAATTGCACCTGAATTTGAGATTTTGGAAATTGGAGAATTGGATAGAGATAGATTTAGAGGAATTTTCAAAATTACTTATGAAGGTGATTTCCATTTAACTTTACATACTGAAGTTCAAGCTAATCCTCTAAATATCTATACCGCTAATTCTCATGAATCGTTTGCTGGTTACGATGAATCATTTGTTACCCCACACTTTTTACTTTCTTCTGATCCATTTGCAATTCCTTTAGATTTGAAATTAAGTGATATTAAAATCAATGGGATAGGTATCATTGTATTTTCAAAGTCAAAAGGTCTTACTCTTGTGTTTAGAAATGATCCATTGGATAGTATAAAAGTATCTTCAACGTTTGATACTGTTCAAGTCTTGGCAAATTTTTTACAAAAGCAAATTGAAAATCAAATCCGTGATTTGTTTAGAGAAACTTTACCAACTTTGATCCATCAAGTTAGTTTGAAATATACTGATTTGAATAAGGATACTTTTGTTGATTTACACTCAGAAATCTCAAACTATATGGATACTCCTCCTGCTCCCTCTTTACCACCCTTTGATGTCAATATTGCTTATTCATCTGCTAATCTTCAACGGAATTTACATTATTTCACCTCAAGAGAAACTTTAGATTTACATGTTCCCAAGTTCAAACATATTATCCAAAGAGCTCATTTGGATATTTTAACCAAGAAAGTGCCTAACCTTTTGGACTCATTAAATGAAAGTTTACTGTTAGCTCCAGAAAATTACTTCCCTAAAATCTCAACCAATGCAGTTCCAATTGATTTACTTTCTGATTCTGATTATAATAAAGTTGGTTCGATTATTGATGAAATTAGTCGTATTCAATCTTCATCATTTATGAAAGGGGGTGCAACAACAACAGGTGGTAATGGTGGTACTACTACAACTAATAAGCCACACCGTAGGGTTATTAAATTAGGTGGTAAGTTGAAATCAAAGAACAATAAGGTTAAATCTATGCAACCTCCTCCTTCTGATGACCTCATTAATGATGGAGGTATGACACTGCTCACACAAGATTTCTCATCACCAAGACCTTCTACTGCACCTATTATTTCTGATTCCGAAACGTCTACACTTGTAGATGTGTGTTCACCTATGTCATTAACCAACTCCATTGAGATTAAACATCCTACGCCAATGAGAGTTTCTCAATCCAAGAGTCTTCAAGATGATATTAATCTTATTGAAGATTCAGAACAGAAGATTCTGGTTTCTAATGTTAAACCAAAAGGTCTTTTTGTGGAACCATCACCATGTGATCCACCACCAACTATTTCCACTCAACAAGAACAACAACATTCACATTTAATTGGTTCCTTCACACCAGAATTGAATGGGTGTTCAACTTTCCTTAGCAAAACAAATTCAAATTCAAGTTCTTCCTTTTTGACAGGTGTGGGACTTGGAAACAATTATTTCAATTTCACACAGAATCACCAACCTTCAACTTCTCCAATTCGTAGAGAATTGGCTCAACTGGTGGTTACCGAACGCAAAAGTCAAACCAAATCAAATAACTACATTGATTTGAAGAAAATAAGCATTGGTGGTCATGAATCATCTAGATTATTTGATATTCCACCTCCACCTTATTATGCTTCCAGTTATGTTTGAATCTACTTATTCAATTTTCTTGTATTTACGAGGGAGGACATTGAATCCCGATAACGCATTATTTATTACTATTATTATTATTTATTTAGGGTTTTATACGGTTTTATGAATATTATGAATCAATCTATGATCATTGTGAATACGGCTTATAGGTACTCCTTTTGTGTGAGTCTTAGTTTGTTTTGGTAGCGCACATGGAATGTACCTAAATATAAACCTTTAAATTTCTGATCCCAAGAGGTAAGCGAAAAAAAGTCAAAACCATAATCCATCGCCAAAAAGGAATACAAGAGATAGTTCTTCTCCACCGACAACGACAAAGAAGATGACTTTCGGACATTTTGATGGCATATGTGGCAAGACTTCACTTCCATTATGTCTGGTGTTAGGGTCTGTCAATAGTACATCACCATTCACTCGAGGGGTTGTACCTGAATGCTATGCTCGATCTGTTGAATTAGCCAACACTATGATCTTTCAATTAGGGAATGCATTTATTCATTTTGGATCCCTTGTTGTGTTATTGATTATTATAGTTAATGTTAGAGCCAAATATACTGCTATTGGTAGACTGGAGATGTTATCATTTTTCTACTTAATGTTGGGACTTGTTGTTTCAAGTTTGATTGTTGATTGTGGAGTTGCTCCACCGCTGAGCACTACTTATGCATATTTTGTTAGTTTACAAATTGGATTTGCATCAGCTGTTTGTATTAGTTTGTTGTTTAATGGGATTCTTTGTTTCCAATTTTGGGAGGATGGATCTGGTAAGAGTATTTGGAGTTTAAGAGTCATTGCTGTTATTTGGGGAGCTGTTAATTTTATTCTTTGTCTTGTTACTTTTAAAGGATGGGGATCTTTAACCAATAGAAGCACAGTACCATTATTTGTGGTTACATATATTTTAAATGCTCTTTTATTGGCAGCTTATGTTGTTTCCCAAATCATTTTGGTGATATTTGCATTAGATACTTATTGGCCTTTGGGTGCCATTGTATTGGAGGTGTTTTTCTTTGTGGTGGGGCAAGTGATTACTTATGTGTTTAGTCAAACCATTTGTAATAAGGCCTCACATTATATTGATGGATTATTCATTGGAAGTTTGTGTAACTTGTTTACGGTAATGATGATCTATAAGTTCTGGGATATGATCACTACTGATGATTTGGAATTTAGTGTTGCCAATGTTGAACAAGGTGTACAAGCATTTGGAGGGTACGATGATGATAGAAAGAGCTTATATCATTAATACATAGGAAATAAATGGAATTAGTACGTAGAGTGTAGTAATTAAGTAATCACTACATACAACTATAGCATTAAGGTCTTCGTTAGTTGATATAATACTCAATAGTTATAAACATGAAGATTATGATTAGATTGTTTTTTCTCGGACTCTGTTTTCCGTTATCTTGAACACCATCAAAGTCGATCAATGAGACATCTACGTCTGCTTTGCTCAGTATTGGCCCCATTGTGGTGATAATAGTTTACTATGAACTAGAATCAGTTGAACGTACACTTATATTATTGTGTATACACCAGTAAGCCTTATCTCTCAAGGTTATAAGATCAGTGCTATACTGTCATATGTTCTACTGTTGGGCTACACCTAATCTGTAACAAGTTACATTCTCAAACGAAAAGAACAAACGTGAATTAGGAAGTGGATGAAATGAAATAGAGCAAGACTAATGAACGAAGAGGTTAGACTACATTAAATGAATAAGGACCGAAAAGCATGTGTATATGAGGTAGTAAGTGAGATAATGAATGAAAAAAACATGAGATAAGATGTGGGTGGCTAGTGAGGGTCGAAAGAACGTGTGTAAGGTGTACGTAAAGTTGTTAGTGAGAACAGTTGAAAATGCCTGCGAAAACTTGAAGTGAGTGAAAGTACGAATAAAGTAGATAATTTGTAAAAGCGAAAAATCCTTTGAAGTTAGTACGGAAGAAGAATTAGAGTGAGAAAAGCTATATACAAAATCTTTGCGGGCATGGACGAGCTTCCTACGAAGATACCTTGTAGAACATTTTTCTAGTAGCCTTCAGCGTTTTGTCATAATTGAATCTGAATTTTAATATCATAAAATGAACCTTGTTGCTAAAGTGCACAAACTGTGTCTATATGGAGATGTTAACTTATTTAAACAATGAACTTCAAATATAGATACAGATGCTTTTTCAAACAAATGTAAGAAGAGCATATTATAGTTGAAGCAAGATTCAGAGAAAGATGTGATAAAGAACTAGGATAATTAGTTGATGAAAAAGAAGGAAGTAAAAACATTATAATTAAACAAATGATAGTAGGGGGACCAAAATTTATGTCAACTATTTAATTGGAAACAATAAAGATGAAATAAAATTATATTGTAAAGGAGTACCAAAAAATATACTAAGTTATATTCAAACATTGTATATGGTAGAACAGAAAAAAACAGTAGCATATCAATTGGGAATTCTAGGAAGATTAGATGGCAGCAAAATAGGCGACTTGTATATAACTACCCCATTCCGCAGTAATACCAAGCTACACCATTATACAACGATACTACTCTAGTCACTTCAGTATTAAGCAGAACGCGTCTGGGATAGATCAAATGTCTCTGCATGTCTCTGTTTCTCTATGGTCTCTAATTGTCTGGCTGACTCTTTTTGTTTTATTGACTCCGATTTCTGTCCCTCTCTTTCTCTAATACCTGCCAATCAACTACACCTGCATACATAAATACGCGATCATTACTTTTCCCCCACTAACTACTAAAACATATGGGCCCAAGCTAACTTACGTAGTACTGTCTCTTTACAACACACCCATACTATTGAGCACCTTCATCCCCACGACCAAAATGTCATCAGCACCTCAGGAGCTGGAGTCGACACGTTTATTGGAACTGGCACCCATTGTGTCGTTTATGAATGGTGATAGTGCCCTTGATGCCCTACTCAGCCGTCTTAAAAAGTCGATTGGAACCGGAGAGGAGTTTGCCAAATACGTTAAGAAAAGAGCTCAGATTGAAGATGAACATTATGGACTGTTGAAGAAGTTTGGTAATAGTATTAGAATGCAATATAAGAAGAATCAGGATGCATTGAAAAATGATTCCTTCAGTCGTAGTTTTGATCTGATTGTTGGTTTTGACGAAGAGTTGATGAATGTTGGTGGAGCTTATGTTAAGGCTTTAAATGTTATGTATGATGAACTCATTGCCTTGGTGGGCACAGTTTCTCGGTCAAGGAAAGCAACCAAAGAAGATGCGAAACGGAAGGAAAAGGATTGCTTGGATGCTATTCAGTTGGCTGAAAAGGCACAACAGAAATATTATCATCTCTGTGACGATTTGAAACGGTTGAGGTCCTCAGATTCAGGTAAAAGAACAGGGTTCTCTTTGAAGAATAAATCGGCAGAACAACAAGAGGAAGAACTACAACAAAAAATTAATGCTGCTGATCAAGACTATAGAGATAAAGTGGCCTTATGTAAAAAGGCTAAAAGTGAACTCTTATTGGTTCATAGACCAAGTTATACCAAGATCTTAAAGAATTTGATTTTGGAAATCGATATTGCAATGAATGTTCAATTACAAAAGTTTGCTACTTGGAATGAAAATTTGATAATGAAATCGGGAGTCTTAATTAGTCCTTTACAAAATACCACTACAAAGAAGTCAATGAAACAATTTGCTACGGATATTAATAGTGAGATGGATTTATATAATTATTTGCTGAAGGCTGCCCTGGTGCCTCCAACAAATAAATTGGTTCCCGTGGAATATAAAGTTCATTCTTCCTTTGCAAACGTTAAGAAGACAACCACTAAACCTTTCCTTAATAATACCTCAACCGGTTTGGCATCCGCTGCTACTATTGGTGCTGGAGCTGGAGCTGGAGCTGGAGCTGGAGTTGGTGGTGCACCACCATCCAATTACCGAAATACCACTGCTGCTACCACCACTAATAACAATATCCTCAATTCCAGTACCACTTCATCAGCCCCATACCCCGAGAATTTCTCTTTATCCAATTCTCATCTCAGTCCTGCTTATTCACAATCACAATCACAACCAGGTCCAGGTTACCCAACAAGTCCTATTGATGCTTCTTTTATAGACAGAGCAGGAACGTCTCCCCAGAATTCATTTCTTAGAGAATCACCTTCTTCCGGTCCTTACAGTTCGTTAGATCCCAATGCTTCATCTGGAACAACTCCAATTATAGGGGATGGAACCTTTCAAAATAGTGCTACGACCAATACTAATGCTCCTACACACACTCGACCAACATTTGGAGTTTCAATTGAAGAAGTAGCTCAATATGCTGGTGTTGAAAGTGTTCCTTTGGTTGTCACTCGGTGTATTCAAGTAATTGAAGCCCATGGATTAGATTTAGAATTTATTTATCGAACCAGTGGGAATAAAGTTGCTGTTGAACAAATGAAACGAGAAATTGATCAAAACTTTGCCAATTATGTCAATATTGGAAATGAAATAGACAGCGCTAATGTTATGGATGCTCAAATTCATGCTGTGGCTTCCCTTTTGAAGTTGTATTTTGCTCAATTACCTGAACCATTATTAACTAATGATCATATATGGCAATTCCTTGATACCATGAAGCTGCAAGATGAAAGTTATAAGGCCAAAAAATTGCACCATTTGGTCTACAGCTTACCTGACGGAGCATATTATACCTTGAGAGCTATTTTATTCCATTTGGTGAAAGTTTCTGCTCATAAGCAAAACAATAAGATGTCAGCTAATGCCTTGGCAACAGTTTGGTGGCCAGCACTTTTGCATGATGATTCTAATCCGGAAGATGTTGAATGTAAAGCAAAACTTATTGAGGAATTGATGGTAGTTGCACCTGATATCTTTGAACTTGATCCTGAAGATGAATAATAGAACATTAACAGTATGTGTATGATTAATACATCATAAACTTTCCTGGACCCTTATTAGAATTTGATCCTGACCCTGGTGCTTGTCCTGGTCCTGGTCCTGGCCCTTGTCCTTGTCCTTGTCCTTGTCCTTGTCCTTGTCCTGGATGATTTATCTCACTTTCATTGGTCTTTTTGATGTGTCTACTAGAATTGGGACCAAAATTGAATCTGGGGGCTTTGCTGACCTTGTACTTATTTATAACTGATTTCATTTTGAAGTTGAGTTTCTCTGCATTTGCTTCACGTTCTTTCTCTGCTTGTCTCTGAGCCTCTAAAGTAGCAGCTTGTTCCTCCAACCTCTGTTCCTCCTGTAATTGTTTCTGGTAATCTTCATCACTTATTCCCAACATTTGACGTTGTATATCTTTAAGACTAGCCTTTAGTTCTCGATGGAAAGCAGGGGAATCCACAGTCTTATCTTGGATATCTTTATCAACTATACTAAGTAAAGAATCATTATTGTTTTTCATATGATGATTGATGATTTCTCCTTGGATTAAAGCACCAACTTTACCTTTATTCTTCATTAATATCGACGGATCTTGTTTAACTTTATTTTCAATCATTATTCTTAGCTTAAGTAGTAAGTTGGCATGAGTTTCAGACTCTCGGAAATTCTCTAATAACTTCTTCCGTTGTTTATCAAAGGTCCCATTCTTTTTGTACCGTATGGTTAATTGTTTAGCATCGTCTCTATCAGACATGGCGGGGGAAGGGAGGCTCTTTATATTGGGCAGAAAGCGGGCTATTTGTACTACTGTACAAGAAGTAATCAAAAGTACAGTTTGTATTGTTCCATGTAATGTCTGCACTGGAGTCATAAGTTTGATCATTCGCACGACTAAGTCTATATCAACCATTTAACTTCACCTTTAATGATAAGACACCTTTGATGGTCACCAATTACTTCCATTAATGACCGAAGTATCACATCTCTCGCTGCTACATCCGCAATCGGACCTAAGACGAAACTCTCGGGAAGTCACGCCCGGTTCGGAGAACGAAGTAGACTTGGGCAATTCCTCCAAACGATTCAAGCCAAACTTTGATCTGGTGGCGGAGAAGTCAACATGGGATCAACTTATGATTATTATTGATAAGGTACTTGATGAAGGAAACATTTATGGCGATGGATATGAATCAGTGAATAGAAAAGTCGCGTGTCTCTTGAGTTGTAAGTCATCGTACCAGTCTAAACTCTCTAATGTTATCCTTCAAAGGGTTGATGATGGTTGTGAAAAGATGTCACACGAGATTGAGCTGCTATATTTAGAGGGCAAAGCTAAGGATGAGGACTCCAAAGCGACTTTTATGTCATTTATGTCGCTCTATACCAATTGGGTTTCTAAGCTAATGACACTAAGTAACATATTTATTGGTCTTAATTCTTATTTGCATCGTCATCCAGTTAAGAAAACCATAATGAACCATGGAGTGAATGTGTTTCTTGTGTCTTATTGTGTTAAGGATTCTCATAGAATATTACCTATCGCATTACAGGCATTGACTGTGTTAAGGAATGAACTGGTCGAAGCAGCAGCAGCAGCAGAAACTCCTGGTGGTGCTACTCCATTACGTAAAGCATTGGTCACCTTCTTTCAAATGTGCTGTGTCAATGATTACTTCTACAAGTTATCTTTAGGTACGGCTATAACTGATTCCATGTTGAACGACTACAGCGAAGGAACCCCGTTGTATCAACAAATGATGAAACTGTATCCTCAGGAATTTCTTTCAACTGTTCATGCGATTTGTTATTGGGAATCAAGTTTTTTCAAAGCATGTAAATTTGAATCCAATTTCATCAAAAGAGCCATTGTCAAGTTAGAATGGCAATTGGTTTTGGAAGATTTCGGTCAAGTTATTCCGGATATCATTGAGTTTGTGTTCCTTAATGAGCAAAATAATGACCTTTTCTTCAGCTTGTGCAATGAAGCTCAAGTGCAATACGCTATTAATTATTATCCTGTGGTACGGAAAGCCATTGAGAGTCTTGTGACCACAAAAGTGGGAGAGTTTCTTGACTCAGCTAATAAAAAGGATTCTTACGGAGTAATCAGTGGGTTATATCAATTTTCAGACATGAAACAATGGAGAATCCCTGCCGTTGATGGAGCAGAAAGAGCATTTTCTACATCATTTTCCAAACTTATTTCCCTGAAGAAGTACAACTCTATCATTATCAATCTGTTGTGCAGATATATTGATACTCAACTTCGATCATCGTCTTCACAACAATCAAGTCTTGAAACTTCCTTTAAAGATAAATTTATGTTTATTATATCAGGAATGTTCCATTTGATTGAGTTTTGTGAAAGCTATAAGCGTGATTTATCCCGAAGATTACTTCAAAGGAGATCATTGAATATTAAAGATGAGAAGAAAGTTTTCGAGGTATTGGAGTCACATCTTGGAAAGGATGAAGAGATTATCCAAAGTATCTCAAGTATGTTTAAAGATATTGAAGAGGAACAAGTTTGCAAAGATGCTATTGATTTTGGATTTGATTTTAAACCATTGGTTCTTGAAAGTACTCAATGGCCCACAGTACCCAAACAATCCCTTATTCTTCCCTCTGATCTTGAAGAGATCTTAAAACGATATGAGAAAGAGGTTTTCTTACTGTCATCATCCAAGAATAAGAGTAAGAAATTGGAATGGAGCGCTTATTCTGTTCATCAGCTCACGATTTCCACCCAATTTGCCTGTGGTAAAAAGGATTTGATAGTGAATATGCTTCAAGCAGTTGTTTTATTTGCATATCGTGAACAAGATGTTTTGACTTTGGAAGAACTAAAGACTAGGACGGGGATGGGGGATTCTCTATTACAAAGTATTGTCTCATCATTTGAAAAGTACAAGATATTAATCTTTGAACAAGAGTCCATCCATTTCAATTACAATCTAAAGGAAAAGAAAACTACTATTAGAATTCCCTTAGCCAAAAACCCTCCCCTGACCGCTACTAACAATATCAACAATATGCCTATGATACGAAGGGATATGGCTGTTGATCGTAATGATGAGTTTCGAGCCAAGATTGTACGACACATGAAGGGAGCACAAACGGTTAAGTACGAAGATCTTCTACACAAGGTGGTTGAAAGTGCAGAGACAAAGGGTCAGTTTCGATTAACCGATATCAAAAAGTGTATTGAAGATTTAATTGATGATGGATATCTTGAACGAATAGATAGTGAATCGTTAAAGTACATTCCATGATAATGTTCAACAAGAAATAATGATAATCTTTGTATGTATTTGAATAGACGCTATATGCTGGTTAGACAGACTATGCTGATAGTCTACGCTGATCTGATTAGATTGGAACATCTTCTGGGTCTGGATTGTATTCCCAGTAAGAACCAAAGTATGGGATCTTGGTGTAAAAAGTGTTCTTGAACAATGGAACACCTTCAGTGAAAACAGCAACACCAGCACCGGCAGCACCACCCCACAAGATTAAATCTGGTAAGTAAGTCTTGAATAATGGGAAGTTCAATCCACCAATGGACTTAACTGATTTGTAAAGAGGACCTCTAACGTACTAGAAACAATTGTTAGTGCTAATTAATATATAAGGGAACAGCACCATTGCAGTCTGCTGTAGTTAACTCGTACATACGGAAACCATTATCGATATTGGATACTATGGAATATTGTGTGGGTTATGCTTGATAGTTTGGTTTAGAAAAAATTTCGAGACAGTTTATCCAATGTGAGGGCCGCGATTGGCTGCTTGGAGTCACGTGATCCAATGGTGATGTTTAATAACAGTAATGGAACAGGGTAAGTAATAAAGGTGTAACGTTACTGTAATATAATGCTACAATGTACGTAATGTTGATGTGCAAGAGATGGTTTATGATATACTTTGTTGTGTTGCATCGTTAGTTTTAATTGTAATACAGTATAATGTTTATCTATTCAATCATATCTTTTCTTATATACATAATGTATTGAATACTTAACAGGCATCAGGTTGAGCCATAATATAATCAATGGTTTGTCCCACACTCTTCAATGAATCAGCTTCATTATCTGGGATTTGAATGTTAAATTCATGTTCTAATTCCATAACCACCTCAACAACATCCAAAGAGTCTAAACCCAAATCCAGACTGAAAGAGCTTTCTTCACTGATCCCCTTGGACAAATCAACCTTATCGTAACCTTCCAACAATTCCAAGACTCTTTCCTTAGCGAGTTCTCTGGTCAATGGAGCGAAACCAGAATACATCCGCACCATAGATGGCATGGCAACCATTTGACTGGTTCTTGGAACCATGCTGGCTCCTCTCACAAAGGATCTCAATGCAACCTTGGAAATCATTATATATATGTATATGTATAAAGTCCGTACGATAAAACTTAATACTACTAGAGGTAAATCACTAATCAAATTATTGGAGTTTAACCAAAAGTTTGTTCTAATCTTTTGTTGGTCGTGTGCGAAACACATATATGAGCTCCAAAAATTTTTCAACCATTAACATCATAGTGGTACTAGTATATACTTTTAACTATAATAAGGCGTATCTCCAATGTTCAAGTCTGTGCTTAATAGGGTACCTGCCCTAGTTCCAAAGTTGGGTATAGCCTCCTCCCCCTTCAAAATGCCGATGTTTGCCAACCCTATTGCACAAATGCAAAAACGTTATGCTACATTAAATCAAATTAAGAATGGTAAGCATTTTAGGCCTATCAAACCATTCATTTCCAAGGCTCCAGATTTGGAAGGAAACCCATTCAAGAAAGGAGTAGTATTGAGAGTGATGATTGTTAAACCCAAGAAACCTAATTCTGCCCAAAGAAAATGTTGTAGAGTCAGATTGACCAATGGTCATGTGGTTACATGTTTTATTCCTGGTGAAGGTCATAATTTACAGGAACATAATTTGGTTTTGGTGAGAGGGGGAAGATCACAAGATTTACCTGGGGTTAAATATAAAATTGTTAGAGGAACTTTGGATTGTGCTGGTGTTGCTAACAGACAAACTGCCAGATCTAAATACGGGGCTAAGATGCCCAAGCAATAGGGAAATAATCGCATAGCTTGTATATATTATAAAGACACTTATTACGGTAATATCACTTAAAAATGTTTATGTCTTTTATTACACTCTTCCTACTTCGAATCTACGACCACTGGCAGTCTTTCTATTGTCAATGGCCTTACCATCTTCATCCACGGCTTCTGGTTGAGCTCTCTTCAATACCTTCAAGTATTCTTTAACACGAAGTCTCATTCTTGAATGCATATATGCCTTGGAACACTTGATATGGTAATGGAAATAGTTTCTAAAGAATTGAACGTGAGTGATACAATTCTCTCTTCTGTCACCTTTCACCAAATGTCTGGGGAATAAAACAAATGTGATGTAACCCTTGTTTTCGTCATTGGATGACAGAGCCACACTTTGAATATCCAATGGAGGATCCTTGTGTGAATACAACACTTGTGGAGCAGTTTGCACGGATCTTCTTCTCGCATCAACAAACTCTTGGAGGAAAACCTTACCAAAGATTTTGTCTGTTTCATCTTGAAAAATGGTCAGGAACACAACAGTGACTCTATCGAATGAAGGTTTGATATAGATACTTTCATCAGATTCACGATAATTTATAACTAATACTTGCTCCTTCTGTAATTCCGCTTGGACTTCTTCGGAATATGTATTGGAATCCGCATAAGTAGCCGCCAATTCATCATATCTTGCAAATGCCTTTTCAAAGGCAGAAGCCATGGCATTTCTTTTAAGTAATGCCAATTCGTCAATGATGGCCAATTTGACTTCTTCTGAACCCAGAGAATTTAAATTCTCCAAGTTAAGTACCATCGAGAAATTGAATGATGTTTCAATGTCGTTCCCTGTTAACACCGTTAAATATTCACTAAAGGGAGCATATTTAGTGGACAAGTACTTTTCAACACCATATTGTGCCAAATCAGTCCAGCATTTCAAATATAACGAAATCAATAATAAATCTTTATTGTCAGGAAGTGTACTGATGTGATAATTGGTGTAATCAAAATCACTAATGATTCTATCCAATGATTTAGGTGATCCCGAATCACCCTCTGGGAAAATGGTTTCTGTTAACGTTTTCTGAATAAGAAGGTTCTTGGGGTCGATCTGTAACATCATCTTGGTAGTGGGTCTGTTTAGAAGAGCTTTAATGTACAGAATTGGTTAAAAAGTAGCCAGCAGCGGATTGGTGATGTAAATGTTGGTGGTGGTGGTTGGTTTGGAAGTCGCACCGCTCCTTTAAACAGATTAGTTGTATACACGACTGACGGAAGTAAGGGAACTAGTTAAGGGCCGACGACTACGACACTAATATAGAAGATATCAATATGGCAAGTGAATGAAATAATGTTTGAATTTACATATGTCACCATTAAAAATAAAAGCAAATAGACTTTATGTGAAATAATATAGGTTTAGTGGTCCTCAAATATAAAAAAGAATGGACGAGTCCGGAGTCGAACCGGAGACCTTTCGCATGCTAAGCGAACGCGCTACCAACTACGCCACACGCCCTTTCTTGCTACTAAAAACAAGTGAAATTTGTTACAATATTACTACAACAGTCACGTGAGTATTTTTCTCATAGCATTACAAGAAATACCGAGATACCCCTATACTTCTTACTATTACTCCGCCACAACACCATTAAAATATCCTATGGTATTAACTGGTTATAGCATATACTAGTTATAGATATCATTGAGTTTTTGCTAGTATTATTGATATAAAATGAAGGTGTTTAGTGTCTTAACTATTTGTTGTACTATTGTTGCAGCCTCTCCACTTGGTAACTGGGCTGCTCTCAGTGGAAACGATGCTCTTGAACTTCGGTTAATTAAATTGGGTCCTCAAGAATATAGTATTATTTCCGAACTGGAGAAGGTATCATTAAGAAGACGTGGTAAGAAGTTTATGGATGTGACTAATCAAATTAGTATTGAAGAAGCTTATACTTTAGGTTTGGTTTCCAGACCCCAAACTTCACTTTGGAAACAAATGCTATTCAGTGCATCTGGAGCTAAACAGATTGAAATGATGAATAAGCCTGTCAAGGAATATAAATATCCTAAAAAGTTAAGTTATAAATCTTTAGTACAAGATTTGAATGATCAAATTGATAAAGATTCGATATATGAGAATTTGAGCCAGTTCACTAGTTTTTATACCAGATATTATAAGTCCAAGTCGGGAGCTGAAAGCTCTGATTGGCTTTATGAAAAGGTTAATCATCTTACCAAACCCATTAGTAAAGATTATGAAGTGAATATTACAAGAGTTCACCATAAAGGTTGGGACCAAACATCATTAATTGTGTCGATTCCTGGGAATGTCACAGATAAAGTTGTTGTAGGTGCACATCAAGATTCTATACATTTATTGTTACCTCAACTTAGAGCTCCGGGAGCAGACGATGATGGTTCTGGAACCGTGACTACTTTAGAAGCCTTAAGATTGGTTGTTCAAGCCATTTCCACAGGACAATTTAGTCCTTATAATACTCTTGAATTTCATTACTATTCTGCAGAGGAAGGTGGATTATTAGGTTCTGCAGATGTTTTCGCTCGCTATTATGATTCTGGTGCTGTGGTTCTCAGTATGTTACAACAAGATATGACCGGGTATTCCACCGGATCCAAAAACCAAGGCATTGAAGAGCATTTAGGTTTAATCACCGATTATACTAATGTTGGATTAAATGGGTTCTTGAAACTTGTTATTGATACTTATAATGATATTCCATATCATGAAACAGAATGTGGATACGCATGTTCTGATCATGCTTCAGCTTTAGAAAATGGTTATCCTTCGGCTTTTATCATTGAGAGTGAATTCAAGTTCAGTAACCAATTTATTCATTCATCTATGGACACGATCGAAAAAATAGATTTTGATCATGTTGCTGAGCATGTGAAATTGACTGTTGGTTATGCCATAGAATTGTCTGGAACCAACATCTTAAATAAAAGTAATTAAATAATAATTAATGATATACTGACTGTCTGAGTTTATGCTATGTCTTTTCTGAGACTATACCACTTTTGAGGCTATACTTCTTTGTTGTGTCGCGCACGACTAAATCCTACCCAGTCAACCAAATCAACACCAGCACTACATCACTATAACTCTCTATACAACAACAGTGGTCTACATTAATACAGCAATAATGCCGAGGTTAGAGGAATGGGAAATCAAAAAGTATTGGGAAATCTTTCAAGGCTTAAAGCCAGCCGACAATAAATACCTCAGTGGATCTCAGGTGACTCCAGTACTTAAGAACAGTAGATTACCCCAAGAACAATTGAGTGGGATATGGGAATTAAGTGATATAGATAAGGATGGGAGATTAGACTTTGAGGAGTTTTGTATTACTATGAGGTTAATATTTGATTTGGTCAATGGTAAGATAACCGAAGTACCCGAGGAATTACCTGGATGGTTAATACCCAGTAGTAAATCTCATTTGATTCAAGCCAATAAGGATTTGGATCAGAATGCTTCTACTGGAGGTGGATTGTATGGCAGTGGGAGTGGATCTGGATCTGGGAGTGGTGAAGATGAAGACGAATTGTTAAGTAATGATTTTGATTGGTATATTTCCCCCACTGATAAGGCAACTTATGAGACTATTTATAATACAAACTGTGACAGTTATGGAAGATGTCGGTTTGACTCGTTTAAATCACTTTATGATTCTTTGACCAAAGTACCTGAATTGGATCTGTCGTCTGCTTGGAATTTGGTTAATCCTAAACAATTTGAAACAATAGATAAAGATCAAGTGTTGGTTTTCTTACATATCTTGAATCAAAGAGAGAATGGTAAAAGAATTCCAAGGGGGGTCCCTGCAAGTTTGAGGGCGACTTTCCTGAAAGAAGTCCCCAATTATGATTTAAAAAGTTATAAATCCACTCCCACTACTAATTCAGGTGGTAGTGGGAAGAGAGGATTTGCAATGAATTATTTAAATAAAATTGGCCATAGTCAAGATTCTCAAACGCATGGAACAGATTTCTCGGTTACTGAAGGTACTGATTGGGAAGAAGTCAGATTGAAGAGAGAATTAAAAGATTTAGAAACATTACTAGAAAAGGCCCAATGGAATAGTAAGCAAGAAAGATCATCAGACTTGGCTAATGTCAAATATGAATTTGAACAATTGTTGAAATACAAACAAGATCAATTGAACAAATCATCAACCACAAGTTCATCTGATTTTAGTGATATTAAAGGTGATGTGGAATTAATTGAAGCTCAAGTGAAGACTTTGGAAGAGTTCCATCATCAAAAGGCTCAAGAGTTACAACAATTGACTCAAGAAATAGCAAAATATCAATAAAAGACTTTGTTAGTATATATATGAATGTTTATGTATATATGAATAGATCTATCATCACTTCTTGGTCTTATCATCATCCTTTTCAGGTTCTGGAGCAGGTGTTGGTAACTTGAAGGATTCAGGAGTGAAATCCTTACCTTCACCAACTTGTTCCCAGACGGAGGATCCAACGGAGAAGTTTCTGAATGCTTGAGTCAATTCCAAAGGTTCGTAAACAATTCTCTTCTTTTCTTCATCATATCTAACTTCAACATAACCTGTGGTGGGGAAATCTTTTCTTAATGGATAACCTTCAAACCCGTAATCTGTCATGATTCTTCTTAAGTCTGGGTGTCCTTCAAAGAAAACACCAAACATATCATAAGTTTCTCTTTCAAACCAATTGACACCTTCATAAAGTGGTACTAAAGATGGAACAGGTGAAGTTTCACTGGCATATGTCTTGACTCTAATTCTACAATTGTGTCTAACGGATAAAAAGTTGTACACCACTTCGAATCTGTTTTCTCTTGAAGGGTAATCCACAGCTGTAACATCCATGACTGATTTGAATTGAGCAGGGGTATGATTCTTCAAGAAAATAGCTGTTGGTCTTAATGCCGAGGGAGCAACATACAAAGTCAATTCGTCTTTCCAGACAGAAAACTGTTGAATGTATTTGGGCATACATGACATGATATATTTACCAAACTTATGTAATTCCTCAGAATATTCCTTATATTGATCAGCAGGATTAACTATAGGTGCTTGTTGAGGAACTGTCTTAGCTCTGGGTAACTGAGACAAGTCTGGCAAGTCATGCCAGGTTTGCTTCAAGGGCTGTGATGTGCAGATGTATCTCTTGAGTATACCAGCCGACCGGGGTAATCTGGACAACATCTTGATAATGAAGGACTTAGGAAGTTGTGGGCACTGCTTGTGGGTTTGGTGGTGATGTCTAATGAAAAATCCTATTCGAATCGCACAGTAAGAAAAAATTCTTTGAATTCAATTGGCCGAGTTTGTGGTAAGAGCACGACCCGTGTTCTGATCGTAGAGTGAGATTTTACTATCATGGTGTTGAAGATTGTTACACTGGCATTATTATGTTGATACTCTGGTAATTCATTGCGTGTGTGTATTTTGTCTTGACATTACTTGTATATCTAATGACTGTGACTATGTCTGTCTATTTGTGTGTCTATGTCTGTGCCTATGTCTGTGTCTATTTCTGTGTCTATGCCAGTGTCCTCTGTATTACGACATTCTAAACATGGGGACTTCCTTGCAACTATAGATGGACATAAGTACCACCACTAATACAAGTGCAAGCCAATGACTTCCAATTGTAAACCTTTTATTATGATTTTTTCACAATTCGATGCACATATTTATTCTAACCGCAAAGATATTTGTTGTAATTACACTCGCCTTTCCACAGCCTTTAAAGCCATTATTTACTTATTGCTTCTCTGATTTCAGAAAACGTTCATCTTTCGCCCACACCCTGAACCTATCTATTCGATATGCTCGAAGTGTTAAATGATTACTTATGATTTTCGTATAAATTTTCGATTGTTCCATCAAATGTACTTGATTGTCACAATGGCTGATGGAATTTTCGCATGTATACGAGCTGCTTTTCTAATATATATGCATTAAGCATGTCCATGTAGTTCCTTATTTCGATTAACATAGCTTAACATTGAAAACGGTTATGCTTCAATTTTACGATGGTAAAGAGATTTACCGTTAGATAATCTTACACACCGTACAGCATCAGACTTTGAAAAAAATCTGAGTAACTATAATCAAAGTAACAAGACTGCAGTTTACTGTAGTAACTGAATACTTTACACAATAATTTAAGGAAAGACCTTAACCTCGGGCCTCAATGTATGGAAATCTCCGAGAGGGGCCTTTAAGCCCAATAATAGTTTGTGAATATGCATTCGTAAAGCGAAAATTAACGCACCATTTGATCGACGCAGGATTCTTGAAGAAAAAAAAGGCAAGCACGCTGCAGTGGAATAATGCATTAAATAAAAAATCTCCCACATACTTCTCTAGTAAAGTGTCACCACAAAAACCGAAAACAATTAACTGGCGATTATATCTCCGTATCTCTTGTTATGATTGTATTAATGGCTACTATACATTCCTCTCTTGTTTACTTATGTAGTTTGGTACTGCACGGGGATATGTATATAATGTAGTATCTAATTTATAGCACACACAAATACAAAAGTACGAATGACATCAATTCAAAGGTTATACAGCCCTATAAAATCCAATCTACATTATATTTTATTTTTATACATCCACATCAATGGGTACTTCCCATAGGAGTAAATATGGAGGTTTAAGTAATTATTTTTTTAGGTTTTGGGTGTTGTAACAATGGAAAAATGATTCAAATGGTAATTTAACAAGATCACAATAGAGAGAACAATAACAAGGGAGGGATTTACAGTCTGTCAGTATATGCCAACTAAATATGCAAACAATTTAACCTACAGGGCATTGCCAGATACACTACATGAATGTAAGCCCCACACACATTTACTGCCGTATATAATAGAAACGCTTCCCATTTAACCAAATAGTGGTGTAATTAAACTCTACGTTTTAGCATCTTTACTATCACCATTGTTATACCGTGGTAACAGAATATCTACCTTCTCAATTATTCCGTGTGCATCATTGAATGAGAGGCGATTTACCTTTTGTCACTAACTGTCAAGTGCTGGATGGCAGATCATATTATGCTTATCATACTATTGTGACATACAACTACATCTTAACCCACATTCTTTAATAACTTTTCAAACAAATTTAAAATGTCTGACAGACCAAAAAGACAAAGAAGATCGTATTCATGCGGTCCATGCAAAGGTCTGAAGGTTAAATGTGACATGCAGTTACCTTGTGCTACTTGCATCAAGTTCCATAGGGCTGACAAGTGTCATGAACTGCCTCCTCATCCACCAAGCGAAGAAGAACTATCCAAGATCAACCAAAGAAAACTGATCTACAAGAACCGAAAACGGAAACGGGAAGAAGTGGATACTTCTCCAAGCCAAGATCATAATTCGTATCCCATGCACCAACTACATTTTCTTCACCGTATTCCCATTCAAGAACCAATGGTTTTGACACCACAAATGCTGGACCCACTTTCAATTCCAGTTCCCTATAATGCGTATCAGATTCAACTTCCCACTCATCATGTGGTTCATCTTGGACCTTCGCATCAGCAACATCAGCACCAACTTCGACTTCGACAACACCAACAGCATCTTCAAGCGCAACAGCTTCAGATTCAACAGCATCCCCAATTACAGCTAGAGCAACATCTTCAGTTACAACCACAATTACATTTTCAACAACCTTCAAATTTGCATCAAGATATGACTACTACTCCTTATTCCCAACCTTATCACACACAGCCAGCTTTGCCGTTATCTCCTCACTTTGCTAACAATTTCGCTGTTCAGCTTACAGCATCTAATGGCCCTTCACCAACGAATCCTCCATGGACCACTAGTTCAATGCAGACAAGAGTGGACTCATCAAAGGATCGTCTACACTTTGACGTTGATTTACGGGACATTCTATTGTATTTACCAAAGAACATAAACTACTTTAACTCATTGATGGATAGGTTTACGGGAACGTCCACAGACGGCAGCTCGGACGCTTCCATTATTCACAAAACAGCAAGAAATATCTATCTTCAAATCACTGATTCCAAGAACCAAAAGTCCACCATTGAGAACTGGACTTTAGATGACTTGCGAACACTTTCAAAATTATTCTTGGTTCTTATAAATGGCTTGAATATGTCGCCTGAGAGTTACTACAACTCTGGATTTCTCAAGGTCAATCTTCATTCAAATGAAGCCACTATCAACAAATGGCTTCTGTTTTCAAAAACGTTGAGAGATAAGGCCATACAGGCCAGTTTAGATACCAATTCTTCAAAATCACTTGACGAGCTACGAAAGATCAACATAAAGAATGCCAGATTCGTATTAGAGTGGTACTTAATTCTGAAATCATTCTTCCACCTCTCAAATAGAATTCATGATAATTTTGAAGAGTTTGTAAGAGCTTTCAATTTTATTCGCGAGAATGAATATGCTATGGAATTTCTTAATTTGCACAACTTCTATGAGAAGTATGTTCTCCATAGGTTTAAAATGGAGGAAGACTCAAGAGTTTTAGCAGTTAGTTGGTTCAAATTGAGGATGGTGGAGGTTGAATTCCCATTCTTGCAAAACAATGGTTCAATGTTTCTGTATCCCAAGATTTGTGATACTATTGTGCCCAATGATCAAATGTCAGACATTGTATTCCAAAGACTGCAATTTGATCCTACCATATGTTCATTTTACGAGTTCCAGACGGACATTTGGAGGGTTTATCATCGTAATAATCTCTCTTCAAAAGAAAGTTATAGTTTCGAGATGATAGAATTATATATGCTATGCTTCAGAGCTTTGAATGAGTTGATCAAATGCTTTAGAAATGCCTCTTGTGTTCAAGAGCATCTGCTTAAAGCAAGTGAGAAAAACCTTTTGAAGACATATGCTGCACAATGGGTGTTTACACGAGGTACGCTTTTGGTGAAGTTAGGTGAACGTACTTACTTCCCTCTGCTTCGAATAGCAAGTTACTTAACCACACAAATGAACAAATTTAACTTCTTCTTATACCTTGAGCTGGAACAAAAGGATCGGAAACAAGATAGCGGTTTTATTGATAATTACATGCTAGATCTGGATATTAGATCTTATAATGTCAGTGTTATGTATATTGAGTTGATGAACGTATTAATATATTTGGCTACTTTGACCAACTATTTAGCCTTAAATAACGGTGGAAATAAGAAACGGTTCCAACTATTATCATTTTTAAGAACAATTACTTACGAAAGAGTCGAGAAGGTTTTAGAATGTGTAAAGCGGTCGAAAGTAGCCACTTTAGGACATGTTGGATTTTATGGACTTTGTTCAAATATGATTGAAGTGATTCTTAAGTATATTCAACATGTGAATGATTTTGGATCGTTCTCTCAAGAGACATCATCAAGAGCCATTATGGTTGACGGTGTTTACAAAGAGTCAAAATCAGAATCGGCTGCATATGAGCTCATGAAATATTTACGGACTAATTGTCCCAAAAAAGAAGACTGGCAATGCTATATTGTGAGTATTTTTGGAGCTAGAGATTCGTTGTCAAATTACATTGAACAACTCTGGGAAACATTTACTTTTATTACAGAGAAAACCCCTAATGGAGACATTGAAATAGTTGAGGGTCTCACTTTAAACGTGCAACTTGTGGAAAAAATTCGAAATAATTTCTTAGGCCTAGAATTTGACGAGAATACCATAAAACAGTTTGTTAGTTCAATGATTCTGGAAAAGAACGTCATCCAACTGCATTCTCCATTTGCTACAGCCCAAAGTAATACTCTGTCGTCTTTTAGAATTCCAAATAAATGAGGTGTAATTCATTTATTCTTTGCTGTAGCTGGTCCTGAGTGATCCATTTTGGTCTCATTTGTTTCCTAATTGGTAAACACTTCAACAGAGCCATCCTTACTTAACACTACCATCAGTTTTGTACTACATATTTTAGTGATATCTTCGTTCATGTCAGGGGTACAGAGGGGGTGCACATTTGATTTTTCTTGAATAATAGGTGTTAACGGCAGAGGGTTCCCCACCGTCTAAATAGGGTGTGCCGTGCAACGTGTGTGAATGAAGACATCGATTTCGATTACATTCTCCGTTGGTCTGGCCGAAAGATTACTCTAGGTTGATAATGAAACGGTTCCTTAGACGAGACAACCACAATTACACCAGCTATTCAGTTCATTACTGAGTTGGACGAAATAATATTGCTCATTTGAACTGCCCATTTCTAAACGTTGAGACTTTTCAAACTCCTCAAAGTTATACGTACTACACCGGATTCATAGAGAGCACCTAGTATAACTTTGGCATAAATGTGAATCATATCATTTTGCGCTTATAAAGAAAATGTATAGGTACACCACTAACAGGTGTACCTTATGAAAGTGGAGATTTGTATAATGCACCTATTAATAGTATTAAAATCCATGTAAATCATGACCTCAACAAAGGAATGCAATATTACACCGCTAACATGTGCAACTTATAATGGCGAAGAAAGCGCATAATACTAGCGTTGACATACATGTACATCATAACTCCCCGAAAATGATCAAAAGGGACCTTGTAATTAGTGATACTATTTGCAGGTATCACCAAAGAATTATGCAACTGTTGCGAAGCTCTTTGCATATCAATTTGCACTCGTCTTTTTTATGCACAAGGCCCAAAACCTGTTGTTCCGGAATCACATAAATGGAACGATGTTTTACTTTACTGATTCGGAAAAGAAAGTAAACATGTACTATTCATTCTAAGACCCGGGTATCCGAAAACGGCATTGTTATTGATCTTCTATTATTGACAGTGTATCTTGGTTCCAATTTGGGATTAATTAGAAGACATCGCTAATGATCTATTATTGGCAACATGTACCTTTCTCTCGCAGATGGTTACCTGATCAGCGTTTCAGGTAACAATAGACGATGTCTATTATTGTTATAATGACAGATTTGTTGTCTATGCAACCGAGGCTGACATCTATAAATGAAGGCCAACCACCACCCATTAATTATCAACTCATTTTAACAGCTTTAACCTTAAAAATACCTTTCTACCCTACTAATACCTGCAATTAGTTATGGTAAGTGTTAAAAATCTTTTAGCTGGGTTAATTCCAATTTTAGCAGCTTCCTTTTCTCTGGCTGCTCCTGTTGATGACACCCCAAAAAGCGACTTGAATAAACGAGGATTTCAACCTCCAAAACTTGAGTTCAAAGTTTACCACGGAGATGATCCTCTGAAGGCAGTTGTTGCAAAAAGAGATGATAAGGTACAATGGCCTATTAATCGGGGTCCTACTTTTTATCTTGCCAATGTTGCTGTAGGTTCGGATAAAGAGGAAATTTTTGTGATTCTTGACACTGGGTCTTCTGATTTATGGCTTTTAGAAAAGGACGCCCATTGTGTAATGCCAGGGAATTCCAAGAGACATGGCGATACGGGGGCTGTTGGCTACGTCTATGATGATGAAGGTAGCCTTGTGTATTCAACTTTCTTTGACGACTTCCCACCACTTACTGCATTTACAACTATCTACACAACACAAGTGCTAACATTATATACTACAAAAACTGTGGACTATGATCCATATCAAAGCCCCAAGACATCAGATTTCTTCCCTGGCACTGTTTCCGATACAGTCACCCCTTCGGAGACTCCATCAGATTTCTTCCCTGGTACAGTCTCTGAAATGGTAACACCTTTGGAGACACCATCAAATCCTTCTATAGCCTCAAAGAGTGTCCCACTTGACCCTTATCCATCAGACTTCAATTTTACACCCTCTTATTCCGTGGCCATTTCCACCTCAATTTCTGTTATGAGTAATGTCTACCCTATACATACAAAGAATGGTACGGTATACACTATTTCTTCTGTGTCCGAGCATCCCACTCCCTTCACCACTGCTAATATTCTTCCCACTCTGAATGGAGAATCATACACTCAGATTTCGCATACAGATCAGGAAAATTCTAGTAAGGTTACCAAGATTTCAAGCACGCAAGGCTCTGTTGTTACAAGCTCAACTAGCTACTATAAATATTCTTTTGCTGGTAGTCTTATAACCTTGAGCCCCGGTGCACAAATTCCTACATTGTCAATATCCGAACCTCCTGCAAACTATACGGGTACTTCGGTTGCACCAAACTACCCATTGTTTTCAGTTGATGGAGGTTATATTACTTTATCTCCCGGTGTTGTCATTCCTACTCCCTCAAATGCCGCGGAATCTGTGCTGACGACTTATTTCTCAAGGCTGAGCTCTATGGTCACCTCAGTAGTCCAGAATCTGTTGGAAGCCAAGAATAACTCAGCTACCGCAACAACAAAAGCAAGAAGTACATTAATTGACACTCCTGGTTCTTCAAGCACAATTTTAAACGATGGCTGTCTTGCTTATGGATCCTTCAACCCCGAAAAATCCAATACATTTAAGGTCAATACATCATCACCTCATTTCTTGATATCTTACTATGATAATTCAAGTGCTTCAGGTGTATGGGGTAGAGATGATATTACTCTTGGTGGTGTCACTGTGAAAGAACTCTCATTTGGACTTGTCAATAAAACTAGTAGTACCCTAGGAGTTTTCGGAATTGGGCTACGTGCAACAGAAGTTGCCCCAACAAAGTACGATAACTATCCTATTTTGTTGAAAAAGCAAGGTCATATTAACAAGGTTGCGTATTCTATTTACTTGAACTCGAACTCAGCCTATCAGGGAACCGTCTTGTTTGGTGCTGTGGATCATGCCAAATATTCCGGGATATTGACAACGGTTCCAATGACCAGAGAAGAAGGACAATCGCCTTCTAAAATGGAAATTCCCATCAGTTCATGGATTCTTAATCTGGGATCTGAAAATGTTAGTCTTACAAATACTAAATATTCCGCTCTCTTGGATACGGGAACTACCCTTACCTATGTTCCATCGGAATTGTTCAAGACGATTTCCCAACAACTTTCAGCTAATTATTCCAGTGATTTGGCTGCCTACAAAGTTGATTGTTCTGTTGGTCTGCAAGAATTTGCTTTTAACTTTGGTCAAACCAGTGTTAAGGTTCCAGTTCTGAACTTCATTTCACAAAGCGGCACTAGCTGTACTTTAGATATTATTCCTCAGCAAGGAACCTATATCACATTCGGTGATAACTTTTTAACATCCACTTACTTGGTTTACGACTTGGAAGATTACACCATTTCACTTGCTCAAGCCAAGTATACAGATGAAGAAAATGTCGAAATTATCAATGACAAGATTCCCGGAGCATCGACTCTTGATGAATCATCTTCCCTTTACTCAGATACCCCTCATGCATCCGGCCCAACTTCTGAATCTACTGCTATGGTTCATGCTCCATTAATAAAACGTTCAAGTGGAGTTTCTGCTCTAAAATTGAACTTTATGACTATCTTAATGGGATTAGTCATATCTCTTTTACCTTTATTTTGATTTCGAGCTTAGTATAAGTTTTAAAGTGCGTTTCTTTTTTTAATTCTCTCTGACGTTAGCTGATTTAACCGTCCCTTCATTTGCTGTTTTACATTATATACCACTAAATACTTTTGAATATACACTGATTTATGATTTAAAACATATTAGTCACATGTAATTGGAGCGTCTCTTGCCTTTTCTTTTGGGTGCAAAATCTTAGTTTGAAAACCTTAGATTTATTTTTTTGCATCCGCACATATCTGTTGGACTAAGTGTTGCAGAGTAGTACGTGAATGGTTGTTCTAAATGCAGGCACAAGAGCATATATTTGAATTATTACAGTGAACACTTTGCAACAACTAAACCTTTTTCAAACTGCATACAATTCCAAATTGTAAATGACTGAGCCTAAACTAAAAAGTCGATTTTATGTATTGTCTTTGAATTTGGTTTAAGGCTGAACTGTTTCCTAGATGAGATACAAAACCAGCACCATTTTGAAAGAACAATAGTATCATACCACGGAAAAACTTTTTCTTTGTGCGATGAGATGTTTTTCCGGAGGTAGGCCGATGGTTTAAAATATCGACAATAATAGTGGGGGACAGCACCCAAATAAAAACCTCATGCAGAATAACCCCATGGGTCAAAGATTTACCCGACAGACAATAATTATTTCAAGGAAGCGACATAATAAAATAAATATCAGGATGTGATCTAAGTACATATAAGTAATGATTAGCTTACTATAAAAAAAAGCGCCACCAAAACCAATAGGGCCCTTGTTATTGTAGGAAACTTACCCAGGCGATGTCTTATAGACTTTTTTTGTTGCTTTGTTTAAAACAGGGATATGGGATTTTTCTCCCATTTGCAGACAAATTTCTTGTGGTTATTGTCTGGGAAAAAGTTATGAGATCTCGTGGGGTGCATGGTGGGGTGGGGGATAAAAATTGATATCCATAGTTAAGTACCAAAATTTTGTGTCATGAAAGTCGTAAAGCGAAGTCCCCAAATACCGAAGGAGGGCAAAAAAAAGACGGTATAATTAGTTCGGCAAGATGAATAAACGACATACCACACACGAATAAATATTATTCAATAGCCTGATACTCCTAATGGTCTAGCTAAGAGGATGTCCAGCAAGCTATAGTCTTCCCCAACCCATCGCTTCTAATTCTCTGTATTTTTTATTGTTTAAAACAATATAGCTCAACGACATTATATGTCTGAAAGAATTGGTGACGATTAAAAAGAAATAGTTTTGTGCAAAGCTCCTGTTAACTTTCAGCATGCTAAGGATTTTATGTTTTTTTTTGGACAGTTAACTTCCTTTCGGCACATCTCGTTATCATCAACACACATCGACATACATCAAGTTGATCCGACATCCATAAGATAACCCGCAAAGGCTATTGAACCAAATTTATCTGAGCTACGCTTATCGCCCTACTGTTGAGTAGAGATTGAAATTGTGGTATACAGCAGCTAACATCTGACTCCTCACATTCTGACTGCTCATACTGACACCACAATATACCGATATTCATTTGTCCGATGCCTCCAAAGGAAAAGAAAGATAAGGAGGAAAGGCCTTACAAATGTACGATATGTGATAAGGCCTTCCATCGATTAGAACACCAAACCAGACACATCAGAACTCATACAGGGGAGAAGCCTCATCCGTGTACGTACCCTGGGTGTACCAAGAGGTTTTCGAGATCTGATGAGTTAACCAGACATTTGAGGATTCACAATAATCCTGTTCCCCGAAAGAGAAGGTCAAAACATGGCAATACGTCCCCTAACTCCGAACAGGCACCTTTGGTAACGATGTTGCCCATGCCCCGGACTCAACAACCTCCGTCAATGCAAGAATATAATCAGTTCCAACATCCACAACCGCAACACAGTATTATGCTTTCTGCTCCAGGTAGTCAACAAGTGACTTATATTCCCATTTCTAATGGAGACATGGATGGGAACTCAAAGGTATATGCCGTTGTCAATGGCCAACAACAGCCACCACCACAGCATCTTATGCAACAAAACATGCAACAAGGTGCTTTCAATGGGGCACCAATGCTCCAACAACAGCAACCACCACCACAGTATTCACAACCTCAACCGTCATATCCTTATGCTCAAGCTCAAGCTCAAGCTCCTCAGTATCTCCCTGGAGCATTTCCTAGATCTTCTTCTCCAGCAACTAACAATATCAATGTCAATCCACATATCCAAACGCAAACACATTATATTCCTCCTGTGATGAATTCCATCCCTTCATCTCCAACCAATTTAATGCTTCCAGAAAATGTCAAGAGATCTGTTTCTTCAGATACCTTGAAGGTGCCTCAAGTTATCAAGTCAGAATCAGGTACATCGATAGGTTCTAATTTATTTGGTTCCCATACTACATCAGCATCTGATTCATTAAGTACTTCACCTGATGCTTCCAGTAACATAACCACTAGTCCTAATACAACCACCACCACCAATCATTTGGTTAACATAAATGATTACTATGCCTCACACCACAAAAACGTACCTTCTAGATTATTCAATGCTTCAAGTTCTTCACTATCATCGCTAACAGGGAAAGTGAAGTCAAATTCAAATTCAGGAACCAATTTAGCAGCATTGGCATCATTTGCTTCAATAACTAGAATGACTCCCTTGAAGACATCAACCAGTCAAAAGTCAACTAATAATGGAACACCAGTTATACCAAGACAAAGTTCATCATCTTCATTGAATTTGGAATTTGCCCTGACAGCATCACAACCATTAAAGAAATCAAGACCTAATTCTCCTTCTTTACCAAGTGCGACACTTAATAATATCAATTCTCAATCAATGCCTGCTATATCCACACCTAATTCTCCGCCAATGTCAATTAGCCAACTGATCTTAACCTCCAGATCTAATACCAGCAAGTTCCTGATTGCATCTCCTAATGACACTCCATTACAAACGCCTTCCCAATCACCTCACTTAGGTCCTCAATCAACCACAGAAAGCTTAAGCAGAGTTCCTTCTTTCAATTTAACTGCAGCGCATTTTGCCAAACCCAGTTCCCGTGGTCCTCAACCAACTATTGCCGAAAGTATAGCGACAACCGGAACTCAATTACCTCCTATTAGATCTGTCTTCAGTTTCACCAGTCTTCTGAATTATCCACCTCCTCCACCGGCTCCGTTATCGGCCACGACTTCAGAAGTTACCGCTACTTCGACTACTAGAAACGGAGTGTCTTCTGTGACCCACAATGGTGATATGTCACATATGAAATCCCAATCAGGTATGGACCTTCACAAGATGATGAATACATGAAATTATACAAACTGTCCACTCATTTTTTATACCCCCCTTCCCCCGGTCGTCTTATAGATTTTTTTATTTTAACCTCATTCTGCACTATAAGGATAATATATACTACTTATATGACATAATAGTAAGTAAAACGTAATTTCGGTATACCGTAAAAGATATCACGTGACTCAGATCACGTGGTTAGAAATTAATTATCAATTAAATTGTACCCACAAGGGCTCTTAAAGTATCCACCACTAAAGCTTCTCCTGTCCTCTCTTTTATCACCGAGTACAATGTCAGACAACAATGCCAGTTTGGAGAAGACCAATCTCTTCAAGCCAATCACGTTAGGAGCCCTTGAGCTCCAAAATCGTGTGGTTTATGCCCCCACCACCAGATTAAGAAATACCAAAGATAATATTGCCACTGATATTATGATAGACTATTATGATAAAAGATCTCAAACCCCGGGATCATATATTATTTTTGAGTCTGCATTGATTGGACCTGAAGGTGGCTTAGTACCTTATAAGCCTGGAGTCTTTACTGATCGTCAATGTGAAGCTCTCAAAAAGGTTACTGATGTGATACATCAGAATGGATGTTATGTTGGTGTCCAGGTGTTTGCTCCTGGTAGAACAGGTAGCATTCCTTTACACAAGGAGCTAGGACTTCCCTTGGTTGCGCCCACTAAAGGGTTATTCCATAACAAACAGACTGAAACAGCCTTTAATGAAAGTGCTGGTGGTAGTATTGAATTTGTGGAGTTGACCGAGGCTCAAATCATCCAGTTACAAGATAAGTTTGTGGAGGCCTGTTCTAATGCCATTACTAAAGCCGGCTTTGATATTGTTGAGTTGCATGCTAGTTCAGGCTTCTTGATAGAACAGTTTCTTTCACCCTTGACTAACCATAGGACTGATAAATATGGTGGAAGTGTGGAGAATAGATGTAGGTTTCTCTTTGAGTTGATCGATAAGTTGATCTACCATAAGGATGTTGGTCCCAAACGGTTATCTGTTAGAATTTCTCCGTGGTCTTATCATAACATGACATACCCTGAGGATATGAACCCCTTGGATCATCCTGCTGTGGAATACGGTAAAGAGATAGCACTTCATATGGAATACTTGAAGTATTCTGGTTTAGAATTGGCCTATTTGTCGGTGATTGAACCCAGAGTGTCTGGAAACAGTGATAGGACATTAAACGTTGGAGAGTCAAATGTTCCAATAATTAAACTTTGGTCTGGGAAACTCATTAGAAGTGGAGGTTACATTACAAATTATAGAAATAAAGTAGACACCGTGTTAGCTGGAGATGGTGAATATGCCGCGTTAAAGAACGATGTTAATGCTGATGATAGAACATTAATTGGTATCCTGAGAGCAGTAACTTCTAATCCTGATTTTATTGAAAGATTAAAGTCTGGAAAAGTATTGGATAATTATCAAAGAAAGTATTTCTATACTCATCAAGTTGAAGGTTATTTGACTTTTGATAATTATAAAAAGGATGGCTCTGTTAATACCATTGATTTATCCGAAGATATTCTTAATTCCACCGGGGTTCCTTTAGCATAAGATTATAGATATTTAATGTGAGTTTAGAGCTTTCAATTGGGCAGTCGAACCCAGTATGATGATTTGTCCTGCAAAGCTGGCTTTGTGTGCTATTTCTTTAAACTTCGCGCTGTTATGGGCTAAAAACAGTATTATCCCCATGGAAGCCCCCTTAGCTTAGTGGTAGAGCGTTGCACTTGTAATGCAAAGGTCGCTAGTTCAATTCTGGCAGGAGGCATACTTTTTTGTTTCATTTCTATGTTGCTAAATACAAAGGTATTTGAACAACAAAAATACATTAGCCTTATTCGTTTATCGACCTCTTGTCTTTTTGTTTTAGTTTGATTCTTAGCAGACCACTTGTTGAACAGAATCAAACACGTAGGACGTAAGCAGGTTGAAACCCCGAACAAAACACCGAATACACACCGAAAACCTACATACCAGGCGCCGATTTGACTCGGTCCAACTGATATACAATTGATCAGACAGGTAGTAGTCGCTAATCAGACAAATAGGAGAAAGAAAACCTACAAGAAACAGACGCTTTACAGCCAACAAAGATCGACCGAACAGAAATTAACACCTAAATGGAAATTCAAACCTTGATTAATCCATTGATAATCAATATGACGACATTATAAATTTAATTTAACAGCAAGTTCTGCTGTTAGAAAAGGGATATATTAATAATGTAAAGGACGAGCACCGTCAAAGCAGTGAATAGTGATAATTGCTTTGGAGTCGAATTATACATTTATAATTCCATAAGCAAAATGTGGCGATATTGGATGTCAATAATAAAATGGACTACTTATTAAAACTGGTCTTAATATTACATAGCAGAATATCATATATAAGCATACACAAGCATACTTGGTAGGTACGTAATATATACATTATGAATAACTTAAGTCTATCTGTACGACATTAATGCGACATTTCACAACCATACAAGAACCCAAAGTAAAAAAAAAATCCGCGCTACCGCTTTAAATTTCCATTATCTTAAAACTTTGACCCCACCAAGATCAATACGTACGAGTATATACACCAACTATTCTTCATATTATGTCCAAGAACGCCATTAAGTCCGTCGTCAACGCTGGTAAGTATCAAACCAATCACCAATCGCCTAACGATACCAAAAACTAACAAGTGACAAAATTAGTCCAAAAATTCTACCCAATAAGATTGGCTGACAAGTCCTGGGATAACACCGGATTACTTGTTGATTCCAGTTCTGAAGAAGTTCAGAGTGATGAGATCCGAGTGTTACTTACAATTGATTTGACTCAGGCTGTTGCCGAAGAAGCCATTCGGAAAAGGTCCAATGTAATTATTGCGTACCATCCCTTCATTTTCCGTGGACTTAAATCCATTACGCCCGTTGATCCACAACAGAAATCGCTAATTAGATTGATTCAGAACGGAGTTAGCGTTTATTCTCCGCACACGGCTGTTGATAGTGCCAAAGGCGGAGTTAACGATTTCTTAGCCGATGGGATAAGTGAAGGATTGGGTGGTGAAACTGAAAGAATCCCCATAGACCCAAACCCTAATGAAGAAGGTTGTGGGATGGGAAGATTGGTGACTTTGTGCAAGCCAGCACCTTTAACTTCCTTGGTGAAAAATATCAAGACATCCTTAAGTTTGGACACTGTACAAGTGGCTATAGGTAGAAATCACCACAGGGAAACGCTAATCAGCAAAATAGCCATCTGTGCTGGATCCGGAGGCTCAGTGTTTAGAGGTGTGGATGCCGATTTATATTATACTGGAGAATTATCTCACCATGAAGCATTATTTTTCACTGAGTCTGGTAGTTCTGTTGTTGTATGTAATCATTCCAATACTGAAAGGGCTTTCTTGAAAGTGTTTAAAACTCAATTGGAACAGGAATTACAGGGATCAGAGGTCATTATATCTGATAGTGATAAAGACCCATATCAAGTATGGTAATAATAGTGCACGTGATACTTGTTTGGTCACGTGACTAAGATATGGCGAAATTGATAACGTAGTTTGAAACTTTGAGTGATAAACCGTGGGGTAAATAATCTGGTTCCACTACCTTTTCTAACTGGTCCCTTACTATGCTGAAGACGGTTATATCTGTAATAGGTAGTGAAGCACCTGTATACAACCTCAAGTCAACAGTAGTAGCATGTCCTGACACTGACTATGTATTTTTATATGGAGGGTACGATGAACTTGATAACTTAGACAGCAATGTGTATCTACTCAATCTTAAGACCAGCCAATGGGAGATCGATGATAAGCACGTTGGATTATACCGAGAGGGACATCTGGCTATATATTTAGGTGATGGCAATGTACTTGTATTTGGCGGAGTACCTCAAGATGAATTCCCGGAGACCGCTACAGGTGCTAGCACTTACTCGAACTTTAAGAAAGATAGTTTGATGATGATATACAATGTTATGGAACGGAAATGGCAAGGCCCCCCCGCTCAACTGTTACTCAATGCTCCGTCTTCTCGCTCAAGACACGGGTGCTGTCTTTCGGAAGATGGGACCAAGTTCTATATTAGTGGAGGTTTGGTTAATTCTGTTCCACTTAATGACCTATATGAATACGACTTGACCACGGGCATATGGAGCGGACCAATTGAGTTCACAGCACGATTCGACCATTTTATTACCGTGTTGGATAACAAATTGTATGCCATGGGAGGATTAGATAAAGACATGAACCATTCGGATCGGTCGATACTTTATTATAATTTTGCAGACGATACCGTTGGCTCTATTAAAATCAAACTGGACAATTCGACAATAACATCGATAACATCATTTAGTCCAATTGATCATGAAACAGCATTTTTGGACTCATTAATCAACAGAAACGTTAAATTAAAGATATGCAATACTGAAGAAAATGATATTAGGGGTTTGCAATTATCTTACACCAATCTTGTGGATTACGATTTCATCACTATCTTTGGTCATTCAGGTCTCGCTGCTTTGTTAGGAGAAGATGAGTCTCCTTATAATGCTTATAGTTTCCATTGGAGGAAACCTTTTGTACTGTCTAATGGTGGCTTCTTATACATTTTGGGCACTCAAAGAACCATATCTCCTCGTGAGTCCCTCTTCGGTAGTCACTTGCAACATCAACCATTGAACAGTGATGGTGATAATGAAAATCGTCATTCAAGTGACCAACGATTGAAGTATCTCCTTCAAATCCCCATCAATAAACTTGGAATCTCAAGATTACCCTATAAATATTCATCATCTTCTCCTTGTGGATATGGTAAATTGCTAGATGATTTTACTCAACTCCTTCAAGCTGGAAAGTATACCGACTTTGAGATCCAAATGTTTGCGTCTGAACAAGCCAGTTTGGAGTATTCGGATGTACCCTTTGGGCTGGTCCCTTCACAACATATCGAGTCCATTGGAGTCCATAAGGCCATTTTAGCAGCCAGATGGCCTCATTTCCAACGAATTCTAGAGAGTGGAATGTTTGAAACCCTGACAAATCAAATGCAAATCCCCGAACCAAGCAGTTGGGTCCGGGGGTTCATTTGGTATTTATACACTGGAGAAATGGACATTGAAAATTACGTTAAAAACAGTGATTTGTCAACGTTTGGTGGGATCTTGGTGCTTTCCAACTTGTATGAAATGCCTGACCTTAGATGTGATGTTTTAACCGTTCTTAATAGGAAATTGCAATATTTCAATAATACTTCAGTCGACAATTTGATTAAACTTTGGAAGGTCCTTTTGGTTGCAAATGAATCACTTTTGCTTGATAGAACTACATACCTTCTAAAGAACTTTTGGCCCGAAGTAAGTCGTTGTAAAGAATTTGCAGACTTACCCAAAAACCTAATAGTCAAGCTTTGTCAAGAATGTTCAGGTCCATCTTTCAACCCTTTAGATGGTTTTAGAAATTCCCTTCTAACTCCAAGATCAGATAGAATATCTGTTAATTCATTATCAGATGAAGAAACTCCTGCTAAAATACGAAACAATTCACCATTCCTAAAACAATCTCCTATTAGTCCCGTACGACATAATTCAATGGACCCTCTCTCGTCTTTCCCAACACTTCAATCACTTCCAGATGAAGAAGACTAGTGTTAATTATCGTCCACAACATTATGCCAGAGATCGTCTATTTTATTTGCTGCTCCATCAATGAAATTACCAACAGAGTCAACTGCATCTTCAAAAGCGTCTTCAAGACCTTGGAAAATACCCGGAACTTTAGTATCACCATGATCATCGCTTTCTTCTGGATGATTTAAATCAACTTCAAAATCAGTAGGCTTGGGTAGCTTTTCACTAACAGAAGTAAAGGTGGATTCTTCCTTTATCAACGATTCTAATGGACTAGCATTAGTACTAACTGTAATCCTGGTTAATGTTGGTGTCTCTTGTTCTTTCAAAGTGACATTCCGGAAAAGCAAATCATATGTTGCATCGTCCTTTATGATATGATCAACTTCAAAAGGTAAATCAGGGTATACCAAGTTATCTTTCCAAGATTGGGGCAAAGTTGCTCCAAATATAGATAAATCACCGGTACCATTATTAGGAGATGGGGTAATCTCTAAAGTGTCACAAACCAAGTTATAAACCTCTATATTCTTGAAAGGGTGTATCTTTTTGGACTTAAGTTTATCAAAATATGGTCCTTGAGCAAGGAAAACGGCTCTCATCAATAGTTCAGTATTATTATAGCCATGAACACCTTTAGGCTTATAATCCCCTCCATTCTTCTCCATCTGTGCTTTCGTGGTCACAGAGTATCCCACGTGAGGAATGATCCATATGGGAGCTAATCTATAATCAAACTTGTGACCTGAAGATGCTCCACCAAATTCAAATTCAGCAGGTATATCTTGAACTTTATAAACATCAAAGCTATTGTTATGTTTTTGCTTTGACAATTTCTCCTTAAGTTCATCATAAATGTCGTCCACTGGGAATTCTTGCTTTGGACGTAGCCCAAACAAGGGCCACCCATCAATATGTTCAATCTTATTTAAATCGATAATATCGTCCAAATACAAAAGTCTGTTATTTGAAGTCGGGGCCATTCCATGATCACTTACAATCACCATGTTGACCAAATCTTGTAAATTTCGTTTCTTTAATTCCAACTGAATCAAATCAATGAAATCATCAACATAGTTCAAGGCTTCAACCAATTCAGATCCACTAATACCAAACTTATGGCCATACAGATCAATGGTAGGAACATATGTAAGCACTAATTCTGGTCTCTTATCGATTTCTTCAATGTCTAACCACGTGAAGATCCTATCCACTTTATTGGAAAGTAGTTCGGATCCATTGTACTTATCAACATATAGTGGACCTCCTCCATCAATACCAATGCCTGGAACCTCACTACCTGGCCACATATGAATAGCAGAATTGACTCCTTGCTTGAAAGCCGTTGTCCAAACCGGCTCACCCCCCTTCCAGAACTCAGGGTCTAGACCCCCGACTTTAGGATTAGTGTTGATGAACTGCTTCTTCAAGACGGGGTCGTAGAACGTATTACCCACTATACCGTGTTCAGAAGGAAACAATCCAGTGACCAAAGTCCAATGGTTTGGGAACGTCGACGAGGGGAAGCTGGGAATCATATATGGAGCGCCAAACTTCTCCACAAAGAGCTTATGCATCGTTGGAGTGTTGCTGGCACTGATATAATGGGGGTGAAGACCGTCTATAGATATCAATAACGTTGTCGGATAGAACTTGTGAGTCGAATTAGATAACACTGTTTTACCTGTATCAGGATCGGTATAACTCTTGTTAGTAGCACTGCCCCTACCAGCCAACAAGAAGAGCATATAAGCCATTGCACCAAAGAAACAAATGCTCATCACGAACACATAAGCACCAATTCTGGTAAGCTTTCTCTTAAGCATATTAATCTTATAGTCCTTCAAATGCAAAGCCACCTCATCATTGGAATCCAAACTCTCTGAATCCATCATGCCATTGCCTACTCCATTTGCTACTCTTTCATAGCTTAAAGAGTCACTTCTATTACCATTTTTAGCAGCAAACATATCTTTGAATCCTTTCAAGGCTTTACTGAGCACATTCTCGGAGGAAGGGTCGGCATAATCACCGATTTCAAAATCAAATTGATCCATAGTTAATTGTGACTGTTGGACATCATCATCGTCATCATCAGCATAATCAGCATTATTGAGATGATTGGTCTCTTGGTCGGAGAAAACGTCCGGATCGGTATCTAAGTCCGTTATGGGTATATCCACCTCGTGTGGCTGGGTATGAAGCGACGACATGCTTGGAGAGACGGTACTGCTCTAAAGAAGAAACGTGACTTGGTGATTGGTGTTGATAATTGAATAGCGCATCATTTATGACAGTGGTCGTGTGGACGACAATATTATTACCCCTTAACGGGATTGGTATACTTCACTGCATTAACTGTGTTATGCAACGCACTGTAGTAAACAATGTTATGCCCTGCACCGCACTGCAATGCACCTCTACAATATGTATAACAATCAAGTACAATTCTATAGTAAATAAAAAATATCACCTGAAGAAACTAGCAAAGGAAAACCAAAAGACATAGCATAACCAAACAGAGAAAGAAGTAGAAGAAACATAAAAAAATTTAAAAGAAAACCAATTAATACCCAGTGCTAGCAGTAAACTCTAAATCGCTTTAAAAGACGTCACCCTGGTCAAACATGGCATCAGCAACCTTGATGAAACCAGCAATGTTAGCACCCTTCAACAAAGATGGCAATTCACCATCCTTAGCAGCAGTGTACTTTAAGGCAGTAGCGTAACAAGAATCAAAACAGTTAGACATAATGTTCTTCAATTTTTCATCCACTTCTTCACTGGTCCATCTAACTCTGTGAGAGTTTTGAGCCATTTCCAAACCAGAAACTGCAACACCACCACAGTTTGAAGCCTTACCAGGAGCGTACCAGACACCACTAGCTCTGTTGGCTTCGAAAACTTCAATAGCTTCCTTGGTAGAACCCATGTTAGAACCTTCAGCAACAAACTTAACACCTGCAGCAACCAAAGCCTTGGCTTCATCACCAGAAACTTCATTTTGAGTAGCACATGGTAAGGCAACGTCCAATTTTTCAAACTTGGTCCATGGTCTTTCACCAGCAGAGTATTCAACACCAGCAAAAGTTGGAGATTTGATGATTTCTTCCAATGACTTGAACTTCAACTTGGCATCACCAATTTCTTTAATTTGCTCAGCAGTAATACCAGAAGTGGTAGTGATTGTACCCTTGGAGTCAGATAAGGAAACAACAGTGGCACCCAACTCAATCAACTTCAAAGCAGCGTATTGAGCGACGTTACCAGAACCAGAAACAGCAACAGTCTTACCAGCAAAGGTTTCCTTACCGTTGGAGGCCTTTTCAATCATCTTTTCAACATAGTAGATCAAACCGTAACCAGTAGCTTCTGGACGGATTAATGAACCACCCCAAGTCAAACCCTTACCAGTCAAGACACCAGACCAGTTGTTTTGCATTGCCTTGTAGGCACCAAAGAGGAAACCGATTTCTCTTCCACCAACACCAATATCACCAGCTGGAACATCGGTATCTTGACCAATGTATCTAGCCAATTGTCTCATGAAAGAAGTACAGAATCTTCTGATTTCAGCATCAGATCTACCCTTAGGGTCGAAATCGGAACCACCTTTACCACCACCCATGCTCAAACCGGTCAAAGCATTCTTAAAGATTTGTTCAAAACCCAAAAACTTTAAGATGGATAAGTTAACTGATGGATGGAATCTTAAACCACCCTTGTATGGACCCAAAGCAGAGTTGAATTGAACTCTGAAACCGTTGTTGGTTTCGATTTCACCCTTATCGTTTTCCCAAGTTACTCTGAATTGAATCAATCTTTCTGGGACGGAAACAACTGGGATAACCTTTTTATATTTTGGAAGTTCTTCGAAAAGAGTGGAGTCTTCCAAAGCTGAGACTAATTCGTCGTAAGCTTGTTCGAATTCAGGTTCGTAAGGCTTGACCATGTTTGATATTGTTAGAAAGTGAGTGCTAAAGATTATTGAGAGGACGAAATTGAAATAACCCGAAAGGGCGATCTGATCCTAATTTATACTTGATTTGAATTCTACAACCAAATTTACACCCCATGGCGTTATACTTTGTATCTCCCAATGGGGCATTCACGATAAAGGTTGCTTCTGCTATCAGTACGGGCCCCTGGAAATGATTGGCTACAAACTTGGTAGTTTACAAGCAGGAGTCTAGACAATGGCATGTTAGGAAATTATTAGGAAATTATTAGGAACAATAGCAAGGATAATCACAAACGGCCCGAAGAGGGTACACAAACGGGGCAGATGACTCAGTTCTTTGCATAAATATAAAGCCGAAATCTATTCAATGAGTCTTCGCCGATTCAGGGCCGGAACTATATTTCTATCCAATATGTTACCTCTTCTACTGATGGTCATCAAAAGATTACCGCAGGAACGTGACTTACGGAAATACTAGAACCACAAACAACACCATAATAGCTGAAAAGATTTTCTCTCTTGACATTGGGTGTTTTTCCGTTACCATTGATCTCTCCGGTAATTTCAATTTTGCGGACTTTGGTAGATGCATTCTGAAGAACTCCGGTTGTCACCGACATCACAATACTATAACTTTACCTTGTTCTTCTTCTTGCCAAGTCCGTAAATGGTGGGGACACCGCCATCGTTTTATGATTGGGCTAGCTACGAAAGCGTGTGCACACCGATGTCACAGTGATTCTTATCTTTGTCAAATAACCATCAAGAAACCAGCTTTCGAGATGATTCAAAATCGGGTTCTTGTGTGCAGGGGCTTGTAATTTTCTTTCTCTGGTACAACGTACGCCGAAGCTCGGCGCCGAGCTATGTAAAATTGCCTCTTGGTTTTCCAATAAGCTTGTATTCTTAGTGGGGAGGGGTTTGACATGCTTTTGTTATCGCAGCAAAAGTACCAGTTCCACTCAATGTCATGATTTGACGTGACAGTAAACTTTAGGTACGTTCATAGTTGTATGACACCACTTACCCAATACAGTAACTTTATTTGGTAGCTCCGCACTCTAAGTTCAACTTTTTACGTCGTTACATCATCATTAACCAAGGTCACTATTATTATTACATCATACTAACAAATTAATAGAAATAAATCAATAAATAAATAAATTAATAATCCCGTTATACCCAAAAAATAATAAACAAAAAGTAAAAAAAAATAAACAAAAAAAAAATGCACTCTATATCTATTTAAGATAGTGTACATTCAACTCACCAATCTCGTGACAAAGATAACTCCACTGATACCGTCTCTCCAAGCCCAAATGCTCTTCATACAAGTATAGATCGAAAAAGAAGCGCAAATTAGGTTGTATGATGATATTCAACCTCCGAACACGGACAAACATGTATGCATCCGCTAAGTTCATTCTCATATGTTTCATGATTGTTGCGACAACTATTGAAGCCGAACGGCTCACCCCAATGCGACAATGTACCAACACCCGTTCATCATCGGTATTACTTGAACCAACTTGACGGATACCCAAGGGATCAATCAAGAATTTGGCCTGTATTTCCTCAGGACATTCCATCAAGAGTTCGGCCAACAGATCACGACCGTCATCGTTGATCTTATGTACATAAACCACGGTCTTAAGCAGATGTATTACCGAATCCTTATCCAGAGTGTCAAGGTTGACCTCGTAGATTTTGCATTCACTCCGTTTGCATACAAATATGGGCTTAACACCGTGTTCCATGTCTTCAAAGTCAAACTTCACATTACCAAGCACATGCGGTCTTTCTCCCATTGATACCAATCTGGTAATCTTAAGACCCTGCAACACAGAATAAGAGTTGGCATGTTGAAACGATCCCAAATACACATTCCGTGTAATACGTGAAGGGAAATTGTAGTCTGATAAATCTTGGCTAAACCAATCGTCTTCAAACTCCATCTTCTCACTCAACACCTCTAACGATTGACTAACCAGTCCCAAATCAAAACGATGGTCATGGGGACTAGTAGGAGGTAGCGATTGACACAAAGTTTTGGTTATAGGGTCTTCTAATGCAAAGGAAAAGTCTGAAATCAACCCCTTGCGGTTTAAAATCTCTGGATGTTTCTTCAATTGACGAATAAACGTTGCCAAGTGTTCCAACACCAAAAAGTCTTGTTTGAAGAAATACAACCGTTCTTGCGAAAGAAGCTGCAACATTGACTCGTGTAGTGTCATTGCACTGTTGTCATCCAACATAAAACATACAGCAATTATCAAAAGAGAAACCCCAGTCAATCCATCAAACGAGTATATCATAATCTGTTTACCCTGAGCTGTAAATTGATGGATAACCTTTAAAAAGTTGAGTATTGCCAAAAGCATCTCTGGATTAGTCCACTCTTGATATGCCACAGACCCTGAAGCTGGGAAATCAAACTCAGCTACAATGGAATCATCATAACCTTCGTTTGTAACAAGGTATAAATCTTCAAACGAAGGAAGTTGAGCATATTCATGACATTTGATAATCATATCGTATTTTGATTCTCTACGAGCCTGCTCGTGACGGTAATCAATAACAGTCCCCACCGTGATGTTCCTCAACCCCTTATAATTTAAAGGACGAGCCTTATTGAGCATCCAGATCAAATTCTGCTCCAACTCCAAGAACCGGCTTGGAGGCTTGAGGAAACCATGGGTGGCCATTGAGATTGTTCCTGGCACAATCTGTTTAGAGGTTTCAGTGTCGATAAATTGACTCTTGATATTCTTCCAGAATGAAACAGGATACTCTGGGTCAATCACATATATTGACTGTGACGAGGTATCAGATTTAGACAGTAATGATCTTGCAATCCGTTCCTTCTTGTTGCCGTATACCAAAAAGTTGGACACGGGCAGCATGGTTTGAACTTGTTGAACAAAGTTACGATTGCTCATGGCTTGTCTCTTCATCTTCTTGACAATCAACTTGGTGTAATCGCTGAACAGAGCCTGTGTGAAGAGAGACTCGTTGTAGTCCAAGGTGTTACACAAGAGCGAAGGCATATCCGAAGAACAACTCAGATCCTTAAAGATCATAAGATGAAAGTGGGAACCAAAAGGTGTGGATGCAATATCAATATCATCAAGACTTTCGTTGAAGAATGTCCGTTGTTTAGCATACGTTAATCCGTGCAAATAAGGGAATGCACCTTCTTGAGGTGTTCGTTGTGAACGTTGATACACCAAAAGTCTATTCAAGTCCTGGGGCTTGCTAATGACATAGATGTTTGTATCTAGACGTTTCAATTTGGCATTGAATACGCTTGTCCATGAGATCTCTTCAAATATGGTTTGCAAGGCATCACCAAAAGCCGAATGACTTCTACGTTTAGTACCGACATGAGATATGGAACCTTGTTGTTTCTTAGAGAGCTGAAATACATTTGGAGTTATTATTGAATTCACTTCTTGCGTCTCACCAAGGGAGTTTGAATCCTCATCATCACACAAACGCTTACCAAAAGAATAGCACGTTTCAGAGTCACTTAGCATTGTGCTTGGCATCGTAGATGAAGCTGTACTTGCCACTGCTGATTCTTGTTCTTCGGACTTTGTCATTGACGACTCCGAAAGCCCTATAGCGTTTTCAGAAGATACTTGGAATGTACTCTTTGACTTGGTAGGTGATTGCATCAAAATCGATAGCATTTTATCATGAGGAAGAGCATCAGCAGATGGAGACGGTACTGCCAACATTATATTAGTATTGTTATCACTGCTATTATCACTACTATTATTTTTTAACGGTGGATCAATATTAAACATGAGTCATGTCCAAGCCCATTTATACTTTTCACGGTTGGTGCTTAGTGCAATGAATATAAAATACCTCTACAATAGAAATTGGTCTCGCCTAAACCAACCGTTCCTTTTGGGGTATGCAGACTTTATTGTAGCGATGACAGCAATTGAAAGCACTCAAGAAGCTGCGGTGCAACCCCGTTCCCAAACTAGGGAGTCTGCACATGTATAGCCGACACTGGATATCCAATTCAGTAGTTTGCCGATAGCACGCGGCTTACGTAAGATAGACGTTTAACAGGTTCAAAGGGGCTAGAAGAGCAAGTCTGTGAAAGTCCCAAAGGGTAAAAGTGTGGGCATGTTGTTTTGCGACCTGCAGTCCATGCACGTCCTATTAATTGGGAAACAATAAGAACTAAATGCACCCCCTGATAACAAGTTTGAAGGCAGGGGACGCTACTCTCATCACCTCAACGCTTGATACTTCGTGACGATAATTCTTAGCAACACACACCAACCGACACAGTTAACTCATGACCTATCGTATGCAAATATATTAAGCATTCACCAGTTAAACTGATGCCCTCGATATAATGTTGTTTTTGTTAATGTCTACCGGGATACTTAATGTAGTATAGTGTACTGTAGTGCGATGTCATGTCATGCATGGTCACACGTGTGTTTCGGGAATACACCACTCTTGGTGGTGCTTATATACGGTATTCATGCCTCGACCTCAATGGGACGTCCATCTACCAGCGGTTTGAATTGGATACTTGGAAACATCTCAAACGTACGTTATCACCTTTCATGCCATCTTGTTACCACAATCAAGACATCGCTAAGTTCCTAAAAGAACATCACTCCCAAAGAGTCAAAAGCAGCATTCGTCAATCGAACAATAAAAACACTGTTATTACTATTACTATTATTACTATTGTTACTACTAATTATACGTTGTAGGGGAAGGCTAATTAGCGTGAGTGGTTGTATTCGTCAAAGTGTTCTTCTTATTCGGCAATCGTCGACGAAACACACTCTAAATGACACTTACTCAATCTGACTGTTGGCGATAGTCAGTGAAAAAGCAAGTAATGAATTCCATCACTGCAGACTGATCTAAATGTGTAACTCTGTCTTGTAGGTTAATACGCAGAAACTGATAAGAATATAATAATAGAAATGATAATAACAACAATGTAACAGTAACAGTTTGAACCTTGGTAAAGGTCCTCATTAACCATTGATTACAATCAAGTGTGGCTCCATACTCATTTTCGCTGTTTCTGGAGTCTGGAACCCCCAAGGTTCTCCTTTCGAAGAACATAACCTCAGAAAGATCTGCGCATAATTAAAGTCCATTCACGTCTCTTTATCAATGTGCAGTGCACAAATTTCGTCACCTTTATAGTAAAATGTATTTTGTGTAAGTTAATAATTTTTCACTCAACAGGATGAAGTAAAGGGTAGTGGTAATGGTAGTAATATAGAGAACCTTATACATAAACGATAGAGAACAACATGTTTAAACAATTTTGCCGTTTCCAGTCTTCTGTGGCATATAACACCACACTTCAAACTCTTAAAGGGGATTTGAAACAATCGATGCTCAAGAAGCAGAATGTCGAGAAAACAGCCATCAAACTGATTCTTTCCACTGTAAAGAATAACGAAATTGATGGAGCTAAACAAGATGAATTTGCACTTTTTAAAACATTTCTGAAGATGATAAAGCAAAGGAAAACCTCTAGTGAAGAGTATGCTAAACAAAATCGCTCAGATTTAGCAGAGGTTGAGATAGCAGAGATTCAAGTGATTGAAAAGTACTTAAATGAATTACCTATTGCCACCAATGAGCAAGTTAAAGCCAGCTTAACGAAATTTTTAACTGAGTTAAAGGCTCAAGAACCTGATTTAAAGGTTAATGGAGTTTTCAAATTGATTCTGCAAGAGTTGGCTCAAAGTTGGAAAACTTCACCAGATTTGATAAAGCCATTGGTTCCTCAAGTTTTCAAAGATGTTTATTCCAAATAGCTGCTTATAGTATCCTGTAAATAATATGTAAACAAAACGTGTAAATATAGTATATAATGTATATATAGTATAATATATTGTGGCTGCGAAATATTGCGACACCTTGTAACAGCCAGTTCGACTCTTCAATCTCTCACCCATAACCCTTCACTCGCCCATATCCGTATCACTGTAGGAGTTGTATGAAGTTGCAATCAATCCTATTGGCGTCTGTTGTATCAGGCTCAGCAACAACTGTCTATTACACGGTGACAACGACTATCAGCGTAAGCGCCGATACATCATCTTCATACATGCCAACAATTACTAAGACTCAATATAAGATGAGCAACTTCACTCAAGAAGAATACTATACCAATTCTACTCAAGTAGAATCTATGCTGTCGTCCCTTGACTTTTACCGTTCCATTTTAAGTTCCACTCAACCTCAACAATTACCCAGATTCAAAGTTGATTTTGATGTTAATGGGCAGCTTATTATTGGAGTAGAAGAAGCTACTACAAATGTATGGCATAGTGGAGCGACGTACACGTCAGTCACAGTTGGAACTGACATGGCATCAACGAGTGCAACACCATTGTCGATACCAGTGATGCTAGCACTGACATTGCCGATACTGTCAGTACCAACAATGATACCATCACTGTCACTACCATCTGCCTTACTATTACCACGTTCCATAGTTTTGTCACGGCCTTCCTCTGTTACTACATATGCTCTACCTCAAATCACACATCAACTCCCCGATATGACGTTGTTCAAACGCAACTACACATTACAAATGCTTTCTTGCGCTCCCTCGGAATTAGCTTATCTGTGGTTACTAGTAGTACTGTTCCTATTGTTGTGTGCTCTCTAGTGGTCACTAAAGGGTAGCCCACTTGCATCGACACGACTCTCACCCCGACTCAACCACTTTTCAGCCAACACACGCACACAATACGAAGGGATACGCCGTTGGAAACTGTCAAAACATGACGTGTCACATCTCCATACTGAACAGATAAGTTTGGAACAGTTACTTACTGTCTGTCCGCTCACCACACGATATGATTCATACTGTCAGTGTCATTGTTATTACTACTACTACAGTTATTAATGTTATTGTGGATGCCCTCGCCTCGGGAAACGAAAAATTTTAGTGGTGTTGTGTTCGCGCACGACCTCTGGCTGTTGGTGAAAAACCTGACGGTAAGCAAAAGGGGGCCCTTCAACACCAAACAAACGTAAGCTTTAGACAAAGAGCTATACGGGCCAGTGGTCTTAAATAGAATCAGATACATGATGAGTGACGTATGTATAGTATCAAATATGACTGGTCGTCAATGCATTGAGGCAGTATGCTAACCGTATATATAAATAGGTGAAAAGAACGATTCGAATCACAACTGAACAACACATTTTAAAGGACCTTCCACCAGTGGAGAACTTCCCTATAAGAAAATGGTCTATCCAGGTTACAATGCTAGATTCTCTGGGGAAAGAAATCGGGGCTAACATTCTCGATAAAGTTACGTATACATTGCATCCAACGTTTGCTAATCCTACAAGAACCATAAAGACACACCCTTTTAGAGTAGAAGAACAAGGTTGGGGTGAATTCGATATACCTATTGCAGTCCATTTGGCAGGTTTACCAGGGAAACAAGGAGAAAGAAAGTTTAATCATGATTTGAACTTTTTACAAGAGAAGTATACCGTTGATCATGTTATCACCGTCCCCACGAATAAGAGTCAAACATTAACTAAATTATTACAAGAAAGTGGCCCAGTTCCTAATGGTGGGGCTGGGGCTGCTGCCGATGACTCGGGTTCCTCAAAGAGAAAGAATGATAACCCTGATTCCAGTAATAAAATAAAGAAATCAAAAACCGCTAATGGAAGTCTTATAAAAGGTAGTGTTGATTTGGAGAAGTTGGCATATGCTTTAGATAAGTTGGGAGAAGATGATTTAATTGTCATTGTGCAAATGGTAACCGATAACAGAACGACAGATATGAATATCAAGAATGATGTTGAAAAGGGTGAATTTACAATGGATTTATATACCATTCCTGATTCACTATTAAAGAGTATTTGGGATTACGTCAAGAAACATACAGGTGAGTTATAGTGATTTATGGTGTAGTGTATGTAATAGTTGAATACATTGTTGAATTCTTGCATCATGACTAAAGCTGTTCATTATGAGTAAGATTAGGTACTGGAGCAGCAGCTGTTTTGGAAGTACCTTTAATTCTTGTACTTCTCTTGCCTTTATCTTCTCTATCTAATCCTCCAGTAACATTCTGTAAATACTCTGGAACTGGTAGCATGTTCTTCAAAAAGAATACCTTCATATTTCTTGCTTTATCTTTTAATTGGACCTGATTCCTATTCTTTAACGATTCATTGATCTTACCCCCCTTACCAAATAATTCCAAAATAGCTGACCAAGCTGGACCTTTCAATTCTAAAGCATCACGTAGTGCTTTTTCTTCTTCTCGGGTCCATAACTGTCGGGAATAAGTCTTTGTAATACCCGGGTTTATTCTCACATGCAATTGTCGTTCTTTAATTTCAGATGGTAGTAATGACTTGGTGATATCATTAACATCTTTATCATTGAATTCCGTTCCTGAGTTCTGATACTTATCCGTAACAGCGTTCCGTTCGTTATCACCATCATTTGAAGGTTCATTATTATTATTATTGCTACTATTGTTGTTCTTATCTGAGATCTCAATATCACCACTGCTGTCATCATTATCTGTTTTACGTCGTTTTCTTGACTTATCCAAAGCAGACAACGATATGGAAGACGAAGAAGCAGGAGCAAATGCATTGTGTTTCTGAAGATATTCCAACTTTTCTTTAGCAGTTGTGCCTTCAACTGAATTTAATAATTTCTGACTTTGAGCAGTAAGTGAAGTTCTTAACTTCAAGTTCTTCCCACCTTTACCCAAAATGATAAAGCCCATATTCTTGGAAACATAATTAAACAATTCCTTAAGGAAGGCGAACCAGTCGTATTCTTCACTTAGGTTTCTTTCACTAGGGAATGATAATAATAATTGTCGTCTGGTGTGACATCTGGAGATAAAATCTTCTTCAACCAGTGAAAGATGAGTGACACCTCGACGATAGATTAAGTATTCTTCTAAATTCGATGGGAAGATCTCTTCCAAAATCTCCTCACTTGATCTTTCACCGGCTTCAATAGCTGAGATATAAGCTTGAGTCTTCAACTCTAAAAACAACGTGGCCTGAGGTCTATACATCTTCCCCACTTTATCACCTATAATGGTGTTCACACCACTTTGAAGATTTAAATCCAAATCCACATTGGCAAATGCATTACCTGGATCCAAACTATTAAAGGGACAAAAGATATTTAAAAACGATTCATTAAGATAAAAAAACCCCACTTCTGTTGCTCCTAATGTTGCCATAAGAAATGTTGCCAAGTTCACCTTTCTTAATGTAGATTCAATACTCTGCTCTCTGGATCTAAAGATTTTGGGGGTCGGATCACCTTCCTTCCACATTCCTGGTGCAACATGTTCTACTGTTAAAAAAGGGTCCTCTTCAGCATATAGCTTCTTTGTTATTTCGAACATCGACATCAAATCTCGGAATGTTGCTCCAGCAGGAGTGTCTTGATTCGAAGCCAACTCAATAATCTTTTGATATGGTCCAACAACAACAATTCGTAATAATTGAGTAGCCAAATTGTCGAGTGTTGGCAATGTATTCACTAAAAGTTGGATTCTGGGAGGTAAATAATCGGGGCAAACTATTGGTAATGGTAAAGCAGCAAGATGAACACCCGATACGACACCAGCAACAGTTGGAATTGAAGGTAAATGATTGGAAAATGAACTATAAGCAGCAAATGCCTTACTTGTGTTTAACAACTCTGAATCAGCAGGTACTTCAAGTCCATCAAGTACAACCATTTTACCTTTCTTTGCATCGTTATCACTTTCATCAGATGCTATTTCCTCAACAGCTTCTGTTAATTGAGATACAATCATTCTCAAATCTGTGTTTGTTTCTGTAGGAGGAGGAGAAGCAGCAGCGCGAGCTTCTTCGGGTTTACTGAAAAGTGCAGGATCTGTGTTCTCTCGTGTAGTTCTATCTAAATCTTCGGCAATAGTAGTACTTATCAGTTTAGGTTCATTTGTGGTTCCTTCATTATTGGTTTGTGCTTCAAATGGATCTTCATTACCTTGTCCTTTTAAATGATCTTCATTACCTTGCTTGCTCCCTTCTTCTTTTTCGTCTTCAGTAATGGCCTTTGTATCTTCACTCTTCTCTTGAATTTCTAGAGTGTCTCTGCTTGCTTCAACTACAAGATTATTCTCTTGAGTTTGCGCAGTTGGCTCCTGCGCTTCCACAGCTTCCACCACTTGTCTTTGCTTTTTAATCTCCGAATCCGTTCCACTCGGTGCTACCTCGTCGTAGGTTCGCTTAGAAGTCCCAGAGTCCAATTCAATGTCCTCAGGTTTATCTCTGACCTCAGCTGTCTCCTGATGAACCTCTACATGCTGTTGTGACTCTGAGTCACGCAATCCAATTGCGTTCTCCTCGTGGCCAATGGTATTTTCTTCATCTCCAACGGTCTCCATCGTGTCCCGGGGGGAAATAGAAAACAAAATAGAGTACTACAAAGAAGAGAGAGCCACCTTGACTCAATTGTTTGTTGTGAAGAATCTAACTTTGTATTCCATCTCTTGGTTATATGCAGGTCTTGAGATATGAGACGACATAGATTATGGGTCATGATTGAACTAAACAGTTTGGTTTAGTACTTGTTGAGGTTAGTAAGCTTATACTACGTAGGTCTACGATGTTAAAACCGTGAGATTTCTGTCCGAGAGCTAAAAGCTTAAGATTTGAGGCTTTCTTTAAGACTTGAGGCTACCTTTAAAGCTTGAGAAGCAGATTTGATTTAGACTAAAACGTGATTCTAGCTTGAATACTATAACTGAACTTATGAAACACGTTCTTGGTCTTATTTTCAACACAAATCGTTGTAGTTTAATGTGCATCATTGATTCGAATTTTGGAGAGCAGCTCTTAACAGTGTCAGGAGTATTTTTCACTTTGTCGTCTCTCAGTTTGTCTGGAGTCGTTTCCCCACACACCATAATAAGGAAAGAGAGATGACCTTAATCGTTATATGGCTTTCATGGCAAATGATCATAACTCAGCGTAATGTATTTGTTACGTTATGGTTTACACTTGATGGTGATTGAATATGGGCAACTTTATTGATGTTGCATTCTATCCTCTACCACGCCCAGTATTCCCACTAGCCATTCGATAGTGTATTTCCATGGGTATGCTACTCTTTATATTGAAATACGCTAGGCGATCCATTAGCGGGATGAATCAGTATTTGGGGTAGTTCAATGCGGTTGCCGTGTTTGAATTGAAGCTATGGGATATGATTTCCGCGCATTAACCCAATTGGGAAGAAGGCCGCTAGTTTCTCAATTAGGCGTTTTTCATTTAGCGGTTTATTATGATCCCCAGCCGAAGTCATATAAATACCTCCACCAATTCCTCGTTAATTCAAAACAGAATTCTTGAGGGTGTTTTCTCCCATAACAACATTAAGAAACAATCCTTAGCAAATGGGCATTTCTGAACAATATTTCCCCAACGAGCCAACTGCTCCAGTTGTTGCTACTACTGAATTCCCTGGTCCAAAGTCTCAAGAATCTATTGCAGCTTTGAATAAGGTGTTTGATAGTAGAGCTTCCTACTTTGTTGCTGACTACGAGAAGTCTTTAGGTAACTATATTGCTGATGTTGATGGTAACATGTATTTGGATGTCTACGCCCAAATTGCTTCCATTGCTTTAGGTTACAATAACCCTGCCTTGATTGAAGTTGCCAAATCTGATTTGATGACTAGAGCAATCGTTGACAGACCTGCCATGGGTAACTTCCCAAGTAAAGATTTGGAAGGCATTGCTTCTGAAATCTTGAAGGTTGCTCCAAAGGGTCAAGATAAGCTTTGGTCTGGGTTATCTGGAGCTGATGCTAATGAATTGGCTTTCAAGGCTGCTTTCATGTGGTACCAAGGTAAGAAGAGAGGTTACACGACTGAATTTACTGATGCTGAAAATGAATCTGTTATGAAGAACCAGGCTCCTGGTTCTCCAGAATTGGCTATCTTGTCATTCAAGAGAGCTTTCCACGGAAGATTGTTTGCTTCTGGTTCTGCTACTTGCTCTAAGCCTATCCATAAGTTGGATTTCCCATCTTTCAACTGGCCAAAGGCTGAGTACCCAGAATACAAGTACCCATTGTCTGAAAACGAAGCTTACAACAAGGAAGAAGATAAGAGATGTTTGACCATTGTTGAGGATATCTTCAAATCTTGGGCTATTCCAATTGCTGCCTTATTGGTTGAACCAATTCAATCTGAAGGTGGTGACAACCATGGTTCTGCTGAATTCTTCCAAGGTTTAAGAGACATTACCTTGAAGTACGGTGCTGCTTTGATCATCGATGAAGTTCAAACTGGTGTTGGTGCCACTGGTAAGTTCTGGGCCCATGAACACTTTAACATTACCCCTGCTCCAGATTTTGTTACTTTCTCCAAGAAGTTCCAATCTGCTGGTTATTTCTTCCATGACTCTGAAATTGTTCCAAAGCACACATACAGACAATTCAACACTTGGTGTGGTGACCCAGCCAGAATGATCTTGGCCGGTGCCATTGGTTCTGAAGTTACCAAGCACGACTTGGCTGCTAGAGCTCAAGAAGTTGGAGCTTACTTGTTTGCCAAGTTAGAAGCTTTGCAATCCAAATACCCCAAGTTGATGAAGAACTTGAGAGGTAAGAACAGAGCTACCTTCATTGCTTGGAGTTTTGAAGAACCTTCTCTCAGAAACAAGTTCTTGGCGGACATGAAGACTGTTGGTGTTAACATTGGTGGTTGTGCTGAAGACTCTGTTAGATTGAGACCAACTTTGGTTTTTGAAGAGAAGCACGCCGACATTTTGGCTGCTGCTATTGAGAAGATCTACTCTTCTTACTAAGAAGAATGTAAGCGAGTTGATTTTGTTTACAGTTAATTTATTAGAGGGTGTATATTAATATAAAAGTTATAAAGAGTTATCAGTGGCTGCGAAAAAAAAAGCATATAAACTCTGATCTGGAACCTATTTTCGCAGCCATTTCTAAGCGCTCGATATTTTAAGTACTTTTATTATTATAAATAACATTATTACCATCATGGACGTGTTTAGATTCAAAGACATAGTTCTTGTGTTTATCTTATCCTTCATTTACACAGTACTTGAGCATGGTGTCATGGAATTAGTTGTAATGATAATGAACAATGTCCAATGGTTCACCATAACTTTGCCCTATGAGTTTCTATGGCAACGTTACTGCAATCCCTTCCCCTATCAAAGCATAGTTAGTCAGAGAGCTACGAACAAAGAAATCCTTTTAATTGAAATGTTGCGTAAGTATTTGGTGTCGTCTTCCGGTCTATTCTTTCTGAGCCAGGTGTTCCAATGGGTTAATTGGATCCGGAGATTACGATCCTTGGGTGAAGGCTTAGGGGACTTTAAGACCTACACAATCAACAGCAATGGAGTTCGGGGAAACTGGATCTACTCTAATAACCGAATCTCTGCTTCAAATCATGATATCATCATCTTCTTTATCCCTGGCGGGTTGAATGGTTATGGTAAGGGGAATGCGGAAATGTATACGGAATACCTTTCCATATTAAGTATCAACCTATTGGAACAAGGGTTTGGAAATCCTTTGATCTTTATCCCACAATCCACCGCTTCTCATCATTCAACTTATACAGAGATTATACCTTTTCTACTCAAAAGTTATCAATATGTGCTTAAACAAAGAGTGTCTCGCCATACTCAAATCGTTATTGCTGGTGATTCCACAGGAGGGACCCTTGCCTTAACCTTATTATTACAGATATCCCAACCTTCGCCGCTAATATCCAAGATCATTAAACACAACATGGACTCATTCCAATGGAAGAAACCTCAAGCCATCCTTTTGATATCACCGATATGTGATATCGAACGTACGACTTCCACCAGTAAAGGATGTGACTATATTACAGCAACTGTATTGTCCAAATGGAGAAACAATTATGTTCCAGATGCTATTTTCGACTCTGAATCAACAAGATCAAATGAACTGGTTTACTATAATCCTGGTATGAACAGAGATACACTTTCTTGGAAGAAAGCGAGGCCAGAAATCGGTATGTTTCTTAGCTTTGGATCTGAAGAGTTGGTGGCTTCCGATACTATCAAGTATGCGCTGTTTTTAAGTAGCAAATGTCATATCAAACTAAGGCAAGACAGGCAAGTAGCCCAAATCCACAATTGGGCCCTTGTTAACTTTTACACCGAAGATAGAGTTGATCATAGAGAAGTCAGTCTTCAGATTTATTCTGGGGCACTTTCCCGTATGTTGCTTTGGAGTAGTTCCAGTTATGTTAACCTGAGAAGCAAAGAACCTACCAATGTTATCAAGTTAGATGAAGATCATACATAGTGTATCATATAAATAGTAACAAGGGTACGCAGTAGGGTACGTGTGTAGTACAGTACAGTACGTACAGTGGCCTACAGTAATATAGTAGTGCTGCTAGTAGAGTACAGTACAGTATACCCGTCAGTGGACAGTAGTGAGTACTATAATAATAATTTGCAGTATAAAAGTAGCTTGTAGCAGAGTAGTCTATGCATAACTTATATGCACTTTTTTGGTACACAAAATGTGTTTCGGTTCCGATCTGAGGCCGAACAAAAGTTTTCGATTTCCGGGGTAGTCCCCAATACATTCAATTGATCCATGGTGATACATCATATGTTCATATAGTAGCAGTGCTTATGAGGATGACGGAACAGCTAGCCGAACATGAACAACTACCGGACATTTACCATGAACTCAAGGCATTCATCAAGAATGAGTCTACTGCATCGTTACTAGCTGGTGGGATTGCAGGAGCAGTTTCTAGAACTGTTGTATCACCATTTGAAAGAGCTAAAATCTTACTTCAACTACAAGGCCCTGGACAAGGTCACACGTATCAGGGGATGTTCCCCACGATTTTGAAAATGTATAGGGATGAAGGTTGGAGAGGGTTATTCCGAGGTAATACACTTAATTGTATACGGATATTCCCCTACAGTGCCGTTCAATTTGCAGTGTTTGAAAAATGTAAGGAGATTATGATTCAACGTCGTCCAAGAGATAATCATCATCAATTGTATTCCACCGAAAGATTAATAGCAGGCTCCTTGGGGGGGATTGTTTCTGTTGCAGTTACATATCCATTGGATTTGGTAAGAGCTAGAATCACTGTACAAACGGCATCACTATCAAAATTAGCAAGAGGGAAATTGATTGCTCCTCCAAAAGTTTGGGATACAGTTAAAGAAGTTTACCTTAACGAAGGAGGGTTTTTCGCGTTATATAAAGGGATTGTGCCGACCACTTTAGGAGTGGCTCCTTATGTGGCTATTAATTTTGCATTATACGAAAGACTACGAGAATACATGGAAGAATCTCCCAAAGATTTCCGAAACCCCATTTGGAAATTATCTGCTGGAGCATTTGCAAGTTTTGTGGGTGGAGTATTAATTTATCCATTGGACGTATTAAGAAAGCGATATCAAGTTGCCAGTATGGCTGGAGGAGAATTGGGATTTCAATATCGTTCGGTATCACATGCTTTAGTGTCAATTTTCACCCAAGAAGGGTTCTTTGGTGCTTATAAGGGTTTAACAGCCAATTTATATAAAATTGTTCCTTCTATGGCTGTGAGTTGGCTTTGTTATGATACCTTGAAGGATTGTATAGCCCAATGGTAGTAGTTAGAGAGTAGTAATTAATATATTCATAAAATCACTGCAGTTAGTGCTATCCATACCATGGCCATTGAGCTGAGCCGCATGTTGCATAAGCAGTTACGTAATCTCAGATACTGCATACCTGTGCATGTGCGTTGGACCAACCACAGTCATCGAAATTTGGTGGTAATTGGCTGCGACATTCCTATACCCCACCACTCAACAAACCACCAACACCTTCACTACATCCTGATTCCCTAAAAGTTCAGAAATATTTGTAGCTCAGTGCAAGTATGCCACATATGGTACGTGAACCCCAATTGTACAACCCAAAAGTAAGCGCTTTGTTCCTGTAATTGTCACCTTTCCTAAGACCGACGCAGAGACGACATTTTCCACCAAAAAAATGTCGTACTATAAGAATGATACGATTAACGTACGTAAATTTTTTATAACATAAAAGCTCAGTCTTGTTGACCCAGGTAATACACCCCCTAGTCATTTACATTTATTCGTCAGCAAACATGCACGCCTCAAGAATCTTATTACAAGCCGCCAAGAAGAAGAGCGGAACTAATGTTCCTGTTGAAATGTACCCTTTGTTCTTATGTGTTGGTGTTGCTTGTGGGTCATTAGCTTTCTTCACATACAGACACTTTGCTTTTGATGAGCAATTGAGATTGTGGAAGAACCCCAACTTGTCCAGTTTGGATGACGTCTTGAACAAGGCTGTTACCGAAGAAAAGAAGGAGGATTAAGTTGATGGTTACTGGTTAAGTACACTTCATATATTTTCATTAAAATTAGTACATTATTATTAAAAGAATGTAGTAGTATATACAAGTGTCTATGTACAGCAGATGTACATTTATTCCTCGTTGTCTTTTATGTTGGTGTAATAGTTTGTTACTTCAGGTATCTCATCTAACATGGCAATGGCTTTGGATAACCCCTTCTCATGATCTTCAGGGAACTCAACTTCATTCTCCAGTTCAGCTAGAAACGAGGTTTTGGAGTCCTTCAATTGGTAACCCATCTTAGACAATTCTTGTGAGACTTTAAACAAATCTTGAGGATCAGTGATCATTCTATAGATGGTTTCTCCACGATACTCTTCGTCAACATCATTATATCTATCAACATCTTCAGCTCCAACTTCAATGGCTACATCTAGAAGCTCGTCCACTCCTTCCGTTGACGACTTGGGAGCAAAAAGCACTTCACCCTTTCGACTAAATAAATATAAGCAGGGACTCAAACCGGAATTGAATTTGGTCATCGCATGTTTGACCAATCCAATGGTTCTAGACTTATTATCGGTCTCAGCTTCAATTATAAATGCAACTCCCCCTGGTCCAATGAATTCGTATGTCACTTGAGATAAAACAGAGCCGTCTCCTGAGGACTCACCGCTGCCTCTCTTGATGGCATTATCAATAACTTTTTTGGTGATGCTCATCTTCTTGGCCTTATCAACCAACGTTTGTAATTGAGCATTGCCCTCAACTCCGTATTGTCTGACACTTGATTGGATTCTGGTAGCAATCATCGATGCTTGTTTGGCTCTAAGCTTATCATTTTTGGCTTTATCGTGTCTTATATTGGCCCATTTAGAGTGTCCTGCTTGAAGGAATGAGCTGGTTGAAAAAGAACGTAAGGGGTTACCCTTTCTAATAATACCCGTCAACATCAGTTACAATAGCACACAATGAGTTGATTCGTCACTATATGCTATGCAGAATATACATATATATGTATATATGTATATATGTATTTGTTGGTTATAAACTCTCTGTCTCTCTCTATACTTTATCCCGCGCACGACCTTTGTCGAACCTCTAAAATTTGTATACCAGAGATAACCAAGTAGTCAACGTTGTCTTATCATTGTTTAGTCCAATTGACAGTTTCAAGGATGTCGGAATCAATGAACAAACGCAAGTTGCTTGCGGTAATCGCCGAAGAAGACTCCGTAACGGGGTTACTATTGGCCGGTGTCGGGCAGGTGTCCAACGAACCGGGAAAAGAAACAAACTTCTTAACAGTAGTACCAGGAAAGACTACAGTAGATCAAATTGATGAAGCTTTTGAAGCGTTCACAGCAAGAGACGATATTGGGATATTGCTTATCAATCAGCATTTGGCCGATTTGATTAGATACAAAGTTGATAGTTATACTAAGGCTTTCCCAGCCATATTGGAAATACCTTCAAAGGATCATCCATATGATCCAGAAAAGGACTCAATCTTAAAGAAGGTTAGAAGATTGTTTGGAGAGTAGCTTTTATTTATGGTTTTCAGTTCTACTATTCTTTTTAATACACATTATTAACGTTATGTATTTATCGTCTTCCCTTCTTCTTCTTATTACTTTTCTTCTTGTTAGCTGAACTCTTAGTGGTTTGGGGAGTCGGTTCTTTTTCGTCAGTTTCTTCTTCTTCGTTTTCTTCTTCGTCTTCTTCGTCTTCGTCTTGGTCTTCATGCTCAGGTTCAAGAGCTTGTTCAGGATCTTGTGACTCGGTCTTAGTACTGACTTCTCCTAAATCTTCACTTTCAATGGGCTCTGTTTTGACTTCTTCTGGGTCTTTGCTTTCAATAGGATCTGTTGCTTCTACTTTGACTTCTCCTAAATCTCCTTCGCTTTCAATACGGTCCGTCGGTTCTGTTTTGACTTCTTCTGTCTGATCTCCCGCAGGTAATACTTTGGTTTCTGACTGGCCAAGGTCTTGTTGAACCGGTTCAGTGAGATCTTGCTCAATATTGGTTTTGGTTGGTTCATCATTTAACGGTACATCTTCGAATTCATCTTCAATTGGAGCTTCAACAGGAATTGGTTCCGCGGATTTTGGTTCACAGAGCTCTTTGACTGGCTCTGGTTCAGTAGCAGCTTCTTTGACTGATTCTTCAGCTGTAGGCTCTGCGACTGGCTCTGCGACTGGCTCTGCGACTGGCTCTGCGACTGGCTCTGTGGCTGGCTCTGTGGCTGGCTCTGCGACTGGCTCTGTGGCTGGCTCTGCGACTGGCTCTGCGACTGGCTCTTTGATCGACTCTGTAGCTGGCTCTTTAACTTCTTTATCTTCATTCTCTGTACTTCCTGGAACTTCAACAGGTGCAGCCAAAGGTTCATTTACGTTTTTATGAGCAGTTGAAACACCCCAATAATTCGAAGCTAATATATCAGGCAAAACACAATCCTTAACATAAAAGTCTCTAACTCCCACAATTCTTCGTTCTCTTTCACATGCCTTCAACCACTCTGGTCTAATAATTGGAATATTCATTTCTCCAGCTTTAATATATTCAGAATTATTCTTATTCTCTCTGGTACAAATAAAATGGGTAGTATCAACCTTAATTTTATTCTCAATTGGATAATGAGCCCCCATAGCCTTCAATGTTTTGTTGATATCATCCACTGTGAATGGATCATTGGCACTTAAATCTCCTAAACATACATTTATACCCGATAAATCCGTCATTTTATGAGTAGTCACTTCTAATATATCTGACTGATAAACCCCAGCCGTGGTATCAAGACGTAATTGGAATGTGAAAGTTTTATCTATGGGTAAACCTGATAGCTTGGTTGTCTTATTAGAAAGCGGTTGAGGGATAGAACCAAGTTTTGCACCATCTTTAAACAATACCAAGTTCTTCAAATTGGCTGATCCAAGTTGTAAATCATCCCATTCTAATACACATGAAGTTTGAGTGACGTTACGGACTTTAAGTACCGGTGATTGAGGTAAGTTCTTCCCGAAAGTATTAAGAATCTCATCTTGAACCTTCTGAAACGCAATGGCTTCAGTTTCTTCGGTTTTCTTATCTTGTTCACATTTGATCTTAATGATACTCCCAGCCGTTACTCCGTTGGGTAAAAGAATGGTGGGGAACTCAATGAGATGGTGATCCTTGGTAAGCAAAAGCGCAAGCGATGCATCCAACTTACCAACCGTCAACGACACTTCAACCATAATTCTGGGTGTAGCTGTGCAATTGTTTGGAAAGAGAAGTGTTGATAGTGTTAGGCTTTGTTGTTCAGTTCGCGGTTTATTAGTGCGATTCTTAGGGCTGTACAGCAGGACCACTTAAGGACAGGACTAATGGCATTACTACAGTTACTGTTTCTTCTTCTTCTACTACTACTACTACTAGTGCTACTGCTGCTGCTGCTACAGACGGTATTAGCAGCAGTCACAGCAGTACTAGGTCTAGTACTAGTACTACTCTTCGCTTGCGTGGTATGAAGATTATACACTGCAGCGTGCTCAGATATACTCACATACTACAATATACGCGTAACTCAATCTTGATTAATACAAATACAATACAATTCCAGTTATATACTGATCCCCATAGCAATTAAGTCTTCATTGATCTCTTCCTCACTTGCTCGCTTCAAAAGAAGTTCATCATCCAATACCGTTGTTTCATCGTTCAACGATGTCCCAACTGCAACAGGCATCCCGTAGAATTGCTTCAACCCATTAATAATACCCAATTGTTGATTCACATCGTTTCTTTGCTTAACAAGTTCCACTAATGTATTCTGTTTGATGACCTTCTTCGTCAAAGGTACCGCATTGGGTTCTAGTCCAACGGCTAGTCTTTCTTCATTGACAAACATAGGAGTTAATTCTCCAGTGGTCTCATCAGGAATGGCATGTTTGGGGACAATGGGAATGGCAGAATAAGTGAAATCAGGTACTAATTGATCATATTGATTTCTTTCCTTATTGATCTTATACCATAGTGAAGTGGTATCAGTTATTAATTCATTTCGAGAATCCATAAGTTGTCTCAAAAAGTTTTGATGAACTCCAGTCCTAGTGGCTATGGTTTCCTTATCTATGCATCTCAAACTGTATGTCAAATTGGCATTGGCAAGTTTAAGTGAATCTTGATAAAACTCATTCACCTTATAATATATCTTTGACAATTCAGGATGTGATCCTTCCAAACATAATTGTAGTTCATGTTCTAACAAGGTCAATTTATCTTGGAAAAGCTTATCACGAAGTTCAGCAAATGATTGCTCTATTTCAAAGAGCTCCTTGATTGCAAGTCTTCGTTGTTCATTAATGTCAATCTCATCATTATCATGGTCTGCTTCTGCTTCTGCTTTTGCTTCATCTTGTTCATATTTTAATTGAGATTCTTCTTCATCCTCTTCCTCTTCCTTACTCTCAGATGCTTGTTCTATCGTCACCTCAGGTACTGGTAATTCCAGTTCGGTATCTACTGGAGTGACACTCTTGGCTTCGGTGGATCCTTCCTTCTTCTCAACTTGATTCTGAGGATCATTCTCTTGCACTTCAGTTTCCTCGTGACTGCTTTCATTGTCAGCTTCGGGTGAAGCATCTAATTTGTCAATTGCATTTCCGTTGCTAATAGAACCATTATTACCTTCTTCGGTTGTGTCCTCATCAGCTTTTATCACATCGACGTCTTCTTTGACATCAGCCAAAGTAGAATCACTCGGACTATGAGTTTGACTCTCAACTTTGGTTCTCTTAGAATCATTTCCCATTTCAGAATCTTCCAATGATCTTTTTGATGACGGTGGATTAATGTCACTAACGTTCCCACTCTTATCTTCAATACTTGGGCCATTCTCATCTGAAATAATATCCTGCTGATGATCTTCTTCTTTGGTGGTGCCTTCAACCACAACCTTACCCTCACTCTCTACCATTTCTGACACTGCTGTAGCTGTATCATCATCCTCATCTGGTAACGATTTTGATGCTATGGTCTTATCAATGTTACCATCATCGGAATCAGAATCAACCTCCTTGAGTCGTGCCAACTCTGTAAGCTTGGATAATGCATTGAGATCCAGAGTGCCTACACCTTCAGTGCTGGTATTCCCATCATCATCTAGAAAATCCATTTTATCAGTTTCAGCTTCAGAATCCTCCTCCCCCAAGTCACTAAGTTCAGAGCTTGAATAGCTAGCCTTGTGCGCAGTAGAATCAGACGATGATGATGATGATACACTGGAAGCCGCGGTAAGGGGACCACCCGCCGGTTTCAGTAGATCTAATTTCTCTGAGCTTAAGTCAAACGCTGGTGGTGAAGTAGTGATATCGGTTAATGGAGAATCTTTGGTTGCAAAACCTGTATCTTCTTTGCTCTCTGTTGTCTGGGTCTCCATTGGTGGTGTGATGGCTTTGTCACAATCCTATAGTCGTCAAACTAAGTACACAGTTGGTAGCTGCTATAGTTGTAAGTAGCGACAAAAGAAAGACAGGACTGTTATAACACCTTGTTGTAGTAAACAATTCACTATATATATATGTCTCAATTGCTATGAATATATGAGTAAATGATAAAGCACTGTTGATCGTTGGTCAGAAATAGTTGGTGGTATTCCTACTGTAACAAGAACTCAGTCTGACTCGGTCTTGACTCGGTTCGTAGTAATGACAAGCTGTCAGTTCGTAGTTCCGGGCACTCCTTTGGAACACCTTCCACTTGATAAATAAGTGTTTCAAACAAACGAACGTTGATAAAGAGACTTATTAATTTTGATGGTCAATTTCAACTGGAATCACCGTTGAGAGTAAACTTCATGGTACTTGACACAAAGAAAGGGTCGGCCCCAAAACAGAATATGGGACTGCTGTATGCAGGCAACGGAACGGAACTATTTTGTGAGTGTAAGCTCATCTCATCAAGAAGAGTGCTGAGTTAGATTGGTGTTCTTACTACAAAGGAGAGACATTAATATTTATATATAACAATGTCGTTCTTTAGTGGCCTTTTTGGTAGTGGTACTGGTCAACAGGAGAAATCTGTGGGTGACTTGTTTGGTAAGACCAATGCTGTGTCCAAGGATCAGTTGAAGGCACAACGTACAATGGTGGAGGGTGTCGAGAGGGAAGCAACGGAAGATGTAGTCATGTATGAAGGTGATGAAAATACTAGTGAAGATGAAGAAGAAGTCAGTGAAGACGATAGTATTGATGACGATGATAAACCAAAAGGTAAAGCTTTGAAAAAGAAATCTGATGACTTAGAAGGTGAATACTTTACTAAACTCTTACAAGAAGATGAAAAGGAATCTGAACAAAAAAATGAAGGTTCTGGATCTGGATCTGAATCTGAGTCTGAGTCTGAGTCTGAGTCTGAAGCTAAAGCTAAAGCCGTTAAAGGAAGCAAAGCCAAGGTTGTGGATTTGAAGGAGGATGAATTAAGTAAAGCCAACAAAACTGTTTTCGTTGGAAACCTTTCTAACTCTGTCATTAGCTCCAAATCCACATACAAACAATTTAAGGCATTATTTTCAAATTATGGGAAAGTTAGTAGTATCAGATTTAGATCAATTGCCTTTGATGAAGCATTACCTCGGAAAGTTGCATTTGTTCAAAAGAAGTTCCATAAGCTGAGGGAAACCATCAATGCTTATGTTGTTTTTGAGCAAGAAGATTCTGCTCGTAAGAGTGTAATCGGTTTGAATGGTACTGTGTTTAATGATCATCATCTTCGTGTTGATAGCGTAGGACACCCTGCTGCCAAAGATAATAAACGTACTATTTTCGTGGGTAATTTGGATTTCGAGGAACAAGAGGAAACTTTATGGAGATATTTCAATGATAAATGTGATAATGATGTTGAATCTGTGAGAATAGTTAGAGATTCTGCTACTAATTTGGGTAAAGGGTTTGCATTGGTTCAATTCAAAGATACTCTCTCTGTTACCAAAGCCATATTACTCAATAATAAATCTATTTCCAATGAAAAGAAGAGAAAGTTGCGTATTTCAAGAGCAAAAGCTCATACGAAACCTTCTATTCTTTCTCCAAATCATATTGATAATAAGAAAAAGAAATATGCTGCTGATAAGGGAAGAAAATTGAATGATAAACAAAAGTCTAAACTTGGTAAAGCCATTGCTGTGTTAGGTAAGGCAGACCGTGCTTCTGCCGGTAAGACCAAATTGGTATTAGAAGGTGAAAGAGCAGTTAAAGGTAGTTCAGTTGCTGGTATCAAGGGGAAGAAGGGTAAAGTGAAGAAGCCAAGAATTAGAGATCGTTCCACCAAGTTCAGATTGGCTAGAGATTCCAAGAAATGAAGTTGTAGGGTTAAATTCGTCGTGTGCGTCTAAATATAGTAATTCGTGTCATTTAATTATGTAATCAAAATCATAACTACTAATTGATTCTGAAGGGTCACAACAAAAAGGTGGAGTAGCCAGTGACTCTTGTACTATTCAATTTCAATTGTATTTACAAAGGCTTCCTTATATAGTGGTTTCCTATTTAGTTCTTTTTGGAGCCACTTAATTGTGGGCACCGCCACAATAATGCGATAAGAATAACCTCTAGTGTTTTGTGGAGGTCCTTATCACCCACACTACCCTAAAGGGGTAGTGGTATAAGAACGGGACCTTATCCATAAAATAACGTAGTAAAATAAAGTTATACTATATATACTTTTCTATATTAATGATGGGAAGTAATACCTCTAAAACCCAGAGTCAACATGATGACAATGACACTCCATACTACAACGAGAAGAATGGATTGTTGTCTGAAGAAGAAGATGCTACCACTAGTAGGCTTCGGGGTTTGAATTTATCAGAGTACTCAACTGAAAAAGGAAAAGAAGGGGGGGCCATATCTGTGACCACATTGGATTCTTGGGAAGCTGAATTACTTGCTGATCCCAAGAATAAGTTAGCTCAAAATGCCTTTGGTAATGGGTCGGTGTTACTGGCTATCACCGACTCGTCCAATGAAGTCAAGTTGAGACAACAATACTTTTTTAATGTTGAAGTTCAAACCATTGGATCACCTTCGTTTTTGAATAACCAGAAGAGTTCAGGTAGATGCTGGATCTTTGCCACTTCTAATGTGATGAGAGCCCATGTGATCAAGAAGTATAATTTAAAGGATGATGAGTTCCAGTTGAGTCAAGCATATCTTTTCTTTTATGACAAGTTGGAGAAATCCAACTTCTTTTTGGATAATATCATTGACACTGTTGACGAAGACTTGGACTCTCGTTTGGTAAGGTACTTATTCCAAGGGCCTCAGAATGATGGAGGTCAATGGGATATGATTGTTAATTTGGTTAATAAGTATGGGGTTGTACCTAACGAGTTCTTCCCTGATAATGCCCAAGCCACTGCCACGTCGACTTTAAACTATGTGGTAACGGAAAAGTTACGTGAATTTGGTTTGATCTTACGTGACTTGGCTAAGAAGGGGCATTCCAAGTCGAAGTTGATTGAAGTTAAAGCTTCAATGGTTAAAGAAATTTATAAAGTCATTGCTTTACTGTTGGGAACTCCTCCTAAGCCTACGGATAAGCTTGTATGGGAATTCAAAGATAAAGATGGCACTTATAAATATTTTGAAACCACACCATTGGATTTCTATAAGACCCATGTTGAATATGATGCCTCCGTCCGATTCTCCTTGATTCATGATCCTAGAAACGATTTTGGGAAATTGTACACTGTTGATAGACTCAACAATATTTCTGAAGGTAAGCCCATTGAATATGTCAATGTTGACATTAAAACGATAAAGAACATTGCCATTAAGATGTTGAAGGATAACGAGCCTATTTTCTTTGGATCAGATGTTGGCAAGTTCAATCAACGTGAAACTGGTGTTTTAGATGTTAAAGCCTTTGACTACAACTTGGGCTTTGGTACAAACTTGAACATCGACAAGCTGGAACGGTTGAAGACTGGTTCATCGCAAATGACCCATGCCATGGTTATCACTGGTGTTCACATTGATCCTCTCACCAATGAACCCGTTAGATGGAAGATTGAGAACAGTTGGGGTGATCAAGTGGGTAAAAAGGGTTACTATATGATGACAGATGAATGGATGAATGAATACGTGTTCCAGATTGTCACTGCTAAGAAGTATGTTCCCAAAGACATTTATAATGTTTGGAAGGCTAAACAATTCAATGTTTTGCCTTATGATGATCCTATGGGTGCATTAGCGTAAACATATAGTAAGCTTTACATACATAGATGTTGTATACTTTATATGGTCGTGTCGTGGCCAATCGAGCTGCCGTCAAATCAAAGTGGTATCTTACACTACACGTAAACAGAAGCACACTGATATCTGCTGTGTTTAGTAATGGCCAACAACTCTGTTCTTCCACATCTGCAGTCTTCACAGCGGTACATGCAGAAACTGGGCCACGTCAAACTGGCAGTTGGACAACTGCTGCTGCTGCTGCTGCAACAACTGCAGCAACAAGGTGGAAATGGTAATGGCAATAGCAAACCTGTTTATACTCTTCCAGGAGTAATAAGTTACTTGACTTCGGAGTTTACGAATTTGGAGAGGTTCAAGATCATGACCAACTTGGAGAAGTCGGAGATGAAACACCGGATATTGGAGCTTCAAGGTGAGGTCAATGCCCTAACATATGTTAACAAGAGGCAACAGAATAGAATCAAGGATCTTGAAAAGGAAAACGGTAGGTTACGAGCTACAGCAGCAGCTGTAACGGCAGTGGCAAGTGATGATGTAATTGGTGATGTACCGGGTGAAGGTGATGATGGAATAAATAGGGATTTTGGTGATGATTGTAGTGGTGTTCCCGATATTGTTAAATCTGATGTGGAAATGTTCAAGCTGGAAATAGATGGGTTACCTGAAATAGACTTACAGGATATTAAGAATCTGAGAGATGCCTTGGCTAAATCCATGAAGGAAATACTAGATTTATTGAAGGCTCCAACTGCTCGTAGTGCAGTATCTGAAGCCTTAGGGAACCCTGATTCGTTCATTGATAACTACGATGTGTTAGCCGAGGCTCCTGAACCAACATCGTCGAATCATCCTCATCCTCATCCTCATCCTCATCCTCATCATCATCATCATCATCAAACAGGACAACAACAAACGTCTCATGAATCAGGGATAGATTCATTTGTTTTCAATTCTGTTGAATCCAGTGGTCCTGATTTGGGTTCAGCACCCTCCAAATATGAAAGTGATACTGAAACAGTTGTTTTGGATGGTTTTAATGATTCTGATAATACGAAAACAGGTTCGTCTTCATACGAATTGGAAGTACCTTCAAAATTGGACTCGATGACAATTTCACCTCCATCTCCAGCTCGGATCAATGAAATGGCATTTATAGATTATTCCAACGATAACAAATATTCCAATACTCGAAAGTTTTTCCATGGAGCTTATGTGTTGATTCTTGCTTATAAAGATACCCAAGCCAAAGTTAGTATATGGTCACCAACCAAATTATCATCGTATGAAATTGAGCTTGAGAGTCCCCATGAGATAATAGAAGCCTATTGTTTGAATCCTGAAGATTCTAATGCCAAACTTATCGTCATTTATTCGACATTTGGGGTTGGTTTGAGTTTATGCAGCGATGAAGAAGACAATGAAAAGTATAAGTTTGAATTGGATTCTGTGGGTACAAGTTGTGATCTTTACATGGTTGGAAACTCTGACCAATTGGAGTTTTATTTACTATTGAGTGGTGACAATCGAATCAAGACGTATAGAGTGAAACAACAACCAGGGTTGAATGAGAAGCTTATTGTTAGTGATATTAGAGATATTAGTTGCGAAGAACTTGGGATTGGACTTATTCAGGAGACGCACTGGTTGCGTGGACAAGATCAGTATCAAGACCAAGACCAAGACCAAGCCCAAGATGCTTACTCTAAGATCATTGTTACTGGAGATTCATTCATTGCTAAAGTCGATATGATTACCCATGAAGTTCAGACCTTAAAGTTTGATGATATCAAGATCAGTGCGTTTGTCAATGAACATCAAGTGATTGTTACCAAAGAGGAAACCACGTTGGTTGACTTGAGCAAATTCCAAGTGAGTGCAAAACTACAAGGATTAGGAGATGTACTTGGAGTGACCGTCTTGGAATCCAGTGGCCATGTATATTTGGTCCGGCTTTCCAATGAAGGAGTGCTTAGTATATTTGATGAGAAATTGCAAGATGCACAAGAGATTCCTGTTCACCGAGATTCCAAAAGCATTGGGTCGATTAAGGGGTTGATAGTTCTTGATTCACCTCAGAAGAATACTCTTTATGTGTATGACTTGCCCACGTTACGGTTCATGTATAGTTGATATCTCGTAAGTAGCACGTACGAGAACGACTTAACGTATATACGTAGTATAACGTACCACGTAGGCTAACTGTATACAGATTTTATTTATCTTATCGCAGTCTGAAAATTTTTAGACACGAGGTCATCGCCTACCATCTTCTTCTAACAGTACGCATCATGTCGGGTAATTCGTTTGACGACTTCGTCAGACAGCAGCAGCAGCGGTCCAAGGGATACGCTTATCGTGGGAACACCCGGAATCAAAGTTTCCAGAACCCTCAAGGTCAAGCTGCTCATAGTTATAACTATAGCAACCAAGTGTTTGTGCCTGAAGGACAACACCACGATAGAGGCAACTACTACAATAATAATAATATCCTATATGATGGCTCATACGATTCTACACCCACTACGTCGATGCCCACCAGTAGATCTACTACGCCCAATCCCAATGCTTCGACCACGTCGTTGAACACGGCGTTGGGTAAACTCAATCTCTCCCAAACCCCTATTCAAGAAGAGCTTGCGGCCATTGAAAAGGCCACCAAGATCGCCGACGTCAAGAGTGAAGTCGCCCTGATCCTCCAAAAGGCTTTGGAGGTGGGTGATGGCGATTTACTGTGTATCTCCGAATGGAAGTTGTTGGAAGTGCTCAAGACCTTTTGTAAGCCAAAGAACAGTGCTTTGGTTAGAGAAGCTGCTTTGATCTTGGTGCAACAGTTGGCAGTTACCTTTGGAGGCCAGACTCCAAAGGAAGCGTATTTGCTTCAATTCTTGCCCGTCGCCTTGGACATGTTTGCTGATAAAGATAAGAATGTGGTTAAGGCAGCCAAAGCTGCTGTTGATTCCCTTTATGGAGTCTTCCCCATAGAAGCATTGGGATCCATAGTATTGGATTCTATCTTGGTGTATTTGAAATCTTCGGCCAAATGGAACTCGAAATTGGCGGGGTTATCCATTATCGATAAAATAACTGATGAAGTACCATCAGACATCTTGGAAATGAGATTCATTAATGGGATCCCGGTGTTAACCGATATGGCAACTGACTTCAAGCCAGAATTGGCTAAACACGGGTTGAAATCTTTAAAGAAGTTCATGAAGGTTTTGGATAACTTGGATTTGGTCAATAAATTTGACTTGATTGCTGATACTTTGGCTGATCCAACAAGAGTACCAGAATGTATTAAGAACTTGTCTTCTGTAACATTTGTTGCTGAAGTCACAGAACCTGCGTTGTCGATCTTGGTACCAATTTTAGATAAATCTTTGAAAATGTCATCTTCCTCCAATGAACAATTGAGACAAACGGTTTCTGTTACCGAGAACTTGACCCGGTTGGTTAATAATAAGAGAGAAATCGACTCTTATATTCCAATTTTGTTGCCTGGTGTTGAGAAAGTGGTCAACAATGCTTCTTTACCTGAAGTCAGAGAATTGGCTTCTAAGGCTTATGCAGTATTGAAAGATGCCGAAGCAGAACATGCAGATGGGAAGTTCCACGGTAGAATCACTTTGGAGCAAGCTAAAGCATTCTATACTCAAAACATTGAAGATGAACATGTTAAAGTGGTTGATAGTCTTCAATTACAAGATGAAGTCATTGGCAATTATTTGTATGTTATCTTACAAATTGATGCCAATGTAAATGATTGGAAACGTCTTAGGGAATACTTGCATATGGCCATCACTTTTGAGGTTGAAACCACTAAGGAATCTTATATCAATACTGTTATCAGTAATTTAAGATCTTTATTCACTCCTGATGCTGCGCAAGCTTCTGATGAAGATGAAGGCATCAAAATTGTGGATGCTGACTTCTCGTTGGCTTATGGTACCAGAATGTTATTGAACAAGACTAACTTGAGATTAATTAAAGGTCACAGATATGGGTTATGTGGTCGTAATGGTGCTGGAAAATCCACTTTGATGAGAGCCATTGCTAACGGTCAATTGGAAGGTTTCCCATCACCTGAAGAAGTGAAAACCTGTTTTGTTGAACATAAGTTACAAGGTTCAGAAGGTGACATGGATTTGGTATCTTTCATTGCTTCTGATGAAGCCTTAGAAGGTATTTCCAAGGAAAAGATTGCTGAAGCCTTGAAGGAAGTTGGATTCCCAGACGAAAGATTGGTTCAAAACGTTGGTTCATTATCTGGTGGATGGAAAATGAAATTAGAATTGGCTCGTGCCATGTTAATGAAAGCTGATGTCTTGTTGTTGGATGAACCTACTAATCATTTGGATGTTGGTAATGTTAAATGGTTGGAAGATTACTTGGTTGAACACACTGATATCACTTCGTTGATTGTTTCCCATGATTCTGGATTTTTAGATGCTGTTTGTACCGACATTATTCATTATGAAAATAAGAAATTGGCTTATTATAAGGGAAATTTATCTGAATTCGTTAAGATCAAACCAGAGGGTAAATCTTATTATACCTTATCTGATTCTGTTGTTCAAATGCATTTTCCTCGTGCTGGTATGTTATCTGGAGTTAAGTCTAACACTAGAGCCGTTGCACGGATGTCAAATGTCACATTCACTTATCCTGGAAGTGATAAACCTTCATTAAAGGAAGTTTCTTGTTCATTATCATTATCCTCCAGAGTTGCCATTTTGGGACCTAATGGTGCAGGTAAGTCCACTTTAATTAAGTTATTAACTGGAGAATTGGTACCGGATTCTGGTTCTGTTGAAAAGCATCCTAACTTAAGAGTTGGGTATATTGCTCAACATGCTTTACAACATGTGGAACAACATAAGGAAAAGACAGCCAACCAATATTTGCAATGGAGATATAGATTTGGTGATGATCGTGAGGTGTTAATGAAAGAATCAAGAAAGATTCTGGATGAAGAAAAGGAACAAATGGAAAAGGAAATCGATATTGGAGATGGTAGAGGGAAAAGAGCCATTGAAGCCATTGTTGGTAGACAAAAGTTAAAGAAATCATTCCAATATGAAATCAAATGGAAATTTTGGATTCCTAAATATAATTCATGGGTCCCCAAGGAAGTGTTGATGGAACATGGATTCGATAAATTGGTTCAAAAGTTTGATGATCATGAAGCTTCCAGAGAAGGGTTAGGATATCGAGAATTGATTCCATCTGTTATTAGAAAGCATTTTGAAGATGTTGGATTAGATGGAGAAATAGCTGACCATACCCCTATGGGATCATTATCCGGAGGACAATTAGTTAAGGTTGTCATTGCTGGAGCCATGTGGAATAATCCTCATTTGTTGGTCCTTGATGAACCTACCAATTATTTGGATCGTGATTCCTTAGGAGGCTTAGCCATGGCCATTAGAGAATGGAATGGAGGGGTGGTGATGATTTCCCATAACAACGAATTTGTTGGTGCCTTATGTCCTGAGCAATGGCATGTTGAAAATGGTGCTGTGATTCAAAAGGGTGTGGTTGGTGTTGATAGTAGTAGATTTGAAGATAATGGAGGTGAAGCATCAAAGGAGGCATCTCCAGCTCCAACTGCTGCTACTTCTAAACGTGCGGATGATAACGATTCACCTGCTAACATTAAGGTTAGAATCAGAAAGAAGAAGATGACTAGAAATGAAAAGAAGGCTCAAGCTGAAAGAAGAAGATTAAGATATTTGGATTGGTTATCATCTCCAAAGGGAACACCTAAACCAGTTGATACTGATGACGAAGAAGAAGATTAGATTATAGAAGATACAGAATAATTCATACTGCAACATATTATAAACTGTACTATGTAATATGTACGATATCACTGTAGCATAATACTAGAGTATGTAGTAAGTAGTATCTGGTGTACCCCTGTGTGGCTACCAGTGGCTTCTTATATAGTGAGAATATTGTCGTGTCTCTACCGGTATTTTCGTTGAGGGCAAAAGTTATGTTCAAAGTATACCACCACAAGTTAACACCACTATCACCAATCAGTCGATTCTTAAACAATGGCAGACAGATACTCGTTTTCATTAACCACATTCTCTCCAAGGTATGTGATCATCAATTAGTGTGGGGTTGTTTGTTCCAGTACTAACAATAATCTAGTGGTAAATTGGTCCAGATAGAATATGCTTTGAATGCAGTGAGGCAAGGAGTGACAACCATTGGGATCAAATCCGCCAATGGAATTGTTCTTGCTACTGAAAAGAAGGTGAATTCTCCACTTTTGGTGAACGATACAAATTCCAAAGTCGAATTGATTACTCCAGATATTGGGATGTCCTATGCTGGGATGGGACCTGACTTTAGAGTATTGGTTGATAGAGCTAGAAAGTTATCTCATACAAATTATAAAAGAATTTATAATGAATATCCTCCAGTTAAAATATTGGTTCAAGAAATAGCTAAAACCATGCAAGAAGCTACTCAATCTGGTGGGGTAAGACCTTATGGAGTGTCATTATTAGTTGGAGGATATGATCAACATTCTCAACAATTTCAATTATATCAAGTTGATCCTTCTGGTAGTTATTTCCCTTGGAAGGCTACTGCCATTGGTAAGACCTCCAATTCTGCCAAAACGTTTTTGGAAAAGAGATGGAATGACAATTTGGAATTAGAAGATGCAATTCATGTTGCTTTATTGGCTTTGAAGGAATCAGTAGATGGTGAATTAAATGGTGAAAATTTGGATATTGCAATCATTAGTGATCCTCAACAAGATTTATTAGGTTTCACGGGTACAGATATTGAAGGTCCTCGTTTCAGAAAGTTATCAGCTGATGAAATTAATGATCGATTAGAATCTTTATAGTTTGATATACAAGATAAGTAAAACAATTGTAGTCTTTATATAGTCGTGTATGTGTTTTGTGGTAGCGCTCAGTGTGTGCGCTACCGTTTATGTGCCTAGTGAAAAAGTATAGCGATGAGCATCTCATTACACAAGTAACCCTAGACACTATTATCTAACATTACACTAGGTAAAATGGCTCGTAAGGACAAGCTGAAGTCGTCTACGAGACGGCGCAGTGCTAAGAAAGCATTGGATGCTTTTCAAATCGCCGAACGAGCCGAAAATGGTCGTTCGGACGGTGAAGACAGTGAAGGAGAACTCAATGTCTATGACGGGATAATGGATGCTCGTAGACTTCTTAATAAAGGAAAAAGTGAACCTGATGATTTTGAAGAAGGTCAAGGGTTGGAAGACGAGGAAATTGACTCAGACGAAGCCTTTGGATCAGATGATGATTTTGATGTGTTGAATAGTAAGTTTTCGCAGACTATTAGAGACCGAGCCAAACGTCAGAAACAAAGAGCAAAGAGAAGAGCAAAGGGTGAAGATGTCAGTGAACTGGAAGCCAGTGGAGATGAAGGCTATGCCAGTGTTGATGAGAGCAAGTTTGTGTCTTTATCTGAGGCATGGGCTATGGATGATGTTGATCTTGCTAAGCTGAAGAAAGCCAATGGAGAAGTTGTTTTAGATGATGAGTGGGAAAGTGAAAGTGAACAAGACGGTGATAGTGATGAAGAAGATGGTGATGAAGAGGACGAAGAGGACGACAATGACGATGATTCTGATGTATTTGAAGGGTTAAGTGATGGAGATGAAGAGGTTGATTTATTAAGCACCATTTCACACTTAAAGTCCCAACTTAAAGATCCAAAGAAGGAAAGAAAGAAGTTGGTTACCGAAAGAATAGAAGAAAATGAGTTCAGTGTTCCAACCGGTGGAGCCAAGTTGTCATTGAATAGTATGTTATCGGCTGTTGATTCCTCTGTGGCTCAAGATGCTATACTTATAGATGAGCATGATGACGAAGACGGAGGAGATAAGTCCAAGGCTTTGGCCGTTCCTTTACCCAAGAGAATTCAGCAAAGACATGATCGTAAGGCAGCTTATGAGATCACCAAAGAAGAGATCACCAAATGGGAAGATACCATTCAAGCCAACAGACAAGCCGAGGTGTTGAAGTTCCCACTTAATCCTACTGTCCGTCATAACGATACTGCTACCACCTTCAGATCACAAGCCACACCCACCACGGAGTTGGAGAAGAAGGTCCATAGTGTTTTGGAGCAATCAGCGTTGGTCGACGAACGGAAGGAGGCTACGTTTGAGGAGTTGGCTGTAGCCAAGATGTCAGCTGAAGAGATCAAGAAGAGAACCAATGAGTTGAGGTTGATGAGAGAGTTGATGTTCAGAGACGAAGCTCGGGCGAGACGAATCAAGAAGATCAAGTCGAAGCAATACCGTAAGATCAAGAAGAAGGAACGGTTAAGAAACCAAGAGTTGGTTGAAGGGTCTGACATTGAGAGTGACGTTGAAGATCACGACATGAAGAGAGCACAAGAGAGAATGACGTTGAAGCATAAGACCCAATCGAAGTGGGCGCAGTCGATGATCAAAAGTGGACTTTCCAAGGATGCCGATAACCGGTCTGAGTTGGAGGAGATGTTAAGGCAAGGTGAAAGGTTGAGAGCAAAGCAATTGGGGTATGAAGATGGTGATCAAAGTGATGATGTCGTTCTGGACGTAGAAAGGGAATACAACAACGACGAAAATGATGAGGAATTCAAGAGCAAGTTGGGCAAGGGAGTGTTGGCTATGGATTTTATGAGAAATGCTCAAGAACAACAGAAGCAAGAGAACTTGAGAGAATTGGAATTGCTTAGAAAGTTGGAGAATGGTGGAGACATGGAAGAGTTTGAAGGGTCTGTGAACTCTGTGTCCATGACCAAAAATCAAGGTAGACGAGTTTATACTCCCAGTGCTTCGTCTCAGAAACAAGCAATGGAAGATCTCAACAGTCAGACAAGAGCTTCTGTTGAAGAAGACGAAGCAAAGAGTTTGGAGAATAAATTGAAGGTAAAGGAGAAGACTAAATTTGTTATCAACAAGGAGGCTACGGTTTCTGAAGTGACTCCGGAAAATCTGACTTGTGCAGATCTGACTCCGTCAGGTGTGAACCCCTGGTTGAAGGACAGTGCGGATGTTCCGAGTCAAAAGTCAAACAAGATCACTACTGTGGACAAGACGTCATCCAAGTTGGCCAAAGCAGCCGCTAAGATCTCCAAGAAACGGAAACTGAGCCATGAAGACGACGCTGATGCTGTGGTTGATATGAACCAGACATTAAGGGTTGTTGATATTCATGGTCCAGATTCAGACAGTGAAGCTGAGGGAGACGGTGATGTTCGGGTGTTCAAGCAACAAGACTTAATCAAACAAGCGTTTGCAGGAGACGATGTTGTCAATGAGTTTGAACGAGAAAAGCAACAAGTGATTGAAGACGAAGACGACAAGGAAGAAGACTTGACCCTTCCCGGATGGGGGGATTGGGCTGGAGGACTGAATAAAAACAAAAAGAATAAAAGGAGAAAGATCATCAAAAAGATTGATGGAGTTGTTCAGAAAGATAAGAGAAAGGATAAAAACTTGAAGAATGTGATTATTAATGAAAAGGTTAATAAGAAGAACTTAAAGTATCAATCATCTGCTGTTCCCTTCCCTTATGAATCAAGAGAGCAATATGAACGAGCACTTCGAATGCCTGTGGGACAAGAATGGACATCAAGAGAAACTCATCAGAAATTGACCATGCCTAGAGTTATTACTAAGCAAGGTACAGTCATTGATCCTTTAAAGGCACCATTTAAATAGCATCATAGGATTAGTCAGTATTGATGAGTATTCCATTTCTCTTTAACCAATTCTTACCACTTAAGAAGACTCCATGAGGATCCATTTCATTTCTAACTTTATTGTATTGAATCAAGTTATCACCAAACCATTTCTTCATTACAGGGTCAAATCCAATCATAGCGTAGAATGGTTTCCCGCCATATTTCACTTGATAATTCAAATCATCATTGTCGATTTTAGATCCTTCTAATCCAATAAAGTTTTTGGCCCAATGAGGTTTACCTCCAACATCACCAAGAATGTTTTCAAATGTTTGAAACCATTGACAAGCATTAACGTTGGTTCCAAACGGTCTGTACATGGTAGCATTGATAAATAGAGTCAATTGATCATTTGTAACGTTTTTTAACTCTGGTTCATGAATCAAATTATCTGGAGAATTATCAAGATAAGGACGGAAGTTATTCCCCGGAATAGGACCAGAACTAAGTCTATCTCTTTTAGCTAACCAGGATTCAGAAGGATATAATGAAGGTTCTTTAGTAGCATCATCAACAAATGCAACATTTGAGTTTGTAGTATTTGAACATCTAACTTCAATGGGGGCATGGACATAGTAATCACCGGAATCTCTTGCACGTTCTATTTCAGCCTTTAACTTCAATAAAACAGCTTGGCCTTCATTTAAGGGAGCAGACCATTCATCAACAAATTGACTGAATAAGCAATCCATATTTAAGGCATCAACTGAATGTTGAACGGCAATATCACCGTTACCAAACGTTTCCACATTACCGTATTGTTGATTAAACACAAACGACTCAATATAAGGAGTCAAACTGGGAATCAAATGAACAGAACACCAAAGTAAAGACTCATAAAACAATCTTCCTAAAGTTGTACCGTACCATGAAGGTCTAGGATCAGATAATTGATCATCAGATTTAGAAGCTCTCCAACAAATACACTTGGAAGTATAAGGAAACCACCAGATTCTTATGTATTCGGAGTCCAACCAAATCAGATCCCAATTGTCCAATAACGTTTGGAAATTGATGATTTCCTGTTTGGATTTCAAAGTATATTGAGGACATGTTCTTATGGTCACATGAGTGATGATCCCAATTTTACCCAACGAAAGTAAAGCAGCTCTAAATAATTCCGGTTTCTCAATGGATGAGCAAGTGATCAATTCTCCGGCAGAATTCACAATATCAATCAGTACAATTTGTTGAGAGACCAACCCATGATATTGAGATGAACCATGAGTTCCGGTTGAAATCAATCCGGCAATTGATTGATCACTAATTGAACCTAAATTCTGAATAGCCAACTTGTTTGCCTTCAAATACTCATTCAATTCATAAATCCGAATCCCGGCTTCAACGGTTAAATCAACAAACTTCACCTCTTTCTCCAATGGATTGGTGGTAGATGGTCCATGATGTTCATCTACTTTAAGAACCCGGTTGAACTTGTCCAAGTTACAAAGCCACTCGTTGGTCATGGTCAAATCAGAAGGCGAATGGCCAGATCCAACAGTCATGATAGTCTTGTGGTTTATCCGGGCTTGGTTAACCAATTCTTTAATCTCTTCTACATTAGTGGGCTGAAAATACGCTTCGGGCTTACAGTAGAAAGTCCCGGCCCATGTTCTATGGAAGGACTTCAACGCAGCAAACAGTCGCAACAGTTCCGGAATAATAGATGACATCTGTTGACCAGAAAAGAAAGAAACATGTACCTTGTAATCTTGGATGGTTCCATAATTGTTTTCGTAATTATTTCATTATACTATTTACGTGCTTTGTGTCGCTTAGAAAATCCGATGCCATCCATATTAATCCGAAGTGGGGACTAAGTCCTAAACAATCGTTTCACTTAAATTATCCAATCAACGCATGGTGTGGCTCTTTCACAATGTAACCAGACGGAATTGTTTCAATTGTTTCAGTAGTGCCTGAATAAGAAAAGGTAACTAAAGCTACGGTTCAAACAAAAAAGAATGGACGAGTCCGGAGTCGAACCGGAGACCTTTCGCATGCTAAGCGAACGCGCTACCAACTACGCCACACGCCCGTTGGAGGGAATGAATGGTCCCTGGCGGGATCGAACCGCCGATCTTGGCGTTATTAGCACCACGCCTTAACCAACTGGGCCAAGGGACCAATTCATGTTAATACTTGATGGGAATAATTTTCTACCGTTAACATCACAGTGGCCCTGAGAGGATTTACATGAAAAAGAGCTTAAATCGTTGAACGAAGGTCGTATTAAATTTTAACGACTGTCATAAGAGCCGTAGCCTATATACGAGATATATTACGAGTTACATTGGTTGATATAAATTACAGTCCATTTTCGTGTCAAGTTCAATGTCATTAACTCTCAGGCTACATCTGCCAGCCGTGCAGAAATAACCAAGCTATCCCAATTAATTTTCCTACAGACGCGTTTATTGCTAGTCACGTGACATAATCAGTATCCTTATATAGTAACTGGCCTCCTTATCTTTAGGAGGTCTTACTTCCTGTGCTGCCACTTTCTATATACAGCAATTGAATTGGACTTGCCGTCAACTCGACCATCATGAATATGACTTTGTGGCTGAGTGTGGACTGCTATGTTTTGTGCTTGAATGGTTGCTAATCAACAAAGGTCAAAAAAAAAGAATCGCACTACACTGAGATATCCACATAGAGCAAGTTAGACCTAGTATTAAATATACTTGTAATGATTAGACCTATAGTAATTAGACCTATAGTTATTAAACCTGTAATAACTAGACCTAGTAGTAATTAGACCTGTAGTAGTACTGCCAGCTGTAAGTTTTTAGTTTCTTTTGGTCAAGTTTTTTTTGTTCCTGGTTCAGCCTGCATATACGACACCCACCCTCCATGGGTACGAGGTAAACGAGCGGTGCTACCTTCTTTTATCAGAACATCACTAAAACCACATCCGATTTTGAATTTTGGTATATAATGAAACCTGATGAAGGCTACAAATTTTTCTAAAAGTAAATTTATATAATATTACACGTCATATTTGGATCTTTTATTATTAAATAGACCCATTGGTATAAACATATAGTACAGTAAACGATGACTAGACCACAAAATATCGGGATCAAAGGTATCGAAGTATACATTCCTGGCCAAGCCGTTAACCAGTCAGCCTTGGAAGAATTCGATAAGATTCCTCAAGGTAAATACACCATTGGTTTAGGTCAAACCAATATGGCATTTGTCAATGATAGAGAAGATATTTATTCATTTGCCTTAACTGCATTACACAATTTAATTGATCATTATGATATTGATCCTTTAAAAGTTGGTCGTTTGGAAGTTGGTACTGAGACTCTTTTGGATAAGTCCAAATCGGTTAAATCTGTTTTGATGCAATTATTCCCTGGTAATTCTGATATTGAAGGTGTTGATACTGTTAATGCTTGTTATGGTGGTACATCTGCTGTGTTAAACTCTATTAATTGGATTGAATCTTCTGCTTGGGATGGTAGAGATGCTATTGTTGTTTGTGGTGATATTGCTATCTATTCTCAAGGTGCTGCTAGACCAACAGGTGGTGCTGGTTGTGTTGCTCTTTGGATCGGCCCTGATGCTCCTATTGTTTTTGATAATGTTAGAGGTTCATTTATGGAACATGCTTATGATTTCTATAAACCTGATTTCACCAGTGAATACCCAGTTGTTGATGGTCATTTCTCCTTAAGTTGTTATGTTAAGGCTTTGGATAATTGTTACCGTGCTTATTCTAAAAAGGCTTTGGCTCTGGAAAGCGATGATGGTTCAGTTAAGACAGTGGGTGTTTTCGACCACTTTGATTACAATGCCTTCCACGTTCCAACTTGTAAATTGGTTACTAAATCTTATGCTCGTTTGTTATACAACGATTATTTGTCTAACCCTTCAAAATTCACTGATTTAATTGATGATGAAACTAGACAAGCTCTTGATAAATTGACTTATGATCAAAGTTTGATTGATAGAGCTGTTGAAAAGGTCTTTTTGGGTTTAACTAAGGAAGAAGCAAAAACAAGATTACAACCTTGTTTACAAGTCCCCACTAACACTGGTAATATGTACACCGCTTCTTGTTGGGCTTCATTATCTTCTACCTTGTATTACGTTGGTTCTGAAAAATTACAAAACAAACGTATTGGTATCTTCTCTTATGGTTCTGGTTTAGCCCTGACATTATTATCTGTTGTTGTTAAGGGTGATATTAGTGAAATTAACAAAGTCTTGAACTTTGAACATAAGTTAGGAGCTGGGAGAAAGATTGAAACTCCTCAAGCTTATGTTGATGCTATTGAATTGAGAGAAAAGGCTCATTTACAAAAGTCTTTTGAACCAAAGGGTTCTATTGAAAACTTGGCTTCTTGTACCTATTACTTGACTTCTGTTGATGATAAGTACAGAAGAGCTTACACTAGAAAGGAATAAGCAAATCATTCACGTTCGTTTAATTAATTCTTTGGTGTCTTCGGTATTACTACTACCACAAGGGTATGATATCCATAATATCATGGCAATGATAATTATTATACCTCGCTCCCTTCTCCTATATATAGTTGATAATATGGCGTTCTATGTCTTCTATGTAACCAAATTATTCTGCAACATCAAATGTAAACTATTTCCTAATACGGCAGTCTACACGTGTTTTGAATATGTTTGAATCGGGTAATATCTAAAACACAGATGTGCGTGAGTCGATCGGTAGCGCTGCGGTCGTCTCTTGAGTTCAAAACATAAACATAAGCAAAACAGATGAAGCCACTTGAAAGACGTAGAACTCACCAACAGTCAAAGTCTAACAGAAGACAAAGCATAAATCATGAGAGAAGTGATTAGTATTAATGGTATGTTACGATGACGGCTACGCCAAATGTCGTGTCTATATGTTGCTGTGACATTGTAAGATGTCGTTCCATGATCAACATAGTGATCTACAAAGCGATTGATTACATATATCGATTACACATCAATTAAAGGGAGAGCATGTATACTAACAAGAATTGAATATAGTTGGGCAAGCCGGTTGTCAAATCGGTAACGCGTGCTGGGAGTTGTATTCTCAAGAACACGGTATTAGACCTGATGGATATTTACAAGATGGGTTGGATAGACCCAAGGGAGGTGAAGAAGGATTTCTGACTTTCTTTAGTGAAACTGGATCTGGTAAATATGTTCCTAGAGCCCTTTATGTAGATTTGGAACCCAATGTGATTGATGAAGTTCGTACTGGAGTTTATAAGGATTTATTCCATCCTGAACAATTGATTGCTGGTAAAGAAGATGCTGCTAATAATTATGCTAGAGGTCATTATACTGTTGGTAGAGAAATTTTAGATGATGTTTTGGATAGAGTCAGAAGAATGTCTGATCAATGTGATGGGTTACAAGGGTTCCTTTTCACTCATTCACTTGGTGGTGGTACTGGTTCTGGGTTGGGGTCCCTTTTATTGGAACAATTATCTGTTGATTATGGTAAAAAATCCAAATTAGAATTTGCAGTTTATCCTGCTCCTCAAGTCAGTACTTCTGTTGTTGAACCTTATAACACTGTGTTGACAACTCATACCACTTTGGAACATGCCGACTGTACTTTCATGGTTGATAATGAAGCCATTTATGATATGTGTCGCAAGAATTTGGATATTCCAAGACCTCATTTCAAATCTTTGAATAATTTGATTGCTCAAGTTGTATCTTCAGTTACTGCTAGTTTAAGATTTGATGGTTCATTGAATGTTGATTTGAATGAATTCCAAACTAATTTGGTTCCTTACCCAAGAATCCATTTCCCCTTGGTTTCTTATGCTCCTGTGTTTTCTAATAACAGAGCTAACCATGAATCAAACAGTGTTAGTGAAATCACTGCCTCTTGTTTTGAGGCAGGTAACCAAATGGTTAAATGTGACCCAAGACAAGGCAAATATATGGCCACCTGTTTGTTATACCGTGGTGATGTTGTTACTCGTGATGTTCAAAATGCCGTTGCTCAAATTAAGGCCAAAAAGACCGTTCAATTGGTTGATTGGTGTCCAACTGGGTTCAAGATTGGTATTTGTTATCAACCACCAACTGCCATTGCCGGATCAGATTTAGCTGCTGCAAAGAGAGCCGTTTGTATGTTATCCAACACTACTGCAATTGCTGAAGCTTGGAGAAGAATTGATAAAAAGTTTGATTTGATGTACTCCAAGAGAGCATTTGTTCATTGGTATGTTGGTGAAGGTATGGAAGAAGGTGAATTTACAGAAGCTAGAGAAGATTTAGCTGCATTGGAGAGAGATTATATTGAAGTTGGTACTGACAGCTATGCTGATGAAGAAGAAGAGTACTGATAATACCCTATCGGCTTTGATAAGCCGAACTAATATATTTATATATATATATATAGTTATATAGTTATAATAATTGTTATTGATTGAATGGGATGCCATATAGTAATGTATGGTATGGTATACAGTTGGTATAGCATCTACTACTGGTGTGAGTATATCTGGGACCTAACAAAAATAGTCGCGAATTATAAATCAAGAGTGAAAAATATCAACCAATAGAACCATCAACTCTTTATTCAGCAAGTCAAAAAATGGAAGACAAAAGGGAACTCTTGAAACAGCCATTACATGGGATTTATATTCCCATTGCATTAATGTTGGGTGGGACATTAATCTTTGGTAAGGAATATCTTCCCTATACCGTTGGGTTTATTGTAGTTGTGTGTTCCTTACAATTTTATGGAGCGTATAGGAATAGAGCTAGTTTACATTCTGTAAAATGGAATGATTTTGAATTGATTGATAAGACTATTGTCTCCAAGAATTGTGCTATTTATCGATTCAAATTGAACCATGATGATGAAGTTCTTGATATTCCTGTTGGTCACCATTTAGCTTGTTGTTTCACTATTGATGGAAAAGATGAGATTAGATATTATACCCCGATTCTGAATAAATTTGATGCTGGATTCTTTGATATTTTGGTAAAATCTTATCCTACTGGTAATGTTAGTAAACGGTTAGCCATGTTACGTGAAGGTCAAACCGCTAAATTCAGAGGTCCTGTTGGTCGTTTACAATATAAAACTAATATGGCTAAAGAAATTGGTCTTATTGCCGGTGGTTCCGGAATTACTCCAATTTTACAAGTAATTACAGAAATCATCACCACTCCCCATGATACCACAAAGATTTCTCTAATCTATGCCAATGAAACTTTAAATGATATTGTTTTGAAAAGTGAAATCGATGAGATTGCAAAGAGATACCCAAATTTTTCAGTACACTATACTTTATCCACACCTCCTGAAAATTGGGTTGGCGATGTTGGTTTTGTATCTGAAGAAATGATAAAGAAATACTTGCCATCACCTTCTCAAGATTCTCGTTTGTTCATTTGTGGTCCCCCAGGTATGAAACAACTGCTCTTGGATATTTCACACAAGTTGGGTTGGGAAAAGGGTACCATGAAATCACCACCTGAAGATCAAGTTTTTTGTTTCTGAGTGAGTCATACTGACAACATACTGAGTCAAGTTCTCATACAAATGAAATGTATATTCAAATTCCATGTATAGAGGTTAAAGCCATAATCTTGTCTTAATTTTGTTGTAGATCATCGGTATAGTCTTTGTCTTGCCTATTTAGGAATAACTCCGGCATCATAGCGATCCTGGCTAGAATTTACAGTGTGTATTACCATGCATATTGTACACAGATACGTAAGATGTTTCCGGGCTAACTACAATACCTATAGCTTGTATCTCCAGTGGTGATATGTCCGAAAGTTCATCTCGGTCATGGCCAGGTTGAGGGACACTCATCCGTTTTGTAGACTTCCTATATGGGAAGTCTATGGCAATTGGCCGAACTTGTATTTCGGTGGAAAGTACGGGCCAAATCCGATAGGGGTAACATCAACTAATAACTACGGCGACGCTGTTGATGGAGCAGATACGGTCAATTGCCACTTGAAAAAGTATATAAGGGGACGAGGAGTTCCAATTATCCATCGGATCTAATTCAATCAACAACTAATACCTACAACTATGAGCTACAAGGCAGTCGAAATTAAAGGTACTATGGGATTCGGAACCATGAGTATGACCTGGACCCCAACACCACCACCAACAGAAAAGTCTATTGAAACATTGAAGTATGTTACTGGAGAGAAGGGTGTTTCATTGCTTAACGGAGGAGAATTCTATGGATCTGATTTTGCCAACTTGAAGTTAATTAAGAAGTTTCTTGATTCCAATGAAGGAGGCATTAACAGTCAATTGGTTATTGGGATAAAAGGTGCTTTGAACAACGCCACTTTAGCTCCAGATGGATCTAAAGAAAGTGTTGTTAGATCTGTTAACACTTTGACTGAGTATTTCCCCGTGGATATGCCCAATAGACCCAAGATGTTGTTTGAGATTGCCAGAGTTGATCCTAACATTCCATACGAGGATACCATTGGCTACATTGCTGATTTTGTTAAGGAGGGAAAGATCGATGGGATTTCCTTATCGGAAGTCGGTTTAGGGTCCATTGCCAAAGCATGTAACGTATTCCCTATAAGTTGTGTTGAATTAGAATTGTCCCTTCTTTGTCAAGACTTGATAACCAATGGGATCTTACAAGAGTTATCTTCTAGACAGATTCCTATAGTGGCCTATTCCCCTTTGTGTAGAGGACTTTTAACTGATTCTCATGTGAAGAACCAAAACTCGTTCCATGATAACTTACACCCCCACGATATGAAGAACCATTTAGAGAAGTTTTCTAAGGAGAATTATGGTGCCAACATGAAGTTGGTTAATGCTTTACATGAGTTTGCTCATCAGAAGAAGAAGACTTCATTGGAATCATTATCATTATCATGGATCGTGGCTATATCCGGTAGAAGTAACTTCAATGGTATATCGAAAGTTACCAGGATCTTACCCATACCCAGTGGGTCAAGTAAGGAGAAGATTGATAATAATTTGGATAACATTGTTGAATTAACTGATGAGGATTTGAAAGAGATCAACGAGATAAGTGAGAAGTATCCTGTGCAAGGTCTTAGATATAATGCTGCCCATGAGAAGTTTACGTTTGCGTAATGCTATGCAATGATATACTATGGTACTATGGTACTATGATGCTATGGTACTATGATACTATGATACTATGATACTATGATATACTATGGTACTATGGTATACTATGATACTATGGTATACTATGATACTATGGTACTATGATACTATGATACTATGATACTATGATACTATGGTACTATGATACTGTGATACTATGATATACTATGGTACTATGGTATACTATGATACTATGGTACTATGATACTATGATATACTATGGTACTATGATACTGTGATACTATGATATACTATGGTACTATGGTATACTATGATACTATGGTACTATGATACTATGATATACTATGGTACAATGATACTATGATACAATGATACTATGATACTATGATACTATGATACTATGATACTATGGTACTATGGTACTATGGTTCTCTAACCGAATACTATTATTGGTGTAGCTATCTCTCAATTGACGGTGGTTACTGCTACACGTACCTCACATAAAGCTGCTACGGTAACTTACATACTGTCCTACTCATACCTGCTCATACTACTCATCCTGTACTATTGTACTTGCACTACTGCTGCGTCTTACTGTACCGCACTCTCACACGAAAATACTATACCAAAAATCATCACCACTGCTTCCACTTTGTTCTTCTTCCTCTTCTACACTTCCATTCAGTCGTCGCTGCACCATGACTGCTGCTTCTACATCGAGCCCTGTACCAGACTCATGGTTCGTCGACGCAATTGGTCGGCAACGGATCTTTGAAGAGTACTTTTCTCCGGCCTCAAGAGCCAGGTCAACCACAATATCAACACCAACCATCGGAACTAAAATTGCCACCAGAGGTGAAACAGACCTCTTCTTGGCTCGCTATAACGTGGTAAGATGCTGCAACATTACGGATAGAGCCGGCACGTTTCGTGTCTTGGACATTGACGTGGCCTTTGACATTCAGGCTCTAGAGATTAATTCCTTGGGCACTCTCATGGCTGTCATAGGTGAGACTCAAATCAATATAGTGGTATTACCCTCTCTGGCCACTATAGCCAATAACCAAGCCGGCGCTGCGATCAAATGCAGAAACTATACCATTGATCTTGGATCTGGCTGTGTCGGTGTCATTAAAGCTTTATGGCAGGGCCTTGTTGTTCCTCAAGATTGTCTTTTGGTGGTACTTACGTCTGAAAATACCATTCTAATGTTCGACGTAAATCTCAGCACGACAACTTACCAAATTAAAGTAGACTTGAACCAATATGGAATCAACGCTGTGTCTATTGCATTTGGAGCCACTAATAAGAATCTCGCTGGTATGCTTACGTTGTACGTTGCTACTGAATCAGAGATTTATGCCATTTATCCGTTTTTCAAGTCTACAATGGGCATTGCGTTGACTTCAGAAGTTGCTAACAATTTTATGGTCGAATCCAAATTCATTTCTGAAATCGTTGATAAAGAGTTCCCCACCTATAATGCGTTGGTTTCCTTGAAGTGTAGTGGCTTCAAAAAGGCTGTTTTACGTCAATTGTCTTTTGCCAAAAGTACCATGAATGCATTTATAAAGCAAAAAAAATTCTCTAATGACCCCCACGGATTAGAAGTTGTGTTATATCAATTGCCTGATAGTGACTATGACCTTCAAGGTCCATTGATAAGTTTCCCAAAGGACGGCCGGAAGTTGGTGGATATTTGTCATCTTCAAGCAAACCTGCAATTCTCATCTTTGGCTGCTACATTCGTGACAAAAGATGGTTCAGTAGTGTTGAACACTTTGTCGCAACTTAGACCGCTTCTTATGAGGTGGAAAGAAGATCGTGAATATGAGGATGAGAAGGTTGAACAACCAGTTGTTGCCAAAGGTCTGCTGAAGTCGACGGAGGAATATCAAAAACCTAAAAGAGGGTTTGGATTTGTCTTAGAGGAGGAAGATTCCACTAAGAATGACCAAGTATCACAAGACATATTGAAGGTGTTGAATGCAAAGAAACAAGAATCTGCCAGTAATTTACAGCAAATGAAGTATTGGAAGGAGAACTTTACAAGATTAACCAAAGTATCAGATAACTTGGTTTTTTCCAAACTTGATCCTAAAGGTTCCTTTAGTCTCATTTCAAATCCTGTAAACCAAAACTTAATTTGTTTAACAACAGATGAACGGAGTTGTTTTGCTAATATCGAGCCTGTCATTGACTCATTGGCTTCTTCTTTCTTATTGGGTAACACTCTTAAACTGAAACCTGCTGTTAACCCCAGATTTCAATTAGTTGAAAGTATTACAACTACAAAGCATATTGCAATTTTAAATGATCCCTTTGAGAACGAATATTTGATTAGTTTGAACAATCAGCAATTGAATATTGCCAAATGCAAGATCACAAAGGATTCAATTAACCTCACACCAAAAAACATTGAGCAGCAAATTGTGGAAAAGAAGATAGACGAAATAGCCATTGCTGCAGGACTTGAGAAGGATCCCATTGATGAATTAATTGGGGAAATTTCTCAATTGAAAGTGGGGATTTCAGTTGCTGATAATGCAAAGAAACGGTTGGATCCTGCTGATTTGGAATCTGTTAAACGGTTCAATCATGTTTCAAATGAAGTCATAAGACAAGTCTCACAATTGACCGAGTACCTTCTACGGTTAGATAAGAGAATAAATATGCAATCGCAAATATTGAAGAAAGAAGTTGAAGTTTACAATGAAATTTCCGAAAAGAAACTTGGTGGTGGGTCCAAGACGAAACAAGACACAAACGAAGCCCGTCTAGCTGAATTATTGGCTCGTCAAGACAAATCAAGAGAAGCTTTAGCTAGAATAAATAGGAAAGTGGCTGATGCCAGTATGGCAGTACAAAGAAACAAGGCCCTTGTTTTATCAGATGCTGAAAAGAATTGGCTTAAAGAATTGAATCGAATTGTGACTAAACTTACCGGAGAAAAGGGGTTGGATCACCAGATTAAAGACGCCAATTTACAAGCTCAGAAATTAATTGAAGCCTGGAAGGGAGAAACTGAGAAACCACCACAAAAGATTTGTTCGACTGACATGGCACAGAATTATCAAAACACACAAGCATTAAATCGTATCAAGGTTGAACTTTTCAACATTGGGGAATCATTAAAGAACTTGAAATTGAAGGCTTCCACATTACTAGCATACAATCAAGAAGAAGTCTGTTAAATGACTTCGTTGAGGAACGTTAATATGTGATTGACACAATACATTTGATTCCAAATAGCCAAGTCATTCTGATAGTCACAAGTTTCGTTTATGAAGAACCCAATGTGAACACCTTTTTTATCCATAATGATTCGATCAGGAAAGGAATTTGAATAACCTATTCTTGATAACCATTTCAAGATTTCATCTCTTAATACTTCGAATTCACCGAAAACCATCAACATTCTTCCCTGCTTTATAGTGGGGATTTCCTTCCAATTTATATCATCCACGTTTAAAGCGATGTTGACTCTGGGATCATCCATGGCCTGGGAAAAGTCTTTATGAATGTATTGAGTCCCGAAATAGTCCACACAATCATAAGAGAAAACATCATAGTCTGCATAAGTGATATAGCTTCCGGTCCTTTCCGAGGGACAAACATTCATCATTGGAGAAATAGGAATGATACCTGCTGGCCATACTGTTGATGTTGACAGCGACTTGTCACAGCTCAAATGATGAAGGATGTTCAATGTCAAGTTCCCTCCTGCCGAATCTCCCATCACTACGATATTGGTATTACCTTCACTGACCAATTTATCATATAGCCAATTGACCTGATGATATTGGTTCGGGAAATAAACTCCGTTGGAGCTCAATGAATAATCCACTATAAGCATTGAAATTGTCTTATTGAACTCTTGCTTCAAAGCCCTGTATACGTTGGCCATGGCCTCCACAGCAACATCTTGTAACTGAATAGCAAAGCATCCTCCATGAATGTATAGAATGATTGGGTCAGACTTGCATCTTAGCTCTTGTAGTGTGAGCCAATAAGAATCTACACTGGTATCATCAACGTCATCAGTCAACTTACTCGAGTACCTAACACCATAGCCAGGTAATTCGTTACTCAACTTCAGATCCATTCTGTTGAGAAGATCCTCAACAGTGTACATGGCATGCAGTTTGATATCACTGAGCCTCAATCTCTTGGTCATGTGTTGGAAGATTGCACAGTTCCATGTTCTTCTTAGAGACTTCTTTGTGGTGTCATTCTTGAACACTGTTCCTATGGTGAAGTAGGCCAAGGTGACTTGAAGCAATTTCAACGGCAACGAAAGCAAGCCTATTATCAAGGATAACGTTGGCATGTTGAAGTAAGGTGGTAAGAAGAAATAGGGGAGAGTCTTCTTGTGAGGACAAAAAAGTATGCGCAAACCCGGAATCGAACCGGGGGCCCAACGATGGCAACGTTGGATTTTACCACTAAACCATTTGCGCTTTCTATGGAGAAGAAGGAGATTTTGTGGTATACCAATGAGACACTGAGAGATACACGTGCAAATCACGTGTACAAACAATATAAGGGGCATAGATCAACTAATCAGAGATACACCAATTGGAATAAACTTCACTACTTTCTTCTTAAGTCTAGTGTGGTAACGGTGTTCCAAACCGGCACTTTTAGTAGTTATAGATCAGTCTTATGTTAGTAACGTCATTTTCTTTGGCTATGCTTTGTTTCGGACGTATACCGATCAAATGATGCAAAATATAGCCACACAATGCAAACAATGATAGTTGTCTACATTGAAACACCTTATCTACTAACAAACCTGACACAATTAACAAGGTTTTATGGTATTGATAGCATGTAATCAACTTTTATACGTACTACGTTTGAAGGTGACCATGACGCAGACACCCCTACACCCCAACACCAAATTAATAACAATATCAATAAAACTCCGGGCACTACGTTCTGAATATACTCCCCTTATAAGACAACGTCACTTCAGCTAAGAACATCTTCAAGTAGACGCGTCGTTTTGTAGATGCGTACAAATTAATGGTGATGGCTGCAACTGACTGTTGACAGATGCGCGTAGAAAAGTTTTTGTCAGACAAAGGTAGCTACACTTAGTGAACCAGCTACCGCCAGCCACAGTCAGAGTCAACAATATACTACTTCTACAATGGTGTTACCGAATAACATGCAAAAGAACCTTTTACCAGAGGAGATCAACTTTCTATCAGAAAGCCAGTTGATCACCATCATACCACGGTTCTCAATGAAGAAGATAGAGTTGATTGGGGTATGTATTTGAGAAGCAACAGTCCAAGCTAAGGAAGAGTCTCACATTCTAACAGTACATTCTAGTCCAAGATCCCCACTTTAAGGGCCATGAGAAGGGAACAAGTACCATTATGGGTAGCACTCATATTAAAGAGTCAAGATAAATGTAACATAGTACCACCAGAATGGCTCAACTTAATCTATCTTAAAGATATGTATGAACAAGAGAAGCTGAATCCGCTTCAATTTTCCTCCCTACCATATAATTGGTTAGAATTATCAAAGATACTTTTGGCTAAAGCTTCAGATGATGTAGCAGACCTGTCCCATCAACTTCGATCAGTTATTCAAGACTTGAGGGAAATCAGGCTTATCAAGATCAAAAACGGTCTACGTGAATTGAATGAGGCCAATATGGAATTGACCAATCTTTCACTCATGGAGATCAATGAGATTAGACCTTTTATACTTCAAGTGATGGGGAAATTGGGTAAGTTATACGAAGCTTCCAAGACCATAGAAGACGAAGAAGACGATTACGATTACGAATAGTCAAGGCACTCAAGGCTACTCAATGCAATGCAATGCAACGCAATGCAATGTATTTCCATGCAAAAGAAGATTTGGAATATCATCTTCACTTCTACTACTTGATCAATTTATGTGCTTAAGCTGTGGCATGCACAAATTGCGATGAAGTTTTCTGTACAAAAAATTCCCCAGGTATGAATCATCAAACAAGCACACAGCCAATCAGCTGTAACATAAAATATTGGTGAAGTTTTGTAAGGTAGGTACCTTTGGAAGATGAGCAAGTTTGCTACGCTTAACAGACAGTTTATCTCCAATTTGAAGACCCACCAAGTGATAACTGATGCTAAACGAAACTTGATATTGTCGATTCTCAAATCTACCACCACCAAAAGAGAAGCCAGAAACTACTTGAACAAGTACCAGAACCAATTTGATTTCAGTGATATTCGTTTTGATAACGTCAGCAAGGAATTGACTACAAGAGAGGAACAACGTGAATTGTTCATCAATAGGTTTCTTTCAAGACAGAACCCTTTCCTTAACATTTATGATGAAGAGGAAACAAAGTTGGAAAAGGTTCCATTGAGATTGGCAATATTCAAAATAAAACATTCAAATATTAGTGCAAAGGAATGGGGAGGCATAGCTGAGACGTTCAAGAGATTGGTCCATTTGGGGATATCTCCGGTGATATTACTTGATTATGAGTTTGCCGTAGATGGAGAATTCAAACGTCTCGAATCACTAATGATTGATCATGGCAGTAAAATCGTTAACCACTTGGAAAAACAACTTCAGGATGATATTTTCAACGAGTTGGGGCTTACAGTCATCAATTCATTGTTTATAACAGATGACAAAGGTGACTTAACGTTGAACTCTTTGGAAGATATAATTATCCCACTTTACCAAGGCATAGTTCCAATTATCCAACCTTTGGTTTACAATAAGACTACGTGTTCATTGGATATTTCCCTGCCAGATTTATTGCTACAAAATTTGTGTATGTCAGCTCTTGAAGCTAAGGACTTATTATCAATTGAAAAGATTGTTCTAATAGAACCCCGTGGAGGTATCCCCAGTATTGAAAGAGATCAAACTTCACATGTCTTCATCAACTTGTCTCAAGAATATGCTGATTTGGTACTGGAATTATACATTGGATATATCCATCCGAAGAATCGAGATATTCATTTGAAAAATTTGCATACCGTGAACACCATTTTGCATCAAATCTCCACAGTCACAAAGAATGATGATACTACAGGAATCATCACCACTCCCAAAATCATGTCAATCAATTCTGATCAATTAAACCCAATTATTTATAATGTTTTAACTGACCGACCCATTATATCTTCATCCTTACCAAGCTCCAATGCTCCTCATTTGAGTACTTCAATCATAAAGAAAGGGATGGAGGTTCAAATTTTTGATTCCCAAGATTATCCAGACGGGTTTACACTTGAAAGATTAATTGATGACGGTCATATCCACCGAAGGAAATTCTTTGACTTAATCAATGATTCATTCGGTAGAGAACTAGATGAGAAAACTTATATGGAGAGAATTAATAATACCATAGCTACAGTAGTTATATTGGGAGATTATGATGGTTCAGCAATCATAACTTGGGAAAATGGAGTTGCCTATTTGGATAAGTTTGCTATTGCACGGAAGAATCAAGGATTGCCAAGTCTTGCAGATATTATTTTTAAGATTATTCTTCAAGCTCATCCTAATGAATTAATATGGCGTTCCAGAAAGAATAATCCTGTTAATAAGTGGTATTTTGAAAGATGCCGTGGAAGTTTCAGTAGTCCCGAGTCTCCTTGGAAATTATTTTATACGGGGGAGATCTTCGATAAGAAGATAAATCGGAAACAAAAAGCTCGAAAGGAAGAAGTTAATATCTTCAATAAATTACGACAGTATTCTTCTATATGTGAAGGCATTCCTGCATCTTTCAAGCTATGAAGTTGCATACTACATGCAGATATCAAGGATGCACATTCATGCAAAAAACACGAGGAAAACATCCATACGAGATCAAGTGAAAACTTATACGACCAAAACTACAGAGATCTGAAGTCCAGGTAAATGAAATAAAATCATTGAACTTTTACTTGATGGTATCCGTTATTGATTTCCTTTCTGTTTGTGTGTCTTATAATGTTGGGCCTTGTGTGTGGTTTTGTATCACTTCATCATAAGTCAACCCATATATAAAAAGTATGCGGGTACCTGTGCCGAGGATAATGATAATCGTGAGTCGTCTTCTTTATCTGAACTTAAAATGTCTATCCGTAATCGTGGGCCCAATAAGGAGTCGAACGTTATTGTTGAAGAGAAGGACACAACGAAGAAGAAGGGAATGAGAAGTCTTTACTATTACCACGAGCTTGATGAATGGCAACAAGACAATCATTATATCAAATCCGGATACGTGAAGGAAACAGGACTGATAAGGGATTGTTTTGAACTGTTATTGTATGTTCATAACGAAACAGGGAATATATATTCTCATCTACTTCCAAGTCTTTCTTTAATGGGATTCTTACTATGGTATATTAATGGCCCACTTGAACAATATGAGAACTCATTGGGTATCTGGGAAAAGCTCAACATTGCACAGTTTGGAATGGCGGCTACGTTCTGTATGTTCATGTCTTCAACTTTCCATTGCATTAAGTCTCACTCACATCGTGTAAGCAAGATCGGCAACCAGTTGGATTACTTTGGAATCATCTTTTTGATTACCATCTCTTTAGTATCCATAATTCGCTTTGCCTTCTATGATCATCCAGTTGTGAAATACGTCTTTTGTGGTATTTCTGGTATCCTTGGAGGTATTTGTACGTTCATCACTTTAGACCCCAAGTTTCTGTCGAATGTTTACAGGCCCTTCCGCCTGAAGATGTTCATACTCTTTGGTCTTTCTGGAGTTCTTCCAGTGTTGACAGCTGTGTACATGTTTGGATATTCCAATGCTGTTGCTCGTGCCAATGCCTTCTGGCTCGTCCTTGAAGGTGTCTTCTATATAACTGGAGCAGTTCTTTATGCTGCTCGATTCCCTGAACGCTTAACTCATGATCATCGAAAGGAAGTGGGCCATTTCGATATTTGGGGCCACAGTCATCAAATATTCCATGTGTTGGTTGTTATTGCAGCTTGGTGTCATTGGAAGGCTCTAATTGGTTCATACCATTACTTACACAGAGTTACACTTCCACTGATGTCGGTCTAGAAAAAAAAATGGAAAGATTATTGGGATGGTTATTAAATATCAAGTAGAGTTTATAGTTTATAATAGAAGGTTGTATGTTTGTGATGGTGTGTCTTTTACCAAATCAATTGTGTGTCGCGTATAGTTATAAGTGAATAATCAGGATATATCATTGGTGTTGGTAATGTCAAACTTTTTTTACGAGACTGATGCGTATGCATGTACATGAAACTATAGTGTTCACTTGCATATACGTTAACACACAAGCATGAATTTAATAATACTTCCTTGTCATGGTGTTTGGAAAGGTGGATCAACCAAAGGTCAGAGACCTGAGGAATGGCATTTGGCATCCTTTCAAGTTGTGGGAAATGATCATCTAAGTTTTGTTGATCACATCAGAGTCAGTGTAGAACAATTAAGAAGTAATCCCAACAGTCATTTAATTATTTCTGGTGGACAAACGAAAAAGGAATCAGGACCAGTTCTGGAACTGTTATCGTATTATTACTTACTTCGAGAACTTATGAGTGCAGAAGATGAACTGCTATTGCATCGTATATCGTTAGAAGAATATGCACGAGATCTGTTTGAGAATGTGTTATTTCTGCTTTGCAGATTTTACGAGCTTCATAATCAGTACCCTGATGGGCTAGTGATCGTGGGGTTTGAATTTAAGAGAGATAGATTTTTGAAACTTCATTTAGAAAAGGCATTGGGGTGGGAATTGAATAATGTTACTTATTTAGGCAACGAGCCCGATCCCGCGGAGTTAAGCGATATCGAAAGAGAAGCATATTTTGAAGACTTAAAGGCTAGTGAACTCAAGAATGGGTATCTCCCTTTTGGCAGCGATTGGTATGGGGTCGGGAGTCTATTGAAATCCAAGAAGACGTCACGTGACCCGTTCAAGAGGTACCATGGGTACGCAGCATCCAATGTCAAGTTAAGGCCATTTCTAGAAGCACTAAGACAAGAGGAGAGCACGAACGAAGAGCTTAAAAGTATGTTGAGATGGAAGTGAGTCGTACTACAGTAAGTATTGAACACGAATAACTAATCATGTAATTAAAATGACGCAACTAATTATTTCTTCAAGGCTCTTCTGGTTTGAACAGCCTTGGCCAACTTGTTCAACATTTCAACGGTGGATTCCCAGGAAACACACCCATCGGTGATGGAAACACCGTACTTTAACACGGATCTGTCCTTCCCTAAAGGAGGCATTCCTTGTTTACCTTCATTAATGTTGGATTCAATCATGACCCCAATGATGGTATCTTCACCTTTAGAAATCTGGTCAGCAACAGAATCCAACACAATGGGCTGGTTTTTGTAGTCCTTTTGAGAGTTATCGTGGGAGCAATCAACCATAATCTTGACATTTGGATTTGATGATTTACCAATGGCGGCCTTAGCAGATTGAACGGCATCAGGACCATAGTTAGTCAAGTTCTTCCCACCTCTCAAGATAATAAAACAATTGTCGTTACCCTTTGTGGTGGTAATAGCAGCCATACCATCTTTGGTTACACCCATGAAATGATGACCCTTTGAAGAGGCCTGGACTGCATCCAAAGCGACACCAACGTTACCATCAGTTCCGTTTTTGAACCCAATTGGGAACGATAACCCTGAAGCCAATTCTCTATGCAACTGAGATTCAGTGGTTCTAGCGCCAATGGCACCGAAGGAGAGAAAGTCAGAAAAGTATTGAGGACTAATGGTGTCCAACATTTCCGAACCAATCAGCACTCCCATATTGGTCAAGTCAGAGTATAATTGACGAGACACTCTTAAACCCTTGTTGATTTCAAAAGAATTATCAACGTCAGGGTCATTAATCAAACCTTTCCAACCCACAGTGGTTCTAGGCTTTTCCAAGTATGCACGCATGATAATGCACAAGTCGTCTTGAAGTTCATGAGCCAATGCCTTCAATCTACCAGCGTATTCCATGGCAGCTTCAGGATCATGAATCGAACAAGGCCCGACAATAACTAAGCATCTATCATCACTACCTTTTAAAATGTTACCACTTTGTATCCGGGCTTTGATCACCGTTTCCAATGACTTGGATGATGCTCGGATTTCATGTTGCAACAAAGCAGGTTGGATTAACGGGTTGTACGCCAAAATACGTGTGTCGTCGTACTCTTCAGGAATCGGAGTCTGACTCATGTTGTATTGTAGTTTTTATTACTGGAGAGGAAAAGAACAATATTTGGGAAAAAAAGTTGTACTGTCCAGTTTATATTTATATGTCGAGGTTTTCAGTATGAGTCAGTGGTGAAAATTTGCTGTGTTGTGTGCAGTAGGAGGGGCACGTTGACTGGTGGGGCTGACAGGATTTTTTCGAGGGTCGACCGGGGGTACATCGAGGTGCGGATGTATAGCTGCGAACGCATATACATATACATATACATATACATATACATATATATGTGTCCATATGTATGTGTCCATATGTACGTATCTGTATAAGTTATACGAGTTCTAGGATCGTTATTGTATCATTTCTTGTCCCATCAAGTCGGTTGTGAATTGTATAAAGTATACCAACATTGTGCAACATCACAAAATAAACTCCTGCAGTTCTATAATTGCCACCATAGTCCACTATGTAACCTCTTTATAAGCTCTTAATAAGTTCACAGCCTGTAACAAGCTCAAACCTTAAGGCTGGAACAATCATGGATACGAATACAGCAACCCGTAAGACCGGAAACAGGAACTCGAGGAGAAGAGGTCCAAGTAACCGTCAAAGACGAATCACAGAACTACAACAACTAACAGAAGGTTTCCGGGTTCTAACCGTTAACGGAGAAGCATTCAAGGACCTTACCTCCGAACAATTGAAAGATTTATTTGGTGATACGAACAATGACATCTACCTATCATTAGTGATGATCCCATCAGATCCTGATTTCCCCTATGAAGTTAAAGGAATCTTGATCCATTTATGTGTTCCCGGAAGTTATCCGGGGAAATTGCCGTCTATCACCTTGTTGAATGATGACATTCCTATTGGCTATGGAGCCAACATCGAGAGGGGATTTACCAGTATCGTTAAACAAGCTTTGAAAGGTGAAAAGTACATGGATAACGAAGACGAACAATTTGCATTACAAATACACGGAAAAACTCTTAGTGCTCAGCTCAATTGCTTGGATAAGAACTTGGAGTTCTTCCTTAGAAAGAAGAAACAGAATGCCGTTAAAGTTGCAATACGGTCCAATACCACCACCAGAAGCCAAACCCTGTCACCACAACCAGAGAAGACGACGAAGACGAACAAGAAGAATAAGCAGTCACGGGAAGCAACTCCCGTGTCTGTGCCTCCACCAGTTGACATAGAGGCAAGAGATAAGCTCCTTGGTGAACTTACAACCAAATTGCCTCTCAAACTACTTCAACGCTCGAACTCAGAGTTTAGGTACCAAATAGAGTTCCCCATCTCTAGTAGTCAATTGCCCAACTACATGATCAACGAGAAGACGTACCGGGTTTTGCTTTGTATCCCTCTTAACTATCCGGACAATAAGTCATTGACCATCAACCCCTATGTCAATTACACCAAACAGTTGATCTTAAAGTACAAACTCCACACTGACCAATTTAAACAGTTCAAGACACTCGAGAAGAATTTGGTGAAGAATTTCCAGGTGTACAATAACGAGAACCAGAATAAGCACATTGTTTCCCAAATGAACTGGGTAGCCAATAATCTTGCTAGTTTTATGTTAGGCGATAAAGACTTTAAACAATGGGTAGACTTGATTCTGATATACCATTAGATGCGGTGCTAGGGGCTTTTGGTGCTAGGGGCTTTGTGAGACCATACACGACCTCAGTACAAGCTTTTATCATCATTCAAATGTTCCCCTTAACTTATTATATACATCAACACCACTAAATATATCCGTTGATCCGATGATAGAGTTCAATGAAAAACGACGAATCTTCAGTTCGTTCTGTCTTTTTGGGCTTCTCAACAACATTCTCTATGTGATTATCCTTTCGGCCGCAGTTGATCTCGTGGGACATGCCACTCCCAAAGCGTGGGTTCTATTGGCGGACATTGTTCCTGCTTTAGTAGTCAAAGTCATGGCTCCTTTCTTCATACACTGGATTCCGTATTCCTCCCGTATATGGATCTTGGTAGCACTTTCGACTAGTGGAATGGGGCTTATCAGCATCTTCCCTTCTGTGGGGATGAAACTATTGGGCATATGTCTTGCCTCAATGTCTAGTGGTGGAGGAGAGACCACGTTTCTTCAACTCACTCATTTCTATCACAAGAAGATGGCCGTTGGCGGGTTCTCAACAGGCACGGGAGGGGCGGGACTCTTGGGGAGTGGATATTTCATGTTGATGACCAACATACTTCATATTAAAGTGCCAGTGGTGTTGATAATCTCTGCCTTGATGCCCTGGGGGTTCATCGCAGCGTATTACAAGGTGCTTCCAGATCATGGTGACAACTATGTTGCTTTGAACGATGAGGATGAGAATGATGGCACTTCTGTTGAAGACTTGGGTTTGGTGGAACCTCCAGACACAGATGTCAAATGGAACTCAAAGCAACATCTTATCACTACTATTAGTAGAATAAGACCTTTGGTGGTTCCTTATATGACACCATTATGTTTGGTGTACATCTCAGAATATGTCATTAACCAAGGCATCTCGCCCACGTTGCTATTCCCCTTAGACGAGTTACCTCCATGGCTATTCAAGTCATACAGAGACATCTATGTAGTGTATGGGTTTCTCTACCAATTGGGGGTGTTCATCTCTCGATCCTCGGTCAATTTCGGGATCCGGATTCGGCATTTATATGTTATGGCATTGTTGCAATTTATTAATGTGGTGATAACATTGACGCAATCTTTATACGATTTTCCGTTTCCTCGTATATGGTTTTTGCTTGTACTAATACTTTACGAAGGCTTACTAGGTGGCTTATCGTATATTAATACATTTATGCTGGTCAGCGAAGAAGTTGCTCCACACCAGAGAGAGTTTAGTATGGGTTGTGTGACCATTAGTGATTCGCTTGGGGTTATGGTTGCAGGGTTCATTAATTTGGGTTTGGAAACACAGCTTTGCAATGCTCAGGTTAACAGAGGAAGAGAATGGTGTCGTACAGGATAAAAATGGAGACATTAATGACATATTTTGTATATAATCATGCACATAATAATGGTCGCAACTACTATTATGTTAGCAATGAATGGAAGGATTCGCATCAGTAAGTGTACCCCGGATTTAACAACGCACCACGGATAAACTGAGTAACACAAAACCGGAGTGTTCCCGGTTTCGGCCTCGGATAATTGGATAATCCCTCCGCATTTGATACCTGTGACTAACCCCAAGTGAAAGCCACACCTTTCATCTACAACGACCTAGGCCGACTGTAGAAAAATACTTTATAGAATCTTCTTTATCCCAACCAGTGGATGATTTTCCGTAGACAGTTACTCCGTGCTATCGCCAGTAGAAGAATGAGTCAAATGAACAGTAACCCCGCTGTTGCGTTACATAACCCGTACTTTGAACAGAAACAAGGATCAAAGGATGTTTGGTCCTTGATCAACGAGACTGCCGCTGCTGCACAAGCCGAATCCGGTAAGCCAATAGTTAACTTGGGCCAGGGGTTCTTCTCCTATAACCCCCCTGACTTTGCCATTGACTCAGTGATCCACGCATTGAAGTCCGGCTTCAACCAATATGCTCCGGCCAAAGGGAACCCCAACTTGTTGAAGCAATTGACTCAGCACTATTCTGAAGAGCTCGGTAGACCCGTCCAGACCAATGAGATTGCCATTACCACTGGAGCCAACGAAGGGATGTTTTCGGTGTTCTTTGGGTTCCTTACACCGGGAGACGAAGCCATAGTGTTTGATCCCTTTTTCGACCAGTACATCCCCAACATTGAGATGACCGGAGCCAGAGTCCGATACGTCGAGTTGAAGTTCCCGGACAAGTTCAACACTGAGAATGTAACCGGTGATGATTGGACCGTTGACTGGGAGGGCTTGGAGACGGCCATCAACTCCAAGACAAAGCTAATTGTCATTAATACTCCTCACAATCCGATAGGTAAGATTTTTAACGAGCAAGAGTTAAAACGCATTGGTGAGTTGGCCATTAAACACAACTTGATCGTCGTGTCTGATGAGGTGTACGAGAACTTGTACTTTGGAGCCGAATTCCCCAGACCTGCTACATTGAAGTCGTTGCCAGAGTTGGCGAAAAGAACATTGACCATTGGCTCCGCCGGTAAGTCGTTTGCAGCTACGGGCTGGAGGGTTGGCTGGGTTCATGGACCTGCTGAATTGGTTCAATATGTCATTGCTGCCCATACGAGAATCTGTTTCTCCACTCCTGCCCCCTTACAACAAGCCGTGGCCGAGGGATTCGAACAAGCTAAGAGTAACAACTACTTTGAGAACACGAGACGTGATTATATCAAGAAATACGAGATCTTCAATAAGGTCTTCGACGACTTGGGATTGCCATATACCTTTGCTCAAGGTGGGTACTTTTTATTGGTCAACTTGCTGAGTGTTAAGGTTCCAAAGGACTATGTGTACCCTCAAGAGATCTTGGATAAGGGCACTGACGACTACAAGTTGGCATATTGGTTGATTAAAGAGATCGGAGTCGTGGGCATTCCTCCCACTGAGTTTGTTGTGCCTTCAAAGAGAGTAGCCCATGGGTTGGAGAAGTGCTTGAGATTCGCTGTTTGTAAGGACGATAGTATCTTAGAAGAAGCCGTTGAACGTTTGAAGAAGTTGAAGGACTATTTATAAATTGTTAGAGAATAGATTTATTTAATCCGATACATTCGGAAACAAAAACTCATTTCTCCGAAATCATCATACCCTTTCTCTATTTTTTCATCTTCCATTATGAATAATTGTTCCATTAATTGCCAAAGAAGTGCTCTTTCATTCTCGTATTTCGGTCTTAAGGGAATCTGGATTAATATACGAGTTTCTTGTTCGGAAAAATCCGCCATTTCTCGTATCGCATTCATAAGAAAATACGGATGTTGTTCCAGATAAATAGGATCACTTACTAATATTGTGGGGAACTTGATATTTCCATGTTCAGCGGTGAATGTACTAACATTGGTCCAATCTAACTCACCAGCAAGGGCATTCCCAATATTATTAAGCTCAATGTTATCCTTTAAATTGGGTACGATTTCCCTTAAGTCCGTCAAATACGTCTTATAACCTAAGATACAACTGGCAATACCCCCAAGACCAGTTCCTGATCCTAACTCCAACACAGGGCTTCGGAGGTACTGTTTTTCGGAGTTAAATGTAATTAACCGTTGTGCAAGTATTAAAGAAGAACCCCAAGTCTTAAGTCCTAAGTTATCACTGGTAAGGGTAGGTTCTTTAAGTCTAATTACATCATCAACATGGAAGGCCTGCAAGCCATTGATGACAATTTTTCGGATAATCTCTGGCTGAGCCGTTCTTCCGCAGCTTTCACTTATTCTTAAAGACGCTTCCTTCTGCAATGCACTTCGGAACAATTCATTATCGATCCATGCTAACTCCGAGGAAACTATACGAGTCATGTACGAAAAATATCCTTCGGCATAGTTATTCCGAAGTCCTAATGCAAATGCAGGTAAACAAGCAAGCCTACTAACTGTGTTTAGACGAGGACATCGAGTCTCTAACCATAGTAATGCTTCATTGACCATCAGTTGGTCTAAACCTTTCTCTGTGAAAACCGTGTTTGCGTCTACCTCAATCTCATTATCAGTTGTAGGAGAAGAAGGACCAAAGTTCAATGTCTCGTTCGGAGCTAAGAGTTTCAAGATAACCATCAATACCACATATGGAGGTTTCGATCTTATGACTGGCAAATCAAGTATATGTATTGGTGCATCTAAATCATCATCATCATCACTATCATCATCACTCTCGTTAAGATCACCTTTTGCTTCATAGCTGTCATTATAAAAGTACTCGCCTGGTTCGTTCGTATATTTCTTAACAGGACTGAATAGCGATAACGGATCAAATGCCTCCATCCCGCTCTAATCAAATCTACTGGTTCCTTACAATACATGGAAAGATGATCTTCATATACTCACATACATTACATACAATTTTCATACCGGCATATAACACAACCATAATTGGTGTTCGGGTGTCTTAATTCTAGCATTAACAGTTCTAAAAGTCAACGACTCTTCCGTTAAAAGTCCATTCATCCTTGGAATAACGTTGAGGATCCTGTTTGGGACCACCACGTTCTCCTGTTTTAGGGTTTACGTCGCCTTCAAACTCCGGGATGATCTTCAAAGATTGGAAACCACCGATATCTGTGGTATTTACTTTAGGAGTTTCTTCCACTGTACTTTCGGTATAGCCCTTGCTTTCCATCTGGGCATTATATTCATCTATGGCAGCTTGGGAGTTAGCGATATGCTGCAACCTCTCAAACTCTTCCTGTTGCTCTTTAGGCAACCGGGGAGGTCCCGGAGTATATTCCGTTGAGAGTTTGATGCTGTAGAACCTTGCAGGAGTCGCACGCAAGTGTCTTGGTAAGGAAGTCCACCGGATCATTATTAGCACCGAGAAGATAGAAGGAACAATTATGTTAAGAAGTACATTTACTATTGATTCATGGAAAGCTGGGGATCTTTTTTTTTCCGGTGTGAATGCGAGAGCCACCCTGGACTTATGTGCAGTACAATATAAGCTATGCTTCGGGATAACTTTTAAATCCTATTGGTATTGGTAAGTCCTCTAATACCGTTACTTCAACCCTATCGAGATGTTTCCAACACGTCCTCCTAAAATTGAGGATATAGAAGGCGGTAATGCATCGTGGGAGGATGTAGATAAGCAGGTTTCGTATGATAAGCACCAGCTGAAATGGGTATTTGAAGCCGAGGATGGAGAGTACTACTATGATTACCAGCAAGATAAATGGGTTCCCAGTAACGAGCGCAAACGGAAGCACAAAGATAATGAATCTGATAATGAGTCTGTTGCAGAGAAGGAGAATCGTGAGATCATCAAACGGATCAAGAAGGAACGACTAGCAGAGATGAGGGAAGAGATCAAGCGTCTTAAAGCAGCTGCAGGAGGGACAGGTGGAGGTTATGGTGGTGGTAGTTCTGGTTCTGATGTTGAAGCCAGTTCTTCCTTAGCGGTCTATGTGACTCAGCTACCTGTGGATGTGACTGTTGATGAGCTTACTGAAACGTTTGAGAAGTATGGAGTGATTAGAGAAGACATAAAAGGTGAAAAGCGAGTTAAATTGTACTATGACGAAGAAGGAAGGTTCAAGCGAGAAGCCTTGATTATCTATGTGAATGGAGCGAGTGCTCAAATGGCTATAGACATGCTTAATGGGGTATACTTGCGTGGACCAGTGCGAGATAAGGAACCAATTAACGTACAGTTTGCACGTCTGAAGAAGGAAGATAAAGCCAAAGTGCAATTATCGGAGGAGGATAAGCGGAAGCTCCAAATCCGGAAGCAAGAGTTAAAGAGGAAGCTTACAGATTGGGACGATGAAGACAATTCCAGAATAGAAGATACAAAGAAGAAGATATTGGCCAAACAAATAGTTATCAGCAACATGTTCCGGAAGCAAGAGCTTAAGAAAGACTCGTTGTTGGAGCAAGACATCAAGGAAGACATTCTTGAAGAGTGTCAAGCCATGGGAATCTCATTGGACTTGAATAAGATCACTGTGTATGACGAGAGTGGAGTTGTGGTGGTTAAATTTCACGACACTCAACTGGCTAGCCAGTGTTTAACACGATTCAACGGTAGATACTACGATGGGTTAGAGTTAGCAGTGAGTACCAGCACTGGGGAACGGTACAACCGTAGTGAGGATGCTCAGAGTGAAGAAGGAAGGTTGGAGTCGTTTGGGAAGTGGATAGAAACTACGGAATAATAAACGGTAAAAACTTTCATTCATTCGGATTATTCTACGTCGTAATATACGAGTATAACTCAGGTACTGCTACAATATGTGCGTACGTAAGTATGTACGCATGTATGTATGGCAGTGCATTTTAAGTAGTGATTATATGCAGTACTAAATTCATAGTATGACATCCAGCTTTTGAGGGTGTGTGATCAAATGGTTTGACCACCACCTTCTTCTTATCAACACATGTCGTCTTCGTATATAAACCAGGAACATCCTCGGGGCCGATCCAAGCTTCCGAAGCCAATGTCAAACCCGACACTATCACAAAGACGGTCCAAGACCAAGGGCCAGACGGGTTCTTATTCCATGACAGTTGGAAGTGCTAATATTGCCAATAATGCTAGTAATGAAGCACACGGCTCTAGCTCTAGACCGTCATTAAACCGGTCAAGATCTTCCGACGGAATAGCCAGACCCAAAGGTTCAGGGATCAGACGAAATCATAAGTCGTTGACCAAGTTATCGTCTGGTCTCCAGCCCCTCACCAAGACGCAATCTAATCCAATACTTCGGACGAGTAAGTCCAACTCGTCGCTCCATCGGAACGGGAGTGGGACGCTTCAACCGCTCAGCGGTCTTAAGAGCAACGCAAAGAGGAAAGCCATCTTGAAGTTGAACGATGACGAGAACGACGACGAATACGAAGACGTTGATAACGGTACCAGTACCGGTAACGGCAATGGCAATGACATGTCGTCTAATGACGAAGGATACAATCTCCAGGATGCAACTGACACGTTATCAAGAATAAGTGAAGCTGCGTCTACTGGCGTTCCAAAGCTTCAAGACGACAACGACAATTCACTGTCGAGTGAGTTTATCTCCACACAGAGCTCTACTGACGACTTTAACTCCAACAAGAATAACCTTTATGGAGGCTCGCTTTTACTTTCCCAATCCACAGGTTTACTCAAGAAGCTCGAACCCAAGCCCATAGTCCCCAATGAAGGTGGGGGAAAAGAGCAGTCCAGCACCAATGACTCTTCGTTTGAATACGGAAGTGTTAGTGGGATTTCATTCAAGGCAAACCCTATCACCACCACAGTTGCTGCGCCAGAAACCAACAAAACCAACTCTTACCAACCCAATCAGACCATCATCAACAACTTGAAACGAACAAACTCCCAGTACAAGAAGCAACAGCAACAATCTCAACAATATCAGCAACAGCAGCATGTTCAAGAAGGAGGAGCCCCAAGACCACAGCCGGTTGTAGGGGGTCATGTTTCTGATTTCAACTTGAATGGAGGTGCCAATGATTTTCAGGACTTCTTAAAGAGTGATGATACCAACGTCAATAATAGTAATAACGTTACAGGAACAAGAACGCAACAGAAGCTATGGCTCCAAAGAGAAAACTCGTTAATGGATGTGTACAACACTACTAACCCCAATAATACCAACTTTATGAACTTGAATAGTTTCAGCAGCTCATCGTTCCGGAATAACCCCAACTTGTCCACGCTTTCACTCAGTAACCTCATGTTTTCACACCAAAGCACAGCCAATTTGGCCTCCGTCAACGTTAATAGCAACAACCAAAATGAAGTGTTCAGAGGAGGCCCGTCCTCCAACAACAGCAATAGTAATAATACTGCTAGTCACGGCCAACTACCAACACCTGGTGGCCGACATCACGACAACGATATATATACTGGAGCGAGCTCGTCTTCTCAACCATCTACTCCAGGACTGTTACAAAGCAACCCTAACAGTGTCAACGGGCTTTTACAGATGCTACAGAATAACAGCATCACCAACTCCATACATGCCCGAACTGAGTTTGAAAGGATGAACAGAGAGTACTTGAACGTGAGAAGACACCTTAACCCCATTGGGGAGGGCCTCAAGCGGATGGAAACGATTAACGAGAGTAACGGGGACATCAAAGTCACCAAAAGAACACAGAGAAACAACGTGGGTGGTGCATCGTCGTCGTTACTTTCCAAAAGCACAGCAGCCAATAGCAAGAAGTTTCTACAATTTTCCCCTGTGTTCAATGAAGATGAGGCTTCCAAATTGGTGAACAAGCTCTGGCAAGAAGCTTTGATATCGAATCTGCATACTGCCCAGCAGCAGCAGCAGCAACAACAGCAACAACAGCAGCAGCAGCAACAGCAGCAGCAACAACAGCAACAACAGCAGCAGCAGCAACAGCAACAGCAGCAACAGCAACAGCAGCAACAGCAACAGCAGCAACAACAACTACAGCATCAACCGGGTGCTTACAATGTCCAGGACCAAAGAGGCATCAGACCAAATGGATATCGATATCAGCAGCTTCTGCAACAGCAACAGCAGCAGCCAGCACCAATGACCAGGAAACTCATTTCTGCGGCCGCCCAGGCCCAGGCCCAGTTCAAAAGAAGCGAAATATCGTTATCGTAGAAGCAAATTACAGGATGAGGTAGGCTCGGATATAAGGAAACAGATAAGATTATAGTATTAACTATGTACAAGAATGAAGAACGACATAATACGACATAATGACTAAGCTTGTCTCTGCTTGTGCTTACCGTTGGCCTTACAGTAAACATATACCTTCCCCTTTCTCCGGACCATGTAGCATTCCTTGCACATTTTCTTTACTGATGTCTTTACCTTGAAGGTCCGTATGGGGTTGAATTGGGTGATGGCTATGCGGGGGATTTGGCTGAGACCAGCGTTGAAGGTGTTCGAAAGGAGCGGTCTAGACGCAACCAACAGACGTCTGATGCTGTTTGTGAACCGTAACATATGGAAGAGGTAATCTATAATTAGTGCTTTGTTGTACTATAAGTTGACTTTGATTTAGGCGTGCCTAAAATTTTCACTTGTAAATATTATGTTTGTCGCGTGCTTACGTAATACAATACGACATTGATGTATCTGGTAGCACCAACATTGACACGACTCAGTTTTTTCAAACTAAAATCAACAAAGGTTGGTCGACATAACCACTTTCTTCCTTATCACCGATCATGTCAACGCTGTCTTATAAGAAGCTGGACGCGTACTCCACTTCCGGCGACTTGCCGGACAAGATGAGCGTTTTCCAGAAATGTCTCCAAGAGTTCAATGCATCGCCCATCAACGCTAAGAAATGTCGTCAGTTGTTAGCCATGTTACTCCGGTTGATCTACAACGGTCAAGCGTTCCCCTCTCAGGAGTCGACGACATTATTCTTTTCCATCTCCAAGTTGTTCCAACACAAGGACGAGTCGTTGAGACAGTTGGTTTATTTGACCACCAAGGAATTGGCAGCCACTTCCCAAGATATCTTGATGGTTACTGCCTCCATAATGAAGGACATTCAACAGGGGGATATGATATATAAACCTAATGCTATTAGAACGTTGTCTAAGATCTTGGATGCCACCACCGTGTCAGCCTCCGAAAGGTTGCTTAAGAATGCTATTGTTGATAAGAACCCCATCATTTCGTCTTCTGCTTTGATTTCGTCTTATCATTTGTTGCCCATTGCGAAGGACGTAGTCAAGAGATTAACTAATGAAACTTTGGAAACCATCCAGAGCACAAAGTACTTCCCTCCTAACCAATACCAATTGCACGACTACTATGCCACCAATAACACCAACTTGCCCTCGACTTCGTTCATGTACCAATACCATGCTCTTGGGTTGATCTACCATTTGCGTAAGCACGACAAGATGGCTCTCATGAAGTTGATCACGTCGTTGTCGGAAAACAACAGTTCTTCGTTGAAGAACTCGTTGGCGGTCATCCAATTGATCAGATACATCAATCGGATTCTTGCTGATGACGAAGGGATGATTAATGTGTTGTATCCAATCTTGTCGTCTTTCCTTAAACATAAGAGTGACATGGTGGAATTGGAAGCTTGCAAGACTTTGATAGGATACCAACATTTACTTAAAGATGATCAATTTATGCAAATCATTGGCACTTTACAGAAATTGTCTTCTGTTCCAAGAACGGCTACAAGATTTGCTGCTATCAGATTGATCAATAGAATTGCCTTTAAACATCCAGAGAAAATTATGGTTGTCAGCACGGAATTGGAAGATTTGATTGAAGATTCCAACAGATCCATTTCAACCTTAGCTATCACCACTTTATTAAAAACAATGGGTGCTGGTTCTATTGAGAGTAGTTCTGGAGTTGACGGTGGAGAAAATGTGGACAGATTGATTGCTAAAATGACCTCCTTAATGGATGAAATCACTGAAGATTTCAAGATTGTGATCATTGAGGCAATTGAAAACTTGGCATTGAAATTCCCCTCTAAATATAAAAGATTGGTGAAATTCTTGAATGATTTGTTAAGAGATGATGGTACTTTGGAATTGAAAACTTCCATTGTTGGAGCATTATTTGATTTACTTAAATTTTTACCTGATGCTGAAGCTAAGGAATTGATCTTGATGAACATGTGTGAGTTTATTGAAGATTGTGAATTCACAGAATTAACTGTTCGAATTTTATTTACCTTGGGTGAAGAAGGACCATTAACTTCCAAACCATCTTATTATATCAGACATATTTATAACAGATTGGTATTGGAAAATGCAATTATCAGATCTGCAGCTGTTGTTTCATTATCCAAGTTTGCTATTCAATGTGGAGGTGAAGTTTCTGATAACATTCGAATTCTTTTAACTAGATGCTTAAATGATTCAGATGATGAAGTTAGAGATAGAGCTGCTTTGGCTGTGAAATTCTTGGATAGTAAACAGAAGAAGTTATTGGTTGCTGATACACAATTTGATTTAGGAGCCTTAGAACGTAAGTTGACCAACTATTTGAATGATGAAGCCAATTTCAATGTCCAATTTGATATTTCTGAAATCCCTATAATCACCAAGGAAGAATTAAAATCATTAGAATATCAAAAGAAGATCAACAGATTAGATCAACCTGTTCATGAAACTGTCAGTGATGAAGAAATCGGTGATAACAATAATAAAAAGAACAAGAGCACAGAAAGTGGTGAGAATTCTGATAGTGCTACAAATGAATTATTGAAACAACAAGAATATGCCAATGAATTGAGTACTATTCCTGAGATTGCCGAATACGGCATATTAACCAAATCATCGTCTACTCCAATCTATTTGACTGAAAAGGAGAATGAATTTGTGGTTAATGTTGTCAAACATTGGTTTATTGACTCTGGGAAATTGGTATTACAATATAACATCACCAACACATTACCTCGTTCAGTATTAGAGGACATTACGGTGATTGTTCAATCCGACAATGAAAGTTATGTTGAAGAGTTTGTGATCCCATTAGATAAATTGGGACCTGACCAAACAGGAACCGTTTATGTTTCCTTCTCTATTCCATCTATAACTGAGGAAGACAGTGACATTCTTTGTGCCTTTGGTAACACCGTGGCCTACACCAACAAGGACATAGTTGATGACGACGGAACCGTTGACTCTGAAGGATGGTCCGATGAGTATCAAATTGATGATTTAGAAGTTGAAGCCGGAGATTTCATAACTCCGTTATACAATTCCAATTTCACCAGTGTGTTTGACCAGTTGCCCAATGCGGTTACTTCAGTTGTTGCCGTGAGCAACTGTCGTACTATTGAGAATGCCGTGACCAAATTAAAAACCATATTAAACATGATGCCCTTGGATGGCTCGGACTTTGTGTCCAGTGACACCAAGAACCACCAATTAAGACTATTAGGTAAAGATACTTGGGGTGGGAAGGTTGCCTCGCAGATAAGGTTGGCCGAGACCGGAGGTAAGGTTGTAGCCAAATTTGAAGTCAGATCCGAGACCTCCAACTTGGGCACTTATATACTCAATGGGTCATTCTAATTGTATCTAAATATATATACTATTATCTGTATTGTCTATGTCTGTTGTAGTCTGTGTCTGTGTCTGTGGGTATGTCTGTCTGCTATATCTTTGTCTGCTTGTTTCTCAAGTACTTGTACAACAAGCCACCGGAAGAATACACCACTAATGCCGATAACAATATAAAGAGAAAGATCCAGATCACCGCCAAGTTATTCACTTGAGGAGCCGTAGGACAAGCATGATGGCTTCTAACCTCAAAGAAGTAACTGCAGTCGTGGGCAGACCCAATGTACGAGACATGAGCTTTAGATAAGATTTCTCGGTCGCAGGTGAAGGTGATAATGGTTGATCTTCTGACCCTTTCGCCCGAGTCTTTGTGGATTAAACTGTCACAGTACGAACCATTGGTGTAGGTAAGCACCAACTTCTTTCCCTTGAACGTTGGCTTGGTCGAGAACTCCCCCAAACTGATGTACTTCTCCAACTTGGGGTCGTAGTAGTGCGCCCCCACTTGCGACGAGGGGAACCCGTCCACAATGTCGTGTTCCTTCTTGAACGGTGTCGAGCAGATGCCCAAGGTAAAGTTCCTGTGCTTCTCGTACCCTCGCGTGGTGAACCCTACGGCCTTACCGTCGTTGCCTAAGGCCGATATGCCCCGGAGATCAATGAACCCTTGGTTAATGGGGTGTAAGACAGTGCACGGGTCTAAGATCTCAGCATACTCCGGAGTATTGTCGTTCTTAGCGTCATCTCCTGCAACAGCAGCAGGAGCTGCTGCTCCTGAACCGGAATCTAACCCCCCAGCCTTAGGACTTGAGCCTGATACAGAATCGGTACCTGGATCCTTTGGATCTGAATTGGCGCCGGAGCTGAGGCCGGGACCGGTGCCAGGCCCGGAAACATGGTCAATGTGTGCGAATCCAGAAATGGAATCTATGCTGAGAGATGAGTGTAAGATGGAGTTTCGTGGTGCTTGTTCGTGTACAAGATACAAACCTGAAAGGAACATTATCAGGATGATGCAAAGCACCGTTCTTCTATATAGCCGTGTAGCCATAATGTAGTGTATTCTGTATAGTGTGGTATATTCCAGTACAGTAGTATATTCCAGCACAGATTGTGATGAATCGAGTCGCGGTCCTCAAGATCAACAAATGTCGTAGTCAATTATGGTAAATGTCGCACTTGCTTTGTTGTTTCGCAAAATGTCGTGCGAACACTCCTATTAAATAAACCTGTCTCTTACTGAGCCGTAGCTATTACCATTACGGCTGCACTTATACAAACTAATATGGAACATTGGGCTCGCGCGGCTACAGCAGTGGGCGGTTTCGGAACAGACGCCGGTGTGGACACCGGGATCTTGCTGTTCTCGGACCCGATGCTCGGACAAATCCTCGGGTCAAAGAAGGCACTCCAGCTAATCTTGCCCTCAGCCAATGACCAGATCAGGCCTATAGTTGATCTATTGATAGCCTGTTGCGAGGGAGACATTGTCACGGTAGAGAATCGCTTACGGTCTGCTCCGTCGGATGTCAACCTGTTATATCCGAAAGGTTCCTCCGGTGTTACCCCGTTGATCTACGCCATATGTTTTGATCATGTTCATTTGGCCGACACGTTGTTGACCAAGTTCAATGCTGATCCAGACACTTTCGACACCATTGTGCACTACACGCCGCTTATGTGGGCGGTTTACTTGAACCGGCTTGAAGTGGTGAAGCTCTTGTTGAGTGTGCAAGCTGATCCATATATGGCTCCGTCAAAGGGTGGGAAGAATGCCGTTGATTTGGTGAGTCCTGCTTCGCCTGAAATATACGAGTATTTTGCTTCCCATAACATCTTTCCAAAGGGTCATGAAGACGACGAAGACGGAGAAACAGCTGCAGTTGCAGCAGACGACGGAGTTGATGCGGTTGCAGGCAACTTTCTGAAGCTTGAAGTGGACGACGCTAACCGTTCGCTTGAAGAACAATTAGACGAAGAGTTCCTCATGAAAGACCCGATCCTACAACGATTACCCGAGTTTGACTACGAGAAACTTGTACACGACGAGTTCATCAAGTTTTCAGAGGCTGATATCCCCGAGCTTTTGGACTATATCTTTGGTATTCGAACCACCAACTTATCCTATCAGCATGAAACAAAGCTCCCTGCTGCCATTGTCTTCCAGTTGATACGATATGCTCATATGAAGTTGGAGAGTCAGGAATTGACCAATTTTGTGTTTGAATGTTTCACAGGAAGACTAAGATCCGTTACCAATACTAAGTCCGGAGCTATGAATATGGCGGTAGGTTCTTCCGAAGTAGTCAACGGTGATATTGTACTTTTAAGTTATTGGCTTTCAGTGGTTGAGTTTTTACATTTTTATTTTACCAAGAGTGAGTTGTACCTAAAATATCCTACATTTCTACAAGATTTGATCAATATTGCGCAGTCAATCATAGCTACATTGTCGCTTTCTATAAATTCCCGACTCGTGGATTTGGTGGATGATTGTATTCTAAATTTCACCAGTCTTGTGGAGGTTTCAACCGTGGTGTACGCCAAAGATTGGAATCTTTTTGGTAAAAAGCCAAAGTCTCATCCAAGTACTTATGAAGACATCTTCAATATGCTATATCCGCCTTCAATCACCGATTTGATGAAACCTTCCCCCATCAAATACATTCAGGTGTTAGGGGCTTTGGATTATGTGCTTAAGATTCATCAAGTTGACAATTTACTTCGATTCCAAACGTTTCTGCAAGTCTTCTACTATTTAAATGCAGTGATATTCAATAAGTTGCTTTCCCAATCGAAATATTGTACGAGATCCAAGGCTATCCAGATCAGATTGAATATCTCTGCCTTGGAAGATTGGTTGCGGTCTCATAACTACAAATTGTACCAACCAGATAGAATTGGAGGTCTTAATTTGTTATTAGGAAATGAAGGCGAAGGCGTCCAACTACATAATATACTTAATGAAAATGATGATGAAGAGAATATGAAGAATCCTAATACACTTATATTCTTTTACTCATCATTATATCAAATATGTCATACTCAATTACAACCTACAATCGAGTTACTTCAATGGCTACAATGTTTCTCCCAATTAGATAATGAAGAGTCTTTGGTTAGTACCATTCGACAACTTGAGAAGCTCAACTACTATCAGCTATTTAAGGTGGTCAATAAGCTTTATAAATATGAAGTTGGAGAGCCCAAGATGCCTAAGAAGATTATAAACATTATCAAATCATTAATGAATGAACATGGAGAGAAACAAGTGAGTGCCATTCCTTTACATTACATGACTCAAAGTACGTTTTTGAACAAGGAGATTTACATATATTTGAATCCAAATTTCATCTTCAACGTGGCCTTACCCAATAAGAACGAGTTGATCACCACCTATGGAGCAGGACTTGGAGGAGTCAAGGTTTACCGAAGCAAGAAGTTCCAGCCTTCGCTTCCACTTCCGATCATCGACGATATTGATGAGCTTATACGAGAAGGAGATGAGTCCAGAGGGAATGAAAGGAGTTACAGAGAGAACAGAGAAGAAGAGGATGAAGAAGAACATACTGAAGAAGAAGAGGAAGAAGAAGAAGAGGATGATAATGAAGAGGATGAAAACAGAGAACACAATGAGGACAAATACATGGGTGATTACTTATTTAAGAAGGTTGAGATGCCCGATTCACTTGCCCATAAGACATGGGGCAATGATGACATTGAATCTAATCCGTGGTAAACATTAGAATTATCTATAGACTTATATACAAGAGAGAGTGTTGGATACAGCATCAAAACTGTGCTAGGATATACTGGGACCTATATATGTTATAGCATTTGGTGATGTATCGTGCTATAATATAAAACAAACAGTCTGGCAGTTTATCCCATAGTGGACAAAAAGTTGTTATTCTTTATTCTCTTTGTATTCTGGGTCTTAAGTTGTTTCTTTCTCCATCTCAACACATCCTCGGTCTTCAACTGGTCGTCCATCTTTTGAGCATCAAGACAATCCCATAACCAACTTGGATATTCCGAATCTGCCAATGCTACTGGCTCCTGGCCATTCTTTTTGATCTTCAAGTTCAAAACCGTTCCCTCTACGCAAGATGACTGCACGGCGGCCACGTTTCTTGCAACAACGGAACTACAGATCCGTCTTTTAAATATCATCGACAACATCTTTGGAGTGGTATATGTGTGTAAGTATATGTGTTCGGATATATGCAAGAGTATGGAGGGGTACATACATGAACATGGGTTAATTTTCATGCTAAGCTTAAAATTCACTTGCAGAATTCTGAATTTTTCCATATCGATAAGCACACGACCATAAAATTTTTCAATCTAAAGCTTATACCAACAATGTATTACTATGGGGGAGTTGTTCTGTTCTTCTTCTTTCCTCATAGTAAATTATAAATATGCCACCAAAAAAGAAGGTCGTAGATGAGAAACCCATCTTATTGGGACGTCCCGGTAACAACTTGAAGTCCGGGATTGTGGGGTTAGCCAATGTTGGTAAATCCACCTTTTTCCAAGCCATTACCAGATGTCCATTAGGAAATCCAGCCAACTATCCATTCGCCACCATTGATCCGGAAGAAGCCCGAGTGATTGTTCCATCTGCCAGATTCGAGAAGCTTTGTGAAATGTACAAGCCCAAGAGTGAAGTTCCAGCCTTCCTTACACTTTACGACATTGCCGGATTAACTAAAGGTGCTCATAAGGGTGAAGGTTTAGGAAACAATTTCTTGGCCAACATTAGAGCTGTTGATTCTATTTTCCAAGTCGTGCGTTGTTTTGAAGACTCCGATATCATCCACATCAATGACGAGGTCAACCCTGTTGCCGACTTGGAGATCATCAAGGACGAATTGAGATTAAAGGACATTGAGTTTGCCCAAAAGCATTTGGAAGGTTTGGAAAAGATCACCAAGAGAGGAGGTCAATCTTTGGAAGTCAAGAAGGCCAAGGAAGAAGTGTTATTGGTTCAAAGAATCATTGACATGTTGGAAGAAGGTAAGAGAATTGCCAACCAAACTTGGACCATGAAGGAAGTGGAAACCATTAACACGATGCTTTTATTGACAGCTAAGCCTTGTATCTATTTGTTGAATTTATCCGAAAAGGATTACATCAGAAAGAAGAACAAGTGGTTGGGTAAGATCAAGGAATGGGTCGACGCAAACTCTCCTGGTGATGTCATCATTCCTATCTCCGTCTGTTTGGAAGAAAAGTTGTCTCATATGGAAACCGATGATGAAAGAGAAGCCTACTGTAAGGAGATTGGTGTCCAATCAGCTTTGCCCAAGATCATCACCACCATGAGAGCCAAGTTGGATTTGATTTCCTTCTTCACCTCTGGTGCTGATGAAGTTAGAGAATGGACCATCAGAAAATGGTACACTGCTCCTCAAGCTGCCGGAACAATCCATACAGATTTGGAAAGAACCTTTATCTTGGCCGAAGTTATGAAGTTTGACGATTTGGTTGAATATGGCGATGAAAAGTCTGTCAAGGCCGCAGGTAAAATGATGCAAAAGGGTAAGGATTATTACGTTGAAGATGGTGATATCTTGTACGTTAGAGCTGCCGAAGGTAAAGCCCGTTAAGCCTCAAATGTGTATAGTATAATTTCATTTCCTAAACCTATCATGTAAATCTGCAGGACTAGTGTTGCAGGGGAAAATGTCAAAATAACAAAACAAAATCTGTTTTGTAACCCGTCATGCAACACCATGACACAGAAAATATGGATTAAATTATACGACTGTGCCTACTTTTAGCTAGATCAATGTGTCATTGGATACGTTTTTTTTCACTTCAGATGGATTAATGTGGGATTTATTAAATGATCCTTAAGTAATTTTTCAACATATATTTATCCGACTGCTGCTACACCCTGCTGCTGCATCACATACGTCAAACGCACTGCAAGTATACACTATCACCACAGGGCCAGACATGAAGGTTAGCATAAAAAGGATTTTCCGGCTATTATTTCTTGCAACATTATGTTCTACTATAAGTCTACTACTATATCTACACCAGGAGCCATCGATCGAGTCTATGGATGATCGAATAGCAGAGTCCAAGTTTGATCCAGCCAGTTTCAAGCGTATTGATCTTCGGACACGCAGGAAGCTCCACTACTCCAATTATGTTAGTGACTATTACCTAGGTTTCAAGTCGACTGTTCGGGACATGGAAGAGCTTCGAAAGAAACCCTTGGATGAAAAGTGTCAGGAATTTTTTGAGGATTTCGATAAGAAGTATCCTCAGTTTGAATATACCATACCGAGAGATTGGATGTTCGATAAGGGAGTGTCCAAGAAGAAGACCTTCTTTGACATTGAATACAATCGTATGAGATTGGAGAACGATGGAATTGAGTTGGAACGAACAACTGAGCTCAATCACCTGATAAGGGAAAAGTATGACAAACGAGTTGAAGATACTTACCAGGCCACCAAAGAGATGGCAGAAATGTCAACTTTAATGAGGGCATATGGGAAATGCTTTATTAACACTAACGGAAAACTGATGAATGATAAGCAGAAATCCCTTTATGATCACATGACCCTGAAGCTCTTTCCCTATTTCAATGGTCTAGATCTTGTTAGCTATGAGACCATTGACAATTCCAGTCAGTTGATCCCATTAGATGGTTATCCTGTTTATGGAGGTGCCGGAGAAATTATCACCACCATTCCTAAAGGGAAGAATAATGAAAATATAATGGAGACAATCCTAAACAATACCAACGGGAAGGGTATAGCCATTGTTGCATCCAACAGACACGGACGAGACATTATCAAATTGTTGAGGGTTCTTCGGGCTATGAACAACACCCTTCCTATCGAGATCATCTATAACAACGACATAACCCAAAGAGTCAAGAACAATATCATTGCTTCGGCCACGGTTGGGCCAAACTTGCTATTAGACCCGAATAAGTCAGGCTCGTATATCAGTGTCTACCCTGATCTTGACCTCCTCAAAGCCAGTAAGGAGTTCGGGTCTCAGTTCCCTATACAAAAAGTCACCTTTGTTGGGTACAGAGAGGCCATTAGACATTCGTACCGAGCCAAGTTTAAAGGCTATTACAGCAAAATCATTGGTCTCTTGTTCACCACGTTTAAGGAAGTGGTTCTCATAGATGCTGATACCATCCCATTCGTTGATATGAAGGACTTGTTTGAACTTGAAGACTATAAGCAAACCGGATCATTGTTTTTCCGAGATCGAGCTCTACGTGATACCAACGACTTTATAGAAACCAACTTCTTCGCCTCGTTGTTCCCCACCAAAGACCAGGACTCCTTGGAGCAGTTGTTGGAGATCCCCACAGTCACCAACAAGACTTTGGCCAACACCTATATGACAGGATATAGACACCAGCAGGAGGCCGGAATGGTCATCATGGACAGAGTGAAGCATTTCAAGGGCATCTTGATGATGCCTACGATCGCCCTAACGGGTGAAGCCATCCGTCTGTCTATCTGGGGTGAGAAGGAGATTTATTGGCTTGGACTCTCAATGGCTGGAGACGAGGCGTATGCCTTCAACAAATATGCTGCTGCTTCTATTGGGTCGTTATCAAGCAATGACCATACTTATTATCCTAAAGATCCACAAATACATGAAGTATGCCTGTCTCATCCAGGTCACATCTATAAGGACGGGAGACTTTTGTGGATCAACTCAGGGTTCAGTTATTGTAAGAAGAATGGGTCTCTCAGAGACTCCAAGATCTTCCCCTTGAACACCATTGATCCTGCCACGGTGGTGAATCTTTATAGTTCACCAGTTAAGATCAGCCATGGAGTGGTTCCACCTGATTTGCCCCCACTAAGACTGAGTGACGGACAACATCATATCGATTATAACCATGAAGAGACCTTCATTCAGTCGTGGACCCACAGAGCGAAGGACATAGACGAGGTGGACGACACCGACAAAACACCCCGAATCAGCGATTGGATCCCTCAAAAGGGCTGGATCAAAAGTCCAATGTGTTCAGGCTATTACTATTGTGCTTATGACCAAATAGCGAGCTATTCCAACGATAACACAAGAGATCAAGGTGCCTATTTTGAGTTTCCCCAGGAGAAAGTCGACCTCTATGACTTTCTAGGTAAACTATGGATGACCGGTGATGCTAGATTAACTTAGGGCATTTCACCAGCTTGCTAATGATATAATATTAACCCCACTATAGAATATAAAATAAATAAGTATAATAAATAAATAATAAATATAATAAACAATATTCCGAATTGTCTAGTAATAATAGCAGCTTATATGCATAATTCATAATTGTATTGTCTTGTCTTGGGTAATGCCGATGGTAACGATATCTGAAATTCTTTTATTGCCGAACTCATTATGGCATCGTTCAATTGACTTGCTGCTTGTTCCATTAAAGCCAAAAACGCTGGCTCATCTTCAATATGAAACTCAAAGCCACGGAAATGAATAGCCTTGGATCCTAAGCCATGAGTCACAATGAAATTGAGCATGTCTCCACGATTAAGGAGTGTCAATAGGTGTATAAGCTTCAGAAGAACTTTTTCGTCCAATACCTTATACTTTGTACCATGAATAAAGCTAAAGAGCTTCTCAAGCTTCATATTGATCTTGGGCAATGAAGTCTTATCTAAAAGAGCACAATTAATTAACGTTTGGATCATCAGAGAAACCAATTGAGGAGTTTCATGCATAAACGGAGACCCTCTATAAATTTCAACCATTCTTTTAGGCTCCAAAGTTAAAAGGCGACTTCCAAATAAAACCAAATCGTCAAAACATTTATCTTTTCCTTGATAAATCTGGTTGCTCAAAATCCTTGATAACATAAATATCTTCCTGGTGAACAATGAAGTCGATTCAACGGAGCTCAAAGTATCTAAAATTGTCTTGTATGATCCACTAACAAGGTAATGCATTGTAACCATTTCCAAGAACTCAGGATTGACTTTGAGATAATGTGAAACAGATTGTTTCGTAAAATACTTCGCAAGTGTTTCCTTAGATTCGTCAATCTTGAAAATGAAAATTAAGCTCTTAAGATACCGAGTTAAAAAAATCAATTCATCTTCAGTGTATTCGGTCTTTGATTCAAATAGCAACTTGTTACCCTTAACAAGCTCAACAAATGATTCAGAATCTAAAATAGAACTCAACTTGTTAACCCATTTCAAGGTTTGGTTGTACTCAAGAATCGTATTAATGTTGGCAGCAATCTCCTTCTTCAAGTGTTCCGTAGTCTTACTGCTTAATGTATCAAACACATGATGAACCAAGTCATCATTTCTCAAAAACGCTGGATGTTGAAACAAATATTTCACAACCCTGGTAATAACATGATCAAGACGAAGTGCTAAAAGGGAAGCAATCAAGTCATTCTTGACAACATCGCTAAAACTCAGCTCCAAGATTCTTGCTGTCACATCATAGGTATCAATAGGAAGATCCTCATATCTATTGTTGATGATAATAATCCATGTTTCATAATTGAAGTTATAACCTTGTTCAAACAACTCAACAAACCGTTGTACTCCAACACGCATACTAGTATGCAACAAGAAACATAAATTAATAGTATGCCATGAGTTGGTGAACTCCATTTGGTCTGGTGAAGAATTAACGGATGATGTTGGGTCTTCCAAGTCCAAATTCAAACCAGCATATTGCATTTCATGAGTGATATGAACCACAGCAGAGTTATAGTTGTTAACAAAGTACTTTTTCATTTGTTCAACAAACAAAGAGACCTCATCATCAACAGCCAAATAGTGGTTATCAGAATCTTCAAACTTATTAATCATCGTAGCAACAAGATGCAACATTCTATGGTCATTGGTATTAGTGGTAGTTGACATTGCCGATTGTAATAGTTTCATGATGCCATAAACGTTATTGGCTTGTAAATCGCAATTAGTCACTGCGTTGTTTACGACTTGAGAATCAAGGATTCTCTTGGTGGAATTGAATTGGATATCTGGGGATTCAAGAACCAAATAGCCCACAATTTCCAGAAGAAATGAATTCAAATCTGTAGGGTTTGATGAATAATGTAATGCTTGATCTTCAAGTAAATTCCAAAGTAATTCATTATAGTAAGAATTGCTATTGATCTTGGAACCATTAGCCAAATATTGACACAACTTCTCTAAAATTGTCAAATCTTGAATGATATGGTTCTTGAGTATAATTTCCTTCAACAACTGAAAGATCTTTTCATGATCACCCAAGTCCAAACTAAAGGAAAGTAAATAATCACGACATGAGATCTTCTTATTATTAAGAACAATGGAGACCACATCAAATGGTTTCTGCTGGCTCTGGTAATCCTTTCTGATAGCCAAATGGTTATATAATTTCCATATGATGTGATAATATTTCAATTGGCTTTGTTGAACCTTGTAAACTTCACTTTCGGAACCAGGACCACAACTATTTAACTTTTGAGCTTCTAAACGAGTGTAATAGGAAATGAAACAATTGATCATTTCATTATATAATTCCACAGATAATTCAGGCAAATAAGCAACTGAATTGAATTCCTGTAAAAGATTGTAGGACCGATACAAATTCTTAAAGGAACCATCAATGTTTAATAGGGAAATTAAATACGTTGATAACAACTTTGAAATTTGACTTTTAGAAGGCTTATCCACAGAGTTCAAGCTTTCTTTGAAATCTACTAAGATTTGATCCAAGAATTTCGTGGCCAACAGGACATTACCATTTTCAATCAAAGATTGTACCAAACTTGAATAGACATCGTATTCATTTTGAATCAAGTGATCATACTTTTGACAATGTTGTTGATAACATTTATAACTTGAGATTATAAATTGGAACAAATCATCATTGGTATCGTTGAAAACCTTCAACTTACCGAAATATTTGGTTAATCCAAGAAACCCAACGTGATATTCTCCGTTAGCAACAAAATTTCCATCTTTTAAGTCGAACAACAAGTCGAGAAATTGTTTGGTAACAAGATTAGGATGATAATTCATTATTATTAATAAATTGGGTAAGATTTTGTTCAAATCCAATTGATTTGCCTTGCTCTTCACGGTTAATAATAAATCCAAACCAATTTGACTAAATTCTTGTGACTTATAAAAGGAATTATGATACACAAACTGAGGTGTATTGGATTGGTTCCCCAACTTGATGGCATCCAAGGCTCCTTTCAATAAACTTCCAATAACAATGTTGTAGGTATCAATAGAAGGTCTTAACCCCGATTCCAAGAGATCTTGATATACCAATAATAAGGTGGTAAGTCTGTTTTCCACACACGCGAGTCCTCCACAATTGTTATCCAAGGATCTTCTTTCTATAGAGTCAAGAACCATGTTATAGTAGTCGACGGAAGGTAATGGGATCAGGTTTCTTTTGAGGGCTTGATACAAGGGATAAATCAAGTTTAGGTCTGCTGTTTTGTCGTTGTAGATGTTGTTGATGTTGGATAATTGAGTTTGGAGAAACGACGATTCGAAGGAAACTGAAGGAACAGAAACAACATCACCTATATCGGCAGCTGAAGGCACAGCAACAACTTCAGCAGCAGCATCAGTAGCAGCGATGACATCAGCAGCAGCAGCTCCTGGTGCACCACCACCAATCTGCTTAACCTTGCCCGAATGATACGCTCTAACAGAACTCACCAACTTCGAAGGGTTGATAATAACAGACATTAATCTTTGAGATACACTACTTATAGTAGAATGAATCTCCTGATTGGCTCTAGCAATGCCACTACTATAATGACGACTACTACTAGTAATAATATTGTTAATCCACCTTCCCTCCTGTTGCTTCAACTGTCTTCTATAGGTCGACTCATATTCGGATTGGACCTTCGACTTCAAGTACAACTGGAACAACTCTTCTCGCTTGCGTCTATGCTTTTCCGAGTCCTGATTGAACACAGTGTAATATAAGCCGTAGTGACCGGAATCAATGCCTAACTTGTTTGTATCGGGGTGCGGACCTGTCTTGTCGCCCCATCGTCTATTGAACTGTTTACTGTATACCATCAACGATGTATCATGGCCACTGAGAGGATAAGGATGCGAGCTGAAAAAGCCAAAGCCATTCTTCCGCAGCAGCCCTGATCCTGCTCGGCATCCGGACGTGTACCCCCTCCTATTGGCTCGTACCAGCTTGATAAAGTTGTCAAACATGATACTGCTTGTTGACCATCAACGCCCGCAGTACCAAGTAGATGGCAAAATGTTGTATATAAAGAAGAGTGTTTTCCTGTCTCTTTTCTCGGTCTGATGGACTTTTTTTCGCACCATTAACATTGGATTACCGGGTCGTGTGGCAACCGACGGGTCTTCGGATATCCACGGAGATCACAGATGGCAGTAGTATGTAGCCTCCGATTGTACTATGAAACTAAACCCGTGATATGTCTTTACATAAGTGCTAGTTACTATCTTTATCTCCGAAAAATAACAGTTTTTGGAAGCAGTCCATGCAGTCACGGACTATCTTGACTATACGAAGCTGCTTACCATATCGTTACCATTGGAACTGTATACATTGAATGTATATGATCTGGCCGTTAAAGAGTTGAACATGTGGTATAAATTAAGGTATAACGTGTACGGAAGTAGAGTCCAACCTATGAGTAGTAGTAGTAGTCTATGTAGAGATATCTTGAAGGTATACTACCCCAAACAGTCTTCAAAGATTAATATTGTCAACTGACTGCTGTGTTATTCTTTGAATTTCATGTACCTATTGTATTGCGTTGTATTGTATTGTACTATGTTGTACTACGTTGTATTACCCTGTATGAACATCATTGATCTGTTAGTGACAATTGGAGAACTCTCCAGAGTTCTTCATCCACTTGCTCATTCTCCTTACCCGCACCCATTGATTCCTTCAATGCCAATTCCAATTCACTTTGTTCCTTCAACGACTCTTTCAATGCCAATTCCATCTCATGATCTTCAGTGGACTCTTTAATGGCTAATGCCAACGATATTTCATTCTCACCATCCAGGAAATCACCATTGAATTCATGAATACGCTCAGAATCAAGTGATCGTTCGGTTTGGTACTGTTTAAACTCTTTCAATTCCGACTTAACATTCAATGGATTTTTGTAGTAATTATTATTATTGATATTGTTAGTGCTTTTCTTGGGACGACCAGATTGTCGTTTAGACAGCTCATAAGTAAATCGTTCCACATGGCCCCGGAACATAACTATTCCTTCAGCTTCTGTTTGAACGGGGTTTAGTTTTATATCAGGGAACACATCCGGGATTCGTTCATAACTCCGTTTGGACGGAGTCAGTGTGCTTTGGCTTAAATATCTCCCGCTTAATGCTGAATACACCAAAGTATTCCCATCTCCCATACCAAGCACAACAACCAAACTATTCAAATCCAATCCAAATATAAGTCTGGAACTGGTTGAATGTTGCAAATTCCACATTTTTGGACTCGGCTTAATCTCACATTGCCATTCAATATGCGTATGCTTACTGTCTCTAACATTCCATAAAACAACCGTCAGATCATCAAGAACATTAGCGTAGAAGAGTCCATCACCTCCTAATCTTGTTTTATCGTACATCCTTCCCTTCGGTACATGTGCTTGTAATTTCCCAAGAAGTATCTTCCTTGCCCTTTTAATGTCCCGCAGTCGTATACGAGGATGGCTAAAGTCCAGGAAATCAACTACTCGGATATAGCCATCTTCCCAAAGAACCACATTACGTCCGTCCCAATCAATATCGAACCCGGTACAGGAACCTTCTTCATTTAGCAGAGTCATTGTCGGAGTCGTACCAAAATCTATGTCTATGTCAACCTCACTAACAATTGAATGGTTTAAAACATCATAAACACATACAGAGATGTTAGTGACAATGTAAATGTATTGTGAATTCTTAGTGGATGCCAACTTCCTTATTTTACAACCAGAAACAAAATATTGATGGCTTTTGATCCCTTCAAGAGTCCAAAATGACAAACTCCCATTGTCTGTACCCACCACTATGACCCAGGGCTTCTTGGAGGAAATAATATCTTCATTAACTGCAATACAAGAGATCAGCAGCTCCAATTGACCATGTTTAATAACATGCACAGGATTGCGTAAGCCCAGCTTCAAATCTCGTACGTATACCAGTTGGTTGTCAGAAGTGAAAACAAAGTATCGCCAGGTTAAGCAAAATATCTGATAATAATCTCCATACTTCAGAGTATAGAGATGCCGTCCATCACTCAATCTACATTTATTCAATACCCCATTCATAAGCACCAAGTACTTGTTATCAACAAAATCAGCTAACACTTGATCAGCAAACTTAGTATCACTGGTAGCCATTGGTGTTCGCCCACTGCTACTAATATCAATGGTATACGAAGCATTCTTCAAGTTTGAGTTCCGCCATTTCTTCATAGTCTCCACCCGTTTAAAATACTCTATTGCATAAGTCCCACTATTGGATACCAGAGGGTACCCGTTTCCATTGCGAGTACCAAACTTCTTAGCAAAGATCATCTCCCAGCACTCTCGGTTCATAATGGCTCCGTTCCACTGCTTGCATACAGTTCGTAGTTGAAGAACTTGGTTCACTTCCAATTGGGAAAATATCTGTACCAACAACTCCGGTGGCAAGTCTTTAATACTATGTCTAGGTTCAACCAGATCGATATCTTTAACTCTGGCATCATCATCATTACCATCACTACTGTCACTGATGATGTTCCCAAGCGTATCTACTTCCACTTGGAACTCGGCTCCAACATGGGCTGCAGCTTCACCTGTCATTTTAGCCTCCTTTAGTTCCCCAAACAACTATTGTTGTTGTAGGATGACTGGAATATGACGTCTTAGTAAAGAGCACACACGGTTATTACTTTATAATAGTGTATTGGTCGTGTGCTCACCGAGAATGCTTTTCGTTCATTAACTCCCCTTACCTAATAAACTAACAAGTACTTCACTCTTCTTCTTTGCCACGAGGCGTTGAAGAAACTCGTAAGCCTACTATATGAGTTATGCATAGTGAAAAGCTTTGTATAACTGTGGAATCGACATGGTGGTATTGGATTGGGGCTATTGATATTGTTTTGATTAAAATGTGACAGGTCACATTCGGCTGCAAATTTTGAAAATCAAGCTCAATGTAGTACTATCGGTATATCATTACAATATCATATTACTATATCTTTTAGCCCATCCAATAGATCTATAATGTTCCTGTTTAGTAGAAGTACTGACCCATACTAAATCCGGCCCTAAGTTCGGAGAGGTGTGTGGGGGAATAATAGCACAAAATCGGGGTCAGTTCCAACCTTCAATAGCTGAAAATTTTTTTGGACCATAGATTACCCCAAGATCCACTCTTGTTCTTTAAAAGTCACGGTTGTTAAACAAGATACAACCATGGCAGAGTCAGAGAATGGTGATGTAAAGGCCGCTGAAGAGCAAATCAAGGTAGTTACCTTGAAACTTGCTGTTCCTGCGTTCATTACCAAGGAAGTTTTAGAGTTTCCAATTGGGTTAACTGATACTCTAGTTGATATAAAGCAAACTTTAGCTGTTTTCCCAGTGACTAAGGATTTAACTAGCTTTGAATTTCATTATAGAGATATCAATTTGACCGAATGCTTTCCTGAAGAAACGACTATAGAAGCTGTTTTTGAAGAATTGCAACTTGAAGTTGGTGATGTAATTTTCTTGCAAGTGAAGGAAAAGGCTTATAACTTGGCCGCTATTTATGATCATCTTACTCGCTTCCGTGAATCTATTGGGTTACATTTCATTGATAAGATTTCTCAAGAATTCGGTGTTGCTAGTGGTGCTTCTACCCTCAATAATTTGAACTTAACCCCAGTGAAAGAACAATCAGAACCTGAGTCTGAAAAGTCTACTGAAGAAAGTGAATCAAAGGAAAATGATGATGAAGAAAAGCCAGCTGTTTTGGAACTCTCTAAGGAAGAGCTTTCCCAGCTCAAGGATGCATCTTCTGACATTCTTAATCTTACCACTCATGGTTTCAATCTTGATCAATACGCTAAATTTGATGCTCCAACTAAGAACTTGAAGATGCCAATCAAATCGTTGACTGTCTCTCAATGGTCACCAGTTCCTGCCTTGCAACAAGCTAAAGGTGACTTAATGTACTTGACTTTACAAACATTGGAAAACGAAACTTTCAATATCACTTGCCACTATTCTGGATTTTTTGTAAACAAGTGTTCTACAATTAACTTCAATCCTGCCATTAAGGTCAACGAAAAGGGTTCTTTTAACAAGGAATTTTTATTATCCCACTTGGTGGATTCTCTTTCTCCATTATTTTCCAAAACTCTTGCCGAAAATGAAGAGACATTATCGAATGCTACTTCTTATCCAGAAAGTTATTTGTTGGAGAGCAACTGCTTTTTAGCTGCTCCATGGGTTGTGGATCCTACTACTTTCAAGAACTATCCTGATGTTTCAAGATCCCAATTACCATTGATCACCAATGGTGTTGATGGTTCTGATTACATAAAGGAATGGAATGAGGATGTTCAAACCATTCGTGAGTTGCCAACTACCACTCCAAATGATCAAATTCTTAGAGAGAAATTGCTTCACAAATCATTGCATGATTTCACTGAAGTAGCCACCACTACAGCTATCAATATTATCAAGGGTAATGTGACACCAATGAACCCTGGTGAACCCGTTAACCAACACATTTTCTTGAAGAATGGTATCTTCTACTCTTTCAATACTGAAGATGCATTTTTGTCAACTGGTGGTGTTGAAGCCGCCAGATACGCATCAGCAAAGGATTTGGCCAGTGTTAAGATTTTGAACCGAATGAACGTTTCCAGCATCTCTAACTTGGTTACTTGCATTGTTGATTACTTGGGTAAGAGAGTAATTTGTCAAGCTCCTGTTCCTGGTGTTTTATCTAGTGGAGTTGATGAAGAAGTACCTGAAGATAAAGTCGCATATGGATTGTCAACTGATGGTGAGAAGTTTGTTCAAGATAAATCTTTTGAAAATGGCTTAAAATCTGTTGCTGAAGTTTTCCACTTGAAAACCCACTCAGTTGAATTGGAAAATGGTGCCAAATCTGATGGTGATCTTTTGATCTCAAAGGATATTAAGGGTATTGTCGGTAGTGACCATAGAAAGTATATTATTGACTTGTACAGATCCACGCCCCTTGACATTGAGTTTATTGAACAAAATTGGAACGAATCTGAAGAATCAAGTTACCCTCACAAACAAGCAAGTGTTAGACATGAAGCTGTTGAGGAATGGTGGAGACGTAGTGTTTCAGCTCTCTTAAAGGAGGAAGCTGAAAGATTGGAAAAGGAAGGAAAGCTTGAGGCTAAAGAAGGTGAAGAAAAGCCTCAAATTGTCCTTCCAACTGATAAGGTTGTTTTCAATCCAGATGCATTCTCAGGTATCAATGAATCTGAACAAGATAGAGAAGACGTCAGAACCATTTCTAAGTTCATTAAGGAACATTTGATTAAAGAATTTTTGGACGAATTGCCAAAAGTTAACCCACCATTTGATGGTGGTCATTTGTCAGTCTCATTGCATAAGAAAGGTATCAACTTGAGATATCTTGGTTTTATTGCTCAAAATGCTCAAGAAAGGCTTTCTAAGACGTTGAGCTCTTTGAAGGAAACTATTAGCTTGAATGAAAAGGAAATCTCCAAGAGAAAGGAGGAAGAAGAGAAGAAGAAGAACGAAGAAAAGGATGTGAAAGAAGACGAAAAGAAGGAACAAGAAGAGGAGATTACTGAAAAGAGTTTAATTGATGTTACTCAAGTGTCCGCATCATACGAAGCACTTTACAAGACCGCAATTCTTGAAATGGTTTCTCGTGCAGTTAAGCATTTATTGCGTAAACTTTCAGCTGATCTTCCTTGCTATTTGATGCCTTCATTTGTCTCTCATTTTCATAATTGTTTGTTGGGTGGTGACGTCAACTCTACTCCTGTTTCTGATGTCGATGAAGATTTGAAGTCTTTCTTTGGTGCTAAGAGTTTGGAATATTCTCAATTGACCACTGAATCTGTCATTGATTTAGTTGAAAAGGAAGTCTTTATTCGTTACAGATTCCAATTACCAAACACATGGATCTCCGAAGTCTCCAAGTTGCATTTACTTCGTGAAATTGCCTTGAAATTTGGTATCCAATGGAAGTCACAACCTTATTATTTCACCAAGGAGGAATTTGATGCCCATGTAACTTCAGAAACCACTCAAGTAGTGGAGAACGGTTCCAAGAAGAACAATATTAAAAATAAGAAGAAGTCTTCTCAAACCATCTCTACCAAGGAAGTGTTGAGAAGCAGTACATTTGTTGCTGATGATATTGTTAATTTCACACCAGTGGTTAAGGATTCCGGATACAGAGCACGTGTTCTTGATGATATGTTTGAAACTGTTAGAGTTCATATTGCTAAGGATGAAAAGGAAGTTGCATTCCGTTATTTGGCGGAATTGATTACTGTCTACGAACAGGTCTACGGTAGAGTTAATCCCGAAGCAGCCTACTTTTATTCCAATTTGGCACAAATTTACTTTGAACTTGGTGCAATTTCTGAAGCTGCTAATATTGGAAGAGTGGCATTGATTTTGAATGAAAGAACTTATGGTTTTGATTCCCATGAAGCCATTACTGCCACCATTAACTCTGCATTCTTTGAGATTTCCAATAAGGACTTTGTTAATGGGTTCAAGCTTTACGGACAAGCAATTAAGGATTTATGCTTCACTTTCGGCACTCACCCTTCATTGGTTGTTACCTTGGCTAACATGGCAGACACTTTAGCCGGAGTTAAGGCCTATGATGAAGCCGTCTTGTTCTATGAAAGAGCAGCTGAGTTATCCATCAAGCTCAATGGAGAATACTCTTCTATCACCGGGTTAATGTACTATAGACTTGCCAACTTGTACATTACTGTCAAGAAGATCAAAGACTCTGGGAAACTCTATGCCAAGTGTGTTGATATCTTTTCTCGGGTTTTAGGACCAAGTGACACCTATACCAAGGAGTCTGTCAAATATGAAGACAACATTGCCAAGTACTTGAAGTTTTTGGACCTTCAAAAGAAGCAGACGCAACAGAGCAATAACAAACCTGTTCCCGTTAAGTCCGCATCTGGTAAGTCCGCTCCCGTTAAAGCTTCGAAGAAGAAGGGTAAGAAAGACATTCAACAAGACCCTGAATTTGCTAACAAATCTGTGGAAGAAATCTTGAAGTTTATCGAAGGTGATAAGAAGAAGTCGTCCTCGTCTTCCAAGAAGTCTAAAAAGAGATCTCTGTAAATATAAGGACCGAGGATAAAATATGTACATAGTAAAAAATCATTATCATAATAAATAAATAGATATATATATATATACATGATTTATAATTCTTTCTGTTTAAAAGAGATAACAATCTTTCTAACAAAGCTATCGTGAGTTCTTAGCTCTGCCACCAACTTGTCTTCAATGTCATTCAATTGACTAAGGGTATATTCGTTTGCAGTAGATAATTCAGCAAACACATTAATGTTTGCACCGGAGCTAAGTACAGAAAGTTCGGAGATATCAAAATCTGCGGGTTTAACATCAGTCAAGATATCTTCAACTTTATAGTACGTCTCGCTGTTTTTAGGTTCACCTTTATCGATGATCTCGTTCCAGGATGACTTGAAGGCATCGGTACCGGCCTTAACGATCAAAAATGATACCGCCAAGCCTCCTACAGAGTCCAACCATGCGACATTGAACATCACTCCACCAGCCACGGAGATAAGTGCTATGGCTGCTGTGAGGGAGTCAACTCTGTGATGCCATGCGTTAGCTACTAGCACTTTAGAGTTGGTGGCCAAGGCGACCTTCATGGTTTTGTGGTATAAGATTTCTTTAACGATGATTGAACCTCCAGCCAACCAAGCAGCATTAATATTTGGCACTTGTTGCATTGTGGTCGTGGTCACGTGATTCTGAGTGCCGCCAGTATGACTATGACTATGACTATGATGGGGATCCTCCATTCCAGGTAAATGGGTATGAGAATGGCCCAATTGGACGGATGAAAGGATGTCATAGACATTGGGAGGAATGACAAACTCTAACAAGTTCAAAAGCGATGACCATCCGACAGATATTCCAGCGAATAAAAGAGTCATACAGATCAATATGGACCCTACGGTTTCAATTTTACCGTAACCCATTGGGAAATGATCCGGAGTACCTACTTTAGCCAGCATATTGACTGTAGCCAACGTTAAGAAGTCAGAAACTAAATCGGAAAGAGAATGAAGAGCATCCGCCACCAAAGCTTGAGATTTAAAGTAGATACCACCCACACCTTTTGAAATAGCCAACACTAAGTTAACCGCAAGACCAATCCAGGTGATTCTAGCTGCCGGATTGGATAAGAACGAGCCTGTGGCCGTAGAAGTGGCCATGTTGTTTGTTGTTTCCTTCAAGAGGTCGTTTGTATGGACGTGTCCATGAGAATGGCTGTGGCCGAGTAAGCTTCCGATCCCATGGGGATGGTCATGAGTGTCAGTATGGCTATGAGAGTGGGACAGAGTCAGCGAATGACTCGGAGTCAAGTTCTGAGCCAGTCTTTGTTCTATACCCAGAGTTTGACTCAGTTCTTGACCCAGGGTCTGACTCAGTTCTTGTTGTCTGTCTTTACCATTCATGATTGAACGTCTTTGCTTTAGATCCACTGGAGGTCGGAAGAATGGAGATTTGAATCGGGGATTAAATGTTGAAGGAGGTCGTTTGTTTGCGTTAAGTGAAATCCAACGTCTACTGGAGATCTGCCGAATTGTACGTAAATGCATGTTGTGTCGTTTTCAGGTTGTTTCATACAAGAAGCGAAAAATCACTGGTATGTGTTTAGGATTTTTCTACGCGACATTCCTCAGTATATTACAGCATGGTGTATATTATGGTACAGATGACAGATACACACGGAAATAATACAACACAGTACAACGCATACAACGAAGTACTACACAATATAATACATCAATACCTATAGCATAGTGTAGTACAGCTGTATAAGAGTAGTGTACGTGTATCTCAGCACGATATGGTACAGCACAGCACAGGGCAAGCATCCGTATACAAGTATCAAACCAGTATATACCTGTAAATCATGCTACAGTTCAATACGTGTATCAGTCATTTCAATACAATTCAGTAGTGAGCAAGTAATCTAAGAGTCGGATCCAGTCCTAGTTAAGCATCGATTCAAGTAATGTAGATGCTGATGTCGGAGCAGGTGCAAGTGGATCCTTCTTCAGATCTGTTGTCCCTTCCATCACCATCTTTTTAACTCTCTCTAGTTTCTCTTCAACCAAACTCTTTTGCTGAGCCTTATATAGTAAGCCCTTTAACTTCCCACTAGGTCTTCGGGTATGCATGAAATTACAGTATTCTCTACTGCAACTCTTGTTGTCGTAGGCTCTGCAATTAGCATCAGAAAAGTTTTCCACCGGTGAAAGCTCACAGTGAACTGGTCTCCCATTGAACCAACATTGATTCAATTCAATTACTGCTCGTTGGGCAGATTCAGCATTCTTATATCTAACATAAACATTCCCATTCAAATGATAGTTGGCATTCTCACAAACAACCATTCCAGTAATCTCTCCAAACTCCGCTAGTCTTACAAAAACATCCATATAAAAATTATCAAAGAAATCTTCAACTCCTCCTTCCTTATCTGTTGATGGGCTAACATAGAAATTGGGTATAAGAATCGTACACAGTACGGCGGGCTTGAGATGTTTCCGAGAACACTTTTCCCCATGACGACATGCTCCAATCTTAGTGAAGAATGTACAAACCAGTCTGTCTTCGTTCATTGCCGAATTTAGTAATTATAAGTGTGTGCTAGAATATTATTAAGCTGCTGATGATCATCTTAGATTTTATATAATTTTAGTCACGTGACTTGGTTGGAATTGGGCATTTGCTGCAAGAGAGATTATAAGTAAATTATAATTATGTATTATAGTTGTTGTGAATAGTGCTATGAATAGTATTGTGAATATTATTACATTAACTGCTACTATCATATAGAAGAAAGTTCGAAATGTTACTAGTTTCTGCTACAATACTCATCTTAGGTGAAAAATATAGTACCACTGGACTGCCATGAAAACTATTGCAAAAAAAGATGTAGACATGGATTTGGGTACAGGGCCCAAAAAAAATACTCTTAATTAAACGTATAGACCAAAAGTAGGATAATCGATAGAAAGTCATTAAGAGACACATAAGTTACCAAAGATAAAAAAAAAGAAGCACCCCATGCGGGAGTCGAACCCGCAGCCTTGTGATTAAAAGTCACACGCTCTAGCCAATTGAGCTAACAGGGTGTGTGTTTGCTAAAATCATATTCAACTTGGACACAAGATACAATTGTCCACAATACAATTGGATACTGTATGTAAATGATAGCCCTTTTTAAGGCATAAATACGCCTGCGTAGCGTAATGGTTAACGCGTTTGACTTCTAATCAAAAGATTGCGGGTTCGACTCCCGCCGTGGGTTTTATTTTTTACGTTTGATTACGGTATTACTTTATAATACTAAAATATCATATTATATTCTCAAAGAAAAGCTAATTATTACTATTATTTTTTTGGAGTTTAAACCTTTTCCGGAAGGGTTTCCTTAGTATCTTGTGGCACGCCATTAATTGGTTCACTTCCCATATCACTGTCTTCATAGACAATCAAATCATCAATATTAGCTCTTGGACCCTTATACCACTTATGGGCATCCACGGCGAACCATATTAATGATATGAACAAGACTCCAAAGTAAACAAGACATGTCCAATTCATCATATCAGGTGTCAAATTTTTACCTCTAGCAGTTGGGAAACATAAGATTGGAATCATAAGAAGAACGAAAGCACAAGAAACCCAACCAATAGGAGTTGAGAATTTACCCAAATTCCAAGGACCAGGCTTAAACTTATCTTTAGCAACTGTGATCTTTAAAAATGTGGGAATGGTAAAGGAAACAAACCCAGCAATACCTCCTACACTAAAGATAGCTCCAATACTTGCATCACCACCAAACATTAATAATAAGAGTAATTGACCAAGGATGAAATTGATGAACACAGCATTGACTGGAGTTTGAGTCTTCTTATTAACTTTACTCCAGATACTTGAAAAGGGGAATAAACCATCTCTTGAATAAGCAAATGTAACTCTAGAAGCTGCAAGCATACAAGATTGACCCATGAAATATGATGATACAATGGTTAAGGCAGTTGCAGCCAAGGCAACTTTCTTTTCAACAACTTGAACCAAAAACGAGACATAAGGTTGCCCAAGACCCAAATCATCATTAACAATGGCATCCAAATCATATAAAGTGTAGGCAATAGCCAACATGAAAAGGAATCCAATAGCACCACCTAAAGTAGAAGTCAACACAATTGCTTTAGGAGCAGCTACAGCAGCATTAGAACATTCTTCGGATAAATGGAAGGGAGAATCATAACCTGACATGGCCCAAATAACACCTAAAAAGGACATAAGAAATGAAATTCCAACGGGGAAATCTGTTAAATTTGTTAACCCCCAAGCTTTTGAATTGGAATTCCACTTAGAGGCTCCCTCATTTATTTCTGGTCTCTTATTACCCCCAAGGATCATGATCCACACGATAATAAGGAACAAGATATTGCAGATGGTACCTACTGTATTGAATCTGGCCAAAAACTTGGTTGGAAGGGAGGAGATTATAAAGTGAGATACTTGAATCCCCGTAGTAAGAGCATAGTAATGACCATTTGTTGGAGTATAAGAGGGGGTCATAAAACTATAACATGCCAACATCATAGCAGCACCTGCATAGTTAACTGAAGGGGAAGCAGTGATTTGACACATCCAATTGGAGAAACAAGTTATCCAAGTTAATACGGGAGCGTATTTCTTTGGAGCCAATTGAGACACCGCATAAGGTGTACCACTTGCTGTGGGGAAAGCAGAACATACTTCAGCCAAGGAATAAGCCACAGAAGTGACAAAGATCATAGCCACCAACCATGGTAAGGGAGAAATACCCACCACCAATTGTTGATAATCAAAAGTAGACGCAATAGAAGGAAGTAACCCTAACACTGAGAAGGACACACAGAACACCGAGAATAAACTAAATTCACGTTTAAACTCAGGTTTATAACCCAAGGCAAGAATCCGTTCTTCATCGGAATCAAGTACATGATCAACCTGAATAGTGACGTTTCTATTGGATAACACCGATGAAATTCCAAGTTCATCAACATGCACCACTGACCGTACAGGTTCTAGACCTGTTCTTGAAGTGGCCACAGAGATATTGTGGGGGGATTTGACCATAATGATAATGATAATAAATAATGATAATAGCTATTCTATCGTATAAGATCGGGGTACAGCCTGTTCATATATATATATAATATATCTAAGTATATGTATAGATAATAATAATAATGATGATGATAATAATAGTAAATACTTTTCTAAAGCCAGTTTGCAAGTGGATATCGTCTCCATATAAATATGGAATAAGATAACGGTGAAATCAAATGGCTGACTGACGCTTGCGCTTTTGTGACATGATGGGCAACCCTAATCAATACCGTTTCTTTGTTTTTATCGTTGTGTTACTTCAGTTACCCACCCACTAATGTTTCTAGGACTCCATACGCCTTATGCCTTTTGTTTTTTTCATTTCCTGCACATAAACGCAGTCGTTATCTTCGACAAACAGGGTGATATTATTGGGTCATCTTGATAAGAACAGTTGATAGCGGACTCCTGATATATACTGGCGGCAGAATGACAATACGTAGTAACAATTGTATTATCATTATTAGTGACAACGCTCATAGTACTACATAGTACTACTAAGATAAATGTGGGTACTAAGATCGTGTTACTTGTAACAAGATCATTATGCGGCGAATAGCAAACACTAAGTACGGAATATGGGGCTAGCGCGTTCTCCACAAATAACCAAATCTCATTAGCGGGAAACGTTGCTTTCTGTTTTGGGAATGATGGGGTTCGGTTCGAAACTGGTAGGTTACAGGCTGATACACAAGAGTCGTCCTACTATATGAGGGGTATGACAGGGTGTGGGTGAGAAAGAGGTGATGATTATACACTTACGCATTTCTGAATCGGGAAACCAAAGTGCGGTTACCGGGATTGTGTCTTTTGTGAATAGCCTATATCTAATCTAATCAAGAATAGGTACATACTTGAAACGCTTGATCCATTTGAAAGATAGTGAACGAATACGGTGCTTCTACGGCATGTGTATATTACATCATGCTTTTGCAATAACGATATCTGATTATTATAATGATAATATATATGTGTGATAACGTTTTCAACTGCCTATTTAGTGAGTGAATCCGCTAATAATTGCAAGCGTTAACTGATTTATTCTTTTGTCTTATCTTTGACGTTATTCAAGTCTCGGGACATAATATTCATGGCTAGTGTACTTTAAGCCTTTTTTGTATGGATAGTATTGGTGGATGACAGACTCTAAAAATTATCACGTGGAAACCCCTTTGATCACGTGATAGAATGATTTTGTAAGTGGTACCCCACGAATCAACATGAACAACAATAGGACCAATACGGCCACCTCTTTCTTCTATCATCGACCGTGATTAATCATGCTAGTGAACACGATACGATGGATGGCGTATTTTGTGCTTCTTATCAGTCAGATCGGAGGGTTCCTACTTTTCCTCCGAGGGTTCTTCCCATCCAAAGTAGTGTTGGACGGTTTCAGTCAGTTTAATGGCGACAGTCCCAGTCCCTTCCTTAGTGATAATGATACTCCTCATTTCTCCAAGGTCATTCTTATGGTTGTTGATGCCATGCGTGCCGATTTCCTATACGATGAGTCGGTCTCTCATATGCTGTTTGTTCATGAACTTTTAAGGAAAGGTGAAGCTATTGGGTTCGATGCCTTCTCCAATCCTCCAACAGTCACCTTGCCTCGGTTAAAGGGGATTACTACGGGGAATACACCCAATTTCCTTGATGCTATTCTTAACATTGCTGATGATCAAGACGACTCTCAAAGTCTTGCTTCACAAGATTCTTGGTTATACCAATTCAAGACTAATGGTAATAAGAAACTACACTTCTTTGGTGATGATACTTGGCTTAAACTTTTCCCCCATGAACAATTCTTTGAGCAATATGAAGGAACAAGCTCTTTCTTTGTCAGTGATTTCACTGAAGTTGATAATAACGTCACTCGTCATTTGGATGCCCAATTAGATAATGCCCAAAATTGGGATGGGTTGATTCTTCATTATCTTGGGTTAGACCATATTGGTCATAAGGGGGGGCCTAAGCTGCCATTTATGAAACCCAAACAATTGGAAATGGATGCCATTGTAGAAAGATTATATGCTTATTCATTACTCCATCCAGAAACCTTATTGGTAGTTATGGGTGATCATGGTATGAATGAAGTTGGTAATCATGGAGGTTCCTCTGAAGGTGAAACAAGTAGTGGTATGTTATTTGTATCTCCTAAATTCTCCAAAATTGCTATGCCATTACCGAAGGAGGGTCCTATCAAATCTCTACAAAAAATTAATCAAATTGATTTGGTACCTTCATTAGCAGCATTACTTAACTTTCCAATTCCAAAAAATAGTATTGGTGTGATGATTCCTGAGTTTTTACGATTATGGAAATCACCAGTAAATGTTCTTAGACAAAATGTCAATCAGTTTGTTGACTTACTTGAAGCAAAGTTCAAAAGCTCTGATAAGTTTGATGAACAAACTCAAGCGTTATTGGATAAATACTCAACCTCCAATAATAATATCGTTGACGGGTACAAGTTATTACGTCATGTCCAAGACGAACTAATGAGAACTGCTACTGACTACAATTACGAAGATATTTGGACAGGAGCAGCTGCAATGATTATTAGTACTGTGCCTATAATTGCAGTTTACAACATTTACTTCTTCAGAATTAACCAAGGAAGCAACATTTATCCATTGGCTTTTGAAGTATTTGTATTTGCATTTTCAATCCATGTATTTGGCTCATCATTAATTGAAGAAGAACATCAATTATGGTGGTTTGTTGCCACCTTAGCAATGGTGTTACTGATATTTACCTACAAAAAGCAAGCTGCAAAGTATTTACCTTGGATATTGCTTATCTTGATAATGATGAGAGTCATAAGACAATGGAATAACACTGGCCAGAAACATATTATGCCCTTCCCCGTTTCCAAAGTATTGCTTGACCATCCTCAAGTGTTATGGAGTATAAATGCATTGACTATATTTGTCTATACAGTGGCTATTTATTCTCAAGGTTCAGTTATGACTTCAATGCAATTGGGTAATACAAAGGATAAGTTCTTTAATACTAGTGATCCAGGCCATTTATTACTGTTTGTTTTAACATTTGTGACTTCTTCGGTACTCTTATTATTCAAGATCTCCCAATTCTATGGTGATGGGAATGATTTATATCATGGGCTCTTCCATTGGTTTTTTTTGAAGGGAATGGCATCGTTTGATAATGTTGATTACAACAATAAGACGGTGCTTCAAGATATAAATGTCCAGATTTCTCGTCTTACATTTTATTGCATTGGAGGACTAATGGTTTTCAAATTAATTATGGGTAAGGTAAGAAACACCAAATGGGGTTACTTTACAGATATGGCGAACCTTTCTACGTTAATCTTGATACAGTATTCAAGGCTGGAAGTGATCCCCATTTATTTAATCTTTTTTGTGATTAAATATGCATTTTCCAAACTTTTAAATCACGTTGAAGTCGACCAATTGTTGGTATCTGTGACATGGTTCACCATAATAATGCAAAACTTATCATTCTTCTCCATAGGAGGAACAAACCTGTTAGCCACCGTTGATTTATCAAATGCTTATAATGGTGTTGGGTCGTATAATGTTTTCCTTGTGGGGTTCCTTACGTTTTTATCCAACTTTGCAACTCCTATTTATTGGTCATTATCAAGCTTACAATTAATATTTGAAAAGGATGTGATCCAATGGAAGTTTGGCCAAAAAACGTCATTAAATCTTTCCAGTCTTAGATACCCAATCCTTTTAATAAAGTCAATGATCTCCTTACTTTATTATAGCATATTTGGAACCTTGCTAGTACTATCATGTATTAATTTACGGTTCCACTTATTTATTTGGACAGTGTTCAGTCCTAAGTTGTTATACTTTGGTGTTTGGTTTGTATTTGTTAATACCCTTACAGATTTGGTATTACCATTAGTGATGCTCATCTTATACTAACATGTTTATACTAACTATACATAATAGACGGTCATAAAATAATCAGTGATATCTTATTGCAATAACTGGTCTCTAAAATGAGGCTGGTTATTAACAAACTTGGCAGCTCTTCTATCATTAACATCTTCTCTTTTCTTTTGTCTGGACCAGGCTCTCTTCTTTACAGCCAACTCTTGTCTGTCTTTAACGGTTAACATGTGTCTTGTTTCGGCAGCTATTACCGTCCCTTGACCCTCGGTCAATTCTCTTTCAGGAGCCAAGTTTTGTCTGTAATATCTTGCAAATTGACGGTGTCCCAAGACTGCACCCGAGGGTAATATCAAATCATGGCCATGTTGTAAGAGTGCACCTCGGTCACGTGACGCCATACTATAATCATCATCATCTTCATCATCGTCATCTTCTTCACCAGAAACATCCTCCCAATCTTCATCATCACCTTCAGCAGCATCACCATCCTGTTCATATGTGGAGCTGAAGTCATAGAACTCAGAAATCTCCAACTTTTCGTTTTCGCTCTCGTAGGGGATTCTCATGTGTCTCTTCACATTCATATGCTCTCTCACAGCCTCAACATTTCTTCCTTGATACGAACACACCAAACAAACGTTCCCAAGCCCGATCTTCTCTCCCAAGTACTTGATCAAGCCCTCTAAATCAACCAAGTACAGTTGCTCAGGTACAAAGAGACCGTGTTTGGCAAACATATGCTCCACGTTCTCTTCCACGGTGGAGAACGATGCCTTTTGTTTGGGGTGACAGAATAAACAAGTTGTAGAAGGAATTTCTACCAGTGACTTTAACTTTATAGCCATTAACTTCTCGGCCAATTGGTCTTCTGTTAATTCGGAGTCAGATGGCAGTGGCAGATTTTGTTCCGGTGACTCCGGTTGCAGATCTTTTTGTTCTGGTTTCTGCTTAACTTCTTCTTCCTTCAGTTTTTCCTTCAGTTCTTCCTTCAGCTCTGGCGTATCTCCGTTAATCTTTGCTATCATTTGAGCTTTGGCTAACTCCAACAATTGTCTCTTCTTCTCGAGTAACGCTTCCTTCTCTCTTCTGCGTAATTCCTTCTTGGTGACCTGCTTCTCACGACCGCTTCCGTTGGCCTCAGAGTCTTCTTCAGCTTCATTATTACTACTACTTAAGGTAGCGACCTTGGATTTAAATAAATCTTCACTGATTGGAGGTAACTGGGCCACTCTCCGCTTCAAATTGTATCTGTGCCAGTCTCCTTTCATATGAGTCCGTTGGTCTGCGGATGAGGGGAACTCTAACCCGCATGACGTGCACGTTATTCTACCGCTCATATTATTATTGTTATTATTATTAGTTGATGTTAAGCAAAGCAGTAGGCCCCCTTAGTAAAGTAACTTTGTATGTCTTTTTCGCGATGATCATCTCCAAATGCGAAAGTCACACAAAGCCGATAACTGGATCACGTGACCTCATCGAAAAATTTATACCCAAATAGAATCAAGTACAACAATTACTACTGACTATCCAACACACCACTGTTACTATTTATATCGGAATATGGAAGACGACACTTTTACTGGTGTGTTTCCCCAGGCAGCACAAACTATTCGTGCAGCCAGTGCCTTGGCCGCCCAAGATGTGGCGTTTCTTAAGTCCGTGGATGCCAAATTGGGCCATGATATTGATTCAGCATCCAAACAGGTGTTGAGTATAGTAAACCGACTTTTTGAAGCCGGAGGAGAACAGGAAGACCTTATAGATTATGGGACAGACAGAATAGAGGGCGAGGCCAACTGGAAACGGGTTTCGAACGCCTTGGATAACATTTTCGAGAAGATAGACTCCGCCTTTGATGAACAGAAACAACATGGTGACTCCAAACAACCAACCACAACATTTACATATTTAGAAGGATCTACAGAAGATTCTAATAGTGATAGCAAACATACAGGGAAACGGTTGACCAAGCCTCAGAACGATTTCCGGGTTAAAATCGATAACTCGGAGATAGGACCATTTAAACCTAAGTTAACTTCTAAACCTCATGCCTTGAAATCATATGAAGAGACATTAACATTACGAACATGTGCATCACCTGCTGCTGCTGACGATTATGAAGATCCTCCCTTCTATCCGCAACCATACGAAACAGAAATTGACAAACAGCCATACCCCGAAAGCATATATACCGTCACTCCGCCTGTTCCGTTCAAAAGCTGGCATGACACTTCAGCTGTTTGGGTTGACAGCGTTGATAAATTGCAGGAAATGATCGCGGAGTTGCTGCAACTGACGGAAATAGCCGTTGATTTGGAACATCATGACTATAGAACGTACTATGGAATTGTATGTCTTATGCAAATATCCAATAGAGACAAGGATTGGATAGTGGATACCCTTTCACTTAGAGATGATCTTGAACCCTTGAACCAAGTGTTTACGAATCCCCACATCATCAAGGTGTTCCATGGAGCGTTCATGGATATCATATGGTTACAAAGAGACTTGGGATTATATGTTGTGAGTTTATTTGATACTTTCCATGCGTCCAAGAAGCTAGGCTTTCCCAAGTTTTCATTGGCTTATTTATTAGAGCATTTTGCCAAGTTCAAGACGTCTAAAAAGTACCAATTGGCCGATTGGAGGCTCCGTCCCCTTCTGGGGCCAATGTTAGCTTATGCCAGATCCGATACTCATTTCCTATTGAACATCTTTGACCAACTAAGAAACCAATTGTTGGAGTCTGGTGGTGAAGATAAGATGAAAGAGGTACTTTATGAGTCAAGACAGGTTGCCAAAAGAAGATTTGAATATACCAAATTCAGACCACTTATCAATACCAAAAACGTCACATGTCCTGTCATGGCATACAACCCAAGAGAGCCTTATGGTTCTATTATATCTCAATATAACGTGCCATTACATAAGAAACCTTTAGTGGAAGCATTATACAATTGGAGAGACGACCTTGCCAGGCAAGAAGATGAATCTGTGCGGTACATTTTGCCCAATCAATTGCTTGTGAATTTGACCAGTTTGACGTTGCCTGTTGATGTTTCCAAGATCATGAACTGTGGCACGTTTGTCACCGAACATGGGAGACTCCATGTCAAGGAGCTTGCGCAGTTGATTAACACTGTGTCTCAGAACACAGAGGTCAATGACTGGGAGTTGGTGGAGAAATGGAATAACTCTACCGATAGTTTGAACGACACAGCAGCCTTTGGGAACGTTAACGAAGAGGATATGACCCGGGTGTTTGAAGATTTGAAGTCCAATCACTTCCGTTTGTCCGATTCCTTATTAAGAAGCGAATCGATAATCATCAGCTCACCGTTCAAGATGAGATACACTGTTCATTATGACGACAAGACCCATGAACCAGTGGAGAGCCACGATTTGGAAGAGAGAAGAGGAAAGGTAGAGGAATACTTTAAGAGTATTGAAGGCGAGAGTATCGTACTTGAGGAAGGAGAAGCCGAGCACACTGAACCAGAACCAACTGAGCAAACTGAACCAAAAGCAGTAACTGAAGCCGAGACCATTAAGGAAGACCCCAATGAAATCATTACTCTTAGAAAGAAGAAGAACAACAACATCAATAACAAGAAGGAACCAGTCCAAGCAGCCAGTCTCTCCAATGCTTTTGATTACGCTAATGCAGACAAGATTCTTCTTGATACCAAGCAACGGAGTAAACTCAACCCTAAGAAGAGAGCGTTCAATCCTTACGGAGATAAGGAAGATCAAGGACCACAAGGAGCCAAACGTAACAAGAGAAACATTACTGGGAAAACGTCTACCTTCTCCAATAAACGGAGATAACCATAACCATTACCATGACCATATACATATATATACTTTATCAAGTATATATGAATTATTATCTCCGTTCTTCTATAATGAATGAACAAAGATGAAGCAAGCATTGCTTGGTAGCATTTGTCACCGACTCCTTCCTACACTTATTAATACATAGATGTCTAGTGGGCAAGTTGTGAGCTTTCCCGATGCCCAGACCTTCCAAAATAAAGTCACCATGATTAAGAGTCATCTTTACCGTTGCCTTATATTGGGCTGAATAAGACTCAGGGCTAGTTTCCGTTTTGGATACACATATAGAATCACAGTCAAGCACGCACGTAGACCAGCCATTGAATCCAAATACTTCGTTAGCATATCGTATCAATAAATGACCACTAATGTCTCTAGGAGAAAAGTGTCGGTTTCTACGTAGACTTTGTTGTTGTACCAAGGCATCTATTCGATACCGTAGAGTTCCTACTTTGATCTGGACCCATTGAGAGAGTTCCATTGGCCCTGACGACTCAGGTAATGGGTCTAGTAATTCAGGAAACGCGTCTTCGGCAGGGAAGTATACAGCCATAGGACAGCAACACGACAGTAGCAGGCACAATTAGTATTAACAGTAGTATCAGTGCTGTCTGTTGTTCTGACTGTACAGCTCGTGATATTTTTTGTCTGCATTGATCTCGGAAAAACAGAACTCACGTACATCGTATCAACACCTGTCTTATCAAACACGGTAGTATATAAACAACGTCCCCCCCCCCCCCTCAATTGATCGACCCATAGCCCTATTTTCTTTCTAATGGACATAGCGAGGAAGATCTTGGCGGCTCCCGGAGGATCGAAAGTCCCCAGCGTCGAAGAAACCCTTCCTACTCTTTGCAATCGACTCCAGCATGCCACGCTATCGTCCGATCGGAAGTCTGCCATATTGGGGCTAAAGAGTTTCAGTAGACAGTATCGTGAATCTGTTGTTGAATATGGGCTTCGGCCTTTAATCACCGCTTTGAAACGGGACTACGAAAACCGTGAAATCACCAAGGCCATTTTGGAAACCTTGCTTATATTGATTATACGTGGCGAAGGTACGGAGGATTTAACCCGAGCTTTCGTTCAAGCTACAAGAGCTCAAAACGGGAAGTACCCGTGTCCTTTGCTTTTGGAGAACGACCAGTTCTCTTTATGGATAGCCGACGCCTTAACTCAAGATCCCAGTTCGTTTGAATTGATTCTTGTCATCATCCAAGACAACGATGATTTCCACATCAAACTCTACGCCATCCAATTGCTTGAGGCCGTGGTCTCTGCCCGAGCTTCCAGAGCCAAAGATTGTCTTTTGTCGATTCCTACTGCGACCTCGGTGTTGGTTTCCTTATTGAAAGACCCTCGAGACCCCATACGAAACGAAGCCATCCTTCTTTTATTGGCAATAGTTAAAGATAACTTCAACATCCAGAAACTAGTGGCCTTTGAAAACACCTTTGACATTTTGTTTGATATCATCCAAGACGAAATAGGCATCCGGGGCTCGGTATTGGTGCAAGATTGCTTGTCGTTAATCAACAGTCTTTTACAGTACAATGCCTCCAACCAAAAGTTCTTTATCGAGACTCAGGGTATACCAAGATTGAACGAATTGATGAGCGAACCTCTAGAAGAAGCGTATGAAGACGACGATCTTAAAGATAGCGAAGGGAACCCAATCCCTATACCCCCCATTCATTGGACAGAACAAAGACTTGTAAATATGCATTTGGCTTTGGATGCTTGTAAGGCCTTGGTACTGGACGATAATGAATCTTTAGCTTATAACCAAGAGAAACTCACTCAAGCCGGAGTTTTGTTCACAGTGTTACGGTTAACCTTTTCTCCTAATGTCAGAAATGAAACCAGACTGTCGGCATTGCTTGCGGTGTGTGATATTATTCGTGGTAACCATGACCTTCAACTCCAGTTGGAGACCATTGACGTACCTTATATCGATCCGTCATTACCTCTACAATTGCAAGCAAACGATGAACCCATACCGGTGATTCTTTCGCTTATTAATTGGGCTCTCTGTATCAATAGTGTTCATTGCTTTGACTTGCGAGTGGCTGCCTCCAAATGTTTGCATGCGTATTTGTTTAATAACGACGCCGCAAAGAGTTCCTTCTTAACTGAACAAATGGAATCCTATAGGGATCCAACATATTATGATAAACTATTCCTGGGAAATGATGTTGATGTTAGCCATAGACCCACATTCACCAATGTCTTTTCAGTTTTAATGGACTACGATACAGAAGTCAAAATTAACCCTTACAGATTATGGTTTGCTGCAGTTATAATCACATATATCATTGAAGACGATGAGAACGATGTTTCTCTTGATATGATGACAAACTTCAAAACTGGAGATGAAAGCAGCGGAGAAGAAGTACTTGGTTCAATCCAAGCTATTTCTGGGTCTTTAGTGACAACTTTAGAAAATTATGACGAACGAGTTCCTATTGGATACTTTATGTTACTCAGTATTTGGCTCTATGAGAATCCAAAAGCTGTTAACGAGTTTTTGTCTGATCCAAGTGTGGTCCGGTCCATTTTAACTTACTTATCAAAATCAACAGATCAATCAGTATTAGTCCAAGGAGTGGCTGCATTCTTTATTGGGATTATTTTTGAGTTTAGTTCCAAAGAATCACCAATTTCAAGAGTTTCATTGCACGGAATGATAGTCCAAACCTTGGGGAAAGCCAATTTTAGCTTGAAAGTCAGACAACTCAAAGAGAATCCATTATTCCGTAACTTTGATGAAAATATTGATGGAGGAGGAATAGAAGAAAATGGCTTGCCCGAGTTATACTTTGTTTCTCAGTATGTGAATTTGGTGAAAGATAACTACAATCGGATTAGCAAGACTCTTATTCAAGATCCCAACTTGGAGACAATCAAAAAGGTATCTTACGATGATTTTCGAGAACTTAATGATAAGTATCAAGAGCTCGAAAGTACTCTTGCATCCGAGAGAAGTGCCACTAAACAACAGGAGGAAGCATTAAATAAAGTCATTGAAGATTTGGATGCTCAGTATAATGATGCTCAAGCAAATCTTGAGACAAAGACCAAAGAGTTGGAGAGATTGAAGATGGGTCATTCGGGCATCGAAAGAGAATATGAACAACTTAAGGCTAAACTTGAAGAGATTGAAAAGTTAAAAGATCATTTTGAAGTCTCATCCAAAACTTATTATAAGGAATTGAGTGCAACTAAGAAGATGGCATCGACCTCTGATGGGTCGATGAAGAAACTCCTGATGGATCTTGACAAAGTTACAGCAGAGAAGAAGAAATTGGAAGAAGGGATTAATAAAATGACCAGAGATTTGTTTCAATTACAGAAACAGAAACAAACCTCTGATAATAATCTTCGGGCTCACGAGAAGGAAATCTTGAACTTAAATAAGGAATTGACGAAGATGAAGAATGATAACGATTCCAAAACCGAAAAGCTTCGTAAAGCAAATAAGGAACTTGAAGAAAGAGTACGGGAATTGTCTGAAAACTTGAATGCCGAGTCGAAAAAAGCGATGCTGGCGAATGCTCTTTCAAAAGACTTGCAGACCAAGGCTGCTATTGAAGCTCAAAATAATGAAACGTTAGTGGATAAATTGAGGTTGGCTGCTTCGACTTACAATGAACTTAAGAAGGCAAAACTAGAAGTTGAAAATCAAGTTAGGTTTTTAAACGCTAAGGTTTCCAGTCTTGAAGTTGCCAGTCTTGAGCTTCACAAAGACAATGGTCAACAACGAGCCCTGCTTGATAGTGTTCAGAATGGGTCACAGTCAAAGATGGCAGAGTTCAGACAAGCGTTTGAATCGCTTACATTGAACAACCTGGCCTTACAAGTTAAACAGTTGGAATTGGAAGATGAAATCAGGACTCTTCAACTGGATCAAACCGAAGAGCAAGAAGCATATGAAGCATTAATTGTTGAGCTTGAAAACAAGATCAAGGAGCTTTCTTTGGAAAATAAAACCCTTAAGGAATCTGTTAGCCAATTGGAAGACACGAATAAACAATTGACGACTTCCAAAGCATTGCTTCAAGAAGAATATCAAAAGTATAAGCAAGTTCAGGAGGATACCACTGTTTCGAAGGAAACAGAGATCTCTGAGTATAAAGAAGACGTCACCAGACAAATGAATTTACTTGAGGCCAAAGCTGTTGAACTTGAACAAAAGTTACAGGAGAAGTCAGAAGAAACCAGCAAGGCAAAGTCTGATTTGGAAGGTCAATTATCCAAGCTTTCAGAGTTGGAGATTGAACATCGGGCCAATCTTTCCAAGATGGAAATCAAATATGATGATATTAAACATGAATTGGAAACCAAAGTGGTGGAGTATAATTCAGCTGTTGATAGACTTGCATTACAAGAACGGCAGTTATCAGAAATGCACGAGCAACAGCAAGACAAAGTTGAGCACTATGAACAGAGGCTCTCCGAATTGAAAGAGTCTTTGACTTTGAAGCTGAAGGAATATAGGGAAGCCAAGGACTTGCTTAAGCAAACCGAATTGGAATTGAATGAGCTTAAAATGAACCATGCCAAGGAGATTGAGCTGATGAAATCCGAACTTGAAGACGTCAAAAGTCAGTTGGAAGTGGCAATTACTCCAGAGAGTCTTGAAGATATCAAGAAGGAAATCGTTACCGACTACCAATCGGAGTTGAGTGATGTTAAGCTGCAACTTGAGTTAAAAAACCTGTCATACCAAAAGCTTGAAGCTCAATTGAGTGAAGTGAACTCCGAACTCAGTCATTTACAAGAGCAATATGACTCCCAATCCTCCGAGTACAAGAGCAAGTTGGAGGAACTTGAAAAGTTGACTCTTTCCAAGTCTGAGTTACAACTGGAATGTGAGAGACTTCTTAGTGAACTCAAGAAAGCTCAAACTGAGAGTGGAAAACAGCAACTGGATCTCGAAGTGGAACAATTGAAGAGTGACTTATCTTCCAAAGACGTCACCATCCAAGGGTTGCAGCAAACAGAACAGGAGTTGAGACAAGAAGTGTCTTCTCTTTTAGAAAAGTGTATGGGGTTCGAACAATTGTTATTTGAAGCTGGTGAAACCCATAAAACATTAGAACATAGCAAGCAAGCAACTGATAATGAATTGAGAGTCATGAAAGAAACCTTACGTCAACTTCAAGATGCTCACACCGAGGAGGGTTCCTCAACTACTGACCAAAAAGCAGACGACGCAGCTTATTTGGAATTAGTCTCACAGAATGAACAGGCAAAACAAACCATAGCTGCTATCGAAGCAGAATTGACTGAAACCAAGGCAAACTATGATCAAGTTAAACAAAGTCTTGAACACCTGAAATCGGAATTTTTGACTATGAAGCAGAAACATGAAGCAGTTGCAATGGAGTTGGAGCTAGTGTCAGAATCTCAAGGAGAATCTCTTGAGAGAGTCAAGCGAATAGAGGAACTTGAAGATCAACTATTGAAGGCAAGAGATGAGTTAGACTCTACCAAGAGTGCGCTTCAATGTGCTTCGGAAACCGTTAGCAAGCACGAAAGTGACGTAAAGGAATTTGAAGCCTCGTACCTTGAAGTTGCATCACTTTTGGAAGCAACCAAAGCCAAGCATGACACTCTCAAATTACAATTGACCACTATAGAAAGTGAGCACAGGAAAAAGTTGGATATTTCCATTGCAGAGCTTTCTGAGTCCAAGAAGTCAATAGCTGAGTTGCAACAGAAGCAAGTGACACATATGAAAAAGATAGAAGAACTGGAAGGGATCATTTCCCAGTTGGAGAAGGAGATTGACGACCTCAAAGATGAGAAGATTTCAACTGATGATATTGCTGTAATGAAAGATGAAGGTATTTCGAATGGTCATCATACTGAAATGGGAACAGAAGCCGAAGTAACTGAACAGCAAGTTGAATCCACGCCGTTAGATTCCATTGAAGATTTTTCTCAAGTAAAGAAAGATAATTCGAATCTTCGTATTGAACTTGAAACAGTTTCCAATCGATTAGAACAAGCTTCTAAAGAAATTGAAAAGTTGAAGGACGTGATAGAGTCAAAGGAACAGCAATTGTCCGAGAAGGAAGTGGCCATTGCAGAGTTGGAGGACGAGAATGATTCAGTAACGGACATGATGGAGAAACTCAACGTTGTAAAATTCCAATTGGAAGCCGAGCTCAAAGGTATCATCAAACAGGCAAAGCCCGAACTTCTTGAAGATAAGGAAAATCAAATCGTTGCATTGAAGAATGATTTGATGCTAAAGATTGAAAGCCTTGGTTTGAAGGATGTAACCATTGCTAAACTTCAAGCGGAACTTAATTCTAGAGTCAAGGAATATGAAGCATTGTCGAACGAATATGAAAGCTTGAAAGAAGATGTGGTTATTAAGGACGAAGAGCTTCGAGCTTTTGAAACTCAAATTGCAGACTTAGAAAAGACAAAGTCAACTAATGACTCAATCGTTTTGGAACTCAAATCTAATTGTACGACGTTAAAGAAGGACAACGATGACCTTGAAGCGGCTCTTGCTAGCTTCAAGAAAGAGGTTCTCAGGTTAACAGCAGAATTTGAAGACTTGACGAAGAAGCACGAATTGGAGACCAAAAAAGCAAGTCAAAAGGAGTCTTTGTTCTTGTCACTTGAAGCCAAATGCAAAGAAGCTGAAAGTCGGGTTATTCAGTTGAGTCTGGATTATCAAGATAAAATTGAAGCCATTGAATTGGAAAGACAACTGTTTGCAAAAGAAATCAGTGACTTGGATACCAAATGTTCTCTTGCTGTGAAGGAATGGAAAGCTAAATTGAGAGACGTTGAAGCAAGTAACCTAAGCACAATTTCCGCACTTCAATCTGATAAAATAAAGCTTGAAGAACAGCTTGAAGATACACTGAAAGAGCTTTATGAATTGCAACAATCTCATAGGCAGTTGATACTGGATGTTTCTGAACTGGCAAAGGAGAATTCAGATATCAAGGCTGCATCGGAGTCGACATTGAATGATCTTAAAGAACAACATGTAAAAAGAGTGTCTGCTCTCGAAGCTGAAAAGGACAAGCTATCCAAACAACTTGAAACCAAACTGCAGCAGTTGTTGGAAGAAAGTAAGAGATTGGATGACAACACCTCCGAATTATCAATGTTGAAAGCGGCATTGGAGCAGTTCAAAGAGACCAATCGTACTTTGGAAAATGACTTTGAAGCAAGACTTAAAGATGAGGAGGAGCTGCATTTGAAAGCTATAAATGCATTAACCAGCGATCTTGAAGCTTCAGAAACACAAATTGAAGCTTTGCTGAAGCAATTATTAGAAACCAATGAAAAACTCACTACTGTCACGGGTGAACTTCACCAATTGAAGCAGGATCTCAACAATTCGAGAGAGTTGAGCTCCGTTTGGGAAGCAAAGTTCAAAGAATTGGAAACCGCAAAAGCCAAGGAGTTATCAATTGTTGCTGAAGAAAGGGATTCACTCAGAGACCAATTTTTTAGTAAACTGGAAGCTTATGCTGAGACTTCGTCTAGTTTAAAAAGCATGACAGAGTCTTTAGCCAAGGTTGAAAGTGCTTTGAAGGCATCGAAGGACGAACATGCTAGATCTATGCAAGAATTAGAAGCTAACGGTGGAGCTAAGATCAATGCTATTGAACTGGAACGAGACTCATTAGTAGTTCAATTGAAGGAAAAGCTGGAAGAACTTGTTAGAACCGAGACTAAGTTGTCAAGTGTGGATCAAGAATTGCTTGAGTTGAGACAGGAATACGATGATGTCAATAACAAATATAACAGTTCCTTAAGCGAATTGAAAGCAACGTTGGAGCAACACCAACAATTCAAGGATGAAGAAATCAATGCTTTGAAACAAGATTTTAAAGAACAACTTGAAGCTAAACTGCAAGAGCTAGTGACGATTATCACCAAACACAACGACTTAGAAGCATCTCTTCTGGCAGAGCTCGATCTGAGTGTTGAACAAATCGAAACGTTGAAGAACGCAAAGATACAACTCGAGGAACAACTTGAAGCCAAGCGTGTGGAATCAGCGGAGATGGCGGAAAGATATGAAGCTTGTCAAGAGAAGTTGACAACCTTAGAGGCGGAATTAACTTCTAAGATTAAAGCCCACGAGGCAGCATTCGCAACCAATGAAGACAAGACACAGCAGATCCTTCAAGATACCCAGCACAAGCTTCAAGAAAAAGAATCCAAAGTCAAGGAACTAACACTGTCGATTGAAAACCTTAAAACCGATTCGGATCGTAAATTGAATCTTGTTGAACAAGAGAGGACTGCGTTGGTTTCAGAATTGGAATCCACTAGAGCCGAGCTTGTTCAACTGAGAAATAATGTTGACTTGACATCATTGAAGGAAGAATTGGAACATGTGAAAGCTGAGATTCGGCAGAAGGAAGAATCATTAAATGGAAAGGAATTGGAAATGCAACTGATTCGCGAAGAAGCAAGTAATCAAGTGGAAACACTTAAAGCCGATTCACGTTCTCTTGCGGACTTAGCATCCAGTCAAAAGCAAGAGATTGAGAAGTTGCGTTCTGAAATATCTTCAATGATATCCAATAAAGAGAAGGATATTTCCACTTTAGAACAGGAGTTGGAACAACTGAACAAAGCTGCTTTAGAGTTCCGTGACGAAGCACTTCAAATGAGTGATAATTTAGCAGGACTTCGGAAAGAATTGGAAATTGCTAAAGAAAATAATCACGAGGTTCAACTTAAAGAACGAATTGAATTATTGGAGTTTGAAGTTGCTGATAAAGATGATAATGTTCATATTCTTGAAGAACAACTTAAGAAGCTTTTTGAGAGTAAGGAGAAGTTGACTGAAACTCATCAGAATGAATATCAACAACTCAAACAAGAAAAAAATGATGAAATTGATGTCTTGAAGACTCAAAATGAAAAGCTTCGTGAAGGTCTTTTGAAAGTCAAACAATTGTTAATGAATAAATCTGAATCTGAAAGTGAAGTTGAGCAATTGAAACAAGCATTAATAGCAAAGGACAAGGAATTGGAATCATTAAGGACCATATAAAACAGCATATAGCATACATCATACCTTATATCACACAACATACCTTATAGTAGTAATGGCAGCAGAAGTAGTAGTGGTAGCAGTAGTAGTATAGTCATAGTGTATGCACTATACCAATTTCCTGCATACATATTTAATGGGTGAAAAATTTACAAGCCACTCTTCACCATATAAAGATAAGAAACTCTTCTTACCAATGATCCTCCTAATAGATTCGTATGATTCCTTCACCAATAATCTTTACCAGTTGATTGTGGACAGCACTGGAAAAGAAGTGATTATTATCCACAATGACTCCTTCTGTCCGGAGGAATACTCCCAGTTCTGGGACACTTATTCCTCACTATTTGAGTACATTATCATAGGGCCTGGACCGGGGCATCCCAGTATTCAAGGCGATGTTGGGATCATTAGCTGGATCTTTCAGCACTATCAACAGTCAAAACTGACAGTAGTCCCCATCTTGGGTATATGTTTAGGGTTCCAATGTCTTTGCCATGAATTTGGCAACCCAGTGAAGAGACTTGACGACATTAAACACGGTCAAATCTATGACATTCAACCAGTTGATGATGCTTGTAACTTGTTCCCTTCAATTGAGCTGTTCCCCAGTGTAAGATACCATTCGTTACATGCTGAACTCGTGAACGATTCCATTGTACCTTTGGCACATTGTTATGAACCCCACGACAGTATTTTAATGGCTGGTCGACACTCGAAATTACCACTATATGGAGTTCAGTATCATCCAGAATCCATTTGTTCATCTAGAGGTCAAGACCTCATACGTTCTTTCGACTCAATCGCTCAAACTTATAATGAATGTCATAGAAAGATTGGTGATAATCCACAGTTATTGAAGGATTTGAAGCTGAAGAAGGCTGCACATGAAAATACCTTGATTCCAAATGGTATACTTGAAGATACACTGAAGAAACCCCAAGTTATCATTGAAAAATTGATGTTATCCCATGATACGTATAATGCCATTGACATTTGTGACTATATTTATAATTCAGAAGGCCATAGGGCCAACTTCTGCTTGTACAACTCAGCTGCAGTGCCAAGTGAATGGTCTATTATAGGATTACCTACTCCCGGTAGGTCGGAAGTCGTTAGTCATTCTGTTGATGATGTGAATAAAGTTGTAGTTTCAACTTTTGGCGATAACGTCCATGTTGATCCTCTGCAGTGTATTGAATTGAGCAATGGTCAATCGGTATGGGGCATCTTGGGTATGAAGATGAAACAACGGTATATTTCAACCAAATTGATCAACTCACAAGTGTCCAAGTATCATCAACGGAATTTCCCCTTTTATGGAGGTTATATGGGATTAATCTCTTATGAAGAAGGAAAATTCATTCAAATATCCAAATTGAAATCATTAACAACTTCAACCACCCCCGACATGAAACTTATTTTCATTGAAAGATTTATTTTATTTGATCATAAATCAAATGATTGGTTTATTGCTTCAGTTTCAAAAGATTTCCATCAAGATAATCTTGACTGGTGTAAATCCATGATCAACCAATTAGAAACCGCAGACCTGGAAGGCACTCTTAAATTGAATAAAGATCTGATTCCTTCAAGTGTATCCCAATTAAGTAACGACAAGATTCATTTTGAGTTCCCTGATGAAAACATTTATGAAAAACAATTTGATCAATGCCAAGAATGCTTACATTCAGGTGACTCTTATGAATTATGTTTGACCACTCCACTGAAAATATTTCTTCCTAAATCCATTGACCCTTGGGATATTTATAAGGTTTTAACTTTACATAAGAACCCTGCACCATTTTCATGTTTCTTGGAATTTGATGATTGTTCATTGGTATCTTCATCTCCAGAAAGGTTTATTTCATGGAAATCAACTCATGAAGATAATGATAATGACATTAAAAAAGTGGAGTTAAGACCAATCAAAGGTACGGTTAAAAATACACCCGATATCGATTTGAACAAGGCAACTGCATTACTTAAGACTCCAAAGGAAATGGGGGAGAATTTGATGATTGTGGATTTGATAAGACATGATTTATACCAATTTCTTCCTAATGTTCAAGTTTCAGAATTGATGTCTGTTGAGGAATATAAAACAGCTTTCCAATTGGTTAGTGTGATTCAAGGAGAATTGGATCCTTCCACAAATAATTACCATGGATTAGATATTTTGCATAATTCTTTACCTCCAGGTTCAATGACTGGAGCTCCAAAGAAACGGTCAGTGGAATTATTGCAAGATATTGAAAGTGGTCAAACCCTTGTTGGCAATGAAGGTGGTAGAAGAGGGATTTATAGTGGAGTCTGTGGATATTGGTCAGTTACTGATGATTCAGATTGGTCAGTCGTAATTCGATCGATTTTCCACTATAATCAAGATCTTGAAAACAGTAAGACCCACAATTTATGGCGGATTGGTGCTGGAGGAGCCCTCACTGTTCTTAGTGATGTTAAGGGAGAATGGGAAGAAATGAATGTTAAACTTCAAAGTGCATGTCAAGCCTTCCATTAATGTTAGCAGCATACAACTTGTAAATAGAATGCAGTTTATATTGTCACGTGATTGATCACGTGAACTACTAGATCACTTGGTGACACAAAACTCAAATAATTTTTAATCAACGACGAAAAGAAAATTTTTGAGTAAAATTATCACCATATAATTTTCATTCAAGTGGACAGAATCATACATTTTATCCGGTTAAAAGGAAATGTCTTTCTTTGGCTTTGATCCTACGGGGCCCCCACAGTCACGTGGGGGGCAAAACGAGGAAGCCTATGATTTTGAAAACACCTATAATGGATTGGATGAAGCAGATGATGCACTCAATGATGAGACTTTTGGTGGTGTCAGTGGTGATATTGGCAAAGATTTTGATTTTGGTGGAGTCAGCTCTGGAGCTGGAGCTGGAGCTGTACCAGTGGCTGCGCCAGCTGCTGGAGCTTCTAAATCCGGGATCAGTTATGCTCAAGCCGCTTCATCTACTAATGACGAAGATTTCATGAATGATTTGTGGGGTACTTCCAATGCTCCTAGAAATGAAGAAGCTTCTGTGCCTCCCGTTGTCTCTAACCCTAATGAAAGAAAGGTGTTGTCTTTGGAGGAAATTGAAGCTCAGTTAACTGCCATTGATCCAATGCAACAGCAACAGCAACAGCAACAAATGCAATTCCATCCTCAATATGGTGTGATGCCTCCTCGATTTGGTTATATGATGCCCCCTGGTGGCATGATGGCTCCTCCTCCTCCTGGTCAGTTTCAACAATTTGGTAACATGCCTATGCAAATGCCTCCAATGGGTTTACCTCTTCAACAACAGCAATTGCCCATTCCTGAGCAGCAACAACAAATTCCTCCACAAGGTCAAGGCCAACCACCGGTATCAATTCCTACTCAAGTGATAAAGGAACAGAATTCTTCTCAAGCCAGAATGCCTGAGAATGATATTCCTTCTCAACCTCCACGTAAGGTGGATTTGTCTCAATTCCCTGTGTTAGGTTCCAAGGATTCCCAACACCAGCAACACCAGCAACAACACCAGCAACAGCAACAGTTTCAAGAACAGTTGAACTTGCAATCCCAAGAGCCTCACCACCATGAAATACCACAAGAATTACAACAACAACAACCACTTGACCAAGCTCCATCTCATCAACACAGCCATCATCATCACCCCCACCACCAACAACAGCAGGTTCAAAGACAACATCAGCACCAACATCACTCTTTCCACCAATCACACGAAGACTTAACCCCTGAACAACAAGAGAAGATGGCCAGAAGACAAGAAAAGGTTCAAAGAATTGTTAGATACTCTGGAATCATGAACCCTAAGGATAAGGACTTTGTTACCCGGTTCCAATTGTCACAAATTGTCACTGAAGATCCCTACAATGAAGATTTTTATGCTCAAGTGTTTAAGGTTATTCATCCCAAGGTTGGAAACAACAATTCTCAACAACAAAGCAATAACTCTATTGCTCAAGCATATTTGGAACAAAGTGGACATAGATTGGGAGGCCGTAATAAGCGTGCTGATGTTGCACTTCAAAGAATGCAACAACAAGTTCAAAAGGCTGTTACTGTTGCACGTGAACGGTCCAAGAACACACCCCATGTCAAAGAAGGTGCCTTGGGTAGATTTACGTCAGCTAGTGGTAAGAAGCCTAGACAAAAGTTGGAGATCATTAGTAGGGCCGCACAAAGAGAAAAGGAACGTGCTGAGAAGCAAACTAATAATGAGGAGCAGACTGATGTTGAATCCAGCAGACTCAAGACTTATAGTCGTAAGGATATCTTGAATATTTTGGAAGATATCATTGGTAATCTTATGAATGTTGAAGGGGAATTAAGAACTCAATCGGATGTTGATCTTGATAAATTATGGGAATCACTAAGAGTTTTGGAGCAGCCATCCTCCTCTGGAGATAATGAATCTGAGGTGAATCCTTTCATTCAATGTTTAAGTTTCAACAAGTGTTTGAAGGTCTTACCTCGTTTATTCAAGTTTTTAAATCGGGAACAAATCTTAACCATTGTGACTTTAGTGATGTCTAATTTGGAGAACTTGAAGGTAATTAAAGATGGCTCTTACACCACATACAATGATAAAAAGGTACCTGAATCCATAACCAAATTGGTTGACACTTATTCCCTTACCTTTAGCAAAGTCTTGATGAATGCCGTTCAAGATTTCCGATTCAATGAAATCATAGGACTCTTGGTGATCTTAATTGAACACAACAATGTTTCATTTGTTTCCACCACCAAAATTGGTTTGAATATTTTAACCACCTTCTTGTCCCGTGCCGAGTTGATCAGAGGTGAAGGTGGAATTTCAGCTACTGATCTCAGTGAATGGTCTTCATGTTATGATGAGTTGTTTACCTCCTTGGAGTCGAGAATTGCAGCCATTTTCCCTCCAAATTCTACGGATGGTAGTGGCGAAGATCCTTATATCTGGCAATTCTTAGCGACTTTGTCTCTTGGAGGCAAATTGAGTCATCAAAGAATCATTGTGGATGAAGTAAGAGATGAAATCTTTGGAGTCATGAACAAAGCCAAACTGTTGGACGTTTATCGTAAACAACAGCTGTTGGCCAATTTGAACTTATATTTGGTTGTCATGGGATTGGTTGCTGATGAGAATGAAATTAAGGAATTGTCGTAAATATAATAGTAGTATAAGCACAGTACAATTAACAATAGTAGTGATTACAGTATTAGTAGTGCAAGTACCAGTAGTAGTACTCTGGCGTAGCACTTGTAACAGTGCTTCGGTGTATTGTTCTATGTTATTATCAAAATTGTCGTGTGCACGCCAATAGAGTATGGTCGTGCACCTGTGCGTATTTGTTATCTCAGACATCTGTACAGTTGGTTACAGTTAACTACTTTAGATCAACAGTACTAACTGTAGTACACATCAATTACTATTGATAGAAGCAACAGCTGAATTTCTCATTGCACTTTACTGGCATCAAAAGTAGTGTTAGTACCGGTGATAACTAAGTACGAATATTCTAGCCCCTGTAATATACGATTGTGTCCAGATCCTGAATCGATAAACATCAAGTGTTTCATATGACATAGACGCGTTACAGTTTCATCACTTACGAGCGAATATGGTTATGTAATTAAGGTACGTAATTAAGGTGTACTCATTACGCAGTACAAGGAAGGAACAAGGAAAGAATAGCCAGAATAAGGACGAGTAGCACAATATACTCTCGTGCTACTACTGTACTACCACCATAGTATAGAGTATGCTGCGCTGGACTACACTATACCTTGTATTAATTGTACTATCATTATATTATATTATGCTATTTACCCATTCCAATATTAAGCTTAAAGTTATGCAATTACATTACCCCTTTGGGAATTCTCATTTAAAACAATCATTATCCCGTAATGATCATTAACATTGTTGGATCATATTAAAGTTAAACTCTTGTGTATCTGATTGAGAATGATCAAAGGGGTCAAAATACAATACAGGAGTGCGTTGAGGTGTGGGTGGTAAGGGAAATGCAGGTACTCTTGAAAGTGGTGGGAGTTGAGTGGGGGTAGTGGTCGAACCTCTGTTTTGACAACATTCAATTAATCCCGGTTCCCCTCGTTTAAAGAACTCAAAACTAACATCTCGTATAGTGGTTGATTCATAAACCGAGTTGTCTATTGACTCGGATCCTTCCTCCTCCTCCTCCTCCTCCCAGTCAAGGGATATGGAATCAAACGATGAAGTGGTTGGCAGTCCAGGAACCTCTCCAACCATTATCACTCCACATGGAGTAGTTGTAGCGGATGCACTATTGGATTCAGAAAATGGCGATAATAAATAATGATCTACATCTTCAAAATATGACTCTAAAACATCACCTATAGATGTTTCATATTCGAGATGCGAATGATCACTGGGGACTGTGGCATCAAATATCGATATTGGTGTAGAACATATGGTAGAATGACTTTGGTTTCCTTTTGTAAACGGTAATACCGATGGTCTATATTGATTATGATTGTGATGATTATGTTGATGATGGGAGGTTGATGGAGTAGGTGGTATAGTGGAATTTGGAGTAGTGAAAACGGATGAAGAGAATGAATGAATACTTTTAGGCGTTCCGGGTATGGATATATTGGGATTGGGTTTAGTAACAACATCAAATCCTAAAGGATTGCCCTCATTAGTATGTTTTCTATGCTTCCGAGAAAACCACTTATGGAATGGTGAATTAGTATTAGAACCCATAATGTAGCAGAGTAATGTAGTGTAGTAGCAGCAGTAGTAGAGTAGAGTAGAGTAGTGAAGCAGTAGTAGTAGTGAGAGTATTAGTTAGTTGTGGTAGCAATAGTAGCTGTAATCTTCTTCACAAATTTTAGCCCCAACTTTAAAGATATAGTCATCTGTATATATAAGTGGGATTTAGATTCTCTTGTTTGTACGGTTGTTGCATACATACATTAACCGAACCACACAGTACTTAATAATAGATCTTATTGTGGCCTCAAATACTGCAGGTCGTCCTTTTGACGATTTGCAATGAACAATCAATCACAATCTGATCATACTTGATGTTAATTCCATTGGTATGCATGCACTTTAAGTTAGCTAGACGCACGTTCAACCAGTAGGGATGGATGTTTCACGAGTAAAAGGTATCCTGTTGTATAGTAGTATATCGACCTACCGGTGCACAATTGGTGTACCGTTGGGTGGGGTGTGGTATTTGGAGAAAATATTAGAAATTGTTATCAACACTAAGCCAAAATCTATTTTGGGAAATATGGTAAATCCTTTGACCGAAGTGGTTTATTTAATGCGTTCATTCACACTGCTCATGCTTATGCTTTGTTTCGTCATGATTGTTACTCATGCATCGATGGGAGGTTACCAAAATTTCCGGATGTAATAAGGAAATGTGATTTGTGTTGTTATGTTCTCTCCTGTGTAGAGATCAATTCTTGTTGTTAACGACACTCTACCGTGTTGCTATGGTGCAATAGGTTACCTAGCAATTGCTTTTCATGCCTTTGTGTATGCGCTTTATTGTGTTGAGTAGTTGGGAGGACTTAGCATTGCTATAACCCGTGCATGGGTATTTACTTAATTCCCATATTAGCATATTAATTGTTGCATCTCATTTGGGCATAGATGAAAATAGTCCTAATCTTTTGGGATATACGAATAAAACTCCTGCAGTTCCTTCCTTCTTACCTTCTCTGAATCTTTTGCCTATTTCCGGCTAATCCATTTCATTATTCATCATCTCATCATTGTTAGCCCCAAATGCATATCGGAAAACAAAACAAAAACACTCTTTGCATATTCACGTGATCAATTCATCTGTAAGACCAAACTCCTGGATCTGATGATGAGGTAAGCAAACGTGTAAACACCACCATTACGTAATCATCTTTCTGTCGGTCTGGCTTTCTCGTTATCAGTGCTGTCACGTGACACATCGTGATTTTGTAACCATAGTCATGTCCAAAATTGACCTTTAAAGTACCTTGGTGGTTAGACCCCTTAGGTCAGCCTATAGTAGGAGAAGAACCAGCTGCAAAATATTTTATTGTCATCATCAAAGTGGTTAAAAAATCTTAAGTCACTTTTAAAACTGTTTACCATTCATCCATCATCCCTCATCTCATATTGGCTAGGCCTAAGGTATCTCATCAGTCTCGTAAAGTTAGACTATATTTGTTGCAGCCCCTCCATCAATGACTCCGGGTAATGACTCGATATCATCATCAAAGGTGTTCACCCACGGATACGTTCATGGCCACATCCATAAGCACCGTAACCACACTCACATCCATGGTCATATCCATAATCATGACCACAAGCATACGCAGCAACCACCTTCACTGATAGGGTCTCAGAATGAAAGTAGTGGAGATGGTCCACCTACTCAATCAATAATACCACCGTGTGACACCGTAACGGCACCAAATGGATTGTTCTCAGATATAGGGCCAAGTTGTCTGGCACTTGATACCCTTCCAGAATGTTCTGATATGTACTGTTATGAGCTAGATGACTGCTTTTTCGATCATTGTGGTGATAGTGACCAATTCTCTTTGGAAGTACAACCGCCATCTCATTCGTCTCCAGCTAACATCACCCATATACATCGTACATCATCTTCTCCGTCACCACTGGGATCATCGTTTTCAGAAGGCACCTTGGATGAAATATCTGCTGGTATTAAAAATGATTGTTGCCAAGGTTTGAAATTGGATCTGTGTGAACAGCAACATCATCAAGAAGCCTCAAGAACGGTTCATAGAGATAGTCTTTGTCAAGATCAAGAGAATAAGAAGCAACTCTTTGAAAGTCTTATCAAAAATTTAGACTTTGAAACTTCAATGGAACTTGGAACTATCCCTGAGGAAGCAATATCAGAGGGCAATATGCCTTCATTAAAACGTCAAAAATTAACTATTAATGGTGCTAATGTTGATAACAATATTGACATTCATTTCCCTCATATCTGTCATCAACATACAGGCGCTAATCTTCATCAATCTTGCTTTCATACAACAATACCCACTGTGGGACGAAATCAAGATTCATACACCAATACCACCAATACCACCAATAATACGAATAATCCTGCCACTAATAATGTCGACTACGACTTCGTAATCCAGTTCAATAACTTTGATAGGCTGGGACATAACCAAAAACGTCTTGAAGACATACCTTCTGACCGAACTCAATTGACTCCTGAAAAGAAATATTCCTGTCGATGGGACAACTGCTCAAGATCTCTTTCTGATGCTACTTTCATGGATCATCTTCTTGGTCATCACATCGAGCAAGAATATACAGAGAAACCATATAACAGCTTTTCTACTGCTGAAATGAATTCAATAGCTAATTCATTGAATAGCGAAGATATTTCCATCAACCCTTCCACTGCTCCATCTAAATTATACCAGTGTGAATGGAACAATTGTAATTTTGCAGATGGCGAATTGAATGGGTTGATCAACCATGTATTGGAGCATAAGGAAGGCATAGATGCATTACAGTATAATAAAAATAAAGATGATATCAAGTTGGAGAAACAAGATAGCAGTTCTGCAAATAATAATACTTGGGTTGATCTTACTCCATCATCTACTGATTTATCACCAGATACAACTGCATCATACCAGCTGCAGCCGCAACTGCAACTGCTCTCGTCTTCTATTACACTGCTGCAACCTATTCTCGTGGCCGATCAAATCAACATCACTGATTTCAAGCTTTTTCCTAAAGAAAACAAACAATATTGTACCAGGAAACCCATTGATCCTACGTACACTTGTAAGTGGCAAATAGGAGTTGATCCGACGAGTGGGAACCCCATTGAGTGCAACCAAGCACACGACTCAGCCGGTAGTCTTCAGGAGCACTTGATCAGCGAGCACATTGGAGGAGGAAAGAGTCAATATAATTGTGGATGGGTTGGCTGTGAAAGACATGGAGGTAAATCATTCACCCAACGACAGAAACTCTTGAGACACATATATATCCATACTGGTTATAAACCATGTAAATGTCCCATATGTGGGGTTTCCTTTGCTGTGGAGGTTCTTTTGACTCAACATATGAGAATCCATTCTGGTGAAAAACCCTATGAGTGTCACACTTGTGGTAAGAGGTTTGCAACCTCATCCTCACTTTCTATACACAACCGAGTTCACTCAGACAATAGACCGTTGGTTTGTCCTTATCCTGGCTGTGGCAAACGGTTTAGAGAAAGCACCAACTTGACAAAGCACCGAAGAACTCATGAACGCCTGGTGAGTTGCACCATCTGCCACGAGACATTTACCAAGAAGAGTCAGTTGAAGAAACACATGAATGAATGCCATAAGGGAATAGAACCAATGTTTGCTGCAGAACATGTTCTAGAGACGTGACGGCACATACATACGTACACACCACGCACAGATATATATACATACATACATATATATATATATATATATATATATATATATATAAATAGGATATGGCTGGTTCACAGTGAGTCAACGGGTACATACTTAATTAATAAGGTGGCCAATTTTGCACCCAAAACACTATGTCACAAAATCATACACAATGTCTCATTCTTGCCTGCTTGTATTTTCCCATACCCTAGCACCAACACTACGTATCACATATTTATGACCTTATATGTATCACGTTAGTAATGATTTACATTAAGGAGGGGCGTTAATGCGTGTAACTATGTGTGTACGTACTTACCCTTTGATCAGTACTGGAGTATTCTCAAATATTGTGTCGCGCACTACTTTCTTGGAGGAAAAAAATTTTCAAGATCATAAACTGTAAACTCCTATAGTTACAGCCATTTGTACTATTACTACTACAACTGACTGTACACATCATGAAGGCATCTTTGGTTCGGTTGAGTACACGTGTCAAGTTGCCCAGAGCCACCACACAAGCATTCAAACTCCCAGAACTTAGTTCTATCTCGCATACACAACTTCCTAACAACGGGTTTGGCAAAGGGACTTATGCGATCAACCGATCCAAGTTTGGGAATTGGCCAGTATATTTGAAGATTCAAAACACCAAAACAGTCACCGAGATCAAGCGTATCCAAGGAGATATCCATCAGTTTGCCCGTGACTTGTTGAGTATAAAACCTGACTTGAAATTGACGGTTAATCCTCAAATTGGGTACATTAATGTTAAAGGTGATAAGGTTGAAGAGATCAAGCACATTTTTGAAACTCAAATATGATTGGACAACATGAAAGCATGACTTGTACATAGTTAATACAGGATATAATAGGCATAAATTAATGTATATATACATACCGACTTACGGTACTGACTTATGAGCGGACCTGCGTGCTTGAACCCAACTGATTGTCATTATTGAAAGTAATCAGACAGTGAATCTGATGGAGTGACACTACCAGTTGTACTATCTGTAGCAAAGGCAATTTGTCTAATGGTAACCATCCATGGATCACTAAGTAACTCCACTGCACTGGGTCTCTTCTTTGGATCATGTTCTAAGCACCGAGATACAAATTTCCTACCTGGTTCACTCAATTGTTCTGGTGATGGTAATTGGGGCTTATTCCCAGCAGCTATATGGTACATTATAGCCCACTCATTATCCAAATTAGCCCAAGGTCTACGTCCAGTAGCCATTTCTAATACGCAACAGCCCAACGACCAAATATCCACTACTCCATTTCTATCAGCAGATGCACCAGTTATGACTTCTGGTGACATATACATTGGAGTCCCAGTCATTGAGTTCAAGTTACCTGCTTGTCTTGATTGGGTAGTCATGTTGGTTGAAGCTCTGGTGCATCCACTATTGGCTATGACTTTGGCAGCTCCAAAATCAACAAATTTGATAATCCCCGTATGATCTAAAAGAATATTCTCGGGCTTGATGTCTCGATGAACAACTCCTGATTGGTGTAAATATGCTAAACCTTCCAACATTTGTAAGGTATATATTTGAATCACCATTTCATCTTCAATTCTGCCATGTGTAAGTAAACCCGCAAGGGAACCCCCCTCACAGAATTCCATAAAGATGTAAACTTTATCTCTGTGGACCTCTACTCCAAAATATTGCACCACATTAGGATGATTAAGCATCTCCAACACGGTCATTTCATCTTTAATAGAAGGAACAATGTTCTTTATAGACTGACTATCATGGAATCGGATTTCTTTCACAGCCATTACTCCACCAGTATCAAGATTAACAGCTGAATACACATGTCCAAACGTTCCTCCCCCAATAAACCTACCCTTCTGCCATCTAATAGAAACACTTGAAAAGGAAGACGCTAATAAGGTAACAAATTGGTATTCCAGATCGGTACCGTCGATAACTTTCCCAATGGATCTGAAATTGGCTTCTAAATCCGTTCTATATTGTTCAATGATTCCAATATTCTTCATAACTTCCTCTTCGTATTCTTTAACTATGGCTTCATCATCCATGGCATTTTCTATCGATTGTCTTTGAGATGTCCACTTCAATAATCTCTTCTTCTCTGCTTCGCTGAATCTGGCTCCCATAATATCAAAATGGGATATTAATAGTGACATACAACGGGCCACTTTGGATTTCAAGTGTCCAAATTGTTCATCACTCAAAACTAAGACATTGAACCCTCTCGTCATATCCATTGAAAATTCCAATGCCAAAACACAAGCCTTGAAAGTCTTCTTATCGGTTGGAATACATTCATCGCAAACAAAACTCACCCACTCAATAGATAGCTGGATTAATTTCATAATCACCGTAGATTTCCTGGAGGAATCAAGATTCCGAACGGAATTCTTTCCATAATCTCGAGCATATACAAAATGATTATTAATCAAATCTTGTGTACCTCCATCAGGACAAATCTCTTTACATTTGTTCCTAACAACTTGGACAGAATCTAAAACAGCAACAGACATCTTAAAGAATGTCCTATTGATTTTTGTTAATTCCGTATGAATCTTAGCCAATGAACATCGTTGTTCGGAAGGTTTCAGTATCCCACCAAACTCAACCGCCTCACTCACACTCTCCAAGAATCTTTGCTTGATCATATCCAAATGATTAAACGGTACTCTCGAAATCAACAACATTTGACTAGGTTTCACATCGGTTATAGAAACCAGATGATCCATTTTCACTGTCACCACATTACCATCCCATACAATTGGTTTAGGAGGACAAATAGCAAGCACATACGAATATTCTGTTCCCTTATTAAACAAATCTGCCGTTTCTCTCATTCCCATTAATTCGGGTAAAATAGTATACCGTTCACTGGGTTCTTCAAAGTCAATACCAATGTACGAACCATTGATTATTCTTAAAATCTCTGCTTCATTATCTTTAAGTTCACCACTGGCAAAGAAATAAACCCCCTGGGACTCAATGGTGTTTGTGTAGACAAGGAAATGATTTGAATATTTAAGTGATTCCAATAATGTCTTGACAAAATTGCCTGGTGCTGAAGGTAAATTAAACACCAATGAATTGGTGAATCCTCTAGATAATTCACTGGTGAATCTGGCCAATTTACGTCGTAATTGACCAAAATTTTCTGACGTTGAACTGTACCACCTTATTAAATCAGTTAAATTGGTTGCCAGTGGATGTAACATCAGTTTCTTATAGTAAGTCAACACTCTATGAATTAATTTGGAAGTTAACAAGGTGATTCTCTCAGCCACTACTCTGTTACCATTTTCAAAATACTTCCCCAACTGTTTCAAGAAATTCCAGGTATTTTCCAATTCATCTGGTTCTTTAAACGTTCTGAAATTCGTTGATCTTGAACTATCAAGTAACTTCTTATTAATCAAAGATAAATAATAAATCACTGCTTCCAAAACAACGTTATCAAACTCTTTCAATTCATCGTCCAATAAATCACTAACAAACCATATTTTCTTTTCATCTTGTTTGATATATTCCATCATAGCCATTTTGATATCAACAGCAATGGCAATATAAGCTCTGAAATCTTCAATCATTTGGTCAATCATCATAAGAGTTGGATTATGCAATTTCACAGCATAGCTCATTCTAACAGCAATTATTTCTTTAATTAGTTTCATAGGCACCACACAAAGCTCAATTAATGCTTGAATGAAATCAGGTAATTTGATATTCTCTAAGAGGGGACCCCATAAGATGTAAGTTTGTTTAGACTTGACTATCCATGGCATCAAAGGTAAAAATAGCCTCTTCTCAAATATAGTGGTCACATCCTTTTCTTTAAGTACTCTTTCAGCAAACGATCTTGATACCTCATTGAACATATTATGACTATATTCATTATCGGAATAAATAGATTTAGGATTGGATGGTTTCCTATTGATTGTTGGGGATGGTGTTTCCAAAGTGGTGGAAGAATCATAGATTTCCATATCTTCACCTCCTAACCAAACCTTTAACGAATTTGTTTCAACTTCTATAGCAGCACTTATTGATAGCCATGCATTTAAAGCATTTATACGTTCTTCAAACTCTTTTGTTGCGCATATTGGTTTATCCTTCTTCATGGCATCTAAAGTTGGCCATAATTCACACGCTGTTTCGTATTTAGCAAGAATTTGAATCACTTGCTCTTGAGGAGGGTTATTCTTGGGATCATCATAATTAATTTCATATTTAATGATGTCTTCAAAAAGCAGATCGGTCAAAGTTCTTCGATAAAGAGTAATTTTCTTTTGATCATCTTCATCTCTTCCCATAAGTTTTGCCTTAATCCCAAACCAAAGATTCTCCTTATAAGATGTAGGTAAAATGGAATCCAGTGAATCACTATTATTGTTAATTAATTTGGTTTTCTCAGATTTAACGACATCACCAGTCAATACAGCATTTAACATCGATTGCCATTCTAACCTCTCGAGCACTGCAGGATCTGTACTCTCCTTGCTTATCTCCGGGATATTCTGGTTAGGGTTTATGGTTAAAGTGCTCTTGCCAACTTTAATCATTGATAACGCAAGACTCAAATCTATCTGGTATTTATCATCGTCAATCTCCGCAAGCAACTCGGTGTTACCTTCCGCTAGATCGTCTTCATCATCTTCATCCTCTGGAATCTCCAGATCTCGCATATCATCCTCGGCGACTTTGATTCCTCTGGTATAGTAATCGTCCGTCACAGAGCTTTTAAGTTTCTTTAAATATTGCTTCTCCTGTGCTTGGTATACGGCACTATGAGAGTTGAAATGAGGCACAGGCTTGGGTCTAGTCCTGGCAGACCCGGCACTTCCAGTTCCAGCTCCAGCTCCAGCTCCAGCTCCGGTCCCGGCCCCGCCAATAACATTGCTGCTAGCACTATTAGTCGAACTAATATTATTAGTAGTAGTGCTAATGTTTATACTACTGGGTTTGATGTGCCCTGATGAATTGTTCTTATTGAATGGCTTTCCTGCATCGGCTATCTCCTTGCCATCAGTAATGTTCTTACTGCTGTTCAGCCGACTCATGACCTGTACCAATAAGTAGTAGTAGTAGTAGTAGTAATAAGGACTAGATTTGTACTAATTACTACGAGGTTTGTATCTTTTGTGTGGAGTTAGAGGGAACTGCATATAGGTCAACCATCTCATAATATGAGGATAAATTTGTTCCGTAGGTTTATCCGAAATATAAATATGGTAGCGCTGGCTAAAGTATAAGCTCATTTTGGTAATTTATATAGGCTCTTCTATATTGTTATATGAACTTTAATATGTTCTTATGATATGGTGAATCTTGCTACTGTCAAAGGAAGACGATCATTTGCTCATGTTCAATCAGATATCCCCTCTCTAGACCACATGGTAGGCCTTACTACTAATGGTATAGTCGATGTTCAATCTGTACCTGGAACCACCAATGGCTCAGAAGCAGTCATAGCTGTATACATACACAAGCATCTACTGCATAGTCCCAATTCCCATGTGGTTGTTATTGATTGTCTTCATCCATTTGCCATGAACCTTGTACGACAGCATAGTCAGTTTGAAACGGACAATTGGTCCGATAGAATCCATTGGTATCACGAAATCAAGTTTGTACAACTAGAATGGTTATTTGGTGAGTTATTGGCAAACCCCTCGGCTCGTTCAGATATACTTGTAGTGGTCAATTCATTCCATGAAGCTTGCACGTTATACCGAAACCTGCTAGTGCTGCGATCTAAGGAGACCCTTCTTCAATTCCAGTCTTCCAGAAATGAAACGTTGATCCGAGGGTTGGATCGGTTCAAAGAAGAAGGAGCTATTCCCAAGGTATCTCTGCTCCCAGCAGGTTCAGAGCTTTTGAAAGTGAGTCCAGCCTCGAAATTCGACAGTCATTTGATCCATTTATTGAGTAATATGTCACTGGTGGCGTATTCTAAGAATCTGTTGGTTATATTGCATGGTACTATGGATGTTGGTTGGAGATCTTTTGAGCCAGTGGAGACTATCACCCAAACAATGGTGTCAACGCAACCAAGGCCATCTTCAACGCAATCAAGAGTCTCTACACAACCTACACCTTCGTCAACTCAACCAGTGTCTTCATCATCTCAACAAGTATTTGCTGGGACTCCATCAGCTAGACTCACGTTCGTGTCTTCATTCTTAAAGACACCTGCTGTCAATGCGTACATCTCCAAACGATTGCTATTCTACAAGGATTGGTACCATAGAACTGTTCATTTCACTAAACGGTTTCAAGTTGACTCTTCATCTCATCTTCAATTGGATCCTCAACAACTACATTCAGTTTATGGGGTTGCAGTGTTTAATCAGAATGTCTCGGGATCAAAACACATTGGGTATGTTAACTTTGATTTTGATAGCCCCTTCTACCGCAAATTTGGTTCCAAATCTTCAGTTAGTGAGTCCAATTGGTCCTTCATAGATCTTAATGATTATCAATGTCCCATGGCGAACCCCATTTGGAGTGACAGTGACAATGATGATCATGATGATGGTACTACCACTACAGCCATGCGTATACCACCATCTTCTCCTACGCTCGAGACTACAGTTGAGCGTGGTGATGATTCCCAACTCATAGGAGATTCTGAAGAGGAAGAGCTCTTGTGAAGTTATTCCAAAATTCATCACGTACTAGTATCTGAGCACACACGACATTATTGATGGTTATATGTAGTGCAGTTTTGTGTAATTACTGGTCGATGCTCATCTCATCACCAAAAATATGAAGGACGATTTTCATTATCGTTATACATAAACCAACCACAAACGGATATACAGGCAAGATGGCTACTGTTATTCCACCACCATCTAAGAAACAAAAGAGAGAAGCACAGCAAGTGCGTGAGCTTGACTTGGTGCCCAAGGACCTCCCCAATGTGTTGATCAAGTTCCAAGCCTCAGACACTGGAGAAACTGTTGGAGGGTCAATACGAGTACCTGGAGGGATTAGTGAGAAACAATTGGAAGAGCTTTTAAATCAACTTAATGGCCAGACTGAAGAGCCTGTGCCGTACACGTTTTCGTTGTTGGACCAGAAGGATGGACAAGCAGAAACACTTATAGACATTAAAGATTCCATATATTCCTCGGTGTTGAAACCTGGGATCAAGACTACAGAAGACTTTCTTACAATTATATATACTCCTCGAGCAGTATTCAAGGTGAATGCTATCACTAGATCCAATGCGGCTATTTCTGGTCATAAATCTACTATATTGTGTTGTCAATTTGCTCCCAATGATTCTGGTCGTATGTGTACTGGAGCTGGTGATTCCACTGCTAGGGTATGGGATTGTAATACCCAAACACCTTTATATACTTTAAGTGGCCATTCTAATTGGGTTTTGTGTGTGGCATATTCACCTTGTGGAACGATGATTGCTACCGGGTCTATGGATAACACAATTAGATTATGGGATGCTGATACTGGAAAACAAATGGGAAGTGCATTGACTGGACATTCCAAATGGATTTCATCCTTGACTTGGGAACCCTTAAATTTAGTTAAAGTTGGAGATACTCCAAGATTAGCCTCAGGTTCCAAAGATGGTACTATTAAAGTCTGGGACACAACTAGAAGAACTTGTACCATTACCATGAGTGGACATACCAATGCAGTGTCATGTGTGAAATGGTCAGGTTCAAATATTGTATACAGTGCATCTCACGATAAGACCATCAAGGCATGGGATATTACTGTATCTGGTAAATGCATACAAACGTTAAAGAGTCATGCTCATTGGGTTAATCATTTGGCTATCTCCACAGACTACGCTTTAAGAAAGGGAGGTTTCGATCATTCGTCAACCCGTACAAGTAGTAAGACCATTTCACCAGAAGATATGAGAGCTAAGGCACTTGAACAATATGAGAAAGTGGCCAAACTTGGAGGGTCAATTAGTGAACGTCTTGTGACTGCTAGTGACGACTTCACAATGTTCTTATGGGAACCATTAAAGTCCAGTAAACCAGTTTGTCGTATGACTGGACATCAGAAATTGGTAAACCATGTTTCTTTCTCACCAGATGGAAGATACGTTGCTTCAAGTTCATTTGATAACTCCATTAAGCTTTGGGATGGGGTCAAGGGAACATTCATCGGCACACTCCGTGGCCATGTTTCTGCTGTGTATCAAACTTCATGGTCTGCTGATAACAGATTGCTTGTAAGTTGTTCTAAAGATACCACTTTGAAGGTTTGGGATGTTCGTACTAGGAAACTTAAGGTTGATTTACCTGGCCACAGTGATGAAGTGTATGCTGTTGACTGGAGTATGGACGGGAAAAGAGTTGCTAGTGGAGGCAAAGATAAGATGGTAAGATTATGGGGCCATTAAGCATAGCATACATAGTATAATATATTATAGTGCTTAAGTAAGCGATTACGTAATCGGTCGTGGCGGTGTCGACAGAAATTGGTGATAAAAGACAAACTCGGCCCGGTCTTTATGGAACAATTACATCAACAAAGTTCATTCTTTATCGCTGTTCCATCTGTTCCTGGTACCCAGTATGGCTATCGTGAAGAGAGGCGCTCGTACGCGCAAACAGCAACTGCAACAACAGGAACCACCATCCAAATCCGGGATCAAGAAGGCAGAATTTGATTTACATAAGAAGAAAGAAGTTGGGGTCTCTGATTTAACATTGTTGTCTCAAATCACTGATGATGCCATCAATAACAACTTGAGCAAACGGTTTATGAACGACACCATTTATACGTATATTGGCCATGTCTTGATCTCAGTTAATCCGTTCCGGGATTTGGGGATTTACACGGTGGATACGTTGCGGAAATACCAAGGCAGAAATAGACTAGAGGTGCCTCCTCATGTATTCGCTATAGCCGAGTCCATGTACTACAACTTGAAGAGTTACGGGGAGAACCAATGTGTGATCATCTCCGGAGAGTCTGGTGCTGGTAAGACCGAAGCTGCTAAGCAGATTATGCAGTATATTGCCAATGTATCAGTTGATAATGGCAATGAAGACATCACCAAAATTAAGGACATGGTATTGGCCACTAACCCGCTTTTGGAGTCGTTTGGGTGTGCCAAAACATTGAGAAACAATAACTCTTCCCGTCATGGTAAGTACTTGGAGATCCAATTCCACCCACTGTCCTTCCAACCCATTGCTGCCCACATTACCAATTACTTGTTGGAGAAACAACGGGTGGTTTCCCAGATCACCAACGAACGGAACTTTCACATCTTCTACCAATTCACCAAGCATTGTCCTCCTCAGTATCAACAGATGTACGGGATCCAAGGACCAGAATCGTATATCTACACTTCTGCTGCAAAATGTATTGACGTTGAAGGAGTGAACGACAGTAAGGACTTTGATGAGACCTTGAAGGCTATGCAAGTCATTGGGTTGTCTCAAGCTGAACAAGATAACATTTTCAGAATGTTGGCACTGATCTTGTGGATAGGAAACATCTCCTTTGTGGAAGATGAAAGCGGTAATGCAGCCATTAGAGATGAGAGTGTCACCAATTTTGTAGGCTATTTGTTGGATGTTGAAGGTGAAATCTTAAAGACATCTGTTATTGAAAAAGTGGTGCAAACTTCCCACGGTATGAAGCGAGGCTCAACTTATCATGTTCCATTGAACATTGTCCAAGCCACTGCTGTTCGTGATGCCTTGGCCAAGGGGATCTATAATAACTTGTTTGAATGGATTGTTGAAAGAGTTAACTTGTCTTTGAAGGGTACGTCATCTTCTAATAAGTCTGTGGGGATTTTGGATATTTATGGGTTTGAAATTTTTGATCACAACTCATTTGAACAACTTTGTATCAATTATGTCAATGAAAAATTGCAACAAATTTTCATTCAATTGACTTTGAAGGCTGAACAAGAAGAATACGTTCAAGAACAAATCAAATGGACTCCTATTGATTATTTCAACAATAAAGTTGTATGTGATTTGATTGAAGCCACTCGTCCTCAACCAGGGATCTTTGCAGCTTTAAATGACTCTATTAAAACGGCCCATGCCGATTCACAAGCTGCTGACCAAGTTTTCGCTCAAAGATTGAACATGTTTGGGTCTACCAATAAACATTTTGAAGACCGTAGAGGTAAATTCATCATCAAACATTATGCTGGTGACGTGACCTATGAAATACTGGGAATGACCGACAAAAATAAAGATGCTATGCTACGTGATCTTTTAGAAATGTTGTCTACGTCTAAGAATCCTTTCATTAATCAAATTCTTTTCCCTCCAGAATTGTTGGCTAACCAAACAGATTCCAAAAAGAGACTGGAAACAAGTTCAGATAAAATTAAAAGAAGTGCAAATGCTTTAGTGGAAGCGTTATCTAAATGTCAACCTTCATACATTAGAACTATCAAGCCTAACCAAACCAAATTACCAAGAGATTATGATAACCAACAGGTTTTACATCAAATCAAGTATTTGGGTTTGAAGGAGAATGTTCGTATTAGACGTGCAGGGTTTGCATATCGTACTACGTTTGAGAAGTTTGTTCAAAGATTTTATTTATTATCACCCAAAACTGGGTATGCTGGTGATTATATTTGGAATGGAGATGATATACTGGCAGTCAAGGAGATCTTGAAGTCATGTTTTATACCAACTTCAGAGTATCAATTAGGTACCACCAAAGTATTTATTAAAACTCCAGAAACTTTGTTTGCCTTGGAAGATATGAGAGATAAATATTGGCATAACATGGCAGCCAGGATCCAAAGAGCTTGGAGACGTTATGTTAAGAGAAAGGAAGATGCTGCCATCACCATGCAACGAGCTTGGAGAGAAAAGACACATGGTAACAAGTATGAGCAATTGAGAGATTATGGGAACAGTTTGTTACATAACAATAAGCAACGTAGAAGAATGTCTATGTTGGGTTCCAGAGCATTTATGGGTGATTATTTGAATTGTAACGATCTGGATGGTTATGGTAGATTTGTGGTTAATCAAGCTGGAATTAATGAGCCTGTGGTATTCTCTTTAAAGGGAGATATTTTGAAAGCTGCATTCGGTCGTTCATCCAAGAGACTCCCTAGAATCTTTATTCTAACCTCCAGATCATTATACGTTGTTGCCGAGGTACTTGTTAACAAACGTCTTCAATTACAGATTGAACATACTATACCAGTAAATGGTATCAAGTATTGTGGTTTATCAACTCTACAAGATGATTGGGTTGCCATTTCATTGCACACTGCTAGTGTAACCACACCTGATCTTTTTATTAACTTGGACTTCAAGACTGAATTGGTAACCCATTTGAAGAAACTTAATTCTGCTATCACCATAATGGTTTCAGATAACATTGAATACCAAAAGAAGCCTGGCAAATATCATAGCATTAAATTCCAAATGGGTACTGTACCAGGTATGCCTCCACATGGAGACTCTTATAAATCCGGAACCGTTACTGTACCCCAGGGTTTACCAGCCAATAGCAAGAATCCCAAGAGACCTAGACCGAAGGCGGGTAATGTTGACTACAGCAAATATTATAACAGAGGAGCGGCTATGAAGACGACTAAAAGTCATGTTACTCCAACGCCAGTTGCAAGTCATCATGCTCAAAACCCATATCCTACAGCGGTTAAACCTCAAAGGAAAGCACCTCCACCGGAACCAGTTCGTCAACAACAGCCACCACAAAGAGTTCAGCCAGTACAACCAGTACAACCAGTACAACCAGTACAACCAGTACAACCAGTACAACCAGTACAAAGAGTACAATCACAGCCTGTTCAACCAGCTCAATCCAGGCCGGTGAAGAAGGCTGTACCTATTCCTACCAAGCCCAAGAAAGCAGCACCTCCTCCACCACCACCAGTTGAAGTTTCCAAGCCCAAATTCCCTACTTATGTTGCTATGTTTGACTACGATGGTTCAGTACAGGGCTCAATTCCACTTGTTAAAGATACAGTCTACTATGTTGCTCAAATCAATGGTAAATGGGGTTTAACCAAGACATTAGATGAAACCTGTGAAGGTTGGTCACCCATTGACTACTTAAAAGAGTGTGCACCACCTGCAGTCCCAGTTGCCAAGGCGCCACCACCACCAGCTCCAATACAACATCAACAACATCAGCAACCCATATCCAATACGTCTTCTGTTACATCATCAGTTGGAGGATCTCAAGCATCTACCAACCAAACCTCTGTGGGATCTAATGGAGGAGGCTCATTGGGCAATGGATTGGCCAATGCACTCAAGCATAAGAAGCAGGAAGAAGTTTCATTGGCTGGATCTTTAGCTGATGCCTTGAAGAAGAGACAGGTTGCAACCAGAGACAGTGACGATGAAGCAGATGACGATGATGATGATTGGTGAACACAATCGTTGGGTTGTAACCAAATAGTACATTTTCTGGCTTCCCATTATCTCCACTACATAAGGAAATTATGCTGCCAAAGGTTTTGTTCAGCTTATGGATTTTCAGATCCTATAAAAGGATGTCCTTAACCCGAAGTCATCTTGTATTAGAAACGTATTGTACGAGATGTTTTCTGACGCTCACTCGAATAGTCCAGAAGCTAATAATCGCTTTGATGGTCACGATGAATCATTTTCCATGGAACCCATAGTTATAATAGGATATATTTTGCTGGGGGTTTTCTGTTTGTTTGCCAATTTTGT